AGGAGATTGGAAATTAAAACAGAGAATTATTTAGTTATAGAAATCCAAATTGTGTACCTAGAAATTATATCCATCGAAAGATGCAAAAGTGGAATATAAAGTATTATCCTTGATGTTGACTAAAACATGAAACTTCGAAAGCATATGAAAGGATTTAAATTAATCACAGATAAAACCACAAGACAAAGTATAAAAGTAAAATAGAATAAAATATTGGGAAATAGTATTGATTATATATATTTATTCCCAAAATATATATCAAAATTGATTATGAAAATAGTGAGTTGATTTCGAATCATAAAAATTGAAATTAGNCCATATTAATAAATCAAAGAATATAACAGTGATAAATACATTTTTAACTAATCATCTTTCAATTTCATACTTCATAAGTTATATTTAGAGGGATTGCGAATGTATGTTTCTCTCACAACTTAGTATTTAAGCATCCCTTATGAACAAAAGCTTGTTCTCCAGTTATTCAAATGTTAATAGCGAGTTATATAAGACAGTTCCTGAATTCTTTATGAAGGTAGTATAATTGTGTAAGTTGGAAGGACTTTCTAAATTTGAAATATGTAATACTCCCTTACTTGAGCAGAGTGAAAGATCTATGTTCCCCTTACGAAAGAGTCAATTAAAAAGGTAAATTTTTATTCTAATGAAATACAACATACCAAAATATGAACAAACACTTAATAAAAATATCTCTGCTCAAACTAATCTAAAATCATATCCGAAGTAATGGATCTTATACTTAATTCAACAAATAAGAAACCTGAATGCTAAGTTAGAGATTTACCTATTAAAATCATAACTACATTAGAAAACCGGAGTGAGTTATATAAAAACCAAGAAAATATATAAAAATTATTTTTAGGAATGTAAAATATAGGAATAAAAAAGCCTTAACCTCAAAAATCCTTAATTTTTTATGACATCATCTGTTGAATAATCTTAGAATGCTGTATCCTAACCTGGTTCTTGACTTGTTCCTTTTGCTAAGGTTAAATGAGTGATCGAAAGTTGAGAGCTGTTTATAATTACCCAAGATAATGAGAATAGGGTGTATCATCATGAAAATTATATATGTTTAAAATAAAAGCCAGTGTCTAATTATCCCACAAAGACAAGTATCTTAGGGAATGATGTTGAACTAGTAACATGTAGCTGGTATTTAATAAGCGAGAGTCTGTTCAAGATATGGAAGATAATTCCTGGAAATGAGATCACATATTTAAATCATCTATGAGAGATTAAAGACACTAAGGTTAGATCTATAAGGTTGTTTTTGCAAAGATAGATTTGGGAAATAACTGAAATTATGTAAATAAGGGGAAAAGGAGATTGGAAATTAAAACAGAGAATTATTTAGTTATAGAAATCCAAATTGTGTACCTAGAAATTATATCCATCGAAAGATGCAAAAGTGGAATATAAAGTATTATCCTTGATGTTGACTAAAACATGAAACTTCGAAAGCATATGAAAGGATTTAAATTAATCACAGATAAAACCACAAGACAAAGTATAAAAGTAAAATAGAATAAAATATTGGGAAATAGTATTGATTATATATATTTATTCCCAAAATATATATCAAAATTGATTATGAAAATAGTGAGTTGATTTCGAATCATAAAAATTGAAATTAGAAAGCTTGATGGAACCACAATTATAAATTACTTCATCTAGAATAAAAAATACAACAGTATCAGTTGAAGATTGAGTTGCTTTATTAAAGTATGAATTGTTCTAAACGGTCTCTCGTACTAAAAATTAGATGTAGGTTTTTGTGAAAAGATTTACAAACCATAAACTAGCGCAACATATTTCAAAAGAGAAACAGGATAGATTTATGAATATTATTAAGTTTAACGCTGATTGATATTCATCATTTTAGAAAATACTCATCATAAGTGAGTTAATTACAATGATGATAATAATTCCTCTCAATAAGATCGCACAGGAAATAGGATTGATAATAGACCTAGGACCTATTATGATATAGGATCAGTTAATGAAATTTATCAATTGGAATTATGCTGATCAGATTAAGGAAGTGGTTTGGATCAAGAATAAGTTTGGTTGTTTCTCAGATAGTAACTTAGATTCATATTGAAAATTAATTTTAATGTTAGGAATCAGTACATAAAAAAGAAAGTCAATTTTATTTATATATCGAATAGGTAAAAGTTCTATGTATAAAAATGGGTGTTTAATTTTCTAGTAATCTGGAGATATTTGGTCAGCTTGAAAAGGAGTAGTAAATTCAAAAATGGACTGCATGAATTCTCTGTCTTGAGCCCATTGTTAATTTCTTTTAATTCTAAATTTGGCAAACAACCCAAGAAATGGAATGGATTTATAGAATGTTGAAGGGGTGTTAACTATTTGCGTTTTTAGGTGTAGGCTTTGTGAAAATGAACATACTATTTTTATTAATCTCTAAATTAGAGGTTAATAAAAATAGTATGTTGCTGACGAATGTAATGAATCAAAATGGAAATAGAAAACAAAAATATAAGGGAGAATTTTCAATATTTGATAGTGAAGATTGATATTAGCGATAATATGCTTTAACAATTTTCTGATGTCAAGAGATGTGGAAATGTAGAAATTGTTCTAATTGTTTTATTAAAAGAACTTTACTGATTAGATATAACAATGTCGTAATATTGTAAATATTTCAAAATCATGATTAAGCAAGGAGTAATATTAAAAGAAATTCGTATTGGAAATTGATATTGCTTGATAAGAGCTAAAAGGTAGATTATTGGTAAGTCGATTGGTTGGTTAGAGAATAATAATATAAAAATAGGGAGGTTCTCTTCTTAAAGTGGAGAAAGGGGTTTAAGAAGAGAGATATAAAAATTATGGTATAAAGGGTCAAAGAACAACCGGAGAAATTCTATGGAAATATGTTGATTGTGAGAACAGCAAAACTAAAAGAAGAGGATCTATACTATTAGTGCAAATATGAGAAAGAATCCACAGAAATCTAGGGATTGAAAGATTCTAAAAATTAAAACACAAGCAAATATATTATGATATTTTATATAAATATTTAGATGAATAAACTCAAAATGATCCTTGTCAATAAAATCAATTTAGAGTAAATAATTTTGTAAAAGATACATTGTTTTATTTATTTAAATTTTACAACTTCTCAGTTTCTGTAATTGTAATCATATGAGCTTTAATTCTTTTGTAATGTGAATATTTTATGCCCCAAAATACAGCCGTTTTTCTTGAAATTTAACTTATTATTGAGGATCAAAAATTTCAATATCAATTATATCTAAAATTATCCAAAAAAAAAATACTCCATCGATTTTTTAAATTTATATTCATCAATCAGAAACTTAAACATCCTAGTCCCATTATAGTAGGTTTTAGTAAGGAGAAGAAGAGATATTTAAAGTTTTTCATTAGTATATGATATCATTTTTTTCTCAAATTTGAGTATGTCAATATGCAATAATCTTCTTGACCCAAAGGGAATTTTAACAATATTTCTTTTAATAGATGTAAAAAGAACCTAAGAAATGATCTCTTTATAATTGGACAAAAATCTTCGAAGTAGTTTAGTGAAGAATTAATTCTTAAGATTCGAGTATCAATTATTTATTAATAAGACAGATTTTTGAAATTCACGATTTATCTAATATGATAAAAATTACGTATTTGAAACTATTCTATAATTATTGAAGTCATTAAATAGATATATAATAAAAACACAAGGAATCCAAGGCTGAACTTAATTATCATTTATTTAATATCATTTTATTTCCTTTTTGATGATTGTTTTGGCCTTAGAACTCCCCTTTTTTTTCATTTTATCCATTATTTTGAATTAATCCATAACTTTGGTTCATCCCTTTTGTAATAAAACCAATTTGGAGAATAGCCATAAGTGCTCATAAGGCTGTTGCAGTGAAGAATAATAAAACATTGCAAAGGTTTAATACTAATTCATTAATAAAATTATTTTAAAAGTATTCTTTATAAAACCTAATTTTCAGAGTAAAAATTAAGATTTTTATATTTTACAATAATAATTTATCCTATACTTTATATAAATTAGAATAATTTAAGATTTGAAATATTCATAATCCACTTTAATTAATCAAGGGTTCAGAGTTTAGAGATCTCTCAGCGATGAAATCAAATTAATTTTTCTCCATATCAATTACTACAAATTACTACAGGCGATAAATTTCTAAAAGTTTCACACCAATGTACTTGTTGGATAATAAAGCGTATATTTATTGGTGAATTTTTAGACTTACACTTTGATCATTGGTTTGATTCTTACTGATCTCATAAAAAAATTAACCTATCTTGCATTATTCTATAAATATATAATTCCCTAGTTCTAAATTTCACATTCTGAGGTAAAAATTCCAACTTGAGCTCGCTATAAGGTGAAATAGGTAAGTAAATCCAAATTAATTTGTCAGAATTTTTCTTAAGTAGTTTATAGTTGATTATTGAATGCCATTATCATTCTGTGAGCTTGAATTTTGTTATGAATATGACTCATCTGGAGATTACCCTCTCTTTCCTTTCTAAAAGATTAATCTTTAGCGCAAGACTAAAACCCTAAATCTACAGTATATTTATTATAGATAGAAAGTGTGCCCCAAATCTCATCAACAACAGTGTCTCAAAATTGAGAAATCCTAAATCAGGTTGTGTCGCCAGTGAGCTTATGAGCTATTAAAATTTTAAATCTAGTTAAAAATTACCTTCTGGAATAAAAGTAATTTTTATTGAAAAACCGTAAATAATAAACAGCTATCTAAACTTTATGAAAAACTGAAAATGACAAAGAACATATACAATATCGAATTCAAATCTGAACAATAGTTATTGGATAGAGTAAAATAGAAAAAAGACTATTTTAATTAAAGAAATAATTTATTAATAAGAAATTTTACCTAGAGAATAGCACCAAAGCAAATATAAATACGTAAATTACAATATAAAATTATTATATGTCTAAAAGAATACTGAAATTTTAATAAACTTGGAATTTACAGTTTGGACTCATATTTAAGGAATGTGTTATTGATTAAGTATTGACTTTATATTTATTCGAGAGATTTCAATTAGAGGCGTTGGTAACTTACAGAAATGATGGATAAATAGAGTTACAATCCATTTATACTAGGTTACAATACTTAATTATAAAATTGTAGCTAATATAAATTGCAATTTAACCTCTTACTTATTAAATATCTTTATTTTAACCATTTACCTTAATTATTTATATTCATATCAATCGATATTATGTGAATCTTCAACTAATACAAGTTGGGTCTGTATTTTTATTATTTCATTAGCAAAAATTAGAAATTTGATTAATTATAAATTATATGTAATGTTATCTTCTATTTGCTCTAAAATCTCAAACACAAGTTTGTTTTAAACTTGAACCATAAATTTAGAAATATGCTTGTCATGTTCATTTTTATTGTAATTAATAATTTAAAATGTGCAAAATTTAACAACAAAGCAATTCCTAAATTTTTATAACTTAATTGTGATTATGAACAATATTGCTAGTGTGATGCTTAATTACATAACAAAACTTCAATTCATAAATGGATTTGCTATGAAAATTTCTTTTTCATTTTATAATGGTACTCTAATAAATAATGAAATTATGATGATATCAAATGTTTCCAAAAATATTTCGGTTTAAAATGTCATGAATAATTGTAAACTCAAAATTCTGTTAAAGCAATAGAGCTTCAAGTCTTTCTAAGATATTGGCTTACTCAATGTTATGGCTTAAGGTTTTTTAACAAAACTAGAATATTGGCTGTTTAGTTGTATTCCATTATGATGTTATGCAAATCTTTAGCTTTTATCTTTCATTAATATTTATTTAATGTTTATTGAGTTCCTCCTTATTCAATTTTTTAGAATAATTGTTGAAGCCTATTATCTTTAGAATTTTGCTCCTCCAACAAGCTCTAATGACGAAGGTAAATTTAAAGTCATTATTTAGGGTGGTTAATCAAAAATCTTTACAATGGAGCCTCTACGCATACGTCTAATTGTGGAGGAAATACAATTCTTGGAGGATTTCTCACATTTGGATGCTAGGTATCTCCACAAACTTCATTAATCAAATATTTCAGTCTGCCACCTCATTACAAAGTTCGTATTGATATCACCTTCTGGAAGTTTAATATTAAAATATCTTAAGAATTGATGATTGGCCAAACACATAACTATTTTACATAATCAATGATTAATGGACTACAACTTGGAATTTACTGACTAGTACAGGATCAAACTAATGTGGTGGCAGTGGGATAGACTATAGCACTTCATTATATAACGATATTCCTGTACATACATTGAATTCAATAATTGTTGAGTTATACTCAGACTGTGATAACACTGTATTTTTTATTTTTAACACCTTAAGAACTTTTGGGGGTTAACTAATTTCTAAATAACATTAAATGAATGCTATTTGGGATGTCTATTCTGTTTTGATTCAACAGTTGATTGCATCATGTGGAAATTGTGGCAATCATTCTTTTAATTAAAATATCTTGATAATGGTTTAGAGGGATGGATTAAAAATAAATTTCCATCTTTTTCTGACATAATAACTGATGGTAAATTTGTTAACTTATTATAGTTTAATAGAAGGTGCTTATCCTGCATTAATCAGATTCTGCAATAACTTATCTCACCCTTCCAGATCACTCTTCTTTGATTATTCAATTTAGAGTTTAGTATTATACAGCTTTGCCAATAATTGTAAGAGTTTACATAGATGGTGAACACCAATCTGGAATTATGAGTTCTAAAAAAAATGTTGTTTTTAGGACTCCGATAATTTAAAATACAAAAAATGGAATTAAATTAGAAATATACTGCCAGGATGGTACAGTAGGTATCCGTGAAGTATAAATAATTCTTCGTGGGCCAATAAATTTAATCTCATGTCTAGATGATAACTTAGTTCCTTTTGATGGCTGCTTTGCTAAATAAGTATCTTGTTTAGAAGGTTGTGTATTTTGTGTCAAAGGGGAATGTTTGATGTGTGATACTAGATGGGATTATAATTCTGTAAACTAAACTTGTGAATCTTTATGTGGGGATAAATATATCACAGCAAATGAACAATGCGATGATGGAAATTAAATCCCATTTGATGGTTGTCATTAATGCAAGTTCTCTTGTCCTTTAAACTGTTAAAATTGTACCTTTGGTAAATGTCAGACATGCAATTCTGGATATTATTATTCAAATGGAATATGTAACAGAAATTATGACAATTTACTTATTTTATCGTTATCTTATGTTGACTACAATCAATAACCAAATTATTTTGTCGAAATTGATGTTGCAGTATGTGGAGATGGGAAAATCTAAGAAGATGAAGAATGCGACGATGGGAATAACTTTTCTAATGATGGATGCTATAATTGTTATTTTTAATGCATTTTAGGTTGTTAGAAATGCATCTTTGATAAATGCTTGTAATGCATTCCAACTTATGAATTAATAAACGGAAAATGTTACGAAAAGCAAACATAATTCAAATCATTAAGTTGTAATAGATTAGATCCAGTGGTTAGTGATAATTTAATATAAGAACTAAGTTAATTTACATGTTGTGACTCTGCTGATACCTAATATTATAAAATTTGTGATCTTGAAAGATCAAGAATCAAATATAATAATCTAATAATTGAACATAGATGTCCCTTATATTGTGAACTCTGTTAAATTGGATAATGTAAACAATGTTTGGCTAACTACTTCCTATTAAAAAACTAATGCGTCTCTTAAATTACCAAAGGCGTACTTCTATTTCAAGATGGAATTCATATAAGCTAAACCGATATCGGATGCTATAAATGTAAAGATAGTTGTCAGATTTAGTGTCTTTAATGTGTTGATTCCTATTGCTTGCTTTGTATTGATGGTTGGTCACTTATGAATGGTATATGTAAATACATTTGTGGAGATAATTAAATAGCTATTTGGTCTATAGAATAATGCGATACAAATTTAGATTATTGTTTGGATTGTTAATTCGTCTGTCGTGAAAATTGTTAATTTTGTATTAATTTTTAAGATTGTTTGGTTTGTACATTACCTTATATTATTGTAAATTCAGAATGTTAATTACCTTGTATATCAGGATGTAAGAAATGTATTAATGGCATTTGTTATGATAACTGTCCAAATGGATAAATGAATATTGAGGGTCTTTGCTATTCAATTTGTGGTGACGGAATTATATAATAAAACGAGTAATGTGATGATGGGAATGACATCTAATTTGATGGTTGTTTCAAATGCCAATATTCATGTCCTCTATATTGTGAAAATTGTTTTGAAGGAATTTGTTATGAGTGCTAGCAATTCTTTAAACTGATACAAAATACATGTTATGATGATTGTGGCAGTGGAATAAAATCTTACGATGAATAATGTGACGATGGCAATCTTATTGATGAGGATGGTTGTACTTCTAATTGTCAGATTGAAATTGATTATAAGTGTTAAGAAAAAGCTTATAGTTTTTCTGATTGTTAGTTTGCTGAGTCTCCTTATATGTTAGTCAGATTCTTAAACCAAACATATGATAAATGTTATATTGAGATATCATTTTCTTAAGCAATATTTTTTAAGCATAATTATGATTTTGAATCTCTTTTTAAGTTTAGCATTGATGAAACAAGCGATGACGATTATTAAATCAAGTTAGATTCAAACTTTGAACCTGTAATTAATCAAATTCTAAACTTTTAATTTCAGGTATAAATTTAACTCTTTGTTTCTACCAACAGTAGCCTCACTTATCTTAATATATTTCTGATAAATGAAGCATATAATTCAAATGAAATGGAAATACTCAATCCATTAGAGAAAATATCACTTAAAAAATATTCTAAATTGAGTCAATCTGACTTAGAAAAGACTAAATAACTCACATAATATTAAGAAGCTATGATTATGGCTTAAGGGATAGGCAGCGTAATTGTGCTAATGTCTGGAAATTTTTAAATTTTTGTCGAAATTCTAGACAATTTACAGTATCAATCAAATTTAAAGTACATTAATGTTATTTATCCCGAAAATCTTTACCTTTTTTTTGAAGCCACTAATTTAATAAGTATTGTACCAATTTTCGATTATTTATAAATTAATGGATTCTATTAAAGATTTCTATATTAAGACTTTATTGAGTCTTATGCCAAATTGCAGTTTTACAAAGTAAATACTCATTTAATTACTAATCTGCAATTCTTTTTTATCTAAGTAATATTCACCTTTATATTTGTAATGGTTCTGAGATTAATTTCAAAGCTCAGCTTCAGAATAGTCTACAGAATATAATCCTAACATTATCTAATTTTTAAGCTAAGAAGTATTTAATCGAAATTGCTTATATAAATATTCAATTGGATTTTTAATTTTTTTCATTACATTTTGACTTCTCTGGCAGAATTTTACTAAAATGGGCTATTAGATATTTTGCTTGCCAACGCCTGGGATTTGCTATTTAAAATATTTTTAAGTTTAACATCCTCTTCAAAATTGGATATCATTTCTCGAATATAGAACATCCTTTCTTATTTGGCCTTGGCAGTCTCAGTGAGCTTTATCACATCTTCATTAAAGCCTGATTTTTCAAGAAAGAATTAGATGCTAATTAATAGATATAGGGCTGTTTACTTACTTAAATAATTTTTATTTTGCTATTTCTTGATATGTTTTCAAAATCATTAATTGATCTAAATATTGATGTTGACAACTACTAATGTAATTTATTTAATTGCATTAATTTTCGCAAGACTTAACTTGCATACATTAGATAAATTATAAATGATTATAATGGAAATTTCAATAATTACATTTACTTTTTCTTCTATATTTTATTTAGAAGATTACAGAGATTTAATAAGCGAGTAAAATAAGATGTTATTGGGTTTTGCTTAAATATATTTGCTGATTTCAGGCTTATTAGGAATTTTCATTAAATAACTCATTATGATATATAAATAAATTAAAAAAAGATGCTTTAAAATTAAAAAGAGGAGTAAGATTTCCAAATTAGTTACACACCTGATATTTGAGGTTGTTTCATGACTCTAAATACATTTATTTATAAATTTATATCAGAATAATAACAAATTTAGTTTTAAAAAAACTTTTTCGTTTTCATTTTCAATTTTTATGTTATTAATTTTTTGAAAAATCAAATATTGTTGCTCATTTTGTATTCATTTTACTAACCAAATATGGTCTAAATAGATAGTTTTCATTTCTAATGAGAGTAAACTAATTGATCTGTCAATATTAATACACAATTAAGTTCATAAGTACAAGATGACTCATTGAGAGTTATGCTTTCGAATTTATTTAGTACTTAAATAACAGTTCGAATAGAAAAAGAATGAAAAATCTTCTATGATTTACTATTCAAAAGAAAAATTAGAAAGCAAAGTATTTAAATTTTAGAAATTATAGTAATAAATATTTAATGATATCAGTCAAAGTACTTATAAATTTTTATAGATTGGGTAAAATTGTCCCATGTTACTAAGTAGGATCCATTCTCATTTAGAGCAACTTGAGTGGAAGAATCATGAAATTGTAATTAAAACTCTGTAACAAAATAAGGATCATCCTATATTTTCATAAAATTTAATGATATTCCATCCTTATTTATGAGTATTTATTTTATTTTAATATACCTTTGATTGAATTTCCGAGAACCCCAGTTCCCATAACTTTAAATTTTGAGTTCTCTCTGTCTCTTAAACTCTTGGCCTTAATTCACAAATTTGTAATAACCCAAAGTTTTGAATGCTTCTTAAACCATAAATGAATCGTTTCCAATAAAGCTTATTCCATGTCCTAATTTACCTAAATGAAAATTTTAAAGTTTAATCCAACCAGTTCCTCTTTTTACCAATGCAATTATATCCTTATTATAATCTGAGATTATTAATTTATCGCCTATTTCATTGAAACTTACAGCACAGATTCTGATGTTATTAGTATAAGAGTATGAATATTACGCTTAGCTTTATTTTATGAAAAATGACACTTTCCAATCATCACATGAAATTATAGAATCTGAATTTTTGTTTGATTGTAAATGATAAATTGGTGATACGTGATCTCTTAATTTTTAAATGTATTTTCCCTGATTCATACCTACACTGCTTGATATTTATATTTATCCATTAAGCATTGCAAATATAAATAAATTACATTACTTCAAATTTTCTATGCAAGTGACTCTAGAATTAGTAATTTAAAATATAGAGATAAATATTAATTGTTCATTAATGAACAAGTAGGCCTTAAGAATTGTTCCAAAACTAGCCAGAATCTGAGTTGAAGTATAATCAAATGCTAAGAAATTACATTATTAATTTTAAATTAATTGTGCTTATTCTAAAGCTTGGTAAGTAAACTATTATTTCTCTTATAAACCCTAATTGCATTCTTCTTAAAGGCTTAATGTCTTAGTTTGCATAATTATGAATGTATTTTTTATTGAAATCAATATTTAATTGACATTATAATTATAACAATATGATAATGCTTATTAATTGAAGCATCCATTTAGGTAATACTCTAATCGAAGATTAAAATTATTGTAGATTTTTCTTAATTATAATTAGAAATCAAAACGAGCAATTTATACATCTAGTATGTTAAATACAGTTTTTATTCTATTTTTCAACCATTAATTTTTTAATTAGTTCAATGCTATTCCGTCTATTTAATTATTTTGTTTTTTCAATTGGTTGTAATTGATTATCATTAATTAATCAATATTCAGTATTTTAAAAGGTAGAAATATTTTATTTTACTATAATGTTATTTTCTTTATGTTAACAACTTCTGAATATTCTGATGCAAATTTTTCTAACTTAATCTCTGATAATCGCGATCTATAAAATCTGAGCGATTCTATTTAGAATGATTTAGATTAAAGTTTGATAGCCTTTAAGATAATTAATCAAAACTGATATTGTTTTGGTTGAACTAAATCCAACATATTTATTGAATAATTAATCTACTTTTATTAAGCTGAAACAAATATTGAAAAATTGGTATTTTCAAATTAATTTTAAGTTTATAATTTCTTAATTTTATAAGATTTTCCTAGCATAAATTATTTATTAACTTACATTTATAATAATCAGATAAAATATTCAGTTTTTTCATTTATATTTCATATCTAATAATGTTTTTCATTATCCTAGTGCTAGAGTTTAGAAAGTTTTGGCAATTAATATAAAAATGATATATGCTATTTTTATAGACATATAAATATATTACTATGATAAAAAATAAGTAATGGTATCAAAATATATTATCAGCAGGGATTCTCAGACAAAGTAAACGGAAGCTCAGGATATTAGGGTTCATCTCTTTGTTTTGGTTTAATAGTTATATTCAAGTCTTTCCATTTTTTATACAAGTAGAGCAGTATAAATATAGAAAAGTTCCCAACAATAATAATAATGATAGTAATGTTTTCATTACCACTGTTATCAGTTGGAAATGAATTTTTCAATTGATTATCCAATTAGCACTCATTAATTGTTGTATTTAGTGTATACCCCTTTGAACAACTTAAACATTAGCTTTCATTCACACACTGAGAGCATTACTTAATATTACAAATTATTGAAACTTGATGGCAATAACCATCATTTTATAGTTAATATCCTTACTCACATTATTAGCATTAACCATTATTGCATTTAATACAATTCTTTGAACATTGAACGCATAGCTTATCAACTAATTAATAACTATTTTCGCAGCTCAAGCAATCATTAGAAGATGAGCATATTAAACACTTTTATTAACAGCGATCACAAGTTCCATTATTTAAATAATATCCATTTTCGCATAAAGTACATTAGGTTAGTGAAGCGCATTTTAAACAAGGTTGAACACATGATAGACACTTTTTCTCTTCTGTTAAATAGTACGAAACAGAACAAACTAAACATGCCCCTTCTTCACACGATTTACATCCCTAATCACATTTTAGACATTAAAATATGAAATCACTTATCTCAGATAAATAGTATCCTTCTTCACAAACAGTACAACTCTTTGTTTAAACCTAACAGGATTTGCAACCTTCATTACATTTTTCACATCTCATATCTGTTGTTAAAAAGTATCCTTCAAAACATGAAGAACATTAGTCACTTGAGGATGAACAGGTCTCGCAAAATGCACTGCAACGTTGGCATTCTTAATTAATTTAGTAATATCCTGGAATACAAGATTAGCATTTGTAGAATTCATCATTTAAGTGATTACATGACTCACAAAACGGATTGCAGTTTTAACAATTTTCATCCAAGCATTTATAACAAATGTTTTTTAGCAATAAATATCCAGAATTACATGAAGTACAAAAACTACTTTAATTTTTACATGTTTTACAAGTAGTATCACACTGTGAACAATTATTATTTTCAAAATATAATCCATCTACACAATCTATGCATTATTCATTAGAATAGCATTTCTTACACGGAGGTTTACAACTGAAACTGTTTATCTGATTTAAATCTGTGATAGCATCGTCAATATAATATAACTGATTAGAGATTGTCAAACAAAATTAGTCACTCAAACAAGTATTACAAGGAAATTTACAAGAAACACAAATTTGTGATTTCCAATAATATGATTCATCGCATCTGACACATGTTGATGAAGTATTGCATATTATACAATTCTAAATGCAAGATTCACAAGTATTGCTTATTGTATTATAGTACTATTTTTCAACAAGACAAATTGGGACATCAATTATTAGATCTTTAATGCAATTACCATTTGTCAATTGATAACCATTCTAGCATTTTAAACAAAACAAATTATTGCAACTTATGCATTGATTCGAATAAAGCTAGCTGCAACTTTGACATTTTCCATTATTTAAAATATACCCTTGTGAACATTCCAAACATAATTCTTCATTAGTACAACTTGTGCATTAATCTTTACATTTTTTGCATTCAAATGGAATGCTTAACTGGGTTGCATAAAATCCTGTTTAACATTACCCACATTGAACCAGATTATTGATACGATCAAAGTTGCAATTATTTTTACAAAAAAGTGGACATTCTAAAATTTAGATAACTTATAATACCATAGCATTACTAATTAAATAAATAGTAACTTTCTATGCAACTATTGCATAAGGCAGTCTAATCATAATAGCAGGTTATACATGGTGCTGGACATTATACACAATTTTGATGCTCTTTTAAGTAATAATAATAATCATTAACACAAGAGAGACATTTAGTCTAGCTTAAACAAGTTAAGCAAGGAAATGAGCATTGTGTGCATTTAGAATTATCAAGATAAAATGAGTTTGAAACACAGTTTATACAAGTTTGTTTATTTGAACATGTTTAACAATTATCTTGACATGGATAACAAAACAAATCATTATGGTCTTAATAGTATTGATCAGGACAATCTTGACATTAACACTCATTAAAGAAAATTAGACAGTTATTAGTACATTATAATGCAATTCCATTTTCAACATAGTATCCATTATGAGATTTTATACATTAATTCAAATTCTAACATAAAACACAGTTCTCTTGACATAAAACACATTAGTTATCATTTAAGTAATAACCATCTTTACAAATGTCACATTGATCTTCTAAATTACATGATTGACAATTAGATGCACATTTAATACACTAAGATAGCTAATTTAGTTTATAACCCTCTATGCATTTTATACAAAAGCAATCTTTATCGTACTAATCACATTTGGCCTATTTCAAGAATTCTTAACAGGCTGAACATTCATTATTCATTAGAATTAGTCCACTTTTACATTTTATACATTCATCGCCATTTATACAAATTTGACATGTTTAATCACACGATAAACATGTACTATTTTCAGTATCTAAATAATAATTCTCCTAACATTTGATAGAATGATCAGGTTAGAGACATACTTCTTTAGTACAAGTTACACAATCACTAGGACATTTCGATTAGCAAATGCTATTGTATAGAAAATATCCATTTTCAATATCACATACACATTCTTCATTTTACAAAATATAATTAGGCTAACATTATCTAATTACAATTTTTGATCCATTAAAATAGTAATCTAAACTATTAGATGGTCTTCTAAATAGTATGTATAATATATCAAAGACTATCTAATCCAACTCAGATTCAAGCAACCAATTGCCATGTTCATATGCTAGATAATAACATAATTTCATATTTCCTTTTGTAGTTTCTAACAAACGATTCTTACCTTAATTGGTGATAGTGTTGTTCTCAGACAATGCAATCTATAAAAAAACATTTCCTACATATTGTCGTATTTGAAATTGACAAATGTAAAAATTCCATTTGCTTTAATTTAACATTTGTGCTCCTTTATATACTTTGTAATTTGATTCATTTAGATCAGCAGCCCAAGCCAAAGATGACCCAGGAGTCTACATTATTCCCAAAGCAAATAAATTATCAAATTTTTGCATATAAGCTTGTCCCTCAAATGGATTCGTCAGATTAATAATCTTATTTGACTCTAATGTAGAAATCTATTGAAATTAATGAAAATCATCCTTCATAATTCCTCTTTAAATCAAATACTCTAGTCCTTAAACAGTCGTTTATGAGTAAGGGAATTTGTTTTACAATTTATTTACATATTCTTCTTATGATAAAATATATTAAAATTAGAGAATTTATTCATTAAATTGCATGTCTAAATAGAATAACCAAAAATACCTAAACAATTGTATGTGTACCAAACTTCGGTATACCCTTATTAACATACACAAGCTTATTTACTGTCTAGAACTCTATGAGTAACCTCCTTGTTCCCACAACTTATGCACTTAGATGGATCATGAGGATCACAATTCTCACAATATGAAGGGCATTCTAATTCAATAAAACAAATTACTCAAGCACTCCTATCCTCCAATATCCACAAAATTTTGTTTGCATAAACATACGTTGACTCCTTTTTCATCAATGCTCAAATTTCTTGTAGCTGGACAACTTGAACAAACTTCCTATGAAGTATCGCATGTTTGACAACTATATAGGCCTAATTATTCAAAATTACGATTTACATGATTATATCAGTTTAACGCTAATAAACAAAAGTACTAGCATTTAATTAGAAAATTAATAATTAATCCTTAAGAATGTAATTTAATTATATCAAGCTGGATTTATTTTAATGAATCCTTTTGATTTATTAAATTGAAGCTCGAATAACATAATTAAATAAATATATATATTTAAAATGACCAATCAGGCAATAATTGAATCTTAAGATGGAAATTATGATGGCAGTATTTAGCTAAATCGTATGTTCTTGTTAGATGATGTAGACATCTTTTTCAAGTGCAAGTTACTTCTTAATTGCATCATTCTTAATTTGTTCTTTATCCTTTTAAACTTATTGCTTTTCTCTATAATTGCTTGGTTCATCCTGTTGCGTCTTAATTTGAGATACTTGAGTATATAATTGAAAGGGAAAAACATGAATTTCTAAAGTTTATCTATGATATCCTTTTGCCATGAATGGATATTTTTATTTACAACGTCAATTATCTACTAAACATTATGTTGACAATAAAAATAGTCATAATTTTTTAAGACTTCAAAGTTATCAATAGTTTTTTGATTTAACTTCCAAAACAGAGGTTCAATTTGACTTAAAGCTTACCTGACTATAAGCTCATCCTAATCTTGTTTTATTAATTTATTATAGAGAAGTATGATATTCTCATTTTGAGAATTCTGAAACTCAATTGCCAACTATTAGTCTTCTAAGCTTTCGTCTTAAATATGTCTTACAGTGAAAGTAGTAGTTGTACTTTTTTTAATTTATTTATTTTATGGATGAAGAGTCATTTTCCTAATTATTCTTCCTTAATTTAATTGTTGTCTCAATTCACCTTTGAGATCAATGTCAGTTTCTCTAATTAAGTTTTTTTGAATTCGGATGCTGCTTAGTAAATCAGCACACGCAGCAGATTAAGGAGCAAGATTAGCTTACTGCATCTGGGGAGTCAATTTAATATTATCATTTGAAGGAGGAGGTTCAACAGAATTTGATTCAAATAGATCAGATTCATGGTTAAGATAAATTTTGAGTTATTAGCTGATTATGACTTAATTATCACTTGAAAACACTTTAGCAAACTCTGCTACTAATTCTTTTTCTGATAAAGCCAAAAATACATTCTTCTACCTTCTTCTTGAAAATGGTGCTCTCTATTAATTAGTTGAATGTTGATATCGTTTTATTACTACTTCTCTGTTAGACTTTAATTAAATATAAGGGCAATGAGTTAATGAGTGTTCAAATTGTTAACAAGCAGGACAATAGACACTCTTTGTTAAAACTACAGAATCTAAATTCAGAATTATTGAGTCCTTCAGTTAACAATATTTTTGAAAATCCTCCGGAAAGTCTTTCAGAGTTTATAAGAAGTCTTATTTAGATAAAACTAGGAGACTAACATAGCCAACAGCTTTGAAAAGTTCCATCTCAGGATCTTCGATTATAAATTCTTTAACACAAAGAAATTCTCCTAAATTTATGATGGTATTCATTTTAGATCTCTATTTTGAATCTTTATGTTAATACAACAGATGCCCTTATTCGATAAAACATAGATGATGTTAACCATTAAAATCAATCTAAAATGTATTCTCTGGTGGAATAACTTTATGTTTAAAATATGTATATACTTTTTCTTTTGATGCTCTTGAAAAGAGCATTTCTAAACTCTTCACTAAAAAATTATTACAATAAAATAGATTTCTCAATAAAGACTTTATGAGCTTATTTATCTAATTCTTCTTTTAGTTCATCAGACAATTGATCCAATAATGCTTACTCTATTTCTAAATCCACCTCATCATCTTCTTTCCACCTATAAGTTAAGTACTCTTTAATTCTATGAATAAGTTAATATTAATACTAATGTTGCAAGGCAAAAGGGATATTTCTTTTTGTCATGTACTTATTGATCACTCTCATCTTCTAATTTCTTTCAACTTAATTTTGAGTAATGTCATTCATTATACCTCCGATAAAATTAACACTATAAGAAAACCATAAACATGCTCCTAGAATGAATATAATTGTGATTATTTTTTCAGTTGGGTTCTTAGGTACATTATCTCCATAACCAATAGTCAACATTGTCACAATTGCAAAATATAATGCTTCTAAATATTATAATTGCCAAGATTTATTAGTTAAATCCTTAAAATCAATCCAGGAATCCTCTATTTGCAAACTTGAGATCCAAAACCAAACACAACTAAAAAGATGCAAAATATAAAACAATGTTGCTACAAACTTCAATAAGCCTAATATTCCTCTTTAAGGTCTTGTAAAATATGAGAGCTATTCACTTTTTGAGAGTATCTCATAAACATAAGAATACTATGTTAATGTAACTAATGTGAATAGGTTATAGTACTAATCTTAGGGTTCAATAGATAAAAATACTATCATTATCATTATTGATAAAAAATCGATAAGCATCGACTTTTTTGCCTAATATACAATAAGTCTCCATCTATCTCTTATAGCTTATCCATTTTAATATTATTAAGTATTTATCCTAATCAAAAAATCCATTATAAGAATTATTATTATTATTACAGTCAGCGGAATATTACTCTCAAACATTATTTGAGTATTGAATGCGACTTCCAAAGGTATTAAGACTACTAATATAATCCTAAATACGACTGCAAACAAATCCCAATACATCTTGAATACTGATTCAGATTATATTAAAGGTATTTTATCAATCAAATTTTATAAAATTTTGATTGTCTGCTTTTTCAGATTTTAGTAGCATTGCTTCATTGTTTCCATTCTTGTCTCTTCAATAGACGATTCCATCTTCAATAACTTTTTCATTGCTTTTAAAGTAAACCCTGCTCTTTGAATAGACTTTGTATATTGCAACACTACATTACTATAATAAAACTCCATATTTACATGTCTGCAGCTTTATCCCCAATCAAATTCAAATGAGTAAAATTCAATGTCTCGATTATTCTTCTCTTTAATTACAGTTTCTCCAAAAATCGCTTTATCAAAAAGAAAGCCATCATGCTTGAACCAGTTGAATGCTATTTATTTGTAGGAGTATTTATCAATGTTCTATTCGTCTCCGGAGTATTCTACTGGATGCTTTTTAAAGTGATGTTTTCCATCTTCTGACCATTTAAATCATTAAACGCCTCGATGCTCTTGATACTCTAAGTTTAGCTATATAAATTTGGACAGTTAATTGATGTTTCTCTCTTTGTTGTACGCAAGCAAAACCCTAAATATTATTACTCAAAATCTTCATGCTATTCAGCTTAAAGCTCTTAATCTAGATCCACATTGAATCCGGGAGATTCGAATTGCATAATTTATTATTTATTTTTAATAAGGCTAACTCAAACCTAATATATTTTATTCACAGAATTAATATAAAAAAACAAAATTCAAAAATTTTTGATTTTAGTTTGTGATAATTTATTTTTATTTTTTGAATCCTCCTTTCATAAATTGTATAATCTATAATATTCTAACAAAAAAATTCCTAATCTTTTTAGAAAACTATCGAAATTAATTTTTATAATCATTAGATTTACTCACTCCTTTAATAACGAAATATTAACTAAAGTTTAAATTGTTACTAATAATATATAATAAAAGCTCTTTTTCAGATTTATCCTATTCATGCAATCTAAATAGTTTGTATTATTAAATTAGATTTGATTTAAGTAAAAATGCACATCATTATTGTATCAATTTAGATTCTTAAGATAATATTTCATAAATATGATGTAATTTGCTTTTGAATTCCCAAGCAAACTTTTATCATTTCCTTTATTTGTATTCAATTAAAGAAGAAATAACAGAATAATTTATTCTAAAATTTTTTATTTACCTCTTTTTTCATATTTGGAGATTTATTGAGAATATTTTAATAGAACTAAATTTTTCTATCAATTGATACTTATCCTAAAATATATTTCTTAATGGTTTCAAACGATAATACCATACATAGATGATTGATTTCTATTTAGGTGTTCAGATGAATTTGTTTAATGTTTAGACATATATTTATTAATACTAATTATAGGAGCATTTAATAATATTAGGTTTCTGAAAATCAAAATCACTTATAATGAATATGGATTTCTATACTATTTCTAAGAAAGTGTAACATTTTATTAAATTGTAGGAATAAATAATAAATATTTCTATAAATGAATAGAATTCTTATAGTTAAATTTGTATAAAGATATGTATTAATATTATTATTAAAGAATTTTTAATTGAATAAGAATTATAAATTAAGGATGATCTAACTAATTAATGAAATTAAATTCTGTAATATGAACAGAATTTTGAATATAAGAATATGCTTATTAATGTTGGATTGGTGTTTTGTAACATGATTGAAATCTTTGAAAATTCTTATCCTTCTTTAGATTCTTTCATCATAGATTAGGCTGGCTTGCATTCTATCTCAAAATTTGACTTAATTCATTATTGCACACTTTATGTATAGATATGCTCCTGTGTACATATAAAAAATGAAAGATAAATCAAGATTTAAAGTGCATAACAAGCAGGCAACGATCAAGATTAGCGATAAGGTTTTGCAAGCAACTTTAGATGGAATATCAGGATTTTCTAGAGCTCATTTGATTTTTTGAGATAAGATGCATAGTTAAACCATGTAAAGTAGTTAAGATGATCATAAATTAGGTTTCTATAAAATTAATTATAAATATTTTCAAATATTAGTAACCTAAATGATAGACAGTTATTGCTAGAATAGGTTAATAATCTTACAGAACAATAAACAGCTTCGAAAGTCATTTGTTGCTAGTTCGTTATTTGTTTTTTTAAAGCTGTAGTTGAACTAAGCGTCTAAACTTTACAAATAAATCCTAGGTTGATGTTAATGCATAAAATAAAATGAGGTAAAAAAATTAGAGAGCAAATGAAGAATCTTAATCAAGATATGTAACATTTGAGAATCAGTTTCACTTAAAAAATATTATTTACTTAACACTAATTCAACTGATTTCTATTTAGTAATCTATCATTTTATCATAATATATATATTGATGCTAGCGAAAATTTGAAGTAATTTGATTTAAAATCAAATATCATTAAACTATATATTTGTAGGTTGAGAAATAAGAATATAATTGTTTTGTAGGCATTCTTAAAATCAAAAGAAAATTTACAATTATTAAACTTTAGACAATTCTTTGTTTTTCTAATTAAGCCATTTTCTAGTGAGTTAACGAATTAACATAAAGTAGAATTTGAAAAATAGAAATTTGAATATTTAAAATAAAAAGGGCGCAGTTTTAACTTTATTAATTTGAATCATTTAATAATACTTCACTTTCAAAATCTATCGCGAGATATAATCAGATTCTAAGTTAGTTTCATAAATTATATATTTAAACATTATTACAATATGTTTTAACAAATATTCAAAATAAGTAAAAATTATTTGATTTTTAACATTAAAGTGATAATCAAATTAACATCTTATTGATTTTATGTAAAATAGAAACTAATTTTACAGTTAATTAATTGATATTAAATTGATTACAAAATCAATAGCGTGTTAAAATTATAAACGAAATTTGCATTTAGAAGATAGTAATATTAATTAAAACACAAAAATAACTAGTTTATGATAGAAACTACGTTTTATACTTATTAAAATGATGTATATTCTGAAAGCAATAATTACTTTAATATACAAACTAAATTTATATTAAGAAGATAATAATATTTATAATCATAGAACAATAATTAGTTTATGATAGAAACTAAGTTTTATACTTTTTAATAACAGATGTATATTCTTAAAGCAATAATTTGTTTTAAATGCAAATTAAATTTACATTTGGAAGCTAGTAATATTTATTAAAAAACAACAATAATTAATTTATGAAAGAACAATAAAATTTTATTTTTATATAATCCAATTATGTATATTCTACAATCAATATATTTTAACAATAGTAAATAATTATAGCGTTTAAGTGTTTCAATATGCCTTTTTTATGGAACAGTTTCTTCCAATAAAATTATTTGTTCACACCTAATTAATTAATTAATTATTGATTGTGATAATTGTGTTAAAATAATTAGAAAAGTTTAAAACTAAATTTGCCTATTCATATTTAAATTTAGGAGATAAATATAATTTATTGAAATGTAAAACTATGTTTGCGTGTTATTCAAATTATTGATCATAGAATAAAATAATTTTCATTATTCAAATTTGAAACTATGTTTGAAGTTTATTCATATTCTTTATTTAAGGATTTCGTATTAATCCTTCTTTTTTAAGAAATCAGTTTCTAAAATTTTTTATAATAAATTTTGCGAACGTCAGCCTATATGCCTATAAATTCATAATAATAAAATGATATTTTTGAATATTCTACTTTTCATTTTTCTTCTATATTTATATTTAAATTTCATTATGATAAATTCAGATATTATAATATTTATTGAAAAAATTAATCAAATGTTACAAACACTTTCGACTGAGTTAAATAATATGCAGAGCAAAAGTAAATAATAAGATCAGAGAATAGAGAATTTATATATTAGTTTTTAAGAAATATATCAAATATAAAATAATTTGAATAATCCAGGTTCAACTAAGCATAACATGCTATATTAGGTTAGACCTGAAGTTTTCAATTAAATATTAATCTTTCTAGATATTAAACAAATTTTACAATTTAGATTGGTAAGCAGAAGAGCAAAAGAAACTGTAAAATAAATGCTTCCAAAATAAATACATAATTTATAAAAGTTAATAGAAGAATAATAAAATGAAATATAAATCAAGATTTAAAGTGCATAGCAGGCAGGCAACAATCAAGATTAGAAATAAGGTTTACAAGCAGCATTAGATGGATTATCTAGAATTACTAAAGCTGGTATTGTAGAACTGAAAAGCTTTGCAAGACCACCTGAATTAGTTGAAAAGATTATTAATCTAATTTGCCTAGTTTTAGATCCGACTTTTAAGATACAAAAAGATAATTGGAAAGAGTGCCAAAAGTACCTAAATTAATAAAATTTTATATTATTAATCATCAATTTAGATATTAGTAGTTTAAGCGAAAAACAGTTATAATAGCTTGAATCAGTCAATAGTATTTCAGAATAATAAGCAGCCGCAATGTCCATAGTCGCAACTTCTATCCTCATTTTTTTGAAAGCTGTATTAGAATTAAGATAGTCTTAAGTTTACGTGACATAAAATGCGATAAAATAATTAGAGAGCAAAATAAAGAAAGAACAAAAATTAGTTGATAAACTAGGAAAGATCATTCATAAATGACAATCAGTTTATTATACAAAAAATTTATAAACAATAAAACTAGAATAAATAGAATGTCTAATGTTATTTTTCTTAAGTAAATTGACTTTTAAAGTTTCATCTACTTTTACACCTTTCTTTCCTCTTCTTAAAATTGTTTAGAACATTTATTATTTTCTAAGTTGTTTAGTGAAAATTTAATTTTGACAATAATGCGATTAATCTTTCACTAATTAAATGAGAAAAGNAATAAAATGATATTTTTGAATATTCTACTTTTCATTTTTCTTCTATATTTATATTTAAATTTCATTATGATAAATTCAGATATTATAATATTTATTGAAAAAATTAATCAAATGTTACAAACACTTTCGACTGAGTTAAATAATATGCAGAGCAAAAGTAAATAATAAGATCAGAGAATAGAGAATTTATATATTAGTTTTTAAGAAATATATCAAATATAAAATAATTTGAATAATCCAGGTTCAACTAAGCATAACATGCTATATTAGGTTAGACCTGAAGTTTTCAATTAAATATTAATCTTTCTAGATATTAAACAAATTTTACAATTTAGATTGGTAAGCAGAAGAGCAAAAGAAACTGTAAAATAAATGCTTCCAAAATAAATACATAATTTATAAAAGTTAATAGAAGAATAATAAAATGAAATATAAATCAAGATTTAAAGTGCATAGCAGGCAGGCAACAATCAAGATTAGAAATAAGGTTTACAAGCAGCATTAGATGGATTATCTAGAATTACTAAAGCTGGTATTGTAGAACTGAAAAGCTTTGCAAGACCACCTGAATTAGTTGAAAAGATTATTAATCTAATTTGCCTAGTTTTAGATCCGACTTTTAAGATACAAAAAGATAATTGGAAAGAGTGCCAAAAGTACCTAAATTAATAAAATTTTATATTATTAATCATCAATTTAGATATTAGTAGTTTAAGCGAAAAACAGTTATAATAGCTTGAATCAGTCAATAGTATTTCAGAATAATAAGCAGCCGCAATGTCCATAGTCGCAACTTCTATCCTCATTTTTTTGAAAGCTGTATTAGAATTAAGATAGTCTTAAGTTTACGTGACATAAAATGCGATAAAATAATTAGAGAGCAAAATAAAGAAAGAACAAAAATTAGTTGATAAACTAGGAAAGATCATTCATAAATGACAATCAGTTTATTATACAAAAAATTTATAAACAATAAAACTAGAATAAATAGAATGTCTAATGTTATTTTTCTTAAGTAAATTGACTTTTAAAGTTTCATCTACTTTTACACCTTTCTTTCCTCTTCTTAAAATTGTTTAGAACATTTATTATTTTCTAAGTTGTTTAGTGAAAATTTAATTTTGACAATAATGCGATTAATCTTTCACTAATTAAATGAGAAAAGTCTATAATAGCAGGTGACAAAAATTGTATTAAATCAAAGAGATTAAATAATCTTAGCAAATAAGTAAAATATAAATTAAGAAAAAGTTAAATACGTAATTTAAAAAAAAAAAAAAAAGTAGTATTATTAGAATCTTTCAATTAGGTGGAATTAAATATGATTGAAGAGAGGATTTGTGAATTATTGATGTAGATGTTTATTTTTAAGAAAGCAAATTTGAGATTACCTATTAAAACAGGAGATGGATGGATTAACTTAAGAGTCTGAATAAGCATTTATTTAGGATTGAATATAGGAACTTAGGCAAAATTATGAAATGAGAATGTAAAAGATTAAATTTATCAATAAAGAAAAACAATTTTACAATTTATATAATGATCAATAAAATCGCCTTTTGAAAAACATCGATATTAATCATTTTTAGGAATAAAGACTGATTTACAATCTACAAAATGTTTTTATGATTCCTTGTAATATTTAATATAATTAATTATTTATAGAACACTATTATTAACAGAAATGTAATAGGAAGCCCAAAACAAGAAAATCACCTTTAAATTTCTTAATGTATGGAAAATTAGTATATTAGTAATTGAAACTTATGATTAAGCCATCTTAATAAATAGTATAGATCACTCAAGCATTCGTAACAATATTAAGTGGAACAATAGCATCAATCCAAGGAAATTAAATAAAATCCGATTGGTAGTCAATAAAACATTGCTTACGAAATACAAATGAGATTCTAGAAATTATTAATGATACTAAAACATTTTCAAAAAGAGTACGATTTGAAAATCTAGAGAAATCAATATAGATTTTATAATCAATTCAATAATAAAGTGTAGATGAATAAAGCGATGAGACATTTGAAATAATACAAGAAGCTTTGAATTTTTTATTAACAATTGCTAAGCCTTTGTTTAAAAATCTACTATTGTGTAAAAGAAGTAATTCAAGAAATAGATCATAAAGTTAATAAGGTTTTTAAAAAGTTAATAAACTTCAATAATCCTAGAAATCATTCAGCAATAAGACCAACATCTCTTAATCTTAAATAAATCAAAGTGACAACAAAATCAATAGACCCAAAAGTCAATAATCAAATCTTAGTTGTAGCCGTTCTTCATCAAAATCTAAAGACTATTAAAAACGAGTATTAGAAGCTCAAATTAAAAAAGTAAATTTTACATTTAAAGTAGCAATCAAGATTGGACAGGATATTAAAATTATAGACCAATAAGCCATCAGCAACATCTTATATAAAGCAAATGATTGAGGGTTAACAATCATTAAATAGATCATATAGATCAAACAGTAAAGAATCGTTAATGAGATAGGAGATTGAAAAAAACAAATCAATAATTAAGAAATTGAAATAATAAGAAAATGCGATCAAATGGGAAATAGAAAGAGAAAGTAAAAGAATAAGAGAGAATGAAATTGTTAATTAAATTCAAGATGAAATTAATAGATATAAGATAAGTTGGTTAAAAGATTAAGAAGTTAAATAGGAGAAAAGAAAAAGTAATACAAAATAAAATAGTTTTAACAAGCAAAAAGTTATAAATAATGGGAATTGGAGACATAATTCAATCAACTACGATGAAAATAAAGGTAGCTGTTTGGAACAAGATCTGTTGTTATCTGAAAAAGCGAAAAATGAGAAGGAATAATCTTTAAGTAAAATATTAAAAACAATCAACAATTCTAAATTGAAATAGTTGAAATGAAGCAATATCTATTATTTTAATATTTAATTTCATTTTTCCTTTTTAACAACATTAAATAATTCTGTTTTTCTTATATTATTAATTACTTCCTATGTAATTTAATCTAAGCTAATATTTGAAATCAAATATTTTAAATAGGCACAGACGAAAATACCAGAATCGTTTGGTTAAGCTAATTAAGGACATTCAGATACAATAATATCTTTTGACTTCCAAGAGATTGTCAAATTATATTATTTGATGATTGGTTCAATCACATTCCATACATGTTTGCAAGTTGTAACATAAAATATTGCCTTCTTTTTTGAACAACTATCATACACTTTCATTTTTATATCCTAACCCTCAAAACATAATTATAGTAGAATCCAATGACCATTAGTATTGACAATAGCAAAGATTTGTTGATAGACTAACCAAAATTATCCTTTAAGATAAGAAAATTCAGCAAAATAATTAAGTATATCTATTTTTTGTTATTCAAATAAGAAATAAGGAATAATGAGAGTTCTTTTATAAACTTATATTTCAGCTAGTGACTTTAGATTAAAGAACCTATCTGAATCAATATAATTAATGTAATTAAGATATGCTTCTACGATTGAATCATTTATGGCCTTTTCTGACAAAAGAGACGAAAGATGATCTTTACTTAATTCAACGTCAAACTTGGTCCATTTATCATTCTATTTAACTTATGGTTTTTATTATTAAGGTTAAGGTGGTGTTTGTTTGAATCCTGATTTGATTCTAAATGTTTTATTGGTACTTCGATCCTCTTGAATGAAGGATTATTGCAGCATTGACTATTACAAATTTTGTTATTTAATCAGTATGCTCCCATCTTAATTATATTCTTAGAATTTTTCAACCAAGGAAAATTTTTGGAAAACTCCATCTACTTTTTTATTATTTGTTTTTCCATAGTATTCTGTTCCTTTACCATCGATTTAGTCATTTTTAAATTAACCTTCATAAACAAAATAATTGTTATTGCAATATGCATCATATTGCTTTATGTAGATTTTACCATTTCCATTCATTTTATTATTTTGAGTTTCTCCAATATAAACATAATCTTTTAGGATGATCATTTATTCTTTAGTACTCTTATTTTAGATAACTAACTTAAATTAATTTGAATCTTGATTATCAAACTATTATTATTATGAATTAGAATTGAAGAAAATGAATTCAAATTTGAATTCTTAATTTTGCTATTCTTATTGTTATTCTTAAGGAGGCTTTGATTCTTTTTTCAGTTTCAATCCAAGACGCATAAAAATAGATAAAAATATTATTAAAATATTAATTTCTGAAATACAACTCATTTGATTGTACTTTTCCTATCTTATTCTATATAATGTCTCCAATGTCTCTCTCCATCTTTTTGGATCATAGTATTCTGAAAATTCATCTATTATTTAATTAAATTAATGAATTATCGTATTGATCTCAATTATCACTTTCCCTCAAAATGTCTTTCTGATTTGACAATTCTTCTTTAAATAATAATTTTTGTTTGAAACCTTTATATAACAGTTTAGATGATTGAAAATTTTTTGCTTCAGCTACGGAATCTAATTAAGTGTTTATTAATTATTTTTAATTTAGGTTAAAATAAAAAAAAAGCCGCCCTCCAAGGGGGTCGAACCCTTGACATTTGGCTTAAAAGGCCAACGCTCTGACCAACTGAGCTAGGAGGGCTGGATTAATGATTTATTTAATTAAGTTTATTAATAATCTTGATTTATAATTTGATTCCAATTAAAATCTTCAAATGGTTGAATAACAAAATTAATAAAATATTTGCTAATGAATAAATAACTAAAAAATAATAAAAGTGAAATATTTAATTTACATCATAAATAAATGCTAAATAACAATAATAATTAATATAATTTAAAGGCAGTTAGTTCTCAAATCAAGTTCCAGAAGTTTTCATTAAATTTTAAAATTAAGGAAAGGAATTCAAATTTGAAAGCAAATACGACATAGTGAAAGGAGAAGCATAGAGTAAAGTAAGAAAATAAAATAATTTAATAAAGGTCTACACAATTTACCTAAACCTTTAAATGTGACTGAATTAGCAAAAATACTAGTACAGAAATCAATCAATAAACCTGAAAATAAAAATGCCTAAAAACAGGGATCTAGGAATCAAATCAATCATTCTCATATAAGTCTTAAGGAAGTTATTCTGAAAAGAAAAAGCAGCATAAGAATATGTCAGCGATCTTAATGTCAAGATCACAAAAAACAATATTGACAAATTTGAAAATAATATTATGATGATGAGAATCTAAAATATAATAATGAGGAATTGTAAATTAAATAATATTAATATATTTAGGATGTCAAAGACATGCATAGTATTTATTATTAAAATTAAGTAGCAACAAAGGAAAAATAGTTCGTAAAAAAATGCATAATAAAAAAGTAGTCAAAAAAAATAAAAAACTATGGTTTAGTAATTTAGTTAAGAAGAGGAAGTATGATGAAATTTATAATAATAAATAATTTAATAGACTTTTATATAAGTTGTGTTGTTAAATTGAATGGATGAAAAATTGTATAATAGTAAAAAATTTAAAAATTTTTAAAATTAATTAATTAATTATGAATTAATAAAAAATTCTATTAAAAGAACAAATTGGAGTTGGCTTTTCAAGCAATCTGCATCTATGTGATTATCAAGGCAAATAAAGTGTAGTAAAGATTTACAATATAAATTATCCAAATAAATTCAGAATGAAGGAAATCAAAATATTGAAAAGTCTAGATCATCCCCATATCTTAAAGATGGTTGATCATGATCCTGATTACAACTACATAATTTTTGAATAACTTAAGACTGATTTTTTTACAATAGTTGAAAATTACAATAAATTGGATGTTAGAGCAGTGAAATAAATCCTTCTAGATTTAGGTAAGGCTATCCAATACCTTCATAAACTTGATTATGTTCATCGAGACATCAAATTACAAAATGTCATGCTTAACAACCACTTACAAATCATATTAATAGATTTTGGTTTTGCTGATATTGTAGATGACTAAAATGATAGCATCAGGAGTTGTGGAACATAAAATTATATGTCACCAGAATTACTAATTCCCTAAAAATATATAAAATCAAATCTGTTAAAAAAATCTGACGTTTTTGCATTGGCTGTCCTAATATTCACTCTCTATTTTGGATTTCCTCCATTCTCTAAAGCCACTGTAGAATGTCCCTATTGGAGGTTTATAACTTAAAATAACTGGGAGACATTTTGGAAAATAGTAAATAGAAATTCTAAATTAAAAGACATTTTATTTTAAGAATTATTTGAAAATATGATATCACCTAATCTCGNGAAAATAAAATAATTTAATAAAGGTCTACACAATTTACCTAAACCTTTAAATGTGACTGAATTAGCAAAAATACTAGTACAGAAATCAATCAATAAACCTGAAAATAAAAATGCCTAAAAACAGGGATCTAGGAATCAAATCAATCATTCTCATATAAGTCTTAAGGAAGTTATTCTGAAAAGAAAAAGCAGCATAAGAATATGTCAGCGATCTTAATGTCAAGATCACAAAAAACAATATTGACAAATTTGAAAATAATATTATGATGATGAGAATCTAAAATATAATAATGAGGAATTGTAAATTAAATAATATTAATATATTTAGGATGTCAAAGACATGCATAGTATTTATTATTAAAATTAAGTAGCAACAAAGGAAAAATAGTTCGTAAAAAAATGCATAATAAAAAAGTAGTCAAAAAAAATAAAAAACTATGGTTTAGTAATTTAGTTAAGAAGAGGAAGTATGATGAAATTTATAATAATAAATAATTTAATAGACTTTTATATAAGTTGTGTTGTTAAATTGAATGGATGAAAAATTGTATAATAGTAAAAAATTTAAAAATTTTTAAAATTAATTAATTAATTATGAATTAATAAAAAATTCTATTAAAAGAACAAATTGGAGTTGGCTTTTCAAGCAATCTGCATCTATGTGATTATCAAGGCAAATAAAGTGTAGTAAAGATTTACAATATAAATTATCCAAATAAATTCAGAATGAAGGAAATCAAAATATTGAAAAGTCTAGATCATCCCCATATCTTAAAGATGGTTGATCATGATCCTGATTACAACTACATAATTTTTGAATAACTTAAGACTGATTTTTTTACAATAGTTGAAAATTACAATAAATTGGATGTTAGAGCAGTGAAATAAATCCTTCTAGATTTAGGTAAGGCTATCCAATACCTTCATAAACTTGATTATGTTCATCGAGACATCAAATTACAAAATGTCATGCTTAACAACCACTTACAAATCATATTAATAGATTTTGGTTTTGCTGATATTGTAGATGACTAAAATGATAGCATCAGGAGTTGTGGAACATAAAATTATATGTCACCAGAATTACTAATTCCCTAAAAATATATAAAATCAAATCTGTTAAAAAAATCTGACGTTTTTGCATTGGCTGTCCTAATATTCACTCTCTATTTTGGATTTCCTCCATTCTCTAAAGCCACTGTAGAATGTCCCTATTGGAGGTTTATAACTTAAAATAACTGGGAGACATTTTGGAAAATAGTAAATAGAAATTCTAAATTAAAAGACATTTTATTTTAAGAATTATTTGAAAATATGATATCACCTAATCTCGAGAATAGATATACTATTGATTAAGTACTCAATCATCCCTGGATCGATGGAAACCACGATCTAGACTATTTAATAAAAATTATTTGATTAAATGTATATATATAAAAGTTTTATTTCATTATTCATAATATCCCTTAAATTTTATTATCTTAAATATTCCTACAACTTCATCTATAAATAAGCTCTAATATAAGTATGTTAAAAATAAATCACAAAATATTGAATCTAAAATAAATTCTATTAAAACGCCAACTAACAAATACATATCAAATTTAAATTCCAACCCATACATTTACCAAATTCCTATTATCATATTCCCAAAAAATAAAATTACCCATAATATCCAATAAAAGCCTAACACCTTTCCTTTTCTTTTCTTTCTAAATGCTAAGGCTAAGCCTCCATATAAATAATTGCATATCCAAGTTTGTATGATTACTAACAAATAATATGCAGTAAGCATTCCAAATTTGAATGGCAACGATGATAAATATACAGATGTAAATGTCACGTACATCTAAATTTAGATTATGTAGAGTGATAACTTTTATAAAGAAAATTCTAGAGAAGATGCTGTAAAAATGGCATTTATAGGATAAACACTCCAAAAATTTCTTGATTTCTTCTTACTTTTGATTTAATTCATTGGATTCTAAACCAATATATTTCCAGTTTGCACTGTCTCATAAATATCAGAGAATTTCTTTGACTTTTTTTTTTTGATTGGTCTCTTGTATAAAATGCATAGCAAAGTAAGAAAAGATAAAAACAATCCAATTAAAGTCATCGAAATGGCAAAAGCACTATTTTAGACCGTTTTAACAAATTTGAAACCTTATGGTATCTCAAAGATGCTTGACAAACCAGACGAATTCGTAGTTACATTTTTAACAATTTGAACATAAGTACCAAAATCACCTAAAGTATTTACTTAACAAATTGTGTAATACTTGCATTTTAATAATGTGGCCTTAGTATTTTCCCAGATTTATTTATCTTCATTCCATTATACACAAACATTATTCTCATTTAGATCTGCATAATATTAATCACTTTTTGGAACAACGATGACCATATTCATTCCACTTACTGGCAATATTTTTCCAGATTTTATTAATTGTATTCTAGAAATAGTTGAGTTTATTGTTTAACCAGAAGATCTATGATTTTAATAGTAAAGATGCATTTAGTTGAAAATTAAGGGGGTTTATGCATCTGATTACAGAATTTTAATTTCTGCAAGGTTTTCCTCAGTCAAATAGATTTATGGACTTAATAATTTTTTATCATTATCACAGGTACCATATGATTTAACAAAATTATATTTAAATGCAGAATATGAGTCATCACTAAATAAATCAAATTTTCCTATAATTTATTTATGAAATGGTCCTGCGGTATTTTATAATTCTGAAATCATAATATCTTCAGATTATTCTAATATTGCATTAAATAATGAATTATCCAGGTTAGTTAATTTCTGAGCTGCAATATTTTCCTACTGATACAAGTTTTTAGAGATAGCTCCAATGGCAGTAAAATATTTTACATCAAAATTTAATGCAATCTATTTATCAAGAGCTTATTAGAATTATTTAATATTGCTTTCTGTGACTGCATAAGTAGTATCTGATATTAATTGAATTATTTCAACATAGTTTGGATCAAATATAGTTTGAGTATTCAAATAAGTCAGCAATTCAGTTTACAATTTAATGAAATCAGACGTAGTTGTGAATTAACATCGACTTCCTGATATATTTTAGATGCATTTACAAGATATCAATAGACATCTACCGTACATATTGCATTATTTATCACTTTGACAGAAAAAGCCTTTGGAATTAAGAGTGCCTACAAATGGATAAGGTCCAAGACTTGAGGTAGAAACAAGGATGTTACCATAAGCCAATGCATCATTCGAATTAGTTGCAGATGTCAATTAAAAGCCAGTTGTCTCTGATGTGCATTAACCATTATATAGGATCAGTGAACTTTGGCATTTTGTACAAGTATTAAGGGCAGTACACTAAATACATGTAACTGGACACTAAAGACAATTCTATTCCTCTAAATAATAACCATCTTTGCATTATTTGCAAGTATATTGATTAGATGTTGATGTATCAGATTATAATTCACATTTATAACAATTCTATAAATTAATTATAGACCCAGAGCAATCTAAACAATAATAGGTAGGATTTGACGAACCTAGTGAAGTATCAGTCAATTTCAAGAATCCTGGCAAACAAGTGTTACATTAGAAACTACTTCCTAAATTAATACAAGTATCACAGTTTTCAAATAAAGAACCACACTTCATACATTATTATGTGCTAGTTAATACATACCCAGCTTCACACTTTTAACATATTATATTATTAGTTGTTCCTGCTGACATTGTGTTTAAACAAGTTTGACAGCCAGTATTAAAACCTGAACATAAATAGCAATACTATTTACTATTATCATAATAATAATTATTTGTACAACTTGTACATTTATTAATAATGCATTATTCACAACTTGCATATTTAGCAGAACAAGCAGTGCATTTCCCTTAGGGATTAATGAAGTAGCCATCTGAACACTTTGTGCATGTTGAATTTGAACAAGTAACACAATTTGTCATCGAAGCAGTTTAACTTTCGCATTAACCAATACAAGATAGAGCATTAGATCCTTTGACATAACCTGTTTGACATTGTGAACATATTTTCTTAAAAATTTATGAATCTCCACAAGTACTACAATATTTGATTGGACAGCTTTCACACTTTTTACCAATTAATATGAAATCACTAATGCATTTTAAGCATACTGTCAAATCTTAATTAAATAGGAGACAATTCTTATCATCTAATGAACATAATTTATTTTCAGTAGATTAATAACCATCATTGCATTTGCCACAATATGTCTTTTATGTTTCATCTATATAAAAGGTTGATCCAACTTAACAGTTTAAAATTTCAGGGAAACAAAATGTAGAGTTGGTATGTTTTGCATATCCAGTAATACAAGTTGAACATTTATCATCTTAATGTATCTCACATTACTTAATATCTTAGTAACAAAGAGTTCCATTTACAGATACATGGTAATTGTTCTCACATTTATTACATTTTCCAGTTTATAAATAATATTTGCAATTCTAAATTTCATTAGTATTGATACAAATCTGAGTTTTATCATCTTAGTTTTTTAATATATATTTATCCTAGCATTTAGAACATACAGCATCCACTTATAATGAACAATATAATATTTTCAACCAACATTTTCCATTTGACAACAAATAATTATCAACACATCCTTTACAATCTCTCTATTATTATATTGCTTAATCACATGTTGCTGCACTTGTACAAATGTCCTTTTCACCAACAACATAATTTCCACAATCTAAACAATTTAAAATTGTCTAAAAACAATACAATCCATTTTCTAATCCATTGTCACATGAACAATATGAATTCTCGCTATTTGTAATCTATATTAGAATAAGCAGTCCAACTATGAACATTAGTATTATTTAAATTTCCTATTTATATATATATTTATATTAAAAAGTCATATGTATTTGTGTATTATTTCAAATTTTTGTTTCCTCTTTTGTTACACATTTCATCCTTAAACTTAAAACTGAATATTAATTTTTTATTGGAAGAATTAAGCTTCAGAATTTAATGTAAAGTTTACTCATTCTTATGATTCAAAACTATTTTAATTATTGGACTAATAGTAACAAAAAACAAATCTAAGTAATATTTTGATGGTTTCATTAATAACTTAATAGTTTAACTAATTATAAATTCTAATTTGGAATGTGTGTTTCCTTCAAAATATTATCAGAATATCATAATTCACAAAATTTATTCTAATTTATGCATTATTTTATTAAAATATAATATATAACAAACAATAATTGTAAATCATACCTTTAGTATTTCCTTTTAGATATGACTTTTTAGTTATTAAACAGGGACTTTTTCTGCATTATATGTATGCGCTGGATTTTTAAATTCATAATACCAGTATGCAATTTCGCATCCCTTGTAATAATCAGGAACTTGGTTCTCAACAACAACCGGATTATGATTGACACATACTGAAGTGCTAATATTGGGATTGTTTAAAAGGATGGATCCCAAAATTTTGCTTATTTTCAACAATTCTTAATTTTTATTGCTACACCATATACGATGAATTAATAATAAATCAGTCTTCTGAAAATCAATTTCAAGAAAGTAAATATTCTTATTACAATGGTATGTGAAATACACTTTTTCATATATCAATTCTATTTTATAATGTAAGGGTTAAAATTAAAATAAAAATTCTTCATATTTTTATTTTATTTTTTCTTAAATCTCCTCATCTGAGCTATTTCTCCTAGAACTCAGATCTAAAATATTGGAAGGTAAAAATAATATTTGTATTTTACGAAATTCGTTTGATAAGAAATGATTCCAACTTTAATGATTTAAATACATAAGATAAGCATCTAAAACGCCAATGCTCCCATTATTTAATTCTTATTAAGTGATTTTGTAATTATAATAATATGTTTGGTTTTGATCCATCTAAATATTAGAAAAATATATTAATTCTTATGATTAACTTTAAGTTCGATATTCCTTATTAGAATTTATATCGTAAATAGTAATTTAATTATCCTTTTCAAGATATTTACAACATTTCCAATTATTATTTTCATCAGTTTAAAATTTATACACTAATTGCTCACTTTCATCATCATAATATGATATCTTATCATTATTCAACTTCATATAAGTATATTGAGAACCAGAATTTTTTTTTAAAGGAATAATTTATTCTAAAAAATATACGCTGAATTTTCTATAGAAAGTTCCATCTTTTCGTTTATTGTCTATAAATTTCAAAAAACTATTTAACTTTAAGCTCATTATTAAGATAAATACGCCTATCAAACATAAGAGCACTATCAGTGCAATTTATTTATTTTCCATTTATAAATAATGAATATTTTAATTGAAAAATATTTCGAAACAATAAAAAAAATATTCTATTTATACTTTTCACTTGCCAATCAAATTTTCATTTGGAAATAGGCAAAATCTGATAAATAGAAGTCAAGATACACGATGTTTATAATATTCAAATACTTATTTTATGGTTTAATCGAAAATAATTATTCTAATATTATCAATTTATTTGAGTTGAAAGGTTGGTAACTACTAATTATTAAAATTATTATATATTAGAAATATTTTATTTTATAGAAAGCATGTTTGTCGAAAGTACAATTTATAATGTAGAAGCAGAAATGGAAGATTAAACAGTTATAATTAAATAAAAAATTTAAGTATACTTAATAAATTATTGAGAATGAAATCGAGGAAGCCTCAAAAGTTTATGAAATAACAAAAATTGAATCTGATTTAAGAACTACACTGAAGTAACAAGAATACTTATGCAGATTAAGCGAAAACATAGAAATATCTATGTAATCATTGATTCATAATTTTTACTAGATTATTTAATTATGATTACCCAAAAAGCAATCCAAAGTATTTTACTTAGCAAAAATTTGAAAAGAGTCATTTAATTGATGAAGACACTTGGCAGATTAAAATATAAACTGAAAATACTATTTTGAGCACACTTAATTCAATTATAATTAAATTCTCTCAGAATCCACTGTGTCCTGACTAATACATTTAGCAATAAATATATGAATCAATTCAACAGTTTCCTACTCCTATGCTATAAATTTTGAGTAGTTATGAAATGAGTTAGTTTAATAAAATATTGAACGAATAGCATATGTATTAAAATCCGTTATAAGCTCTTTTTGAAATAATGGAAGAAAAGGCTATGAAAAATTTAACTTTATATAGTAATTTTTATACAAAACTTAACTAGAAAAAGTTTAATAAATCTAGAGTGAAATTTAAGAACTCAAGAAGGATTTGAAACTTGTTTATAATAAATTTCAGCAAGTCCAATAGAATGCAACAATATTAAATGCCTATTGTAATTCTTTTCTGAATGTATAATGAAAATTATTGATTTTTAGAATTTTTCTTATTGGGAATTTAGAAGAATATTATAAGATAAATTAAGCAATTTGGAGATAATCAAGGAGTAATTTTAGGAGTTACCTATGAAGGATACATTAGATGAAAAAGAGAAACATTATAACCAATTTTTAAATAATAGAATAGAATATCATAAATGTAATTCTACTCTAATAATTTTGAAATAAAATATTAATGAATAATCAAAAATAATTTGATTTTGATTTAGAATACTTCCAATTATTATGTTAAATATTAAAAAATGATATAAAATAATGATAAATACATGTTAATTTATGTGATATATTCATTATTACTATATTGATTATTGATTTTTCTCGTATCTAATTAATACCTTACCTTCACTCATATTTTTCTTGTAATATTCTAAGCCTTCCTTAAATTCAGAAACATCAACTGTTTTAGCCACAATAGTTTTAAGATTAGTTTTTAGTAATCCTTTTAATTATTTCAACAATAAAGCTTAACTAATTATGTTTTTGGTTTTTAGATATTATGTTAACCAAAACCCAATAACTTTTTTGTCTTTGAAAATCAAATCCATAATGGAGACATTTCCAACAGGCTTCAAACTCAATCCTCCATAAACATAACATGTTGAATGGTTAGGCATTGCTTCAAGAATCTGACCAGTTAATTCTCCTCCCAAGGCATCAAAGAAGACTGTTGCTCTATTTTCATAATATGGAATGCATACCTTAAAGTCTAGGTAACATTTTTTAACTTCTCTAAGAAATCAGCATCTGATTAATTTAATATGATATCTGCGCCTTCTTTTTTCAACATATCTACTTAAGCATCTCTTCTGATGATATTAATAACTCTAACACCATTAGCTTGAAAGTGTCTAATCATCATTCTTCCTAATTAAGAAGCAGCTGCTGTGTGAACAACAGCTTGAGTTTTATGTTCTTTTGCTACTTCTAACATTGAAATCACTGTCAAAGGATTAACAAATGAACAACAAGCCTCTTATAATGTGATATCATTATCTAATTCTAAGCAACCCAAAGCGTCTGCCACACTATATTCACCATATGTTCCGAATTAAGATTGTGAATAGAAAGCCACTCTTTTTCCTACTAATCTCCATCCCATAATACCACCACTAAATTATTGCATTCAATTATACCCATTAGCAATAACAGTACCGGAACCTTCGAAACCAGGAACACATGGAAACTATTTACCACTTGAATATGCTCCATGCAAAAAAGCTATGTCTGAAGGATTGATTGGAGCAGAGTCTACCTTGATCAAAACTTAGCCTGATTAAGGTGTGGGAATTGGGATTTCCTTAACCACAGCTTCTTAACCTGGCCCTTCCAATACAACTGCACGCATCTGAGTTTGCATATTAATATTAAATTTATATGGATTTTTAAACATCATTCCTCTTATATAATTTCTAAAATTCCTATTTCTGAGAAATATAATTATAATTATAATTAATGCCCTTTTAGAGTTGAGATTTTATCATATTATCAATATATATATAAGAATAAAATAATTTCATACAGCTTTGTAATCTTTTAATATACTCTCTATATTCCATTACTATCTTTGTTCTCTCATGTCCTTTAATCTTTTTTCTATAAATATAAATATAGGATTGATACCGTGAGATTCAATATTATTTTATTTTTATTGATTCTACTATGTATCCTCTTTTTCCTTTTTAGCTTCTTTTTTCTCTTCAAATTTTTCTAATTTAGGAACTCTTTTGGCTTGATTACCAACTTAAACAACCTCCATTTTACCTGGATAACGAACTTAACCTTTATGTTCTTGTAAGTATTATTTGGACAATCTATATAGTAAATATATCAGATACTTATCCTTATAATTATTTCTTAATTAGGCATGTATTTCCTTTCTAAACAATTCAAACTATCCAACCTACTCCTCTTTTTTGGTGTCTTCCTTTTTTGGTTCTTCTCTTTTAGGTTCTTATCTAAAGATTTATTGATTTTCATCTAGAATTTTATTATCAATTTCTTATATCTAAAACTCTTTTTCTCCTTAATCTGTCATTAAAACATCGTATAATAAGAGTTAACCAGGAAGAAAGGTTTCAAATAACATTTTGTTTTATTTTAGAGAATCTAAAAACTTCTTGCCTTCAATTAAACCTAGTTCATCATTTTTAATTTCAATTTGTTTATCCATTTTAATAGTAGCCCATGAAAACTTTCTCATTGCTCTTTTGAACGCCAACTCATTTTATAATGCTTATGAATCACTAGTAATAAGAGAGGTTTCCCTTGTAAAATTCTTTTCTATTCTTTTAATCATTTATTGTATATCATCAATAGATAGACATCCATCTTCATCAACATCACTTAAATCAAATATCAATTCCAATTTCTTCTCTAATTCCATTCTTGCTAATACTCCAAGAGATAATACTAAATCTTATATTTCAATTTTATCATCAAATTCCAATTAAAACCCTTACATAATTTATTTATAGTACTTTCAAATAGCTTTTCAAATAATGTTTCGAATTTCTTTCCAACCCAAATTTCAAAATATGTTTTCTCTTACTAAGATTTTTCTTATTATGCTTTTTCAAATATTGGTTAAACATTATTGGATCTAAACCATCTTTCAAACAAACTATCCAAAGCAGATATCTTCATCTTTTTTTTATCTGAATTATAATTAGTTCCAAACCATTTAAGAAATTATTAATCATAATTCTACTTAAACCAATTTTCAAAGGCTTAATCTGGTGGTTGATGTTTTTCTGATTAATTATCTCTTCTCTAAGCAGGCTCTCTAACCAATTACGTATCTGGATCAAATCTATATGATTCTGCACATGATCTTTCAACGATTGCTTCAAAATCATTCTTCATTTTATTCTGATATCTTGTGAATTCTTCAGGAGCCAAAATCAAGAAGAATTAAGATGATATATAACTGTATTCTCTACTTTTGACATGTAATTTCAGCTATTTTAACATTTCTTTAGTGAAGTTAGATTTGGTCATTTTACCTTCAGATAAGTTACCAGATTCTCTAAATTCCTAATTTTTTGTATCATTCATACCTTCCATATCTTCTTAATGAATACGTCGGATAAGAGTTTTTAAAATACTTCACAAACTGCTGGATTAAGTGGTTCCTTAACTTATTAATTCATTATTTATTAAAATGATTGCCAATTAAAGAGCCATTTAAAAAAAGGGAAATATCCATAATATTATTGATAATGATGATGAAATAGGAGAAGTAGCAGAGTGGGCTGGAGTTTCAGCTGCTCAGGCAAAAGATGATGATGATTTCGATTTTGACAATAAATAAGTCTTCTAATAATCAAACGATCATATTGAATAAGCCAGATAAAAAATCAATTAGAAATTAAATAAGAAAGGAACCAATGTAAATAAAAGAAATGGACCTTTAGTCAATAATCTCAAAGACAAGGCTAAAAGTTTAGCATTATAGAATAATCAAAGCAATGAAGCCCCAATTTAACAACAATGTTAGTCTAGTGATGATGAAAATGAGAAACCTAGGGTAGATAAAGGCGAAGAAAGTCCAGACAAAAAGGTTTTTAGATTGTCAGAGAGAAGCATTGGCAAAATAGAAGAAGAATTTGAATAAGCCAATAAAGAGAGAATGATGGATTTAGAAAAGAAGAAAAACGAAGTGAAACAGATAAGCTTCATTGAGGCTTGGGATTAATTGAAGGGTTCTTAAGATATTCGAGACCAGATTGAATTTATCTAAAAAAAGACATCATTTTTAGATAAACTATTTGGATGTTTCAGTATCCATTTGAAAAGTAGTAGACTCATCTAAGAAAAAAATCAAGTACTATAATACTAAACAAGGTTTGCCTAATGTCGTAATTGCAATTCGATGATAATAACGAGTCTCATTTTAGAATTCTTTACACAATCTATTGCCAACTCATGACTACTGACTATTGTCTTAGATATGGTTCTCATTGGGAAATGATTGGATTTTAAGGTACTGATCCAGCCACTGATCTTAGAGGAGCAGGTATCCTTGGATTATTACAAATACTTGCTTTCATATCAGAATATAAAATATATTTCAAGTAAACTCTGAAGATCTTTCAGGATATCAGCATTCCATTCAGCATTACTCTAATCAACATTACAACCTTTGTATTAGTTAGTCTCAAAGACAATAAATTAAATTAACTAATAAATTAAGAAGATTCTGTTATCAGTGTAATAAATAAACTCTACTTTGCTGGGTTCCATTTATTAACTAAAATTCTTAAGAAGTATGTATTATGATGTCATTATTAAAGAGAATAAATAACGTTCCACACTATAGGTGTTCATTTGACACATATAAGAAAGTAAATACATGAACAACCACAGAAATTGATCAGAGAATTTCAATCAGATATTCAAAGATTTTATAAAATTAATAACGTCTGACTGATTTATCTATAATCATTCATTTTTAAAACACTATTGTTATATATTCTATATTTATTCATTTTTTAAAAGCAATGCAATAAGCCTTACTTGCAAGATCATAAAATTTCTAAGCATCTTCATCAATAGAGTTTACTTTAAATCCTATTTGAATCTATAATCCAAATGGATGTTGATCCTGTAGTTTCTTTTTTTTCAAAATGAACTCCAAAATTGCTACCACTTAATTATCTTAGATTATTGGACCTGCAAATACAGGTAATATTGAGGAGATGTCAATATTCTCATCAAAATTTTAATGTTTTGTAATCGAAGTGAGAATCTATGGTCTTTGTGATTTGTACACTTAGTATGCACATCCTGATCTAATATCATAATATTATCCCTTTTTCTTGAATTTATTATCCTCAACATGTATAAGATTAGTTTAAGCTATTTAGAATATGCTATAGGCAGAGTCTTAGATCCTCTATTCAAAATCATCAAAATTAGTAGACTAACATAACTTGATAAATGAAGAGTAAAACAGATCTTGATATTTTAATTCCTTATATAATGCATCATAACTAAGTATGCTAGTTATAACTGACTTGCTTAGCATATTTACTAATAATCCATAGTATTAAATGTCTATTATCATGTCATCATTAATATTTTAAATCTATGATAGATTCAAATACTTATACTTCTAATAAGCCGCATGGCTTCTTTGTATTCATCATAATCGGTAATAATAAAAAGTTCTTACCATAGATTTTAGATCCTTCAGTTATGTAGAGAAGTTATTATTCTTTGGAGGGACTCTTGATTCCAAAATTCTCATAAACAATTTTCTAGAATACACCTTCTGTCAACAATGCCACTTATTATTACCCATTTGGATCATGAGTGTAAGCTTTACATGTCATTCCATCTATAATCCATAAACGAACAGTTTCAGTTTGAAATATCATTTTGAATCCTTTACTAACGTGTATTTAGAAATCTTTGATATTTCTATAACTTATTAAAGTTATGAATTCATTCATGATCTAATTAATCTTCTCACTAAATTCTCTTTAACTTATAAATTAGTCTTTTATAAATGTAATAATTACTTGCAATTAAATTGATTAAATCTTTTCGTTATTGCATATTCTCTAATTAAATAACTTAATTTGTGAATACATCAGCTCCATGTTCAATCAAATCTATCAAGAAATCATTTTATTCAGAAGTTAATTAGCTTAATCTGAATTCTAAACTCTAAGGTAGTTAATTTGGATCAAAAACATAATTGTTTACATAATTATCCTCAATTACTATATTATCTGATTTAGTTCCTACTCGTTTGGTTTTCAAATTATCCAACTTTTTGGATAATCTGTTGTTTTATTAAATCAACTTTTGGTTCAATTCTTTTAATCTCTCAATTTCTTTTTCCCTCTTGATTACATTACGTTTTAATTGTTCATTATCTTTAACTAATTCAGATAATGTCATTCTCAATTCATCCTGATGAGTGGATAAATTCTTTTCTAAAATCATCTCTATTCTCTTTTCAAGACTGCGAACTTTCTTGTAATATTCTTCACAAAGTTGTTTCTAATAAAGATAATCTCTCTGTAATTTCTATTGTTCCATTTAAGTTAAATGTAATTTCTTAGATTAATCTATATTATCTTATTTAAAATGATTCTATATCATATGAAATTAATTTTACTTATTGTTCTTTGAGTTATTGAATGATTTATTTTTATGAAATGGTTTCAAGAGTGCTTTTATTTAATAACTTATTTTTTTGGTTCAACTCTATTTCATTTTTTGAAGCTTATTTTAATGTTACTGCCATTTACTATAGACTTTATAGTATTTTACCAACCTCAAAAGATTGATTAGATTTAAGAGATTCAGCCAATTAATCGATCCAATGCAGTCTTTATTCCAGAATCTATTCTTTACAATAGACAATACCATATTTGTGTCTTAACTGGAGTCTAATCTTCTAGATAAATTGTTTGTGGTTGTTCTTTCATCTGGTTAGGTTTTAGTGAATTTTTAAACTGAAAAATCACACTACTTTTTTGGTGTACATTAAGGTTGGTTTATTTTGTTTAACTTAATTTTAGGTCCTTTGGATAATATTCAAACTTACTCTCTAGAAAATAGGTATTACAACTCATTTATTATAATTATATATATATTGTTATTATTATTATCATTCTTCAACAATCTAGTTTTTCTGTTTTTCCAATGTTTCTAAATATTCTTTTCTTAAGTCGTAAAGCAATGTGTTTGCTTGTTGATAATATTGAGTCACTTTGCTCTGTTCAATAAGATTTTATTATGATTGTCTAATATCTGATTGATTATTACTATTGTTATTTTGCAATTAAACCTTTCTATGATTCCCATCCCTTAATGACATAATTTTAAACTAAGGAATTAAATTCTCTTCGACATCCTATTATCTTAATTACAGATTTTGAGTTTCTTCTTCTTCCATGATATTTTTAATTTTATAAATAAATTAATCAAGTCGAATTTTTGGCAATACACAAATAAAAATATGTTTTTGTTATTATTAATTGCTCAAATCTAAGCAATAATTCCAACCACATATTAATAAGCTCTAGCAGCTATACAAGACGATCCAGATCATCTATCTTTGATGATGTTTATCAAACAAGACTCAGAGGATTCAAACAAAGCTTTGAAGATCTTAGAATAACATTCCACCACTATGTTAGATATTTTAAATGTAAATATGTCATTTAAATAGATAAACAGATCCAAGTAATAGATTGTGATCAAATCACTAAAGAAGAATTAAATCACTTACCAGCTTGTTAATATAAGGAAAGTTTGCCTTTTGCTATGTATTTGATACCACCTGCTGATTCTGATCCAACCAAAGGTCCAATCTAACCGATCTAAAAATTAATAACTAATTTCTCATTGTCTGCTCTCAAGGAAGGATTCTTAGAAAATAGTCCATAATTTTGGGAATTGATTAATGATGAACAATAATATGAACAATTCTTAAATGATAAGAGGTTAAACAAAGTGCTGACTAGAATAGCAACTAAGCCTATTTGGTGGTATGGTATTACCTAAAAGTTCAGAGATAGAATAGATGTAAAACAAACCTACTTTATTAGTTTGCTATTGTAAATCCCAGATTGTTGAGTCACGATCTTGTGATTCTGAAATTAATTAATGGATAATACGTAGAACAAACTTACAATGGTGCTAAACAATACGAAAGTTTAAGAGCATATTTATCTGTCTTTGCAAGTGTATAATTTATTGGAATATTCTAAGACCTAAAGAATTATTAAGAGTTTGGATTCATCTAGAAATATTAATTCAACTTCAATAACAAATATCACTTCTGTCCAAAATATCAATTTTGATAATTAATGGGTCTTACTTTCCATCAATAATCATTAAAGATTGAATAGTGTTATATAAGATATGAAAGGTATTTTTAGTGTTTACAATCTAATTGATAATTCTAATTCAAAGTAACTGTTAATCTATCCTTTTTCATCTAAAAAGAATCCCATGTAGGTAGGCAATTAAAACACATTAGAATTATGTGAAGAAATGATTGACTTTTTGAAATACAATGTCAATACTGACTCCATATAATTGTTGTCTGATATTAATTCATTACTTACTACCAAATAAATTGTGAATGCTTGGTTTTTTAATAAAAATTATAACAAATGCCATTAATTATGGGCATTGACATTTGCTAATAAATAAGAATACAAGAAAATTTTCACATTTCATATCATCTATGATCCAGATGATTAAATTAAAAAATAATTTAATATTCCTAAAATACCATTCATTACAAGTTTAGAAATTACTGAAGGTTAGATTGCTTAAATAGATTATACTGAAAGTTTCAATTATTAAAATATTGAAGAATATATTGATAAATTATACTAAAGATATTAAGTTAAGAATAAGTAAACTCAATAATATCCATAAAATAATAAAGAGTTTGAATTTCTTTGTACTCAAGAATCCGTAAAATGTATCATAACCATAATCGACAGAAATAATCAAGTTGATGAAGATGTCTTTATTAAGTCCATGAAGACCATCAATAATAATAAATAAATCTGGATTATTCTATATGAAGATTGTCAATAAATGTTCATTTAGAAATATAAATTGTAAGTTCCATCCTTGATTTTATATGATGCCAACAATTATAAATATCAAATAATGAAGGAATAATTTAATTTTGTTAATATAGATAAGTTCAGTAAATAAAAGAAAAGGAATTGGAAAGAGTTAGATTATCAATTTTAAATAGAGAAGTGCTAAATTAAAAAGGATGATTTATGATGCAATATTAATATAAAATAATCAGTATTTTAATGTATTTAGTCTACATATTAATCTGTTTTATCCATTAAATTATTGATTTCTTCTATTAATTGCAACTATTATTTTAATCCTAATATTGATTATAAATACTATAATTATAGTCATTGAAGAGGTCTCACCTCTTTTGAATACAAAATTTGAGTGTTCAAAAAAATAATAATATAAATACTTTTAATTACCCTTATTATCATTAAGTTAATTGTAATACTTATTTAAGTCTATTTTCTTTAATTATGTTACTATAGTAATAATGTTATGCCTATTTGATATATTTTTAGGAGTCGCAATTCTTGAGTTAAAACAGGATTGAGAATATGCTTCAACTCCTTAAATAATTAAATGATAAAAGCTATTAACTCATCAATTTACTTAGATGCAACAAATAATTTTTGAAAAATATTAAAGCTTTATTTAATTAATTAATTTAAGAAATGAAGAAAGTTCTTAAATTAACATCGCTCAATATCTCAAATATGTTTCTTTGTTGATTTATGAATTATATGAAAGTTTAATAAAACGATTTATATTGGCTTTATTAAGGTTATTTGTTATTTTTAATGGAGTCATAATTAAAGGTATTTTATCAAGTATTCTTTATTATTTTTCAATTATATAACAAAATTGTATTAATTTTTATTGAAAAAATTTAAATGTTTCAAACACCTACGAATGAGTTAAATAATAATGATCCAGTGTCAGCTAGGCATAACATGCTATATTAGGTTGAAATAGAAGTTTTCAATTAAATATTAATGTTTTTAGATATTAAATCATTATTACAATTTAGATTGGTAAGCAGACATGCAAAAGAAACTGTAACATAAATGCTTCCAATTTAATTACATAATTTATAATAGTTAATAGAAGAATAATAAAATGAAATCTAAATCAAGATCTAAAGTTTATAGCAGCCAGCAGGCAAGGATCAAAATTAAGACCAAGGTTTGCAAGCAGCCTTAAATGGAATTTAAAAAATTAATAAAGCTCATATCAATGAGCTGAAATGCTTTGTCAGACCACCTGAATTAGTTGAAAGGATTATTAATCTAATTTGTTTGACTTTAGAGCCGACTTTTAAGATATAAAAAGATAATTGGAAGGAATGTCTAAAGTTCCTAAATTAATAAAATTTTATATTATTAATTATCAATTTAGATATTAGTAAATTGAGTGAAAATCAGTTACAATAACTAGAATAAGTGAAAAGTATTCAAGAAAAATAAGCAGCCGCTACATCTTTAGTCGCAAATTCTTTCCTCATTTATTTGAAAGCTTTATTAGCATTAAGGTAGTCTAAAGATTACGAGACATAAATTGAGATAAAAGAATTATAATGCAAAACAAAGAAAGAGAAACATTTAGCTGATAAACTAGAAAAGATCATTAATAAATGACAATTAGTTTATTGTTCAAAATTATAACAACTCTATATTTTCATTATTTCTCTACTTTTTTTATATTTATGATAATTATAAGCTATCAAAATAATAACTGCTACTAAGAATGAAAAAGAAGGGAATAAATTGAAAATAATATATTTTTAGAAATGATGGATATTTTGATAATTTTCATGAAATCATAATCAATAATCAAATGATCTAATTTGATCAACAATCACTTTTAGAGCCTTCGTTTAGGTTTCTGCAACTTCTTCTCTAATTTCTAAATATCCTGCTATTTCATCTATTAATCCATTAAACTGCTTTTTGGTTATCAATCCCTAAATGTATTTTTGCAAAACTGGAATCTCAATCAATAATTGCTTAGATAAATAATCCAACCTTATGGTTGAATAACACTTAACATATCTCAAGATTTTGCACTCAACAATTATTTATTACATATAAGGTTTCAATAGTGCTAAAAAGGAATCCTTTTAGAAATACTAAGAAATAGATAGCATTTTACTTCAGAATTAATAATGCTGCTGAAATTCTGAACATTCTATTATTCATAAGATATTCTGAGGTCCTAAAATACTTTAACATTTGGATCTTAGTCATAGACTTTACTTTTCATATCATCAAACAAGTTCATCTTGAAGTTTTCAAGAATGCTAACAACAGATGCATAAATAAGGGCCTATTTAGCTTCTGGTGAACTAGAATCTAAGAAATTATAGAAAGCTTCCATGAGTTTCTTTCTACTCTATTCATATTGTCTTTCTAGTGCCTTTTATTAACCAATAGTTAGATTGATAACTCCAGATATCTTGAATATAGATATTTGATACATATGATTCAAGCAAATCTAGATTACATTTTAATAATTATCGATAAAGTGGTTTAATCTGGTGTTGACGATTTGTGCTTTTGTACAATAGAACTCTATAAGCCAATAATTCAGCCAGAAAAGCTTTTTTTCTATCTTCATCCTGTATTTGGCTATTTTCCAACACAGATTGAATGTTCTTGAGTATAAAATAGATGTTGTACATAAATTATTTCTTCCAATTTATTAAAGCTCCCTTTTTAGTAATAATCTTTGCATAGTTTCATACTAGCTCCACAATATATTCCTATTTGGTTCATAGATTTTAACTTATCTAGTAGGTTTGGTAGAACTGTAGATATAAGATGAGAATTATTGGAATTCATCAATGAATCTACCACAATTTTGAGTGCTTTGTCTCCTTCTGTCTTATATTGCTTGTCCAGCAATTCTAGAAATCCTTGGATGTACTAGCACATTAGATTATCATCAAATTTAGGTTTTTAAATTAATATCTAGATCAAATACTATGAAATATGTTGAAATTTCGATACCTGATAACTCTTGAAGCTCCTTTATCTGGAATTAATATCTTTGGACTTTTCTTTTTCGATTATTTCATTAAAAAGTTGGTATGCTAAATCTGGATTAGTTTTCCATTCATCTTCTGCTCTATTATAACTATTCTCCAATTCTATTTCCTCCTAGTTATCTTCTTAGCCTTCATCAGAAAAGCCTGGCTCATAATTGTAATCATCATATTCTTAATCGGACATTATATTGTGTAATTTTATTAATGAAAAAATAATAAGTGCAAGCAAAAGCGAAGGCTAAGACAAATGAAAAATAGAGCAAATTGAATCAAAATTCTAATGATCGATATTATCCTGACCTATTGATAGATGAGGATGCTTATCTTCGAAACAATTATAAGGTTGTTCGAGAATTGGGAAGAGGTGGGTATGGCGTGGTTTATAAAGGGTATTTTTAACAATATTTTAGATATGCATACCATAATGGATAAGAAGACAAGACAAAGAAGTATGCCATTAAAGTCAATTTCTCGACAGTATCTCCAGAATTGATATTTGCTGAGATTGGATTTCTGAAGTTGGTGTAGGGAAAGGAGAACTTACCTTAATTGGTGAATTTGTTTCTGACAAATTAGAAAATATACATAGTAACAGAATATTTTAGTTTTGCTCCATTCATTACATTTTTTTCTACTTTCAACATGGAGCAAATACGAGATTATTTACGAGAATTATTAAAGGCTCTACTTGTGTTAAAATAGAATGGAATCTATCATAGAGATGTCAAGCCTGGGAATTTCCTATACAACCCAAAAATCAAGAAAGGCATACTGATTGATTATGGATTGTCAGAAATTGATAAATCGTTTGTTAATAATATGATGGAGAGTGGTGGAAATGTATCAGAATTAAGACAACGAAAACAATTATATGAAGATATTATGAAAACAATTGCTTAAATTGGACACAATAAAATAGGCACTGAGAGTTTCATGCCATTAGAATCCATTTTACATTATCAAGAGTAATCCTATGAAGTTGACATCTGGGCTGTCGGAGTCATATTTCTATAGTTTCTAACTAGAAAATACAATCTATTTAGTAATGTGAGAATGGTTCACAAACCTGCAGTCTCTAAAAATCTATTTTATGTGAATTTTATCTTAGAGTTAACCTCATTATTTGGAGCTGAAGCAATTACTAAGATTTGTAATAAATTTGGTAATTGACATTTAATATAGAAAGGATATAATGTTAATTTGCCATCCGTTGTTGCTAAAACCCCAATTAATTGGAGAAGTGTAATTCATGTCGAGGGATTTGATGACAAAGCAGAAGATTTACTAACTTAGTTATTAGAATTAGATCCTTAAAAAAGGATTAAAGTAGAGGATGCTCTATAACACCCATTCTTTTTTGAACAGTGAATTGATCAATGCATAATAATTAATTATATTATGAATTATTTAATTGTCATTTAAAAATATCAGAGCCCTCAGACTCCTATTGCGCCATTGATTATCGTTACTAATAAAATTATTTTTATAGAGTTTCCTCTTCTGACAAATGCGACCTGAATGTCTGCAATTAGAATTGTAATCTATAAATTTATTAAACTAATTCTACGTTTAAATTTCTTCTATCTTCGTCAATAATATCTAATCTAACCCTTTTACGTACTCATCTACATCTGAACCTGGTTTATCAATATTATGTAACAACATCATTTCCTAAAGTAATCTCAAATAAATAGTACTTATTTAACTAATTCGACCATTGAATCTATGTGAGATCGATGATTAGAGATCAAATTCTCCTCTTCTTCCAATATTACACTAATTAATTATTCATGTTTCTATCCAATCTTCATTAAATCATCTTCCATTGATTGATTAACTTCTATAAATATTTAAGTATTTTTACTTGATTTGCGTTCGACTGGTCCTGGAAATATGTTTTCATTCACATAAGGACGAGGTTCATTCAATTAGGGAGTTGGTTTTTAAAAGGAGTGCTTATTCTTTGTTTCATTAATTTTGAATTGAGGTTGCTATTATTATTATAAGGGAATCATGGGTTAAGGTTAAGGAGGAGGAGGTTAGATATAATTTTGATATGAATATTATTATTGTGTTTATGATGATTGTTATGTCTAAGGAATCATCATTCCAGGAATAGAATTTTATAAATTTAAAAATTAGGGTTGCTATTATTGTTAAAATAGATTTTGATTCTAATAATTCTGCAATGGATTATTCTTAAATGGATTAAATTATTATTAGACTTAAGATTATTTCTTAACTGGTTATTATTATCTTGGCAACATTAATTCCCTAGCTAATTTATCCAGAGATGTGACTTAATCCTTCAATTCTTTATCATTTGGTTTTTTTAATTCTTTCACTCTATCTGCATATCTTAAAGTATTCAACGTATGTTCAGATGATGAATTGGAAGGAGAGAAGTTGCCAATCATCACAGTCTTACAATTTCCAACAAAGGAATCCTTTAATACCAGAGTCAATTTTGACCCTCTGAAAGGAGTATGGTTTTTGTTTAGATCCAATGCTCTAATGCATTCCTTTAATGCTAATAATGATTTATTAATTTCAGCTCCATCAAATCTAGTCTGTTTATTAGTATCACTGACATCTGCCCCTCTTTCACTGCCAGCCAAATCAATGAATGACAATTTGCCATGACATTTACTACCATCTTTTAAAGTTATCTACAAAATTGCATGAGACCTTGATGAATCATTATTTGATGAATTAGATGCTGTAATCCTTGATGCACTCCCTTATTCAATCACTTTCATTAATTATTCTACAGATTACACTTTTCTCTCTTATAATCCAACTACATTAACATTTCCTTTTGCATCTTCTCTCGCATGTAAAAGTGTTCGTTCATTGAGCAAATCAAATAGTTTCCCACAATAAATTTCATAAAATGATATAGATATTTGGAGATGACCATAACATTCATTGTTTAATAAACAAAAAATGTCATAAGCTGCCAATAAATATAAACCAGGCACTCGCTCTGAATAGTCACCAAGCATTGTATATGTCTTACCTGATCCTGTTTATCCATATGCAAAACATGTTACTTTTGCCCTATTAAATGCTGCTTCAACAATTGGTCTTACTATTTGTAAATATAGTTGTTCATTTGTTGTATTTTCATCAAAAGCAGCATCGAAATTAAATTAATGCTCCTCTATGTATTTGGTTAAATCAACTTTTGTTCTAAAATGATCCATCATTAATGAATACCTTTATTCTTTGACTACAACGTGGCTTTATTAATTGGAAACATCAACAATATCGATATCGCCCTTGTTCATCTCCTTCTTATTTAATGGCCTCTTACGAACTGCTACTATTATCTTGGGTTCTCCTTATTCAATTAGCATTTTAAATTTTACTTTTTTTTGAATTTAATTTGTTATTTTTAGTTCGTTATCCATATTCATATTTATATACTTGGATATCTGCTCTAATGACACTTCTATATTAGATTATGTATAAATCATTATTATGTAATAAAATAAAAGTAATAATATCATCTTAACTTTGATTTTAGCTTAGCCTAATATTCCAAGTTCTCCTTCTATACTTTTTCTAGTAATTAGGATTTTTCTAAGACTTTCTAGCGTAATCTTTCAATCTCCTTATCTTACAATTCACACTTACTCTAAAATTCATTGATAGTGATACTATTCATCTTTACTTCTTCTGATTATTTCTACAATTATTTATGTTATTGCACTAAATTTCTGTAATTCTCAGCTTACCTTGATAAGTCACCTATCAAACTGTCATTCTGCTATTTTAGAATATTGATTTCCCCTTCTTTAATCTATAAAGTCTCTAGGATTTATTCTTGAGATTAATTTTTTCCATTCAGATTCATCAAATCTTTTAATTAGACTTACAATCTAAAGACTTACTCATCTTTCTATTTGATGATATTATTGAGTCTAGTGCATTCATCTCCTAACATATTAGTTTTACATTCTAATTCTCTAAAGTTTTATTAATATGATTATTGATTCTCTTTATATTGGGTTTCCAGCTTCTGATTCATCAATTTCAATTGTTAATTCTATTCTTTATAACCAAGTAATTCCTATTCTAAAAATTAAATCAACATTTATTTTTATTTGTGTAGATCACTAATTTCATTTTAATGATTCTTCTCTTAATTTTCCAAGGAAGTTTATAATTTCTTAATTTAATTCTGCTCTTTAGTTTATTGCTGTTATAAAAGACAGATCTACTCCTAGGATTTTCCATACATAGAAGTCAATTCACTAATCTTTTATTATAATGAATCCTTATGTTCATTATAAGTTTAAGACAAATGTTCAAAATCACTTTCGATAAGCTTCAATTTGTTTTACAAAATGGATTCGCTTGCAGTCTTAGTTTCAGCTACATCCTTGAATTTAGTCAACTCCTAAGATATTTCCTTGTTCTATTCTCTTTACTGAGTCAATTTATTTTTCAATTCAACAACATGTTGTTCTTATGAACCAATCACAGCTTATTGTTTTAATAAAGTGAACTCCTAATCCTTTGATTAAGAATCGAATTATTATATAGCATATGACAACTTCTCCTCCAATATGTTATTATTTTTCTTTAGATTTATTAATTGAGTTTCCTAGAATTAAATTATATTAGTTACCAATGCTTAAACAAGACTCTAATTCTTGTTGTCTGAACTAGAAATTTATGATAGGTTCTATTAGAGTCTAGCAATCTCTTGCTTTGCCTATTATTATTCCTATCTCAAAGCTTGTCTGTGTTTTGATTCCTATTACTCCATCTAGTATTTCAAATTGGCTATGTCTTATTTCCAACTTAAATCTATTTATCTTACTGCATCGTTATGACTCTTCTCCTATAACTCACATTTGTGTTTATGGAAATCCAATTAATCCTTTAATATTATTAAGAATTCATACTTTGAGTTCCTGGTTTTCTAGTGCTAATTTTGGATCTTGTTGCACAACTATCTGAGGTTCTTGAGTCTTTTCTTTCAATTTTTGATTCTCTATTTGTAATCTGTCTATTTCCTTAATAAATGTTTCCAAATCCTATATTGAACAACTAGGCTTTGATTATTTAGAAGCCTATTGTGGAATTGTCACTGGAGATTAAGGAGGTAATTATGAATTTGATGATGTTAAAGGTTGATAATTTGATACACCTGGTTTTATGAATGAGAATGGTTTTGCATCCTGCTTAGTTTCAGGTCGATTTTCTCTCTTATCGATTGAGTTATGTTGTGATAGTGGTTATCTATTGATTGAATTCATGGGGTAAATTATTAACGGATAAATATATAAATAAAATTTCTTATTATTTATCTCTCCTTTTAATATTGATTTTATTGATAAATTCAATTAAAATTATTTATTAATTTGAGTTCATCTGATTAATTCAACTCTGAATTTCTCTTTACTAGTCTAATATATTAAATATTCTTTGCCTTTAACATTCTATTGTAGAATTATGAAATAATAATCAACAAAATAATTGAGATAATTATAGTTTGATAAATGATTAAGAACGCTAATTTAATGTAAATAAAGAATTCATTATCTTTATTATCTTCTTAAGATGGCTCAGGTTGATTGATAGAACTCTCCTCTACTTATTAATCTTTATCATTTTAAAAACTTTCCTCTATTTCTTATTCTTCTATAGCATTTAGAAGGACCTGATAAATTTTCAGTTTAATTTTATTCACTAGTTGCAATCATTTCTTCTAAAGATAGTGCTTACACAAGTAATAAACAATAAGTTAGATATTTATTCGAAAATCTGTTTTATTGTTCTAGTTTTTCTTTAAAGTTTCTTAAATCCTGTAATTATTCAATCAATTTTTCAGCTTATTCATAAAAAACTTTATTCTAGTTGATTCTGTATGATTTAATCAGTTTTCCTTTGAAATACCAATTACTAAGCTTAATCATTAGGATTCATTATATTGAAATGTTCTTTATTCCCAATTACCTACTATTCTTATTGTTAAATATTCTATTGAAGTTCTTAATTCTAATTTAATAATTCATCATTTAATTACCTCGATATTAATTGTTGATGACTGATTTTATTCATAACAGTTTAATAATCATACTACTTTCTTAAATTATCTTGTTCATCTTACAAATTGTAATATAAAATTCTCAATTCCATTTGAATTTTCTAACTTTCTTATGATTATTATTTTAATTATTGAAGATTATTCCCTAAATGATTCTTTTTACTACTCCATTTATATTCTTGAATTTGAAATTTATTGAACAATTTATTATTTGGACATTTTAACTTGGTATTCTCTAATTTCAACTTCGATAATTCCACTTCTAATTCTTTAAATTAGATTTCAAAATATGATATGGCTGTTTCCTAAATTGAACTTTTTTTATAATAATAATAATAAAATAATGTAAATTATTTTAGAATTCGTTTTTAATTATTTTATTAATGAAATTCTTGGTGCTTTGCTTAATAGCCTTAGCTATTGCAGATAAGTTCGATCAATTCAGAGCATTTGATGAAGATGAATTTGGCAGAACATTGATAGATACTCTCTAAATGTAAATGAGTACAGGTGAACCAATTGCTCGTTTCATTGAAATTATGAGAAACCTAGAAACCTCAATTGAGAACGAACAAAAGGAAGATGATAAAGCCAACAATGAATATTAGAATCAATGCACTGAAGACATTAAAGTATTGCAATAAGAGAGTGCAAACTTGGAGAGAAGAACAGTTGAAATCTAATCAATTTTGGATGAATTAGAGCCATTAAGATCATATAAATAAGGTTAAGCTGATGCCAAGAATGCATGGAAGGTTGAAACAGAAAAGAAATTAGCTGATTTAGTAAAGAAGAGAGAAACAGAGAAGGCTGAGTTTGATAAAAAGGTAGAAGAACACGATTATGCAACATTCGTTATTGAAACAGTTAGAAGAATGTTTTCAGATAAAAATTAGAGTTTCTTACAAATGAACAATGAAGCATAATGGTAAAAAGTTAGAGATTACTTCATTAATGCTTCTGAATAAGCAAGTATTATAGATTGTTACATTTTTAGAGAAATTTGAAATCAAAAAGAGTTATTCTAAGATGTTCAATGTTTTTGCTGAAATTGCCAATGCTGCCTAAGCTGAAGATTTTTAGAATTCACCAACTGTTAATAGAATTGTTAATTTATGTGATTTGATGCTTAAATAAATTGAAGACAGCAAGGCTTTGGAAACTAAAGCAGAATAAAAGAGATTGAATATGTTTGTATTGGAGAAAGGAAACTTCGATAAAGATTTGACAAGTTTGAACAATGCTCTTGCTTAATTGACTGCTGCCATCTTAGGTTTGGATAACCGAATCTAAGATTAAAAAAGAGATTTAAGTGACTATAATGCTAGATTGGCTGCTAAAAACAAATAGAGTGAAGATAGAGGAGGTGAATGCAGAGAAAAGGCTTATAATTACTAATTAACTAGAGAGAAGAGGTACTTATATTTCATAACTGTACTTTAGAGAATAGAAAAGACAATTGGTGTCTCAAATCATTGGTGCCTTCTCAGCTAACTAAAGAGACTTCGCAGAGTATGTTAAACTTAGAGGATAGGCTGGAGATTTCAGAGGAAAGAACTTTTAGGTCTTGGGCAACCCTACAGAAGATTGAATATGAATAATATCATATTAAATTATTAATAACTAAGTTCCAGAATTTCTATAACGATTAATTCCGAAGAATTGGTCTTTCAGATAATGATTAATAATTATGAAGAATCACTATATCACCTTGGGAATTGAGAGGAATGCTCAGCAACAACAAATAAAGGAAGCATATCATAAATTAGCCTTGAAATGGCATCCAGTATGTTATATAATTAATCTATTATTAGGATAAGAATACAAATTGTAGAGCTTAGGCTATAACACAATTCCAAGAGATAAACGAGGCCTATAACACACTATCTCAGTCAGAGAGCAAGAAAAAGTATGATCACAAACTGGAAAAGCAAGATCATTCATAATAACTCAAATATTTTCTGGAATAAATTGAAGAAATGAATGAAGAATTTACTTATTTAAATAAAGATGATTAAGATACTTTGAATAGATTCATCAATAGGATTAACAAATCAAGCAGAAGAATAAGGAAGCATTGATGAAAGTGTAAGTCAATTTATTTCTTTGATTCTTATAATTTAATGATTAAGTACTTAATAAATTTATGGTCATTAATTTTTATAATTATTTTTTGTCTAAACTATAATATAGTCATTAAACTAATGAAAGTTAATCATAGTGTTGAAACTAATGTAAATAAAAACACCGTTTTTTCTGAGTAAGTTGCTGAAGAATAGGAAGAACAGTAAGAAAAGTCTTCTCTTAAATATATTGTGTTAATCTTAGCATGCCTCTTAATGTTTGGAAACAATTACTCTTTCGATAATCCCCAAGCTCTTTAGAGACAACTGACCCAAGACTTGGATATCAGCATATCCAAATATAATCTCTTGTATACTGCTTTTTCATTTCCAAATATATTCCTAACTCTCATCGGCGGATTGATTATCGACGTTTTAGGTAAATACAATATCTAATCCCCAAAGGTATAAGAGTGGCTATAATGGGATTCAGTGCGATAGTAGTGATTGCTTAGACTATCATAGCTTTCGGAGGTTTATTTAAGAGTTTCTGGATAATGTTGGCAGGTAGAGTACTTTTTGGGAGTGCTTCTGAGAGTCTATTAATAGCACAGACAGCCATGATTGGTAAATGGTTTAGAGGGAAAGAATTATCGACAGCCATTGGATATATTATGACCATGCCAGAAATAGCATCAGCAGCCAATTCCTTTGTCACACCCACAATCTATGATCATTTTAATGGCCTCACTTATCCATTATTCTTCAGTGTTTTTTTATGCTTCCTGTCATTCATTTGTGGAGTAGTTTTGTGTATTTTGGATAAGAATAACGATAAGAAGTAAAAAGGTAAACTAATAATTTAAACCAAAAGAGTTGTAGTTCGTCTATAAAGATAATGCAAGTGAAAAGAGTGAATAAGTTGAAAAAGTATCCTTCAAAGATATCAAAAGTCTCAATGGTACCTTTTGGATCTTAATTTTGATATGCACACTTGCAATGGGAGCATATGTGCCATTCCTAGATGATGCTAATGATTTCCTTCAAGAAAAGTTCGAATTCAGTTATGTGTAATCTGGGAGAATTCTAACTTTGACCTATCTAGCTGCTGGTATTAATGTAATATATATAGCTATTACTAGTCCATTCTTAGGTCCATATGTGGATAAGGTGGGCAAGAGACGATTTTTCATCTTAATCACTTGTCTCTTTTTTTCAGCCACTCATTTCCTTTTTGGTTTTATGAAGTCAGGCTACCATGATAAGCCGAATTGGTTTTCAATTATTCCATTGATAACATTGGGAATGTCATATTCTCTATATTGTTGTGTTTTAATACCATCAGTGCAATATGTAGTACAACAAAGAGTCATAGGAACTGCATTTGGAATTTTAGGTATGTTTACTAGTACATCCATGGCCTTATTCCCCATTTTGGCTGGGTATATAGTTGAGGGAGCCACTTCTAAAGAAGAAGGATATTCAACTGTCGGATTCTTCTATTGTGGAGTGTCAGTGTTTGGTCTCATCTTTACAATTTCGCTTTACTTTTTTGACAAACAAAGTTCGATTATTTTAGATTTTGTAAACCCTGAAAATCCAACCAAGGAGGAACAAGAAATAATGAAAAACATCAAATAAGCAAACAATGAATAATTAGGAGTTTTCGAAGATATTGATGACGATTTATTGAAGATTGAAGGGGAGGACAATGATGATGATGAAAATGTTAAAAATGATGGGTTTTGGGAGAAAAATCAAAGATATCTTGTATCAAGTAAGGGATTTTCAACTCCTAAGTTGGCAGCTAATAAAACAGTGCATGAAAGAACAGGGTCACTGTATTATTGATAGTTAATTAATTATAATAAAATATGAATAAGAATAAATTATTAAGAGTAAAAACTTTAGATCATCTTTTTAATTATTCTCCTTAAATTAAGTCATAAGTTGTAGAGGACAGTTTGTCCACTAAAAAGTTTAGAGTATTCACTTTCTCTGACAAATTACCATATCAAGAGAATATAGGTAAAATATCTACACCCAAACATATGGTACGTTTGCAGCCCAATAAATCATTCCAAAGTTTGACCAAACTAGAAAAAGCAATTCATTTTCACAATAGAAAGAATAGTTATTAGCATCATACACATCTTAATTAACTGCTTCATGATGATTAGTATTAAAAGATTATATCAATCAAAATGGAAGATGAAGATCCATTTTTCAAAAAGGCTTCACCCTTAAAATAAGACATCAAACCTAATTAGTAGAAATAAAAGAATAATCTCTTAAGAAAACTATAAGTGCAAAAAAAATTAAGGGATGATGAGTATCAACTCCAAAATTAAGAAAAAATTCGATTACTCAATTAATAGATTAATCACTCTCCAGGATCTCGATATTATAAAACATACATACACAAACATGGTTATAGATAGCCAGAATTCTTAAATGATGTTGAAATTATTTAATGATAAATAGATCATTAAACAAAAATAATTCATTAATCAAGTGATTAAAAGGATTCCTGAAATGAAGTATTCTGCTTTTCATTTACTCTTTTCTATTTCCACTTATCAACTAAGTTATTAGATTATAGAAATTCTAATTTATTCTACAATAATTATAATATTATTATACCATGGACAACTTCTATTCATTCTAAAAATACTCCATTGATGCTTATTGTGGAGTTTACCAAACTCCCTAAGCTTGCTACTATTACGGAGCAATATTAGGTGATAAGTTCTCAGGATAAGGACTCCTAATCAAAAGAGGTGATACTCCCACATTATAAGGATTATTACTATTATTATAAAGATACATAGCTTAGGCAGGAGTGTAAACCATAGGAGTTTGATTTATTTGCGGGAAAGGAGAAATTAGGTTATAATTTTAGTGATAATTCATTAAATATTATCCCATTAACATTTAAACAGGAGTTTGTTAAATTTGTGGTTACACTTCCTCTTAATAATTTCTGAATCCTTAGTATAAGTATTGATTGGATTATTAGATTGGAGATTGTTAAATTTATTTAAATCCAAATTAATCGTTTTTTAATTCTTCTATTTTTTAAAAGGAAGGTTAGATGTTGTAATATAAAGTATTAGGAGTTGAGAGATCTTTTTTATTATTTTCATTTAATAATTACTATTAGAAATGTTACTGAATTTTCTGTTATTGTTCAAATGTATATTATTACTATTGTGATTCTAATTAAACATCTTGTCTATTTTCTTCTATTTTAACTTTATTGCCTTGCTATTTTGATGTCATTTATAAATCCTTGGATGACTTAACATTAACTTGCTGATCAATTTGTAATACATCTTTAATTGCCTTTCTTTTCTTTGTTTGGACTTCAGTTTGCTCAATTTTATTAAGCTATTTTTGGTTTGTTTTAGATTTAACTTATCTCAAATAAGTCATTCTGATTTGGGACTCTACTTTTTGTGGTTCTTAGATTTATTATTGATCTTGTTTATTCAAATACTCCTTTATTGCTTCTAATTCTTCAATATCATCATCATCTTCATCTTTGTATATTTTTTGGATTAGACTCTTAAATCTATTTTAAAGATATAAATAATGACCTGTTTTTGACTTGATTTTCTGTTCTTCCATCCAAAAGACTAGAAATGAGTGACCATCTCTTTCCATTCTTAACGACCATGTTCAATAATTGAAGATCTTCTTATTGGCTCCAATTAGTTCTATTGATTTGATTAATTTTAGATACTTTTTCAGTTTTGGGTTTAAATAATTCATCCATCTCTCTCTGACCTATTTTGGGGTTCTGATGTATTGTCCATTGTTTTAATTATACAATTCAAGAGCGATATGTGTCCAAATATGTTTTTCATCCTATTCACTTTATTACGAATACGAATATTGAATACTTCATAAGCGATCGTATGATTTCATCCTCTTCTGGATCCCAATTAATACTCTTAGAAACTGGATTAATAAGAGTTATCCATCTTTATTTAAGAGTGACTTCATCTATTTTTAGAATATTTGACAATTATCCCCATTCTTCTAGAGTAGGGTTGATAGTCTTCTTATTTTTCAATTAAAAGAATTTGCCCAATATCCAAATGAACATCATCTTGCATTATTTGTCCCATTTACGCTTGATGCTTGCTTTTTCTTCAGACAGTAATCTATAATGGTTTCATAATAATAATATACTTTTGTGCAATTGAATCAAAATGTTTACTGTTAGGATTGATGAAGTTTTCTTTAATTTTGAATTGATTACGAAATGGAAAGGAAAGCTCTGAATTTTTAAGAGAACCCAATTCTTGTAAAAATCCATTAAACATTAATTAAGTATAATTTATACTATAAAAAAAGATAAAAAAATAATTAAATCTAGGGAATGTGCAACTTATCATTTCAAAACAGTATTAACACAACAATGTCCTATTCAGTTTTACATTTTAATAGGTATTAATCCTCAAAATGGATTCAATAATTTCGATCTCAAAATATGAGAATCTACTCTTATGAGTTGAATAGAGATTGAGAAATTAATGTCTGGATTGTTTCTTATTTGATGAAGTGATTTTTAATGATAAATAAAATATTGGATGATGAATAGAATAGAAAAAAACAACCAACTCATTTGATTGGAAATCATAGTCAAAGAGATTGGTTTGTTAGTCTAATTGAATTAGGTACAAAGATTTAGTATGAATTCTAAGTTATTTAGCAGAGGAGAACGATGTCAGTTAACATTTTTTGGCTTCATCACTATATCGGTATTTGATGAATTTGATCAGAAGAAAGGAAAATTCTTTCAGATAATCATAATGAAAATGGAGATGTAGATTATTAATTCATTTTAATGACTTTGATACTAATATAAATGTGAATTGAAAAACCAAAATTATTAATTAATTTAAACATGCTTTATAAACCTATGCCATATCCTGAGTCGAGAGCTCTGGATAGGAATACACTACAACAACAACCGAAATCTCATTTATTGCCTGAAATCCAAATGAACTAACAATTTAAATCACTCCAAAATATACCACATTCAAGTAGAGTGAACGATGGATTATTGTCTTATAGAAATAGTCTATTTGATTAAATTTAAGAACCTCTGACTTAGAGATCAACGTACAATTCCATCATCAAGAATAAGAAATTCTCTTTGAACCAAGAACAATAAAGTTAAAAAAAAGGACTATTAGTCAAATTTGAAGATATGGGAATCTAAAATAATTAACCAAAAAGTATTTTGAAAAGGAAAAATTCGAACAGTAGTCAACACTCAGATGTTTTAGATTTCTTCGAATTAGTGGAAGAATAAGCTTTACCTGTACGGAATAAGAAGCATATTCTTCTTGAACCTTTACAATCTACTCCTTCTCCACAAATGGCGAATGCTATTTCACCCAAAAGAGTCTCCTTCAATAAATAAATCTAAATAAAATTGATCAGTGATGATTATACTGAATCTAATGAAAAAAGAATTTAAAGTAGACACCATTTGCGAAGATAGATGACAGACTTCATAAATTGATAACATTCATATAAAATTTATATTTAAATATATATATTATAATGTCAAACAATTAAATCATATACTAATAGTAAGAAGAACAAAGATCTCTCTTTTCTCAATTGTGTGCTTGTTTGCAAATATTTAAAGGCAAAAAGAAACGAGGAACACAAAATCAATATCATGCAGAAATTGACACACCCAAATCATCCTTTATTGTATTAATAAACAATTAATTCTCAGTTTGGATAAAAGAAAACTATTGTCTTGGATTTAGATGAAACATTAGTGCACAGTCAATTTCAGCCAATGGATTATTGCGATCTTTGCTTAGATGTACAATTCTACTCTTACATAAGATTGTCGTTTAATCATAAAATTTCAAAGTTTATGTGCTTGTCCGACCTGGTGCTAAACAGTTTATTGATGAACTAAGCAATTTCTATGACATTATCTTATGGACTGCAAGTCTCAAGGAATATGCTCAGCCTGTTATGGACTTTGTTGATCCAAACAAAAAGGCCATCGACAGATTATTTAGAGAAAGTTGCACCATTATCAAAGGTGGTTTGACTAAGGATCTGAGTATATTGGGTAGAGATTTGAAAGATATTATCATTGTTGATGTAAGTATACCTTAATTTCATATTAAGAATTCAATCCTATCATTCACATTGAATCCAGACAATGGTTTCAAAGTCAGGGACTTCTTCTATGATAAATCAGATAGAGAACTTGAGTTCATTCTCCCATTTTTGGTCTGGATCTCATAAGTAATCTTAATTAAAATTAAATAAGCTTCCTGATGTGAGACCAGTGGCTATATAATATCAGTAATTTATAAATTCATCTCCTGAATAGTTAAATCAACGAAGGAATGGCAGCATTGTGCCACTTGATCAACAAAAGTTTTCAAGTCTCTCCAGATCTTTCACTATTCAAAGGGAAAAACTCAAGAAACCTTCCGTAATTAGAACTTTAACACTATCTCAAAATGACGAAGAGGAATTTGATGAAATTGCAATCAAAAAACAAATCAAATCAGGAGTCATCTCAAAATAGGATCAAGCCAATGAAAGCGAAAAGGAGACATTTGAAATTGGCAATTGATTATTATAAATGTCTTATATTATTATATAATTATATTAATAATAAAATAATACAATTTGCAAATATGCATTAAATAACCACTCTTGAAACTGACACTCCCAAAAAATTGGTACTAAATCTCTTATATTTTGGTAGAATAAATTTTCTGTGAGATCATTGGCCTTACCCAGAATAACCTTGGTTGGTTTTGAAAAATCACCTTATCATAGTGGAATTCATGAACACTCTAGTAATGTCCCTAAACGTTATAACAGATAGTATTATAAGATCCAGCAATCTGCCAAGGAACGAGATCTGATTAGCGATGTTAACTGAATTGGTTATTGTTTAGAAAGATGTATATGCCACGCTTTCAAATAATCATGAAGAACCTTACCTAGACCGTAAGCCTAAAGACCTTGTTGGAGATGACGCCTATAAATCTTACTATCACACTTTCAAAAATATCAAGCGAATTCTAGAATAGAATCAATTTGAGAATATCACAAGTAGTTCTTGCTAGAATGTATTTAGATTCCGTTTAAACTAATCTAATCCAAAGAGCAGAAAAACTTAAAATATTACCTTGTAAAATGGGCCTCATCAAACTCAAAGGAGATAAGAATTCCATCGCAATTTAAAACCAGAAATTTGGAGACAAATATGTAGAAGTGTTGTCAGAAGGACTGAGAACATTGCCAACTATCCAGGATTTCAATTTTAATCGCAATAGAATCAAAGAACATGGAGCTTCGTAGTTGTTTCCACTAATCAGCAAACAAGCTAGAATAATTGAGTTTCAAACTAATTCCATCGGATAGAAGGGTCTTGAACCAATTCTATAATGTTTGCCATTGTAGACATGCAAGTAAATTTGAATTGCAATCTCAAGGATCTAGATTCTCAATTTAGAAGATAATTAATTAGGAGACACATTAATTTCAGACTTGTGTAAGGCCATGAGTAAGAATCCATCTGTAGAAATGCTCAATATATCAAAGAATAATATTACAAATGCTGCATATTTATCGATAAAGTCTATGATTGAATAAAATGACACTCTACTAGAATTATATCTGAGATGGAATTCAATCAAAGGATCTGGAGGTCTTGAAATATTCAAGGTTCTTCAAACCAATAAAAATATTAAGGTTCTAGACTTCTCTTATAATTTACTTGGAGCTGGAAATGTCATTATAACAGCTCTTAAAGACTTTATAATTGAAAATAAGACCGTATAACATTTAGATTTGTCTGCAAATGGATTCACATACCAAGATTGCCTTTAAATTTCAGAAGCCTTAAAGTCCAATCACTCTATTTATGGATTCCACTTTAGAGGCAATTTTGGTTATGTGGATTCAAAAGGATTTCTAATTATAGACAACAATATGAAAAATTACAATTCTATCCATGTAGATCAAAGAATCAAAGGAGTATCTCCAAATCCAAAACCATACGAACACTCTTCTCATTTTGAGAAATTAAAAGATGTTTGCTGGATTTGTGATGAATGGTAAATGAGTACTTTTGAGTGGATTCCCAGTATTTTTAATTAATTATTATATAGATCAAAGCGGAGCATGTTCTGAAGAACCCATATTTATACATTTTGATTATGAAGGTTATGAGCCTATATTTTTAGGGAAACCTGATTCAAATGGTAATTTTAAGACTCATCGAATGATTCCAACTGGAGATATAGAGTATTTCTACACTGCTAATTCCATTTAAATAGCCAGTCAAACTGCCCCAATTAAATAACATATAGAGAAATTCAGAACCAAAGTTACAATAGCTGATCAAGTTATTAATGTGTTGATAGATGAAACTAACCTCGAAAAGTTCTCTAAATCAAAACCAGTCATCGAAGATTGGTATCCTACATATGATGTTTTACCAAGAACCCAGGATCCAATCTATATTCCAGCTAAAAGAAAGAAGCAAAAGAGAATTTGGACTTATCCCATCTCAATTTGGGCTCCTAAGTATAAATTTGATACTGAAGAATTACTGAGGAAATGCTTTGAAAGAGATTGGGCTTGTTGTAAGATAACGAAGTTTGTAAAGAAGTAGGAGGAATAGGATCAAGTGAAGGAAATGTTATGGCAAGCGTATAAGCCAATGAGAGAGACTTATCGATTTTATGCTAGTGTTAATCCTACTGGCGATGTGTTTTCAATGTCAGTGAATCCAACTTCTGATTTTGTGAATTAATGTTAGTTGATAGATGGAAAACAATTGAAATTGGCTGATGTGGATCTGAAATTTATAGCAACTTGCAGTGCTTCATCTATAGATTGGAAGGGGAACTACAGAAACCCTGAAAGATCTTTAGTGAGATACCAGATGATGGAATTCTTAGTTAGATTGTCAGATGATAAATATGTGAGATTCAATCCTTAGATCAATATTGTTTAGGCCACTAGAATGATTTTGGATTAGTGTATGCCTCATTTGTCTTAATATGATTGTCATAAATGGAGAGCTGAGCGCTACTTTGTTGAGTAATGTGATGATGTTTGTAAGAAGTACAAATGGGTTATCGATTATGTTTACATGAGGAATTCATAAAAGAAGGTGAAGCCAGGTCAACCCCCTTTTATGTGTTTGGATGAATTGAAAGACATTTGTAATAAAGCCAATCTGTATGATGAGAATTTTGTGGAAAGAGATGTAAATTTGGCTTTTAATTTATCCATGTTGACGCAAGTTGATGAATTGGAAAGCGATAGGTTGTTCTAAATGCAATGGATTGAATTTATGGAGGCTGTTGCTAGGATTTCTGAAAAGTATTCTCCAATTGCAATTGGGAAGAAAGATGAAGTAAATTTAAGTTTATAAAGTTTAGAAAGAGTGGAATTATGAATTAAGATTTTAATAGCCTTTATATTATAAACTCGAGGCCTTTATGGTTCATTTAATTAATACTTTGGTTGATGATGAGACTAAAAAGAATTGGAAGTAGCCGACCATTTCTATGTTTGACGAAGTTGAAGAAGATGAATATTATTGAAATATGTAATGTTACATTTACGTGCGTATTATTTATAATAATTACATAATAAGTGCATCATAAAAAGAGTTAATTATAAAAAATACAATGTTAGAAGCTGAAAGAAAATAGGGTCAATTCCCATTATTGGAGATGTCACATTTACTATATGGAGGCAAAGACCAATTTGATAAATTTCTTGAGAGATAAAGTTTCTTTGATAATCATCCTATGTTCAAGGTTAATCATGATTTCTACAATAAGTCAAGATAGGATCAAGTTTATATTTTAATATATAACTAAGATTCTTTTGAATGCTGAAAGAACAGTTGAAGCAATGAAGAAATTATCATTGGCTGATCCCAATTACTACACTCCAAATGTCTTGTGTCCTTAGGGTATATTCATATCCACAGTCCATTTTGCCATGGTCATACCTGCATTCTAAGTCCTGGCATCAGACGACTAGATTTCTAAATGGATGACTTCATTAAAGAATTTTAGTGCATTCGGATGTTATGCCTAAACTGAATTGGGTCATGGATCTGACGTATAGAACTTAAAGACTGTAGCTGTATTCGATAAACAAACATCGGAATTCGTGATTCACACTCCAAATATAGAAGCCACTAAATGTATTTCTAAGTTATTATGACTTAGTTTGGCCAGGAGAATTGGGATTGTACTGTGAGTTTGCCTTGGTATTTGCTCAGTTGTAAGTCGACGGCAAAGGATATGGAGTACATCCCTTTTGGATTAGAATTAGAGATAAGGAGACTCACAAACCATTATCAGGGATTGAAATTGGAGATATTGGTCCAAAAATGGGTTATGCAGTTAAAGATAATGGATTCATGAGTTTTGATCATTATAGAGCTCCTTTGGACAGTTTATTAAACAGATACATAAAAGTGAGCAAAGACGGAAAAGTAGAGAGACAAGGTAATCCAAAAGTAGGATATGGAAGTATGATGTACATGAGAAACATTCTTTGTGATTAATATACTAAGTTTGGTGGTAGAGCTTTGGCAATCGCTGTTCGTTATTCTTTATACAGAAAATAATTTAAAGATGATAATAAATAGGAGATTAGAATCTTAGATTATTAATGTTAATAACAAAAGTTATTCCCATTATTGGCTGAATTCTACGCTTGTGTTTTTGGAAGTGTAAAAATAAAGGAATTAGTAAATGAGAATTTCAATAGAATTTCTTAAAAAAATGATTTCAGTTTACTTGGATTGACTCATGCTGTGTTAAGTGGAGCCAAGGCCAATTATACATATTTCGTATCAAATTGTGCAGAGTGGTGTAGATTGAGTTGCGGAGGACATGGATTTGCTCATTATTCTGGATTGCCAGTCATTTTCTTTGAAATGTCTCCAAATGTATTACTTATTATTAATTACAATTAGATTACTTTAGAAGGAGAAAACACCATCTTGAATTTATAATTAGCTAGATACTTACTTAAATAATTGTAACACGTGGTCTAAAAACCAAGTGCAGTCCCTGAATTTTTCAAGTTCTTATCATTAGAAACAGCCAAAGTAGATGATGTCACAACAATTGAAAGTTTGATTACCCTCTTAGGTTTGAATTGTGCCAATCTAACAAAATATGCAGCCTAAAAGTTAATGTCTCATCCTGACATGAAAGAGAGTTGGGACACTAAATCTGGCATAGCCTTAGCCAAAGCTGCATCTACATTCATTCCTTACTTCAATATGCTTTGTTTCTTAGATACTATTAATAACAAAGCGAAAGAAACCAAGGAAATTCTAACAGTTTTAGCTAGAATATATGGTATCACTATGTTATTGAATAACATGCAAGGATTATTATTAAGTAATATGATATATCTAAGAAATAGAAAATTAACTAAGCAGTCAATAAATAAAAGCACTCTAAGATACCAGGGAATCATTATACCCAATCATAAGAGTAAATGCCTTATGCTTAGTGGAAGCACAAGGATTGTCTGATAACTCACTGTAAAGTTTGATAGCTCCAAGGGAAGGCGATGTTTATATGAACATGTACAACTTTGCTTCAAAAGAAAATTCATTAAATAAATAACAAGTGCACAATGGCATCAATTACATTCAAAAAATGAGAGAAGTGAATGCTAAATTATGATTTCTAACATTATCACAATTCATATTAAAAGAAAATAACAATTGCAGTAATGTCATCTATCCCTTCACTATGAGCTTTCCATCCAGCCACTGATTCCTGAACTATCTTCTAACATGCTCCCTAAGCATCATTCTTCTGATAAAACGGATATACCATATCAGCGATCTAGATTATTTAAACTCATAATACACTCTAATTATCCAAAAACTCCCATATTCCATCAGATCCTAATACTATAAAGATATCCTCCTTATTGTCAATCTCTACTGATTTGACATCAGGTGTTTGAGACACTCCTATAGCTGCAGCAACAGTATCTCCCAAACTCCTGCTCATTGCCAATCCAGGGAATTATGCTCCTCTGGCCCATACTCTAGATGGTCCTATAGGTGCCCCATTAGGTAAATGATATGTATCAACTACTCCTCCATTCTACTCTATTCTCATTCTTTCATTCTCCAAATGTGGTTTATGATCTATTGACAATTCAACTACAATTAAATTATTGGTATTGCTGTTTCTTTTGACTAGTATTGCTCTGCTATCTCCTACCCATGCACAATGAATAGTATTTTCTCTTATCAGTATTACTGTCAAAGTAGTCCCTGAAAATTGACAGCCAAATTCTGTCTAAAATTTCATCTTCTGATGCATCTCAAAGAACACCTTCTGAAAATCAAATACCTTATAAAATTTAGTTAAATTATCTACATACATAACATTTTTATACATTTTAACAACTCTTTAATAAACGAACTCACATATTCACCATCCATCCCATGACCATCCATCACTGCAAAACCATAATTATTATCATCCAATTGTAAACATAACTCTCGATCTTAATTCGTTTTCTCTTAAATTCCATCAAACCCTGCTCTGGATTAACTACAATGAATAATCTTCATTTTATTCTTTCCTTATTATTAGATGGGCTAATTCTCCTCTCTTTAACTCTTAATTGGAAGAGTCTGAGTCAATGAACTCTACTATCCTTGTAGTTGTTATTTAGTTTTAGAATCTAATATAAGTCTATTTTTTAAAAGAGGTGGCTTTTTTGTTAAATCAGCCCCTGATGTTGATTTTTCCATCTACTTCTAATAGCCTTTTAAATCTGGCAACTTAATGGTCAATCTTTGGGCAGGAACACTCTAGATCAAATTAGATTAAGGTTTTAAGCTATTCTGATTTTAATCTTCAACTGTAGATTATTGTACTCTTGATTCACTTCTGTCTCTTTTCTATGTAAAATGATAATTAGGCTTAGCAACTGGCTATTCTTTTCTATTTTCTGAAGAAGATCGATTTATTATAGGTTTGAGTTGTTATCCAAATTTTTAGAACATGACAAATTAATTTATATAAAATTCACTTTTAAAGTAAATGGAAACTATCTTCAATTTTGTACTTAGGCAACACATAATTAAAAGTATTTGCTTAAGGAATGAACCTACCTCCTATGGCGTGTTATCCTTCGAATTCCTTTATGGCCTTCAAAGGCAATCCCAAAGAGATCACAAACTGTGGCACATACACATTATACAGATTTCCATTGTCAGTATGCCATCCGACTGGCAGATTGATTGCCAGCACTTTTTTGTTTACTTCTGAAAAGGCATGCATAAATTCTCTCACTGGAGTCTTTGGTTATTCAATTGAACTAAGTGTGATGGCATCTACGACCAGATCATAATCGTTCAACCAATTTGCTAGAATATTCTTGGTCATTTAAACATTTAATTGTTCTTATAGATTTTGCAGAATGTCAAAATGCAATGTAGCTGAATGCGATTTGCATTGCATTGCCAATCTACTTCTCAGGGGATCATTAGGGTATAACAATACAACATCGACTTCTACTTTTCTCTAAGCCAAATATCGTGCAGCTGCCAATCCAAAATATCCGTTTTGATATGAGGATCCTGAGAAATCCTGCCCAATAATAAAAATAACTCTCTTAAGAGGCACATCTATCCTTGATAAATAGAGGATGTATTCTGCAACACTCTAACCTCCAATTTCTGCCAATTAAGCTTTAGTATATCCGTATTCTTTTCCCATCAATGATCCCATTAAATGTTGAAACTCGCTACCTTTTAAATATGATAATGTAGGGGCAGGCAAAGATGCTTGTTCTTGAGCCAATAGAGGGTTAAGCAAAGTTAGAAAAAATATTAACATTTGTTAATATTTAATTAATAAAAATTGAAGAAAAGGTATGAATTGAAATAATTTTAAATCCAGTGTTAGTGGATAAAATAAGATATACTTATAATAAAAATGATGTTTGAATCTCCATGATTGTATAGCTAAAAATGAGAAGATAAGAGTAAACAACAGACTTTAATTTTGAGAGATCAATTAAAGCTATGATATTATAACTTTTGCTGTTGAGACATAAAAAAAATTTAAGTTTTTATGAGAACTAAAAAATATGTCAAAATATTAGTGGCATCTTTGATGTAACTATGCATTAACCTTATTAATTTAATGTAATTAAAAATATGATTATACTACATTTATAATTGAATCAATATCAGATGAACCAATTGCTTGGGAAATCTTGAAAAAGTGAAATTATTCCATTCATCTAGTCTGATTATTGTTTTTCAAATGTAGATCAAATAATTAAGATTTAAATCAATAATAAACTATATCACAAGAATACTCAGCTTAATTTGAGTCATCTTATTATCTAATATTTTGACATTATGAATTCTATACAATTATATATAATCCAAAGTTAAAAAAGTGTTTATTATTAAATAAAAATGAATAATTACAAAGCAGTTCAAATTTAAATAATTGATTAATAATGTTAGCAATTACAGGACAGTATATCTGATTTGGGATGCTATTACTCGTTAATCAAAAAAGATGCTAAATTTATTGATGTTGCTTTATTTGCTGATTCGAATAATTGTGTAAAAATATCATTAAGTGATCCAGAATCATTAATCAGCATGATCATTAAAAATTTAACAGATAAGTCTGTAAAGATATCTATTAATATTTGTAGGTGCTAGGCAGATTGAAATTGTCAGTGAGAGAGATATTGGAATATAAATAAGAGTATACATAATGGTATGAATTTTAAAGTGAATGTTCAACACAAATAAAGGTATAGTTCAAATTTATATTTCTACAAAATGATGTAGCCTCTCCATCTCCAATTAAGAGTTCTTTAAACAATTCTCAACAATATTCGCTTTCATCAAATAGTTATTAAGAATAGAGTGCGAATAGTTCAGACAAGAAATAAATGATTCACCCTCATTATCTAACCGTAGGATAGGAACATGATTATCCTGTGATATCTCAATTTCCTACATCTCCAACCTTTAAGAGAATGATTGATGCAGCTACTCAAGTAGAATGTGAAAATCAAGACCTCTTCACTTTGAAATTGGATAAGGAATAGTTAATAGAATAATACTAATAGAGTTAGAATTAGCTCATGAAATTGCAATAAGAATACTTATTACAAAATAGTCTATATAAAGAGTATGATTCATAGATTAAATTATAACTTGAAGAAATCTAAAAAATGAAGATTTAAATACAAAATTACCAAAAAGAAATATTGCTATTTAGATAAAATGAATAATAATAGCAACAGCAAAAATCATAACCACTAGATGACGCATTGATTGAATAAATCAAAAAGCTAAAAGTCACAATTAAACAATTAGAGGAATAAAATCAAAAGCAGAAATTAGAACTAGCAAATCAATTGGAGATATCAAATAATCAGTAAAATTAATTGAATGCCATTACTGAAAAATTAGACAGGAATGATAGCATCCTGCAATTAACAGAGGAATAGAATGTATAAATTTATTCAATATTTATATAGAAATATATCTTAAGTCTGAATTAATAATTGGTTTAGCGAGAATAAGAATAAAACATTATTATTTAAGAGTAATAGTTGAATATCGAGCAGTTAGAGAAATAATTGAAAGAATAAAATAATCAAATGGATAAATTAAATTACACAATAAAAAAGGAGAATTTATTTAATTCTGTGCTCTAAAGAGTTTAAGAATAGCAATTGTAATCTTATATTAAAATAATTGGTCCCTTAAATGAGTATTTAGATTAATCAAAGGACAGATTACTTTATAATTGATTATTTAATACATATAAATAGCATTTCATCATACTAGAGATTGAATATATTCATCATTTTCATCTTCTTCCCATAATTACTATTGAATTTTCCAAATTTAGAGTATGTTTTTCTCTTATTCTACACTTGCCAATAAATGTTTATGATTGGCATTCCAAGATAAATCATTAACCTTAGATCTATGTCCTCCATGATAAAACTAATAATATGTTGCAAATATCTACCAATAATTCGGATGGACCATCTTTTTCATCTTCAGCCTTGATTTCATTTCCAATTTTGTAATAGTCCCATACAATAATTTTAGAATCAACAGAACCAGATGCAAGCAAATTTCTTTAATGAGGTGACCATTAAAGACTATAAATGGCATCATCATGATTTGAAAACGTATGAATATCCTCTTCAGGTTTATTCATATCAAACATTTTAACTTAAGCATCATTAGATCCTGTGGCGAATAAATTAGATTAGAAATTATTAAATTGAACACAATTTACTTCTTGTGAATGTGCTTCTTATTATATTGAAACTCCTTATGTTGTTCGAATATCACAACTACAATATTGGAATACTAAAGTACATCGCAAATGTTTTATCATCAGAACAAGAAATGAAAATGTTTGGATCTTGAGGATGCCAACAAACATCTTCAACTTCGCCTTTATGGAAATTGTATTACTTTATTAATTGTCCTGTGTTTGTATCCCAATAGTATATGTTATGATCATAACTTGCTGATAATAAATGACCATAATTATTGAGATTCCAAGACAATCCATAACCCTCTTTCGTCTATCCTTTTAAGGCTTATATTTTTGATTATTTGCTTAAATCGTAAATACCTAAGTGCATAGAAAATATGGATACCAACTTCGCCATCTCCTGCTTAAGCTGCTAAAATGTATTGATTGTTTGGCTATTATCGAACTCTGTTGATTTCTACTTCCACTGGAATTTGCAATTCTTCTTAAACCTTTCCCACTGCTTATGTTTTCCCTTCAAATAGTATTGTATATAGTACAAATGTTATTTAGCAATGTGTTATCCAATTATTCATCTAGTTTCTTAGGGATAGCAACTTTAAGCAATTTGATATAATCCTGCTCTTAATTATTGGTCTGAGTGGCCACTATCAATCTATGTACTTCATTGTCATTTTGATCACTAAGATAATAATGCAAAAGACATATCAAGATCATTCAACCAACAAACTGTAAGGGATGGCCAATTGTTTTGATGGTTGATGCAGATTTCATACATGAATGGGATGTTTTACTTCCAATTTCGATACTACTCTTCGTTATTTCTCTCCTCTTGGATCTCATTTTCTGCACTCATATTTAGGCGCGATTTTATTAAATATAATATAGTATAAATTCCACTCAAAATTGTTTTAATGTGTTAAAGTATTATTATTTAATTATGGACGCTGCTGAAGTACAACATGATGGTTCCTCACCATCCAAGAAAGTTAAATCAAATCCTAATGCTCTGAATTCTCTTAGAGATGTATTTATGATCCATACTCATCCTAGCATACTGTGGTTGTAGCTGATACCGGCAAGATCAATGACATCCAAAAATTCTAACCTCAAGATGCCACCACCAATCCAAGTCTAATCCTTGAAGCTGCCAAATTACCAGAATATCAAGCCTTGATTGATGATGCCATCCAAAAAGGAATCAAAGCTTATCAACTCTCAAAACAACCAATGTATGTCTCTCTTACTTACCTTTAGTTAAAAGTAACCAAAAAGAACAAATTCTAGAAAGAAGAAGGATGAACCAGAAACTAAGGAAATAGTTGAACCTGAATTACCATAATTCAATTTTAATACATTAAATCCAGAAGAACAGAAAATTGTTATCGGATTGATAACTGATCAATTGAGTGTCAATTTCGGATTGGAAATCCTTAAGTTAGTTCCTGGTTATGTCTCAACTGAAGTAGATGCTCGTTTGAGTTATGATAAATAAGCAACCATTGATAAAGCCAAAAGAATTATCGCCCTCTATGAGTAGGCTGGCATTACAAAAGAGAGAATCCTTATTAAAATTGCTAGCACCTGGGAGGGAATACAAGCAGCCAAAGCATTGAAAAAAGAAGGAATACTATGCAATATGACACTCATTTTTAATTATCATCAAGCTTTGGCTTGTGCTTAAGCAGGTGTCAGATTGATTTCCCCATTCGTGGGCAGAATTTTAGATTGGTTCACTAAAAATAAGAGCGGAGAAGATTATACTAAATAAAATCATCCTGGCGTTAAATTAGTAACCAGCATCTGGAACAGCTTTAAAAAATTCAAATATGATACTATTGTCATGGTATTTTTCATATTTGATATTTAATTTAGGCAGCTTCCTTACGTTTGGTTGATGAAGCTACTGAATTATGCGGTTGTGATAGAATGACCATCCCGATTAAATTGCTAAATGATTTATAAGGTTTAGAAGGGACAGTATTGGAACCAAAACTAAAAGTCGAAAATTTGGATAAATTAAATATTGAGAAAGTCACTGTTGATGAAAAAACTTATAGATGGGAAATGAATTGTACAATTTTATTATTAAACAATAGAGGATGCAATGGGAACTGAAAAATTAAATGAGGGAATTAGAAAGTTTGCTTAAGATTTAGAGACTTTGGAAAATGTAATCAAATAAAAATTAACACAAAATAACTAATGAAACAGTTAACACATTAATATATATAAATAATAGTATCAAATATTAAGTAAGCTAAAATGTGTAAATTAACATTTCTTTTTCACCATTCCCACCAATTCGTTTGGACTATATGAAATCCTTATCTCCTGTTATTGAAATTTGTATCATTACAAAATCGAACTTTTTTAGTTTGGTTATTTTAGAAAACATTCTAAGTTTATCTAATTGATTTCCTTCCCACTGATAGGCTTTAAGAAATTGACCTATTTTTTTTTAAAATACTTTTTAAACTCTTTGCTGTCTTATGACTACCACTATGACTTCGCTCATCTAAAGAATGACAGTCACTAAAAAAAATTTCAAATACATCTTATTATTATTATTTGTTTTTATTCCTATTTTTAGAGGAACCAATACTTGCATTATTACTTGCTATTTCTTCCCTACTCTATTTTATCCTTTTTTAAGCACTTTTTCTAATCAAATTACTTTATGTCATCACCTATAGATCTTTCAAAGGGGTAGTTGGACTTTTACAAATTTGGGATTTTTGTGAGACAGTATCACCGTCAGTTTTTTTTGGAGCAAATTAAGAGGTTTGTCTTGGTAAATAGGGGTTAGAAGTTGATTTAACGTACATTGATTCAATTTTGATCTGCTTAAGTTAGTTTTAGAAAGAAAATTAGTTTTTAATGTCTTTGTATTTTTCACCCTTTTCTTCATTCTATCTACCCTCCACTTGTAATTCTCTCAACATTTCAAATTCTTCCTATATCTGTTTGAGTTCCTCTTATTCTTGTAACAAACTTATCATATAAAATTTAAAATTTACTTTTGTTGAACAGCAGGCTTTACTTCTTCTTCTTAATCTTCCAGAAATCGATTTTTTCTATCAGTTTGAACAGCATCACCGTCGATTTATAATGGATGAATAAATTAATGGTTGTCTTAACAATTCTGAGTAATTTTTTGCTCATTTCTAATTGATTCTTCAATATTTAGGGATTATGGTGAACAGTTAGAATCTGTTTTGGAATCTCCATTCGAATGATACTTCTTTTTTAACATTACTTTATTGATAGCATTTATATTAAATTCTTTATCTGCTATTTATTATTGACAAATATTTTTGCATGTACTACCCATAAATTTTAATAAATTAATTAATTGAACTCGGTTTATATTAATAAATATCCAATTTTAAGGAGAATTCAAGTCCGTTTTTGTTATTTTGTTTATTATTTTTCATATTTGAGGGCATTTTTTAGTAAAAGTTACTTCTCATTCTAAAATGTTAGTTTTTAAATATTCTTCTTGGTTGTAGGTATTGTTAAACCATAAAAAATAAATTGTCCTCTGTTCCATTTTAATTCTAAAATTAAAATTAAATTAATAAATCATATCAAGTCTAATATTACTAATCAGCATAATTATACAATACACTTAATTTTAAAAGGGACATTTTATATATTAAATAATTTGAAATCATGAAGATAATAGTTGTAAATCAAATTATAATTTAGGAAAATGTATTAAGAAGAACACCTCTAATTTAGGGTTTTTGTCATTGAAACATAATTTATAATTTCCAATAAAATTGATGAAATTAATTTTATTTTTTAAAACTAAAACAACTTTTTAATTTATAAATAAAAACTTAATAATAAAATAGATAATTTATTAAAATAATTTTTAAAGTTCCATCTAAAACCTTATTTTGTAGAAAATAGTTTTATTGTTATTCGAGTTGTTTTTTTATGTAATCCAAATAGCTAGATTTTTATTTATAACATATTTCTGCAATTAAAATTCATAACAAAAATTTACAAAATTTTATCAATATGACTAATAATTTTTAATTGAATCAATTTAAAAGAATCTGCATTTCCTATTAGTCTAAACAAACCTTTAAATTAGTCTGAAAATGAGTTTTTTAATTTAATAACAATCAAAATAAAAATGATCATAAAATTTCTTGAGTTTCAAATTATTATAAACAGTTTATCAACAAATAATATACTGAAGAGGGTATTTAATGTTTAGAATTTATTATAAAAGACTCTTAAAAGATTTAGATTCTATATTTCTATTTAATTAATAGCTAGACTTAGAAATTTATTGTAGATTGTAAGTCTTATCGAATTTAAGGGATAATAAAATCAATGAATTACTAATTATAAAACTAGATTGGAAGATTAATAATATTAATTTATTTATTAACAACTAATTTTATTTGTAAAATGATTGAAGAGGAAATCTCAGGATGGCTGGATGATGGCGATTAGCTTAATAGTATAAGGTTTAACAGAAATAAAGAAGAAAGGATAGATAAACCTCCCTTGCATTAAAATCTCCGTAGTTATAGCTTATGTTAAAAGAAAGATGACAACGAGAAATTGCTTAGCTCAAAATCAAGTCTTTATTGAAATGTATATTAGATCTCTTTTCTGATAAAGAGAATTCATCATAATTTGTAAAGTGTAGGATGTAGAAAAAATAAAATAGTACAATAGAGGAATTGAAAAAAGTAATGGAGTTTCTATCTATAAATGAACAATATAAATATGAGACTCACAGAGCATTTGATCCAAATGATGATAGGTTCATCAAACAATAGTAGTAACTTATAGAAAAACAAAAGTAATAATAAGAACTCAAAAAAAATAAGTTCAAACTCTAGTTGGACATCAAGGATAATTATCAGACAATGCCAAAATCAAGAAGATAATTGCAACCAATATCTGATGTCTAATAAATATAAAAAATTAACAGTGACAGATCACAAATTAACTAAATTCAATAGAGTGGAATTTAGGAATCTAAAAGTTAAACATAAACTAAATTTAAATTTCCAAAATTCATCATCTAACAATAAAAATATAAAAAACAGCATTATAAAACAGATGATTTTAATGGGTATAAAGACTAATAGGAACAATAACCTAAACATTTTATTCAAATAAATAGAATATTTAGCAATAATAATTTAACGGATACAAAGCAAAGTATCTATACTCCTAAATCTGTTACATAAGCTAAATATTAGGTTCAGTTATAGCAGACAATAAACAATATCAATTAGGCAAGAGATAATGGATACGCATACGATTTAATGTACAGAAAAACACCTTCAAACATAGTGTAAGAAAATAAGGAAAAGTAGAAATAGCTTAAATTGCTAGAGATCGCTCTAAAATGCAAGAATATAAAATGATATCTTATTTATATACTACTATTATAAAATAGAAATAAATTTTTTCTTTAATACTTAAATTAATGAATTATAGACTTTTACAAATAATTAACCAGTATGATTTTTAAGTGTTTCCACATTCTTCAATTTAAAAATTGATAATATTTTGTTGAATTCTATCAAGACATTTAAAATTTAATATAGAAAGATGGATTACTTAAAGGAAGAATTTCAATAAAAAATTAAATAGAAATATTTAATTTGAAAAATTTAAACAATTAAATGAAGAATAAAATTGAAAGAATTAGATAATCGATTTCCAATATTAGATAAAGAAATAAATATTAAGTTAAAGATTTTTAATTAAAAGGAAATAATAAACTAATAATAAAAATATTCATTATAACCATTAACTCTATTATACCTCTTGCATTGTTATTCTTTCTTTAGAATCAACTTTTAGCATTGCTGAAATTAATTGTTTAGCTTAAAAGGAAACGAATGATGGATACTCTATTTTCCCTAAGCAGATTTTCTTCGATAAATCCTTCTCTGAATTTCCTCTAAAAGGAAAGACTCCTGTTACCATTTTATAAAGGATGATTCCGCATGCCCAAACATCAACTGATTAATCATAAGAACCTTTCTTTACTAATTCAGGAGCCATGTATTATGGAGTTCCACAGGAACAAGTTTGTTTTCCATTGATTTTGATAGAGTATCCAAAATCTATGAGTTTAATTTTTCTTGTAGTATAATCTATTAAAAGATTCTCAAACTTTAGATCTCTATGACATATATCTTATTCATGCATATAAGAAACTGCATTTGAAATTTGACGAAATAAAATTTTGGCTTCATCCTCATTAATTCTTTTGAATGGCCTTCCTTTCATGAACATCTCTAAATTTGATGGAGAAGAGTATTCCATGATTAAATATATTGATTTATCATTCTCGAACATATGATACAAGTTAATTATATTAGGATGTTTGAGTTAATTTAAGATTTCTACTTCTCTTTCTAGGTTTTTTAAATGCATATTATTCATTTTCTTTTTATCATAAATTTTAATAGCAACGTCAATCTCTAATTCTTTGTGTCTAGCCATTTTAACTTCAGCAGTAGCTCCAGTTCCGAGGGTTTTTACAAAGGTGTAACTATTAATTGATTAATGTTCAAGTGGAATTTCAACAATTTAAGAGTATTCTTTTCTAATATTTTCGTTTTAAGGATTTTCTTCATAAATGGTTTATTAAGCATAAGTTGTTTTAAGAATATTTCTTAAATTGCTGCCTAGATTTTTAGAAAGAGGAGTAGTCTTCTTTTTTTATTAGGCTAGACTATTTTCCTGTTTTGGTGATAACTATTTTTATGTTTATTGAGTCTTTAGAGGTGATCGATTAGGAGGTACTCTGCTATGATGAGATACTGAACGTCTTTAAGTATCTTCTCTATTTTTTAGGTATTTTTTTCTTAGATCGAATAATTTTGAATGTTAGCTAAACTATGATGCTTGAGAGTATATCTATTAATTAGTTTTGTGATAATCTTAAATGAATAAAATAGCATACTTAAAGACATGAACATAGCAGTTTCATGTGGTTATTCGAATTCTTGATGATAGAGTTATTCTGGTGTAGGTTGGAATGTAAATTACTGTTGCTATTCAAGTCTTAGCATGTATTTAACTATAATAATAAATTCAGTTAATTATATGTTCTTATTATATATATATATACTATTATTATATATATATTCTCATTTCTTTGGTGGTGCTTTGGCTGCTGGTTTGGCACCTCCAGCTGCTGGCTTTGCTCCTCCTGCTGGTTTGGCTGCTGCGGCGGCTGTTTTTGCTGCAGCTGCTGCTTTGGAATCATCAGCTTCCTTTTGTTTTTTTTCTAAAATAATAGTAAATGATAAAACAAACCAGCTGCTTCTTGCTTGTCTAAGATTTATTTCTTTGATGTTGGTGCAACTTCGTCAGGCAAGATTTTAGAAATAACACCTGCAGCCACAGTCTTTCCTCCTTCTCTGAGTGCAAATCTTTGACCTTGATAGAGTGGTAAGTTGTAGGAGAGATTCAATTTGCAGGTGAAGTTATCTCCTGGCATACCTACTTTGATATTCTCTGGTAACTACAATGTAACAGCAACGTCGGCAGTTCTTACGAACATCTAAGATCAATAAGAATTTGCATTTACTTATGGACGATAACCATTGGGGAATGGTTTTTTACGACCTCCTTCTTCTTCCTTCAAGATGTAAAGATTTGATTCAATGCAATTGTGAGTTGTCAAGGATCCTGGTTTGCATAACACTTATCCTCTTCTAACATCATCTCTTGTAAGACCTCTGATTAAAATTCCGACATTGTCACCAGCCTCTCCAAAATCAAGTTGCTTTTTGAAGGTTTCAACACCAACAATTGCAGTTTATTTAGGCTTACCATATCCGACAACCTCGATATTGTCCTTGATTGATGCTTTACCTTAATCGATAGTTCCTGTCACAACTGTTCCTCTACCAGCAATGTGATATGTGCCTTCTATTGACATTAAGAATGGCTTATCAATTGGTCTTTATGGTATTTTGATCTCCTTGTCCATGGTATCAAGTAATTGAAGAATAGACTTTTCTCCTAATTCTGGTTCTTGATCATTGGATGCAAGCAATGCTGATCCTTTAACAATCTTTGCATTGTCTCCATCATATTCATATTTGCTAAGAAGTTCTCTGATTTCCATCTCTACCAATTCATGGATTTCTGGATCTTTGGCTAAATCTATCTTATTCACAAACACAATAATAGTCTCCACACCAACTTGGCGACATAGAAGCACATGTTCACGTGTTTAAGCCATGCAACCATCTGTGGCTGCCACGACCAAAATGGCAGCATCCATCTTGGCAGCTCCTGTAATCATGTTTTTGACGTAATCAATATGTCCTGGACAATCTACATGACTGTGAGATTAATTATAGCATCAATTATTACCCATAATGTCTAGTTTTGGTTTAATATTCCACTGTAGCACTATTGATGGTGATACCACGAGCCTTCTCTTCAGGAGCCTTATCAATTTTACCATATTCTTGGAACTCAGCGAGTCTATTTCCTTTATGTTTTATAATTACTATTATTTAGCCAAGACTTTTGTGATGGCAGAGGTAAGTGTTGTTTTACCATGATCGATGTGTCCTATGGTACCGACATTAAGATGAGGTTTGTCTCTAACAAATTTGGCAAAGAGTGCACGAGCAGTATTATTAAGGGCGAAAGGAGCTTGTATGGAGCGCAGAGTGTGGAGCATTCTTTAATTTTAATTACGGTTGAGATTTAAAATAATGTACTCTTTTGGGATAAAGATTTATTTATTTAATTAAAAATGCAGAGATTATAGGGTGCCACACTCAGTTTATGGAGCAGCTTTACTCCAGTACCTCAGTATGCATTCGCCACATTGAATCTGAAATAATTGAAACAGAGAATGAAGTCAGTTGGATCAATTAGAAAGATTACCAAGGCCATGAAGATGGTTGCTGCTTCCAAGATGAAGCAAGATGTCCAAAGATTAGAAAATGGAAAGTACTTCGGAGTCCGATCACTCTAAGATTTATTTGCCCAAGAAACCTATCTATAGAAGAAGCAATTGACATTTAAGATCAACAAGACTCTGATTGTCCCAATCACATCTGACAAAGGACTTTGCGGTGGCATCAATTCATCAATCATCAGAGAAACCAGAAGCATTGTCAGGTAAAATCGTAATGCCTACAAATTATTCCTGATCGGCGAAAAGGTATTCACTATCATTTTACATTATAGTCCTTGGGAGCTCTGCAAAGAGGTTTCCCTGAATTGCTCACCCAAGCAATAACAGCAATCTAAACACCAATCAATTTTGTGAATAGTTCTTCCATTGCACATCAGATTCAACTCAATGTCACAGAAGATATCGATTAGATTTCCATCATTTTCAATTAATTCAAGAATGTGGTTCAATAGGTTATCAAGCGGGTTGATTTACTCAATAGAAAGAACTTCATTGCTCAATTCAGATTGGTTACTAAATATGATACTGCAGAACCTGAAAAGGAATTCGTCCAGAATTACATGTACGAATACTATGTAGCTACTGCCTTTTATCATGCTATGTTGAATAATTTTGCAAGTGAAACATCTTCTAGAATGAATGCTATGGAAAATGCTTCTAAGAATGCAGGAGAAATGCTTGATAAATTGACTCTTGAATACAATAAAGTTAGATAAGCCAAAATCACGGTAGAATTGTGTGAAATCATTTCAGGAGCCTCAGCTGTCTGAAAATCATAAAGAAATATATATAGAAAAACATTACATACCTATATTAACATTTCTCATCTATTATTACTAATTCTCTTTTTCATTATATCAATTAGCATTTCATTTTTATATTATACATATATATATATACATCATTTGCGACAACCTTAGATAATACACACGAAACCTTTAGTCTCTGGATATTATTTTAAATATTGCTTATTTTTTTATAGATTTTCATTCATCTCTATGATATATCCATCCTGTCCAGCAACTACATTATAGACTTCTCCGTTCTCCAAATGTACCTTCAACATCACTGTATCACTCTTAACCTTCAAGCCTCCCTTCTTTTTCTTACCCTTCACATGCTATTCCTTCTACGTAAATTCAATCTCCTTGATATCACTGTCGCTCTTCACTATTGGGTGATTCTTATTTATTCCACTCAAGTATAAACGATTTGAATGCTAAAACACATATTAATGTTCCGAAAAGGATTTAACAAAGTATCGATCAGTGAATTCAGCCAATCGTGCCTGCACATTTAATGGAATCATCAAATCGTCATCTTGATCCTGGCCTTATTGTTATTGTTGCTCCTCTACTTATGGCTCCTCCAATTATTGCATTTAATTTAATTAGCTATTATTGTTTATAATTTTTAGTAAAACAAATGTATCTAAATCAATCCTAGACCATTCTGATCTAACTTGGCAGCTAACTCTAATATAAACTCTAATTTCCATATTGACTCATTATCAAACTCTTCTGTAATTCATTATTCTCATCCAACCATCCCATCCTCTTTCCCTTCTCCCAAATGCCTTATTTAATCGTCCCATCCTAAAACACCATCGTCCCTCTTCCATTCTGTAATCCTTCTGCAAAGCTCCCTTCATATCTCTTACCATCTGCCCAAGTGTAAACTCCAAAACCATCCTTCTTATCATTCTTAAACTCTCCTTAATAGGATTTCCCATCCGGCCATTTGTATACTCCATATCCATGCATAAAACCATTCAGAAATTGCCCTTCATATGATCGTCCATTAGCCCATTGATACACTCCTTGCCCATTGAATTAGTTCTGTGTCCATTCACCCTAATATGCAGTTCCATCTGCCCAATAATAATTTCCTTCCCCATGTTTCATTCCTCTTGCATAATTGCCTTCATAACGCGATCCATCTGGCCACTCTTGCTTCCCAAATCCATGCTGCACATCCTCTTTCCATTCTCCTTCATACTTTCCATTCAGTTTATAATAAAAAGTTCCAAATCCCTCTGCCTACCCCTCATTCCATTCTCCTTCATAAATGTCTCCATCTGCATGAATAAACTTCCCTCTTCCATGAGGCACGTTGTTGTGAAATTCTCCCTCATATCTTGCTCCATCCGGCCCTTTGTTTATTTTTAAATCATTATACATTCTTAGATTCCATGGCCTTCTCGTATTGTGCCTTTCCATTACCCCGTATAGAGAACTCCATCTGGAAATTAATAGGTGGGCCGTTCCTCTATTCTGTCCTCAATTTCAATTGGAACCTATTATTTCTGTATTGGGAGTGATTGTTAGGGTCGATAGCTCATTCTTACAGACTACACAAAGTCTTCTGAGGGCCTATCGGTTAGTTCGATGTTCTCAGTGTATAATTCATTATTTGTAGAATCAAATATAACTTCTGCCTTTGAACAATGATCTATTGCAGTACATTAATTTCCCATTTATAATATTTAATAATAAAATTTGCATAAAAAATAAACTGAAAAATTAATGAAGCCTTAATTAATTAAACTACTTAACAATTCATCGTAAAATTATAAATTAAATGGTCTATAAATAATTCAGGGTAATATCTTCACAAAAGTACTGCCAAAAACTGAGCTTTTTAGCCCAAAAATAAAGTTAAATACCTTTACATCATCATACAATTCTAAAGCCTAAGAGTAAATTAATACAATACAATTTTTCTTTTTGCTGTTTCATTGCTCCACGTTATTTTCCTTGCTCTAAGATTAACCTCTACAACTATGGTATCGCCAAAATTTATTTCAACAAACTTCACCTAGGAATTCTTTACCCCTTTTAAGCACGTTGTTACAATTCCTTCATTACTTAAGATGTATGCACTTGATATGTGGACACTTATATATACCCATAAAATGCACCTTCAAAAACATTGTCATTATGAAATACTATATTCTAATGGCAAATACCAATCGACACAGCTTCACCACACTAAACTTTGATTCTGGAAATAGAATTTTCAGTTATCACCTCCTCACTTAAAATGTACCTTGTTTATGAGAAAATGGATGAACTTCTTGCCTCATTGTTTTGAAAATTAAGTAAAATATCTTCATGTTTATTTATCTTTGAGAATGTAAAGCTTGATTACACTTAAATATTCATCACTTGTGAATTGTTGTTATTGCTCTAAATACTCTATCCTGAAGTAGAAATAATAATAGATCTTGCTGACTATTCCTCAATTACCTAAGATGGGCCTTTTTAAAAATATATCAGTACCTTATGAACTTTAAATAGATTTTATATCTTGTTTAAGTGCAGAAATCTAAGTTACAATATTAGGTAATTTGCTTAATATTAATTTGTCTGATTTTTCTATTTTAATTATATTTTTTATGTCTCTAGTAAGATCCTAGGAGCTCTGGTTTTAGATTAATTCATCGCTTATTGATAATTCATTTATCAAATCAGATAGTGTTGCTGCCAATGATTGCAATTGAGTAATGAAGTCTTTAATAGTCTTTAGAGTTTCTAATTTACTTTTTTTCCTATTAATATATTCCCTAAAATTGATCGCATCTTATAAATGGGAATTATGAATTTATTTAAGGCATTCAAGACAACACAATCCTTATTTTGGGCAACTGCTATTTGTAAAAACTGCCATTATTTCACCCTATTCATGGTCACCTTCTTAACAAGAGAGCATACTTGTAAATAAAATTTAATATAATAAAATAAATTAATAATTTCTTACTAACGATCCACTATAAATTTCAAATAAAGAAATATTCTATCTAATATAATCAAAGTTGATGAATCCAAATATATAAGGACTAAATTATTGTGTTAAAAGGATAAAGATTCAAAAGAATTTAACTTCCTATCAGCTAACAAACTATTTTAGTCTTTTGTATAAATTAGAAGAAAATAGAATTTTGCAATGTAAAAACTAAGGGGTTAATATATATAGTAATAGTTTAAGTAATATTATCTAAATTAATCATTTTTACTCAAGAGACTAAATATATAGATTTTTAATATTAAAATAATATTTTATGTTTTTAAAAAGTTAGGGTATTGATAATTTCGCATTTAACGATTATAGCTATTAGTATAGTCAGAGTGAGCAAATGTCTATTTATATCAGTGTCGTCAGGATAATATCTAAGATATATATTAAAAGGGCTAATAAGGAGTAGGATCTATTCATTTAAGATTCACTTCAATACTAATTAATAAAAAATGAATAGGAATTATAATGGACGAAAGTACTTGAAATAGATATTGTGATAACTGTTTTTAGCAAATGCTTACTTAGTGAAGTAGGACACAATAATCATCAATACTTTATTTTATTCTTAATTCATATTTCAATTGGAGCATTTCGCTATTAAAATGAAATTTAGTAATAAAGTAAAGGAAGGTGGGGAGGATCACAGAATTCAGCAATCAAAAGCAATTTCAGCTGTTTGACCATAAACGTTTTGTCAGCATAATTAGATTGAAAATAAGATGCTCAGTAAACTCTAGAACAACTGGAATAAATTAGGTCATAAAGATATAAAGAAAATGGAGGAGAACTGAGAATTTATAATTAAGATTTGGAAATTGGAATTATTTAGAGTTTATCATTAAATAGAGTAATTTTATAATGACATTTAAATGCGCTAAAATGAATTATGGGAGGAAGACGATGCAGAAATAATTGGTTGATTTTATAATGAAAGTTAATTAATTTAATTTTTGGAGCCAAAATGGCAGCAAATTAAGATTAGATATTTGATGAACAATCACAAGAAGCCACAATTAATGAGGAATATAAAATATGGAAAAAGAATGCTCCATTTCTTTATGATTTGGCGATTAGTCATCCTGTTGAGTGGCCATCCTTGACTGTGTAATGGCTGCCAAAGAAGGAAACTCCACCAGGTTAGGATTATTCAATTCATAAACTGATAATTGGAACAAATACTGTGGATAATGAGATGAATTCTTTGATGATTGCTAAAGTACAGAAAGCCAATAATATTTTAGGTTCGATTACCAAAAGATTCTGATGTGTAATAGGATCCTTCTGAATATAAATAGAATGAGCCTAGTGGAATTGGCAAGGCTACAGGGGAGAGTAGAATAGAAATTGATGTAAGAATAAACCATGAAGGCGAAGTAAATAGAGCAAGGTATATGCCATAAAAATCGAATATTATTGCCACCTTCACACCCAAAGGAGAAATCCATATATTCGATTACATAAAGCATCCATCATAGCCATCCAACAATTTGGTCAAACCTGATTTGAAATTAGTAGGACATCAAAAAGAAGGGTATAGGATTATCAAATTATCATAATAGATTTGGTATGTCTTGGAGTGAATAGAAATTGGGACATCTCGTAACTGGAGATTACGATGGCAAATTGTGTATATGGGATGTTGAAACAAATGCACCAGAACCAAAATAAACATTTTAAGCAAATAATTTATAAATCGAAGATGTTTGTTGGCATAGGTTTCATCCAGAAATCTTTGGTTCATGTGGAGATGATAGACATGTGAGAATGTAAGAATCATCATATAATTTATAGTTGGGATACTCGTAAACCATAGCCATTGAGTGATATTCAAACTCATGCAGGTGATATCTACTGCTTAGATTTTAATCACTTCAATGAATTCTGTTTTATTACGGGCTCAGAAGACAAGAGGATCAATCTTTTCGATATGAGAAACACTGAAAAACCATTGCATACTTTTGAAAGTCATGGTGATTAGATCTTATCTTTGAAATGGTCACCACACAATATGAAAATATTTGTTAGTAGTTCAGCTGACAGAAGATGTATGATTTGGGATTTCGGAAGGTGTGGAAAGGCACAAACACCAGAAGAAGCTCAGGATGGACCTCCTGAATTATTGGTAATTCATCTATTAATTCAATTTAGTTTGTCCATGGAGGACATAGATCTAAGGTTTGTGATTTAGATTGGAATCTTAATGAAAAGTATACCATTTCTAGTGTTGAAGATAATAATATTTTGTAAGTTTGGTAATTGGGTGCGCATATTTATTAAGAATGATTTTATATATATATATCAGTATTATTATCACAGTTTTTGCTGTTAAATCTGTCTTCCTGAGGGTGGTTTTTATTCTAATGGATTTAAATTAGAAACTTGAATAAAATTGTTAATTACTTTTCTTAATTAAGGGTGGAGTAATTTGAGATGCGTTTTAATTATTGTTTTAGTTATTATTGGTATTAATTGCCTCGCATTGATTGTTAAAATTTGGAACTGTGCTCCCTCGATTATCAATAGGATTCAAAATAACCTTTTGATTGGTTCTTCTCTATAACTATTATTATTGTAATTCATCCCTTTGATTTCTATTGTTTTTACCTTCATAAAGTTCTAACAACTATTAATTTAATTTAGTTTTTTCTACAATACTCATCCCCTTGTTATCAGAGTTTCCATTCATTCTGGGTTATGATTCACCTACTTTCAATATACAGTTATACCTTTCCTCTGTCTGCCAGGTGAAGCAATTCTCGTGTTTTCTACATCTCTATAGCTTGATGGCAATGCTCTCTGATGGATTTCAACATGTCTTTCTTATTTTTCTACATCAATTAGATCCATGGCTTTTTAATAAGGCAGATTTGGAAAGTTAACCTTCTTTGCCTTGATGTTAAATGGAGGTATCTTGTAATCTTCCGATTCATCATCCCATTCACAACTATTAGTAATTTTGTCAATGTCATCTTGTTATAGAATCATCTTCAAAATCCCAGAATACAATTTGATTTCTTTAGACTAAGATCTAATGGTATCCAATAACTCTTCCTTATCATATTCAAAATCTTATTTCATTTCATTTTAGTCTTATAATTACTACTCGTATTTATTCTTTAAATATTTGACCAGTTTCCTTAATTTATCAACTTCATCCTATACACTATTGTATTTATTTTCGATCTCAAGCATTTCCTTTTCCTTTAATTCCTATTGAATTTTCAATTATTCATGTTCCTTCTTCTATTGTTCTATAGCCTATTGCATTTTCTTATATTTTTTCTTGTCATCATCTGTTCCTTTGCCACCCTTGATCATCATCTACTCCTTCTCCTTCAACAATTCTTCCAATCTCTACCTTGCCAATCTCTCTTGTTCAGCTTATTCACTTTTTTACTTCATTTCATTCTCATATCTCTGTTTCTCCTATAGTAATTGATTGTTAATCTCTTTGAATTGATTTATTTGCTCATTATGACTTTCATCAACACTATTTAATTTTGCATTCTTCTCAACAACATTCTGTCGATCTCCATTGTCCTAGTTTTGTCTGAGCAATAATTCTCTAAGTTTCTTAATTTCCTCAGCCTATTCCTTTAATAGTGCATCCTTGGGATCCTCATTTACTTTTGGTTAATTCTTGATCATCTTGGCTCTGGAAGCATATCTTAGACTTGACAATGTCTCATCATAATTGAAATCAGAGGGAGAGATGGCAGTGATCATTATGGTTTTGGTATTACCACCTAGTGAATCCTACAATAATCTTGTTAATTTAGAATCCCTGTATGGAATGTGTTGAGTCTTACCATCAACCAAGGCTGAAATCACATTTCCCAAGGCAGACAATGACAAATTAATTTTGGTTGCTTCTTTCAATCTATCCCCTGTTGCCTAGGTTTTAGATTGTCTCTCACTTCCTGCTAGATCTACTAGGTTCAGTTTGCCAGCAGTAATGCGTTCATTTCCCTTGTCATCAGTCATTGAACATTCAATATATACTGTAAAAATACAATGACTCCTACTTGATTCCTTATTCATGGCTGTTGCACCTACTGATCTATTCTATGCTCCCAAGGCCATATATTTATCCATATCTTGTAATGTTTTGACAATGGGAATATTCAAATCCTTAACATAGAGTCCTTATTGTCCTTCCTTTAATTCATATCTCTATTTAACATCCTTACTCAACAAATCATGTATTTCTTCATTGTAAATTTCCATGTATGAACACCTCAACAAGAACTTCTTATTGGAATCTGAATTGTTGTTGATGATGTTGATTATCTATTCAAAAGTTCTTGGTATTATTCCTTTCATGTTATCCTAAGGTTTATGTGATTGAATATACATTTAATGGATCTCCAATCATTGTGAAGGTCTTTCCACAACCTAAATGATAATACATATTCAATACCGGTTTGACCATAGGCAAAGATGGTACCGTTGTACCCTTCAGCAACTGACTCTACCAAATTAAACGCAGTCTATTAATATATTTAAATTTGAGGAGTCTCTGGTCCAAATACGTAATCGTATGTAAACTGTTTTTTATCATTGTCCTAACTCTAGCAATAGTATAATTTTCATTATTACTCTAAAGAGTTCAACAGAATTTGTACTTTCGTAAACATTGACACATGGCTTGCTACCATTGTCTCTCTCCTTCTAATTGAAGGGTCTGACTCTAACTATAACCTTCACGCATTCAGCTGGCATAGCAATATAACGATTGTAAAAATTAATTAATATAATAATGTACCCTCAATAGTCCTCTTTAGCAAGATTACAGAGGGAACACCGTTTGATACCTGTGGTGTTGTATTCTCCGTAAAAAGAGAATTTGCAGAGATTACTGCCTCGATATCCTGAGAGCGTGGATGTAGGCATCACTAGCAGTAAGTATTAGGGGAATGTATCATTGCCTGCTTTGCCTCCACTGAAAAAGTTGAATAAGATAGAGTAGACAGTATAGATTTATAAGGGGAAAGTGAACAAATTGCCCTCTTTGCAATTGAGTGATCAATATTTGCAAAGGAAAAAACAGATATCAGAAACTGATGGGATGAGAAAATCGATCACGCCAGAGAGGAGACAAGGAAAAAGGAGTTCAGTTTAATTTGCAATGAGAACTAAGGCAGGATGTTAGCCTAACAAGGTGACAAAAATAAATCAGGATGCAGCTATATTGTGTCCAAAGAATTTAGAAAAGTTTAAAATGTTCTTATCAGTAGTATGGGCTATAAGTTCTTTGCTGTTTGCGACGGACATGGATAATATGGTCACATGGTTTCCAATTAGATCAAATAATAATTGCCCAAGCATCTAGGAAAACTATTGAAAGAAGTGGGCAACCTGGAGAGCAACATCTTCAAGGCTTTCGAAATAACAAACAACGAATTGTGCCATTCGGAAATTGATACCAATTTGTCTGGATCTACAACTGTATCTTTGCTCATGATCAAGGACATAGTATATTCCTCAAATCAAATAGATTTACTCTGCGAATGTCGGGGATTCCAGAGCAATCATGTGTAGATTCGATGATGGGTGGAAAGTAGTGGAATTGAGTCGAGATCACAAGCCAGATGATCCGCAAGAAAAAATAAGGATCTTGGATGCAGGAGGAAGAGTCGAATAATAGAAGGGTTGTGAATCTATTGTTACATCTAGATTACCATGGCAACGGCATTGGACCATTTAGAGTGTGGCTGTCTTACATCCAGGCTCCTGGGTTGGCTATGACTAGGTCATTTGGGGACAAAGTTGGTGCTTAAGCTGGAGTTATTGCTGAACCTGAAATCTAAAGGTTCTCTGTTAGTGCCTAGGATCAATTCATAGTTGTTGCGTCGGATGGAGTGTGGGAGTATATGAGTAATGAAGAGGTACATTGGCAATCAATTAGGTGATGAGTGTTGTGATTCCATTTTTGGACAAAGATAATCCTGAATAAGCAGCTGAACGCATTGTAATTGAAGCCACGCAGGCATGGAGAAGAGTAATTGTTTTTTACTTATTTGCAGAACAGTTTAGCAAGGGACGATATTACTTGTATAGTTATATTCTTATAAAAATGAAAAATTTATTAATTATAAAATATCAAAGCATTTATGTCTCAAGATCTTTTCTCCAATGAACCAAAGCTCAATACTGCTAATGATGTGGAATAATATATCAAGACTCTTTAGCAATATCAGGACTCTTGTGAGAAATCCTCAGAATATATGCAGGCAGATGCTGCTCAGAAGAGAATTGTGGAGTTGAAGAAACAGTTGGTTTAAAGAAGGAGAAAAGAAATGCAATAAGCACACAGCCAATAAGAACAAGAAATCGAAAGGGCTCATCTTGACGATTTTAACTAATTTAACCAATTCTGGGATTAGAAGATGTAAACATTTAATGATGAAGCTTCAGCTGTAGAATAGGAATTATTAAACAAATAATAAAATGAATATAATAAAGTCTCGGAGGAATTAGAAAGCACAATCTCCTAAAAACCTAAAGAATCTTCTGATGTTCTCAATCTCAAAAAAAGAGAAGAATACTTGGCCAAATAAAAGAAGTATCCATTTCTATAATTTTTTGTTATGTTGAGGCTCAGAAAATTAAAGAATAGAGACTCTAAATTGAGGATGCTGATTATTAGAAATACCAAATCGAAAGGGCCAATAAAATTACTACCCAGTTGAAACAATTGAAAATGAGACATAAAAATGAAGTCAACAATCTCCAATAAAGAATCAAAGCAGGATAGGATGAATAAAAAAAAAATCGTAGCCTCGAACTCGAAAAGTACAATTTACACATTCTATCTTTCTTAGATTGCTCTAAAAATATCAAAACATCAAAAAAGAATTGGAAATCAAATAGAAAATGGACAAATTGGCTTTTGAAGGATAGTTCACCAATAAAGGTAGCTCTAATCAAAGTGTTTATATGAGTTAAATGTGACTCTATAAATTCATAAAGAAATTTATAAGTGCCCATTTCTATATATTAATATTCTAAATTAAATTAAAAATTCAACAAAATGAATGACTCAGGTTTTGAATGCTCCCTCTGCATGAAATTAGCCATGTCAGCATAAATTTGCGAAAAATGTGGATTCATGTATTGCAAACAATGTCTCCTCGAAATATTCGGTCCTAACTATGAATGTGTTTAATGCCAATCCAAATAATTTAAACCTATTGAACAGTCAGCCCTCTAAGAAGCCTATGAATAAATTCTCAACAATTCAGTAAACATAAAACCTGTTAAAATTAATAAACCACCTCCAGAACCTCCGGTTGTAGAAATATAATAATGGTAAACATTCTTAAAAGAAAATTGTATAAACTTTGATCTCTGTAAATCAAATATCAATCAAATATTCTAAAATGAATAAGTCTGTAGTTTAGAATGTCTATACTATACCAAAATAATTCCACTTTACGAATAATAAGACTTTGCTAATATTAGAAAAGAGATAAATAATTTAGAAAAGTATTAACCTCTAAAAAATGTATTATCAAATCAACAGGTAGGGTTCAGCTAATTTGTTAATGGAATTACAAGATTCACTTTTAATAGATGTGCTCCAGGAATACAGATACTTGAATCATAAGTAATATTGTAGGAGGATACATTTACATTTAAAACTGCCACTAGTTCCGTTGGGTTCTAGTAGGGAATTCATTATTGGAAAATCATACCTTTGCCAATGTCCAAGAATGAAATGAAAATTGGAGTTTCGACGTCTGACAACTATGATCTCAAAACTTCATTTTCTGATTACAATTTTGGATATGCCTTCTACACAATAGGTTAATTTAGAAATGGCAGTAATTCTAACGTAATTTTCCTATTTAATCTAGGGATTGGCATACGGAGCCAGATTTACAAATACTGGTGAAGTCGGAGTCTTGCTTGACATGAATAGGGGAATACTGGCATTCTCATACAATGGCAATTTTCTTGGAAAAGCCATAACTACAGATTGTCTTAAAAAAGGACCGATATATCCCTGCGTTGCATTACTTCGTCAAGCAGGATTTGAATTTTAATGCGGCATACCGATTCCGTAAAATTTACTTGATTTATTTTTAAAATGATTTTTAATTAAATATAAAATTAATTCATTTAATTAATTAAGTCAAATATTATATTTAAATGGAATCCAAGGGATGATTATCCTTAGTTAATTTAGCCTTATTTTTCACAAAAACCCGACTCGGAGACTAAAATGTCTTGTCTAAATGTAATGTTTAATGAGAAGATTATCTTGAATTCGTAGTTTTTGGAGATGGCAATCCTATAAATTAAATCTAATAGATACTTGATGCCAAACTACACAATATTGCTTACTGATCCTTAAACATTTATTCAAACTACTCTTTGTATTATTTTTAAAAGAAACTTGCTTTCTACTTAATTAAGTTCATCAAATTATCCAACTAGGTTTATGACTCTCCATAGGCCTTATCACACAACTTATAATAGAGTCCTTGAATAGTAATATTAATATCAGATGATAAGTCATCTGGAGCAATGTGATAACAAATGTAGGAGATTATTTGAACAAAGAAATTCATCCAATTTTATTCTTCTTTCATCATTTAACTATTAAAATATAGCAATAAGTGTTTACTTTTTTAACTCCCTTATTTTATTTTGAATAGTATCTTTCAATTTATCATTCTCAGTTTAAAGTCTTCTGGTTTCAGTGTTTACAGATGATTAATGATTGTTATTCATCAATTTAGGGATTTCTTGTTGTAATTTTTGCATATCCTAAACTAAATTAGAAAACTGCTGCTCTTTGAATTCTAACACTTAGTTCACATCCTATAATTTAGTTTATAAGAGATTGTTTATATTCTCTAATTCAATGATATACATTTCCTATTCATGTAAATCAAATTAGGATTATTATAATTGAGTGGCTATTTAAGATTTCTCCTCTTGCAACTCCTTAAGATATTGTCTTAATTCTATTTCAGTACTCTGTTATCGATCATATAGAGCAGAAAGCTTCTGTAAATTTTTAACGTTTTCTTCATGATAATCTTAAGGTTGATATTCATATTGTGATTCATTATGAATGCTTTGATCCCCATTCATTCCGATTATATCCTTTATTATTTGATATAACTGAACCTACTGAGGATTAGTTGAATTCTTTATTTATAACTATCTTTAAGTGTAATATTCTTATAATTATTCTATTCTGCTTTCCAAATAATCATTTTCCAACTACAATTCTTTTATTTGTTTCTTCTATATTTTATTTTCCTTGTTAATATCCTCCAATTAAAGTTTACTTTAAAACACATAATGCTAAGACTTTTTCTTAATTGTCTTTGTTTTCTCTTTCTCCTATTTCAAAAGTGTAGAAGTAGTTGAAATAAAACTTTGCTGTAACTTGTCTATAGTTTCTAAGAAGTTCTTTTTAGATCCTTCCAAATTCTAGTTGTATTTATTTATAAATAATACTTTTCTAATTAGATTAATATCCACACTATATTATTCAATTATGTATTGATTTTAGTTTTTAACACATCTCTCTTTGTTTATCAGTAGATTTAAAATTTTAGCATACAAAAATTAGTCCTCTTTGTTTTCTGCCAATAATTCTAATCGAATTCCATTCTTCGCTTCAATTGCTAAGAAACAATCCTATTCTGCATTTGGGGGCAGTACAAAATTCTTCTTAATCAATTTATATCTAAATTAAAGATAATTTGCTACTTATTGTAATTTGTATGAATCTATATGATCTAATCTATGGGAATAGTTTATTTGGCTGATGGAAATTTTGAAGTTTTGGACTTCCAACAAATTGAGTCTAAGAATGAACAATAAAATATCATTCTCTAATCCCATTTCTTGCAATTAGAACGTGAAAATTTGATGAATTAGGTGCCTTTCATAAGTTGTTAAAACTCTTTAAATTTTGCTTCAGTTTTTTACTGTAAGTTCATGCAAACATCAAATTGAGTTGCTATCTAAACTATCTAATTATCAATATCCTTTATATCTAGTCATATTCATAAAGCAAACCTTTTTCTAATTTTTAGACAATCAAATTATCTATCTTGTAGGCTTATTGCCATTAACGTAAATCATTCTCCAATGATTGTTCCAAAATACTGCTGCGATCTAAACATTATGAATCTACTGAAAAATCATTTACAACTTTGATTTCAGAGATCTTTGACATTTCTCAAATTATTCAGAATTCAATACTCTAATCTGAAGTTTATGATTTAGTGTGTGTGGAATCTATGATAGTGTCGTCTTTATATCTTATAGCTTGATGCCTGTATAAATTGTGCTACTTATTGGGACATCTTTGTTAGTTCATCTTTAAATTTTGAATTTAACGAATATTATCTTTAATACTTTATTAAAAAACACAAATAATACAGATCAAATATATGCAATATTAATTCCTTAAAAGATGCAAATGAGCTATCCTACAGGTCTATTTAACAGCTTAAAGTAAATAATGAATAAGATGCTACATAGAGTGTTAGATTTATTGATAGATTTGTAAAAAAAGTCAACTACTTTAAGGATATCCAAGGTATTTGATTTTGTTATTCACTTTATTCTATCATGTTTATGATGGGTGACTTTAATTCCTAGATTAGATACTATCTATTTTTTCAAAAGATTTGTATCTTTGCATAATCCTTAATTTAAATAATGAGAAAGTAAAAAATATAAGCTTTTTCAATCTTTGAATTTAGAAAGAATTTAATAATTATGAAATGTACATTATGAAGCTTCAAACTTAATATTAGACTCAATTAGATTTACAGATACATGAATTTTTACCAATTCAATTATTTATTCTATTTTATTTCTTAAGTAATCAAAAAGATTTTATAAATCTGAATTTCAAAATTGTTAGACATATTCAATTTATTTATTACTTGTTTAATTTAATAATTTGATTTAATTTATTTATTTCACAACAATAAATGAGTGTAATTTAGATTAATGTATATCTTCCTTTATTAATCAATTTTCCATCATTAAAATATCAATATTTTTAGTAAACAGTGATTCTATTTGTTTGCATCTTAAAATTTCAATGATTAACTTATGATGATCCCTAAATGACATTAACTTTTATTTCTTAAATTTAAGAATATATTTTGAGAACTTTCATTCATAGGTCCTTCTAATTTCATAATCTATTGATATACATATAAATATTAATTAAAAATATTCAGACTTGTTTTAATTGATTTCTAATTTTGTTTGATTGTTCTAATATCATGTTGTATTTCTCATTCATCCTTTATAGTCGCTCTAATTTTAATACTATTTCTTACAATTTAAATCCTCCTTTGAATTTTGTAAACCATCTTTCTTTACACACTTTTCCTCTTAAGATTAAGATCGAGTAGGCACTTTAACAGGACGAGGTGCTGATGCTTATTTGGGTGAAGTTAAAGGAGTAAACTTTGAACTTTAAGAAGTGTTCAATTTCCGACTTGTATTGCTACTAATTTATGGTTTGAATGTGCATTATTCCATTTCTTTACGTTATTTCTCTTTATCCGCAACCTTTTTCATTTATTATCTCTTTTCATATGTTGATTTCAAATCATCCTTCAAGCCAGGACTTTATTTTATTTACTAGGCTCTTGGTGAAATACTAGTTTATTGTACAAGAGAATTCTGCTTTTTCCCTTTCTCCTTGACAATTTCCTTATCCAATTAAGCAATCTCATTAAGCAATTATTGTTTCTTGCTTTATAACTATTAATGAAAAGATTGCTGAAGGATATTTGGACTTACAGGAGTTACTTAAGATTACTTACTTGTATTATTATTTTCAATTATTTTACTTACTTTTGGATGTGGTTTTGGGACTGTTTGGATTGGTTAATCTATTGACTTTCTTCTAAAAGTCTAAGATGTTCTGGATATATCTATTTATTAAGATTAAGCAGTTGAATAATCTAATTGTTATTTCTTTAATGCGCTTTTCAAAGTAGGCTTGTTTGTATCAACTCTCTTTTTTGGTATAAATTTCCCACTGTTTTTTGTTCTCTTTATTTATTCTTTAATAACTTTTTATCTTTCACAATAGGCTTTCTCTGCTTCTTCAGGAGGCATTTAACTATAAGTGTAGGTTTTATGTGTTTTCTCTTCTTCAATAATAGGAGCATTTTTAACCGTTGAATAGGAATTGCCAACATTAAATAATCCACTATCTGAGTAGATATTAATAATTTTTGAAGGTGATTGTTCATTCTCATCTGTAGATTTGAGTGGAGAGCTTGCAACAATAAAGTTTTGTGTTTAAGAATTAGATGACGTCTTCTTCTTAAATGTCAATGCTGATCCGTTTGTAAAGGCTGAACTAGCCACTTTAATCAACGGAGAAGTTGACATTTTTGAATAAATTAATTAATTATTTTATATAACAATGTTAGCTACTATTAAAAATTAACTAATATTTTTCAATCAGAATATTATACTCTTGAGAATTTTAATTCTCTATTTTTAATTTATTATATAAACAAAGACTGGATTAAATCTAAAATGGTCAATTTAAACTTTAAAACATTCTTCTTATGTTGTAATAGATTAAAGATTATAACCAATATAATCTTGAATTTAAACTCTAAAAATTTTGATCCTTAAGTTCATTAAAGGTTATTATAAATAAGCCTAAAAAATAATATATTAGTCAAGCATCCTTAATTTGTAGAATAATCAAAAGTAATTTGGGCATTTGAAGATAAGATTTTATTTTGGGAAAATTCTTTGAAAAATCTAGAAAGATTTTTGATGATTTGCACAATAAGATTATAAGATTAATCAAGATATGTAGAGTTATAATCTTTAGAGATATTATCTATTCTAAGTTTAAGATTTAATAATGATAATAATAATAGAAATACTTAAACAAAAAGTTCACATTATTTTGCAGAGTATAGATTTGTTTTAATGTTAATAAATCAAGGTTGACAGTCACTCAAAATTTTCTCAGATTTTAATATCTTGAGAGAGGATATAAGGGTGGTTGATCTATTCATTCTAACTTATATCACACATTAACATCCTTGATAAAGATCTAGTTTTCAATAGTAATAATATCTAATCATAAAAAGATAGAATAATTACTTTAACTTTCTACTATAATTCTATAATAATTATAACCTCACAACATTTTTACTATTATTCGATGATATTCACCATAAGGGTGTATTAAATTCGCTAATCACTGTTTATTTGATATCAATAACAGGTAATTCATTTATAGGATAGTTTGCTCTATAAATTTCTACTCTATTGAAGTATTATGTAAGTCACAATCTTTTATTTTAATACGATTTAATAGAAGAATGTGATTCCTACAGAATATATAATCATTATCTAATAGTTAATTCTCGTATTACACAGAGTTATATATAATAAAAACTCAGGTAATAACAATTATATATATTTTGTACCAATGATGTTGATAACACTATTTGTAGCAATTATAATGATAAACTTATTAAATTTATAAACTTAAGAGTCAAATATCTTTATAGATAAATATATTAATCTTAAATGCTGAGTTCTAAGGCTGGTGTCGATCATGTGCTACGTTAATTTGCCAACAAGAGAGTGCTAATCAGAGTAGATTTCAATGTGCCAATCAAAGAGGGAAAAGTGAAGAATGCAACAAGAATCCAAGGAGCTATTCCAACAATCAAGAAGATACTTGAATAGAATCCAAAGAATGTTACATTGATGTCACACATGGGAAGACCAGATGGAAAGAGGTGCTCAATATGAATATATTTTAGAGTTGAAAAAGACTCTCTCAAAATAGTTGTTCCTAAGTTAGAAGAGTTACTGGGCACTAAAGTCAACTTTGTTAACGATTGTGTAGGTTCGGAAGCTACAGAGGCTGCAAATGCTGGAAATGGATAAATCAATTTATTAGAAAATCTGAGATTCCATATTTAGGAGGAAGGAAAAGGCCTTGATGCAAATGGAGCAAAGATTAAAGCAGATAAAGAGAGTGTTAAGAAATTTAGAAAGGAATTATCTGCCTTGGGAGATATTTATGTAAATGATGCATTTGGTACTGCACATAGAGCACACTCATCTATGGTTGGAATAGATCATAAAGTTAGAGTGGCTGGTTATTTGATGAAGAAGGAACTTGATTATTTTGCTAGGGCTTTGGAAACACCTCAAAGGCCATTCCTTGTTATTTTAGGAGGTGCTAAAGTAGCTGATAAAATCCAGTTGATCAAATCTATGCTTGATAAAGTAGATGAGATGATCATTGGAGGAGGTATGGCATTTACATTCCTTAAAAAAATTCACAATGTTCCTATTGGAAAATCACTCTTTGATGAAGAAGGATATAAAATTGTTGATGAAATTCTAACTAAAGCTAAGGAAAAGAATGTCAAAATTCATCTTCCAGTCGATTTCGTATGTGGCACAGGCTTAGATGCATCCAGTCCAGTTGCATTACATGATCTTAAATCAGGAATACCTGATGGATGGTTGGGTTTAGATGCTGGTCAATTGACACAAAGGGAAAATGCTGAGGCTATTGGAAGAGCTAAAACAAGTTTATATTTTGTAGATTAAATTTTTAGTTGTTTGGAATGGACCATAAGGAGCATTTGAAATTGAGTAATTCAAGAATGGTTCTGTGAGTATGTTGAATGCCTTGGTTAAATAGACTTCAAGTGGTGCTACAACCATAGTTGGAGGTGGTGATACTGTCAATCTAGTTGGAGCCAATAAGGCTAATGATAAACTCAGTCATGTTTCCACAGGTGGTGGTGCTTCTTTGGAATTGTTGGAAGGAAAGATATTGCCAGGTGTGGAATATCTTACCAATATCAAAGATTTATGATATATGATTCATATAACATAATTCAACATCATTAATAATTTAAATGGATAAGCAATTGCTATAACAAATCGATCTCATTATGTAAGATAGTGTTTAAGGAGCCTTGATTGTTGATTAATTTGGATTCCCTTTAGCCAATAAATCATTGAATCCTCAATTAAGCCAATATGTGAAAAGTATAGCAGATTGTGCCACAGCTTTAAGAGACTAAGTACCGATCATAGCCATAGAAACTGGTGAATCAAAAACATATATTATCAAACCAGGATCTAAATTTAGTCTATGCTTGCTAGCTTGAATAATATATATATAATAAAAGCATGTTTTAATTACTCTAGTAATGATATTAACTTTTTTGATTCTTCAACGAACACAAGTTTTATGAAGTTAGCAAATAGTAGTAGAGGATGACCATGTCTACATTATATCTACTTTTAGTTCAAGTTCAAAAATATTAGAAATGGATAGACTGCATAAAATAGTAAATGCTATATTAACAGCATTTAAGCAGAAAAATACCTTTGGTTCTAGTTAATGTTCTTGTTAATATCGTTCAAGATAGGCTGATATTGCTAGAATAAAGCATCAATATCTATTCCTCAGAATTAATTAGCTAGCCTTTAATAAATACTCAAATTCTAAGCTTTATGAAAGTATTTTATTGATAGAGTAAGAAAGAATATAAGTAAACATAAGAAATGATTATGTTATTTGTAATATTTTCATATTAATTAATATTTGTTATTAGAGTAAGAGTAGAGCTGTGAGGATTAAGTGAATATGTAAGGCTATTCTTATTTGGAATGTATTATCTTAGATTCAATATGTATTCTAATTGTAATGTAGTTCATAGCGTAATTTTTCCCTTTAACATTTAAATTGGACCATATTGCGATTTGATTATTAATCAAGTTTTGATATTAGAAGTTCTGTTTCTTCGTGGTAACTATTCAGTGTGATAATGGAATATGCATATTTCGACCCATTTGATTGTATCCATGATTTTTAATAATGAGTAGATTTCTTCTGGATAATTTAGAATAGAGTTTTAAGGAGTTGTTTAGTTGATTTCAGGATGTGGAAGTTGTTCTAAGCAAAGAGAAAGGGTGAGAGAATCAAAGAGGATTGGATGAAGGGAGATGGTTTAGATGGTATTTAATGTATTAAATAATATATTATCGTTATGAACACTCAACTAAAAATATTACAATTCAAGTATGAAATAGGACAGCCCAGCCAGTATTATTTCTTGATTGCGTCAGGTAAGGAGCAATATTTCACAAGTACGTTTAAACTTCAACATGGACTCAACGACTTCAGAGACAAGTTCACTTTGTCAGTGTCGCAATTCATTGACTTTTAGCTGTGGGATTATTGGGGAGATCCAGTCATGAAAGGATTGGGGAGATTGGATATTCAGAAGGTTCTGAAGGAACGTAAGGATATGCACATAATATAAATCTGGACTGATGTAAAAGTGGGTGAGTTAATGATTTAACTTATATTTGAAGAGGAAATGTTATCCCTTTAGTCCTCATTAAAAGAAAAATCATCATTTGGTCTTCAGCCGAGTTTTTTGAGTCAACAGGGAGCTTCCTTTTACGACAATTATCTTAATGATAAGCCTTTGGTGTATATGTCAGCTTCACGTAGTACTCAATACAGACCCACTCAGTCCCCGGTGTTATAGATAAAAAAATGATTATTTAATTTTATGGACTAAGAGAGTGTTTTCGATCTATCTTCTTTATCAGATTTTCGGTCAGATTAAGGTCTACAATAATTGTATATTGTTAGAGGAAGATCTGAATAATTATAGGAATAGAGCAAATTGGTGAAGGAGCACTTGCAAAGCTTGAATAATGAAAATAATGGGGGCTTCACTAATCCTTTGAAATCGTTGGTGAGTAAACAGAAGAATAGATTCATTATGGATGGATTTGATTTAGATTTGACATGTACATTTTTAAACTTAAATTTGAGACATCACTGAATAGGTGATTGCAATGGGGTTCCCAGCAATAGATTACGAGGCCATTTACAGAAATTCTATGGAGGACGTTCAAAGGTTTTTCAATTAGAGACATAAGAACCATTACAAGATTATTAATTTATGTTCAGAGAGAAAATATGATCATGCTTACTTTGATGGCAATGTTTCAGAATATCCCTTCGATGATCATCAAGCGCCTTAATTCAATATGATCTACGAGTTGTGTGCAGAAATCCACAACTATGTAACACAAGATAAATAGAATGTTGTTGCCATTCATTGCAAAGCAGGCAAAGGCAGAACGGGAATCATGATTTGTTGCTACCTTCTTTTTTCGGAGTTATTTAAAAGTAGCTTCGAGGCCATGAGATATTACGGAATGATGCGCACTAAAAACCATAAAGGAGTTACTATACCTTCTTAAATCCGATACATCTTATATTTTGAGAAGGCTCTTCAAATGGGGTACTCAGTTAATGATGTACCCCAACCCAAAATTTAAATTTTATAGATTCGCTTGATCACTATACCTTCAATGAACTACTCCAATTCATGTAATCCTTATATTGTCATTCAGAATTATCAAAATTAAGCTACTTTCACTAAATTTCAAATTGTAAATGATAGTTTTATTTTATTTACTGTTGACATAATAGTTTAAAAAGATACACGTATTATTTGTTATAATAAATCACTGATGGGCAAAGAAGTAATGTTTTAATTTTGGTTTCACACAGGCTTTATAGAATCCAATGGATTATTAGTTATTGATAAATATATGCTTGACAGAGCTGTTAAGGACAAAAAACACAAGATTTTCTCGCCCAATTTCAGAGTGGAAGTACAAACTATTACACTACCAAATTGATTTTACTATTTATTAATTATATAATGCAATCACTAGTTTTATCGGCTAGAATTCCTTCGTCTCCCTTATTGCACAAAAAGAAGTCTTCTGATTTTCAGAGTCTCAACTCCAATTTGACCAGAGTTCAGTCTCCCTCTGGCAACAAAGGCAATCAAGCATTTGGTAGGTGTCAGACTGTCAAAACATTGAACAGTGAAAGGGACCCAGTGGAACTAACCATCACATTAATCTTGGATGGCCATAAGTAATGCAATCGAATTTAACTAGATCGATTGTGCCCATAAGCATTTACTTGAATACTACAGATTTATATAAGAAATTAATAGCAAAGGTACTACAAGTGAATCCAGCCATTGTAAATAAAATAAAACACTTTCAAACGCATTCCAGTGTCAAGAATTATAACATTGATTACTACTTATCGCTTGAACTGTAGCCGTTAGAAGTATTTGAAGAATAGAGACATTTGAAATTAGAACCCTATTACTCAAACCCAGTTGGACAACAAATGAGCATCGAAGATTACGACATCCTGAAATGCATAGGCGTAGGGTATGACTTAATAATTTATGGCAATAGTGGATTCTCAAGAGTCTATTTGGTAAGGAAACGAGACAATGGCTTGTTTTATGCCATGAAACTCATCGACAAGAACTTCATTATCAAGTCTAACAAGGAAATGATCATTTGCAATGAAAAATACGTGATGGAACAATTAAATTCTCCGTATTTGGCCAAACTATTCTACTCTTTTGAAACTAAATTCTATCTCGTCTTTGTGATGGAGTAACTAATCCTATTAAACTTAGATATTGTGCAGGTGGTGAACTCTTCTATCACCTGAGAAAATGGAAAAGATTATCAGAACCCTTGGCAAAACAATATTTTGTTTAGGTTTGTTTAGCCATCAACGAGTTGCATAGATTCGAGATTGTATATAGAGATATCAAACCTGAAAACATATTATTAGATTTAGATGGATATATAAGACTATCAGATTTTGGTTTGTCCAAACCCAATATGAACAGAGATGAGACAGCCTATTCATTTTGTGGATCACCTGAGTATATGTCACCTGAGATGCTGAAGAGGGAAGGACATAATTATATGGTGGATATCTATTGTTTAGGTGCATTGCTTTATGAATTTATATTTGGATCGCCTCCTTTCTATTGTAGAAACATAGACTAAATTTATAATAGTATTTTGAATGATAAACTCTAATTTCCTCCATTTAAAGACATCAATCCAGATCTGAAGGATTTGATTTCTAAATTACTGATAAAGGATCCAACAAAACGTTTGGGAGCATAACACGGAATCAAATCCATATTATAACACAAATGGTTTCAAGATTGTGATATTGAAGGTCTAGTTAAGAGAAAATGTGAGATCAGTTATCGTCCTATGCCGTTAAAGTATAATTTTGATGAATTGGAATTCAGCAAAGGAGATTATGAATTTTAGAAGAAACTCTATGAAAATTTAAGAATAGAAAGAACAGTATGAATTATACTATGATTGTTAGAGTAAATTCGTTCGCTCATTTCCACATTTTGAATATGTGAATAAAAGAATGGTGGATCACAGACAGAATATTCTAGATCAGTTAACAAAGCCAAGATAGATTCAAGGATAATAAGGATTGCCTAAACAATAATAAAAGACTCAGATTTGTTTATCACCTGTGTCATAGGTGAAAGAACATTCGAATATTTAATCGTTGATTTCAGGATCCTTTAAGTAATCTTCTTAATTTAAACGTTTCAATACAGATATAGATCTTAAATAATTGATGAAAAAGGTTTGATTTTATTTATAATGATATATTATTATTCAATTTAATTCTTCCTCTATTCCCAACAATCTAATGATATCTTTGCTATAACAAATCAATTTTTATTATTTCAAAGACTCTTGCAAGTAATTCTCAACAAGTGTTGTTTTATGATATGTCTTCAAACTAAAGTAATTAATGTAATTTCGATTCTTAATGAAGTAATCAAAATCTCTTATAATTTATTGATTAAACTCCTTAACATTATTAGACTTCTGATTGATAAGAGTGATTAGAACAGTAAAAAACTTGGGCAATCCCTCCTCAATTTTACATTTAACTACTTAATCGATATAATGTATGAGATATTGATAATGATATGCTTCACATTATTATTTGAGGAAATCCACTGGAATCTCCCAATGCTTCAAGTTTCTGCCTATCTCTGGAATGAACATCTTCTCCTTGCTAAAGATTATTACAGTTCGCTTTAATTTGCAACTTGATTCATTAATTCTATATCCTCCATCACTCCCATCATTTAAATTCTAATCTAGTAAATCTTTTTCTTGCTAATTTAATTTATGAGTGTATCGGACTAAAACAATTCTAGGATTCCTTTAGCACTCTGGGAATGTAAGTTTATTGAGTCCAATAACAATCTCCTTTCCATTTAGATGAATCATGGCTGTCAAAAAATCAATAAGGAACTGGCACTTATCAAGAGAAGGACTGAATGCATTAATCACAAGGCCTGATGTCGATTGAGTGTGCAATAGATTCATTAGATACTTCATGTTGCCGACCTTCTAACAAGGGGCTCTTCCGATTGATCTGCTAAATTAATAGACTCCATAAAGAAATAAGGTTTATTCATTGAATAGATCAGTTATATCAGAAAAGAGAGGGAAATAGAATTGCTCCCCTCTTTGGATTCTAGCAAAGTTTAATTGAACATTTGGGTACTTAATCATATTCAAATAGATCTTTTCATAAAAGATGCAATTTTTAGTGATGCAATTGGAATCCCCATTTAATTATAGTAATATTCTATTGGCAGTCTTGCATTCTTGTACGATGTTAGAATTTAAATAAAATTTATCGTAATATTGCAAGGATTCTATTGCTATACATACTTTGAGTTCCTCTGGGATTTGCTATTAAAGTGTCTTTTCGAGCAGACAAGTGCAAGATATATAATACACTGGATCTGATGCAATGGATGTAGTGAGCAATTGGGGTTGCTCAAAAACGAACTCGATTTTAGGTAAAATCATCAAATCATCATCCTCATCCAATAAAATAGTTTAGGGTGGCTTTTGTTATTATGGTCCATTTCTCTAAATAGAATTTAAGGGATAAGGTTTTTCATTCTTAATGGCAAATTCATCCTTTTTCATTTTGACAATGTCTTGCTTTTGCTTACGAGTAGCATCGTGTAGTTCGATTAAAGAGGTTCTTACCTTCAACATGGTATCCGATAATATATGACCGCATCTTCTGAGCAATTTAAACTTCCTCTCAAATGATTCTTGGTCTGAAGGAGGTGGGAAATAATTCTTAGGCACCTTTTAATAGTTCTCTCCTCTAGAGGCAGTATTTAATCTTTTGAGTGTTGCCTAAAAACTAACAGATTAAGATAGGTCTAGGACATCTTCTGCCTTGCGGACAATTTCGTTTAGTCTCAGATATAGGTGTTCTAAAGTACGGTAAATCTCATCATTTATGTGATCTGGTAGTAGTTCCTCTGCTTACATTGATTTTAATTAATAATCATGGTCTTTCAAGTATTTGAGTAATATTAATTTTAAAAAATCATTAAAATAAATATATCACTACTCATTTTTTTCATTTTCATCTTCGCTTTCATATTCTTCTTCTTCTTCATCCATTTCATCGATTTCATCATGTTGCAACAATCCACCATACAATTTAATCAATTCCTCTGAATCTTCTCTCTCATCAAAGATCAATTGAAATTTATTATTTTCCAATAAATTGTCATAAAAAATAAGATGCTTTTTACAAGGTGGCCATACAGTAGCATCTGGTGGTGGAATTATCGTATCAATTGACAACCTCATAGCATTTTCAACCATCTACGGTATTATTCTCTACAAAACTGGGCTACTAGTTTCCAGACAAGGATTAGTATTAATCTCAATTAAGTATGGTTTGAATTGCGAATCAATCATAAAATCCAATCCGAAAATCTCGAAATTAAACTCCTTCTTATGTGGAGCCAACTTGCAATACACAGACTTTATACTGATTGTGGCAATCTCAATCAATTAAGGGTATAAGTCCCTATAAAAATTATATTTCTTTGGTTAATTCTCTAAATATCTTTGGAATTCAGACAATGACAATTTATTACCATTCTCGTATCTCCCATAAGTATCAGCATATTTCTAGATGGCATCATTTGTTAGATGGACATAAAGATTAGCAGGATCATCTAGATCGAATTCCTCTGATGAGGTTCTTATGTATCCGTCTTCGTACCAATAAGCTCTAAAAATATTATTCAATTGGGTGATTAGAAAGTAACACCTGATGTCAAATTTCCTTTTATTGTAGAGGAATGGTTTCTCAATGTATCTTTAAATTAAATACGTAAAGGGTTTTCCATTTTGATGGACTTGCTTTTTACTTATGATTTTGTTGATCTCATTTAAATTTTAACAAACTATGATTCCTGTACCTCTGTTGGTAAATTCACCAGGCTTGACTATCCAAGTAGAGCCTCTAGATAGAAATGTAATAATACTTTGGCAACTTCTTGTAATGCTCTAGGAATTGCAAGTAGACCTTGTCTCTGGATCCCTTTTGCACATGGAATGTTATTGGTATGATGGAATGCAGATCCTATTTAATCAATTCATAGTATCTTTTGAGATTGTGGTACAGGGCTTTCTTGTTGCCCAAATGATAATTCTTTTCTATATGATTATGAATCTAACTTAATTAAATTGAATTACCTTCAAAGTAGAATGCACTTTTAATAAGGTGAATCCTTTTTGATTTATTAATTTTAAGTACGCTTTTTGGTTTCTTTCAATTTGTTTATAATCAGAATCGTCGTTCATTAATCTGAACAATGGATCGACTTAGATTTTCTTCTTTATTTGGGTTTAGGATTAGGGTTGATTCATTTTCTTTCTCATCAATGATTTAATTTCATTTGTTGATGGATTTTGAGTGTCCATGTAATTCTAAACTTTGATCTAAGTCCAAATGAAATTGCTTTCAGAATCAACCAACTCACTGTATTTATACTAGTTCCACCACCATCTCAATTTAAAAATCTCTTTGATTAGTAGGGAATTGTTTCCTCTGCCGATCTTAAATTTCAAATCGATCACACTATCCTAAGGTAATGTGTAGAATCCACTCTATGCGGAAACCAAAAACAAGAAATGCTAATAGTTTTGCAATTTAGTTTAGAATAATTGTTCTCTGGATAATTGGGAGTATTCAGTTAATGAAAATTTAAAATTATTGCTCTGAATTTACGTAGTGCTGCTTTAGGGAGCCATTACTTTTGGGGGTACTGGACTGGCATTATTATTATAATTAATAGAATGTTTTTATTTGGTTTTTTGAGGGACTTTGCTTTTAATTTTCTTTTCTATTTCCTCCGTAAATGATTATGACTTGTCTCTCTCTTTGTCTTGGGACAGAGCCTTTTGTCTGATTGTCTGTTAGGTTAGTACAGTATTTTATTCCATTAATTTATTAAATGGAATTACTTATAGTCCCATGACACCCATAGCCTTTTCTGCTGAAATTCTATGTTGCATTCCTTACAAAATGCTCGTTAGAATCTATTTAGTATTATTAATGTCGGATGGATAAAAGCCCTTTTAGATTCTGACTTGGCTGTTTTTAGATTCTTCGATCTAGTCGCAGTTGCTTGTTTAGACCTTTCTTTTATCTCGTTTTTGAGGGGCACTATTAGTGAACACCACACTGTAGGTGCCTTGGGTTTGAGGTTCTTGCGAGAGATTTCTTTGTATGGTAATAGCTAGGGTAGGATAGGGGGAGAGTGAGTACCTTACTGAATTCTTTGAACTGGTTTACGAGGGAGACTTGGTCGTCGGTATGATATTTTTTAATTGGAAGGCTATTCTTTTGTCAGTTCAGAAAATTTAATACTGCTCTTCTTATTGAGTTGATTGATTTTTTATTAAATAGTCAGTCCATTATTGAGCTTTCTTATGGGGGGAGTTCTTAGATAGGTTTCATCTTTCTGCATTATTTTATTGTGTTTTTATTATTAACTATTAATTTATAAAGAAACAATCATTTTCTCCTATTATAATTAAATTAAAAATGATGTTCTTCAAGTAAGATTTTATAAGTGGTATTGTTTAAGCTTTTAGCGTTTCTTCGCTGGTTTTAGTTCGGTGCTAGACCCTCTATTGGCTCAAGACAACTGTACCTTGGAGACAATTCTTGACGAGGACACTTTACAAGAAATCAAAATAAATGGTGCAACAAAATTTGGCAATTTGTAAGCATTTTTGATTTATTAGAGTGTCACAAAGAATATAGAAACATTTAGTAAGATGGTGGGATACTTGTGTGTGAATGAGGATGAGGAATATAACGAGAAGACTTAGATTAGGTAAAATGATTAAACTTAAAAATCATAAGATACCCCTTCATGATTAGTGAGGCAATAGGGAATGAGAACATCCCAATCATAGATTATCTATTCGAAGCAGATAAATCGAGTCCAAATTATGAGCAGAATGAAGAAATTAGACGGGAATTCCTACCCAAGATTTTCGATATCTTAGATAGGGATTACTTGAATGTGACTCTTGCCAGTTATTTATCCAAAGTGGTGTGTGCAATCATCAGGAGAAGAGGTTTTGACGTATTTATTGTGCATAATCATACAAGCTGTGGAGATTCCTTTCTCAGCCAGAACATAAATCAATTTTGAGTAATTTGATTAAGAATTTGGATGTATTCCATGTTGCTGAAATCATTGAAAAGTTGATCATACTCGACACCAATCAAGAACAATAAGACAATCAAACTGTCTTCTTGGAGGAGAGAAGCGATCTCCTGCGTCGAGTGATTCGAGTCTTCGAATACAAAACTCATCAAAATGACATCACTGATAATTGTAGTCATATAATCATTGAAATCCTCAATAAGACAGAACTGTTCCTTTCTGTCCTTAACATCCCTGAAAAATTCTTTGCCATTGCTGTAACATCATCACCCTATTTCTAAGTTAAATTCCAGCTCAGCAACTGTAGTTTCAGTGTTAATCACTCTACTCGAAGCCACTCATCGATACGTACAACAGCAACAAGAGAAGAACCCCTCTTACCAATTTAGTTATAACTAATACTACCCCATTGCCTAAGAGTTCAAGAATGCCTTGTTGGCTGAAAAGATATCAATTAGTAATTTCAATTAATTATTCAAGGCGCTTTCAATACTACCTATGGATTAACATAACAGCCATTTAGCTAGATGAAATTGAAATTGCTACAATTGTATCTAACCATCTTACGGTTTAATGATATCGATTTGATCAATCAATTTGATCATAAAGGAATTTATGCATAACTTATGAAGTTTATCATCGAATACGAATTCAACAATCAATTGCAAAATCACTTCTATGAAATAACAGTCTTCATTTTTGATAGACCCTAATTCGAGGATATTCAAAATGATTTCTTATCCTTAGATCTTGCATCTTTCATTATGAAATACAATAGATACGAAAAAGAAATCATAGGAGCCTTGAATTCTCAAATCAGAAGAGGCTATGTGGGTATTTTAAGCAAATTGGCATATTATTTCATCCACAAATTTGATAAGAATTAACAATGGAATCAGTATGTCGAGGAAGTGCTTGAGTCCGTTAGAAATGTTGAAAATCAATATATGTTGGGAGTGAACCCAAGACCTAAGATTCCTATTGACACAAATGATGAAGGTATGAATGAAATGTTTAGAGTACTATTATTAATTAACAAACTTAGAACTTTTAAAAGAACAAAATATCTTAAAGCAGTCAACAACAACAAGCTCAATAATAAGATCAATAGCCAACAGTGGAAGTGGAGGAAGAAACAGAAGAATAACAAAACGATGATGATCAAGATGACAACTTCTAGGCTATTCAAGGAGAAGATGATTAAGTTGAATCTGTCAACTCCAAGAAACCAGAGATGTTGATTGATGTTGAGGAAATTGAGAAAGTTATTAATAGTCCAGAAACCAGTCCTAAAGTTGGTAATCCAAACATTCATGTATTTTAGTTGAATAAATTATCTAATTCTAAGAACAAAACTTAAGGACCTCTCCTTAAGCTAGTGAAATCATCACTGATCAAACTGTCAATAAATATTGGAAGGCTCACGAAGGCTTGGAACATCAAGAACCTGGTAGAAAGGGTTCATAGGATGATATTCACAAGCATTAATCTGATCATCACGATTAATTGAAACATGAAGAAAGCCAAAAGGAAAATTAAGAACATCATGAATAAGAATAGTAAATTCAACCCAAAGAGAATATGTAAATTGAAGTTTAGGAAGTTAAGGTGGAAATAATTAATTCACCCGAAGAAAAGTAATAATAATAATAGCAATTGGAAGAAGAATAATAAGAATAAGAAAATAAGTAATAAGAAGTCTAAGAAGAATTAATCAGTTGATTCCATTATTAAATAAAAATCATACATTATTTTATGTTATTATTAATCAAAAACATTTATTACACAAATTTATCTGAAACGACCTGTTCATGAATCTATTAAATCTGATTAATTCTAATTTCTTAATATAAGTGATTCAAACTTTATAAGCAATATTTTTATTTAATTCAGTATTATTTTTAAATTAAATATATGAAAAATTCTTCTAGAATAAAAAACTCTCACCAAAGTAGCGATTGCTGGGCTGCCTTGTTTTGTGGAATTATAGAAGTTCTTATCAAAACTAATTAACATGAATAAATTTCACTCCTATAACCAACCATTAGTCAATATTCACTTTCAAGAATCAAAATCTTTAAAACTATTGAATTAATGAACTAAATTATAAGAAATCCGAATGTCGATCTCTTTTACACTCTAGTCAATTAAGAAGAAGCATCTTAGGTAATGAAAATATTCATACAAACCAAATACAAAATAATACCTACATCAGTTTGTAAAAAAGAAATTCTAGAACTCTTAAGTAATACTTTTAAAATAGATATTATATTTATCACTCAGAATACATCGATATCATTAGCGAACAGTGATAATTTAGAATTGGTTCTAAAAATAGTGTAATAATAATCAGAATTCACGATTGAAGCAGCATAGAAATCAAGAAGCCGATCATCTTCACTTTTGGATTATGTTTTAGAGATGAAACAATAATGTAATGGATGTTTAAGATTGTTTGAATAAGGAGAACTGTATAAGTCCCTTACTTGTAATCACACTTATTGTCGATAATGTTTGAAATTTTACTTCAAGCTTGGATAATCATTTGTTTGCAAAGATTTCTTCTGTAAACTGGAACTAAGAAGAGAAGACTTTCCATTCTTATAGTTGTCTCCACTTTAGGATGTGACTGCTTAATAGAATAGATGTCTTCAATGTAAAGAATCTATCAACTAATTGTACACAAACAGGTGTGGACATACACATTGCGAATAATGCATTAGGGATCAATTAAATAAATCCAAATACTATCAATCTAACTTCTGCCTAGAACCATCATGCACTGAATTGTTGGCTAATGAGTTAATCAATAATCAATCCAAAGATAATGATATTTAAACTGTTCTGTCAAGGAATAATTCAACAACTTAAAAGTTTACAGAATTTTGCTGTTTTTGTTAATCTGAATAAGAGAAAGGTGTGAAAGGAGAGTGTGGACATTACTTTTGTAAGACTTGTCTGGATTCCAAATATTAATATATAATTACCTATGGTTTACACAGAATTATTGATTGTCCATAATGCTAAACTAAATTCAACATTGAGAAAACTTTGGATGAGTATTACAATTCATTAGCATTTCCCTAACCCCCTAGGTTAATAAGGATGAGGTCTAGTTCAGAATAATAAATAGAATCCAAATAGTAGTTGTTCTAGCAGAAGCCCTCCTTTGAAAATCAGTAGAAAACTAGGGTTCCCACTTCAGGCTTACCCTTAAATAGCTCGAGACTTCAAGTGCCTTATGTAGTTTCAAGTGGAATTTCAACTCCTAAAAGGGTTGTTACCTCTTCAAATAGAGCCAGTCGCAATTTGCCTCAATAAGCCCAATACTTTTAGAGAAGCCCATAATTCTTTTGATTTCTATTAATTGTATTTTAGATATATTTTAAATTAATTTCATTTTTTAATATGAAGAAGGAATAGGATGATTAGGAAAGATAGCCAATCCTTATTGAGAAGGACAATCAATATTTCGATTGGGAGTCGTTCAAGAAATAATACTATCAATAGGAGAATGTGTTACAAACAACTTTGAAATCATTAAATGAATTGCATAGTGAAATTTCAAGAAAATTAATTTAATTAGAGTAATGCAATATTTGTAGCATCATAGTAAATCGGATCCAATTTGCGAAGAAGATGAATAAGAGAATCGAAAATAATTTCAATCTATAGATGTTAGAAAGTATTAAGATTAATTCGATGATCTAAATTTGACAATGAGCACAATGTCTCGGATGCTTAATCAATATGTAATCAGTCCAGAGGAAGTCTAAGCCAAGCTGAAGAATAATATGCTCAGAAGATTCAAAGAAATTCACTAAGAACACGAGAAAGAAGTTTTAAAATTGAAAGTACTACATGAAAGCATAAATAGTAAGCAATCAAAACAAACACTTAAAAATATGAGCTCTTTAAGGAAGCAATCAAAAACCAAAACACAATAGGGAATTAAAAATATAAAAGAGATTATCAACTTAATGATTTTCTATCTAGAGGGGTGAATCAAGCATCTCATGTCCTCGATATGGCCTAAACAATTCATTCAAGTCTAGAAGATCAAGGCTACAGAGTATCCTCAATCCAGAATAAAGTAACTGATTACATGGGTAAGTAATCTTTCTATGCATAGGCCAATTTGAAGGAATCAACTCGTTGATTAATGGAATACGCTATCATAAAAATAAGGGTTAATTAATATTGATGGGTCTAATTTCATTCTTAGTTGTGATAATTTTATTTAAATTGATGTGATATAATTATCTATTAAAATTATAAAGAAGTAACAGTATCTAGATTATTAGACATGTAAATTATGTAATTCTAAAATATACCTTATATTTCACTTATTCAAGTTATTACTCTTAACTTAATATTTTGACTTAATGTTATTATTATTTTTATCATTTTCTATAATTTATTCTTTGTATATGTTCTCTATTATGAAGATAATATTTCATTATCCGCTTTGCAGCCCATCCTATTATGTGTCAATCAATATTAAATCGCAAGTATTTATATACTCATAGATACATTAATTTTTATAGTAAAACTGTTTGATAAGTTTGTAAAATTACAATTTCTTTTTAATTAAGTTTTAATCTTATTTTTTATATCTTATTTTCCAGTTATATATGATTCTTTTCATTATTTTAAGAGAAAATTTAACAGAAATCTAAGATCTCGAAGAAACGAAGAAAAAGCAAAATCTTCATTTTTGAGAATTTCTTAATAAGAGATTGCTTATATTATATGGACAATTCCATTAAATTTAATTAAGTTTGGAGCACGATAATTGAAATATTTATTTAGGAATCAATAATATAAATAACTATGAGTAATAAAATTAGAAGTCATAATATAAATGACTATTATCATGATAGATTGGATCAATCTTTTAATAATGTGAATATCACTTTCATGAACACTCTTCGGGGTCCAATTTAAATCAATGATCTAAATAAAACAGTTCATGACATTCCAAGTTGTTTTGGCAGAAAAACTCTTTCAACTGAAAAACGTCATACCACTAAGGATGTAGAATAGATAGCAAATATTTCTATGGTATTTTGTTGATCTAAATAGAGTATGAACACTTGATACGCAATAGAATCGGAATTAAACCACTTTTAGGTTCTGTAAATTTCGAAACTTCTCTGAGAAATACCAAGAAGCGATCAATCTCATAAATCTAAGAGTCTAAGCCACAAAAGTAAACCAACATTAGAAAAACCACATTGCCAAAAGTAATGAATGATCCTTTTATTGAAATTTAAGAAAAAAACATAAATACATATCTACATTGTCTCAAAGAGGAAGGATAAGGAACAATCAAATCAGCTTAAGTAGAATGGGTAACTTCATTAAAATCAGAAAGGAAAAAAAGAAAAAAAAAATGAATACTAATGTTAAGACCATCTATATATATACATATAATTTATTGACCATTTTATTTTTTATATTGTATTAGATAATTATTAAATTAATAATTATTAGATGTTTAAATAAATAATCATTCTTATTTACTAGAAAAGAGCATATGGTTAATGTTTAGACATTCCCACCGTAATTATTTGAGCGAATCAGTTATATAATGAACTAATCTTATGTACCAAACAAATAATACTACTAAATTTATAAATAATTTGGAGTTTAGCAATAAAGATATATTAATTATAAGGATAAAATTTAAATATTTGGTAAAGTATTATCTTAAACATTCCATAATTATGTTTGTAATCTTTGTCTTCATGGTCACGCTAATACATGATTGCTCCATACCCGTAGAGACATATTGTTATTCGAAGCAGTAGCCATTCATACATTTAATTTTATGTTGGTAGCTACTTCTCTTCATTTGAAAGTTACCCTTCAAAAGTTCAGAGCAACCATTGAATTCAAGGCAATCGTCTCTAAATAAATTACTCAAAATCTCTCTGATAAAACCATTAGATATTTATACATTTCGAGCTATGAGGAATAGCGGATTGATCTAATAAAATTACAATATTTATATTAATGACTTATAGAAATTTCTAAAAAAAGCATAAATCAATTTTTGATATTTCTATCTTCAATTTTGTTTTTCTTATAGATCGGTCGAGAATCAATCTAGTTTCCTTTTTGGTGAAATGCTTGTATCTTAGTTGAACTCTCGCTAGTAAGGTTGAACCACCTTCTCCTTCAAATTGGAATGCACACTTGTAAAAGCTTAATAAAAAATTACAATTTATGTGAAATCAAACAATAACAATAATAAAAACTAAAATGTCAAATTTATTTCATAAAGTACCTTTAAGACTTCTTGAGCCATTTATTTGTTCCATCTCCTAAAAGTACCCATTTTGACTGCCCCTTTAACATGATTTCTAATTTAGAGACCATGCCTTAAATATTTGGATTAAAAATAAAATACTTTCAAGAAGGATAGGTCGTGTTGTGAATTGTGTAGTGTAGCATATTTTGATAGTTGTAATTAAGAAATTTTCATAAAATGAACTTAAATTAATCAGAAACTAGTTCTATACTTCCATCAATCATCAATTGATGTTTTTATCAAGTTTTATCAGAGTTTTACTAAAGGTTGAAATGCTAGATCAATAATAAACACTGCTCTTTAATTAACTATATACTCTATACTACTTAATTACAGAAAACTAAATTAAGAAAAAGTTAATAAAGGAAGTCTCCTTGAGATGGAGGAAAGTAATGATTGGAAAATTGCAAGATCTAAGTAACTTCCAAGATTAAACGGGGCTATGCAACTCATTTTACCCTGTTTTGACTCCCATTCCAATTTCTCGCTGAAGGGAAAATGATGACAAGAGTTAATTTAGGGGAATAAGAAAAATACGTTAAAAGAATAACTTAAATCTATAGAGAGTAAATGGGATAGAAAAGAAAAATAGTAGAATAGTTATTTGGATTTTAATATATATTCAATTTGAATTGTCGATAGTTATCTGATTAATTCTGATTAAGAGTCCTATATTAAAATTTAATCCAATGCTGGGAGTATCATCCTGGCACCAAAGATGAATAGCAAGGGAATGGTTAATTATACAACTCCAGTAAAAGCAGAAATTTGCCTCAACGAGACAGGAGGACCCGTAGTCTTGGAGTATTACAACTGTGGGTAAATATAACTCTTAAACCTTAGTATTTTCAATTTGGGGGATAGTTATATAACAATAAGGGTCAAAGAGCTTTGAATTACAACTATTTTTGGCATGTCATGTTAATCTTAATAAATTATACACTCCATCTTAACAAACCAATCAACCAAAAAATTTATCTTTAAAAAATTAAATATGCTTCATTATTCTACTATTGATTATTTTTGAAACCACATTACATTAATTTTAACTTAGTTCCTCATTTATTTAGTATTTTTCCTCAAGATTTAATTAGAATATAAAAAATTATTAAGGCAATAATTGAAACGAGCAATCTCAAATATATTAAATTTCAAACAAAAAGCTTTTCTAATATTAAGAAAGTGATAATATTATTTTTAATTAAAACTTTATGAAAAATCAGATAAGAGTTGTGAACATTTTATTAATAATTTTATAAAAATATTTTATATTCATCTTAAAAATACGCGATAAAGAGTATAAGTTGATTCTGATACTTTTGAATATTATTATAAAGGCTATTTAACATTAAGTAATAGAATGGTAGGATTGAAAAATACTTATAGAATTGACGAAGCATTTAATGAAGTTGATATGGCTTTGAATTTAAATCTTAAATATTTAGTTTGATCAAATAGCTATTTTCTCCAATAAATTGTTGCTTAAATTTTATGATTTACTCTCTCTAATATCAACTTTTTGCACTATTAATAATTTATAGAAAGTTGATAATTTATGTTATGCAATGCTTCATCATATAATTTCATTTTTTCATATAAATCGCCTAAATTAATATTTACAACATTACTTTCCTAAAGTGTAGCCTAATAAAGAAGATTGTATGAAATGTGTTAAGATAAACCCAAATATTGCTATGGGTTATAAAAAAAAATTTTAGGAACAATTACGTATGATTTATGGTAAAAGAGCTGCAATATTACAATTAAGCTTTAGAAAAAGATTGTAATTGTTATTACGCATATATGTGTAAAACAAGGCTTGTATTATATGGATGAACAATTAAATGATTGTGCATTACAAGATTTCAATTAGGTTATTGAAATTAATCCACATTATAGTTTATTTACAATAATAGAGGTGACTACTATTTTACTTAATATATTAGGAAATTTATATACTGAAGTTGATGAGAAAGACAAAGCATTAATTGATTATAATAAAGCAATCCAACTTGATCCTTAATCTTTTTCATTTACTATCACATTATAGAGGAGAAGCTTGTTTGCTATAATTTAGTCCTCAACGAAGCAGATTACCAATAGTTGCCACGCCTTGAATTCTAGTCCAAAGCGGAATTTTGCAGCAGACAAAGTGAAAAGTTAGAAATGAAAAGTATACAAAGAAAGGGCTTTTTGAATAGAGAGCATAGTTAAGATGGACATGTTTCAATCAGGCTCAATACCGAAAATAGTTAGCCTTATTCAAAAAAGCTACTTGATTGTTCAGCAATAATCGAATTGGGAGTCAACATAAAATTAAGAAGCATACGTGAATATGGTTGATTTAGATAAATCAGTAAAAGCGAAAGGAAAAAATATTAGAAAATGACAGACAAGAAGTTGAGAAGTACTTAATAAGGAATAGCAGTATTGAGTTGATTTTAATATCCTCGAGTTATAATTTTTATTTGTATATTTTTAGGTAGTTTTAAATTTGATATTAATTAAAGATATTATTTTAATCATATTAATACTTAATCCTTCATCAAATCTGGATTTTCACAAACGCTTGCATCTGAAATTTATACAATCTTGAAATTCCTAAGAAATCTTTGAGTAATATATTTTAAATGATATTGGATGCCAGTTAAAATTTATAAATCAGGGGTTGGTTTCAAAGTGTCAAGTTTAATTGTGTAAGTATAGAATCAAATTATGACTTGAGTTTATGAAAACCATTCAAAATATCATTGCCACTTATTTTAGATATTTTTAATAGAACTACTCTGAAATGAAAAAATAATTAAATTAACTATAATTACAAGATATTTATACTATAAAAAGAGCTACCAAAATGAATATACATTATTTTTAAATAAATTTATTAAATATTACTCTCAATTTGCTTCATATATTCTAAAGTATTTTTTTTCATTTCCTATTAAATAAAATTAATTGTATTTATTTTATCTCCAAATCTCAATACTTTCTTTTACGATCTTCTGAAGTTTTTTTTTTTTTTTCTCTGCATCATTTGATACTTCCTCCTATCCATCATCTCCCTCAATTATATTGTATATTCTTAATCCATATCCTTTTTTTTGTAATAGTGTTTTAATTTAATTCAAATATTTTACCAAAACAAAGTGAAGAAATGAGAGGAAAAATGCCAAATTGATGATGTATAAACTAATAATTGCAGCATAATTAATACTACTCCAATCTTAGTTAAATAAAAAGGCTGAAAAAATATAAGAAGCAAAAACGACGAAATCAGATAAGTTTTGCCATCTATTATTTTATTTGGATGTATAAGGATATGTTTTTTGATAATTGAAAATATTCCAAATTGTTTTTCTCATAACAATAATAAAAACCAAAGGTATTATTGAATTCTAAATATATAATAATTTCTTACTAACTTTTCATTAAAGGATATCAAAACAAAGATTACCAACTTAATTTGTCTAAATATGAATTCATGCAATAAAGCTCTTTTGCTAAAAAATGAGTACATGATTCCCCAATTTATTAAAATGCGCGTTTACTTACATTTTCTCGTTCTATATAGGTAAATATAGAAGTAAACACACACAAGGACAGGTGTTAAAGTGATTAAAGTTAAAAATAAAATCACAAAAGCTTATTTCGAATCATAATTGTCCTCAAATTGATAGGATAAATTTGCATAAATGTATTTGGATCCTGATATTACTCGATAATATAATATTTAAACTAGTTCAATTATGTAGCTTGGTTAAAAATAAATAAAAACGAGTATCAGAAAATTTTAAACTGAGAATCTAAATATACAATGCAACCTTTGTAATTTTTCATTATGGAACCTGCCAAAATTTTGTCTTCGTGAATAATAAATAATTAATTATAGAATAAACGGCTAAATTATCTCTATGATTAAAGTTAAAAGACATCCACAAATTAAGATAACAAATGAATATATTAATCCTAAGTATAAGCCATCTTAAAGCAAGCATTGCAGATGCAACTTTAAACTTTATGCTGGCATTGTAATAGAATTAAAGGCTATAAAAAAGGAAAACGCAGGGCTTTCTAAATTAGAGAATTTCATAACTGATATAAATTACATATGGCAGATAATAATTAAGAAAACTTAAGGTGTTAATTATTGCTTTTCTACTAAAGGTGGATGACCTAATACTCTCTTAAAATTCAGAAGAATATTTCTCTCCTTGCTTGCTTCTGACATCCAACCCAACGAAAGGATTATCAGAAGTTAAGTCAAAATCACAAAACCTGCTTCTACACTAATCAAACTATCCTCGCATGATGAACAATTGGATTACCAATCTTTATAATAACTCTTTTCCCAAAAAACCATATGGATATCGCATTCCTCACAGATAGCTCCAATTGACCCTTCAGAGCAAAGTTCGTTACCAACTTAAAGTCCTCCTTTGCACTTTTCTTTCCTGCACGACTCAACTTGATCATTGTTGATTTGAGGCCTCCAATAATCCTCATACAAATATATTTGAAATCCATGGGCTTCCTTCATTTTAGTATAGTCTTTTTCCTTACAAAAACTACTATTGCGTTACAATTAATAGAAGTTAACTGGACATTTTTCGCAAATCTCACCAAATTCATTATAGTATTCACCTAATCGGCAAAATATTGGTTAAAATTTAACAATTAATTGTAAGATCAACTATTTATATTCCTTGAATGTATAAGGGTATACATCTATATAAATTGGTTATTTAATGTGACTACTAGTAAAGGTGAGATTAATTATTTTATTAAGGTTTGGATTCTTACAAATTGTTAACTTTGACAACTCAAATCCTTGAAGGTCATTGTTAAAACTTCTGGTTGTATTTTTATTACTTGAAGAGATTTCGCAACTGCTATTATTTTATTCATCTTAAGTATCTGTATAAATGTTGAGAATTGAATTTATTTAGTGTTTAACTATATGTAAATCCTTATCTAAGAAATGGATCTCGATACTTTAATTTTGATAAGTATTTAAAGTACGCCCACTCTAAAAATGTATGGGAATTGGATATAAATAAATTTCATGGGTCTAATTGGTCTAATTGGTCTAATTGGTCTAATTGGTTGGTGTTTATAAAGTCCCATTAATATAGAGGCCCATGCTTTAGGGAAATTAATTAACATTGTTCCCAAACAGAATAGCCACATTTCTTATGATCTAACTGTCAGTTTAGCTTACATCGTTGATGTCAACTCCTAAAAGCGCTATGCAACCACCTATTGAGGCTCTATTGTCATAACAACTAATTTTAGCTAAGTTGACTCGCGATTGGCCTTGAGATTCAAAGTAAAGGAAACCTCCTTTGCCTTAGGCTACATTCTGAGTACAATACGAATTAGTAATATTAGTTGTCAATTCGTATATTGATATTCCACACCCATGAATACAAGTATTATTTTCAGTAAATAATGATAGCACAAAAACATGAGCTTTATAGGGGGGATTGGGAGTGACATAGTTGAAATCGAATTGGCTTTCTAATAGTCTCTAACTTTCTTCTTGGAACGAATATAAATCTTCGGAAGGAACTATGTCTGTGTAATTGATGATTGATTCTCTGGTCAAATTGGTTTTTAATTTGAAATTATACAATTAATCTTGAGCAGTCTATATCTTAATAAGAGACTCAGATGATATTGTAAAACAACCATAATAACTTGTAATTGTTCCTGTGCATCTACATTGATCAATGAAAACTGACTGGACTAATAGATTATTTTAGACTCTGGTAATCTAAACTAGGCCATATATACATTCACTACAGTGTACTTTATTTATTAAAACTCTTCTCAGAGTCAGAAATGTGGATGGTGTTATAGTGTCTATTTTCATCAACGAAGGTTAAATATTAATTTGAGGGAAATCCACTCTTACCTAGAGTATCTTACATATCATGCTAAGTGTTTCATTGTTACATTTCACATTGTCTAAACTAATAGTACTGATATTCGCAAATTTTATTGTTTCGATAAGAACAGGATTCAAAATTGGTTCTATAATTTCTATCAATGGATTATATGTTAATACGTAATTTTGAACAATAATCGATTATAAATTAATAAGTGATGAATATTTTACTGATAATAACCCCTAATAGTTTATATCTTATGAATTGATATTAATTAAAATTATTTCTCCAAAATCTTATTCAATGGCAGAAGTTCTTATTAAAAATAAATAATTCTCAACTTACTTTAATATTCCCAAAGAATCAAAAAACTGTTCCTATCTAGATTGATTGGCTTGGATATAGATATTCTCCATTCTTGTTTATTGGGTTTGCTTGTAATTTTTGTCGTAGATAACTTTAAAGATGGCTCCACTCAAAGAGAAGCAATTTGAGAAAGTGGTTTCTTGAATCAAAGTTTATTGTTAAGATTAATAGCTTAGTATGTAAATAGCACCTCCTTCTTGTCTTGAAAAGCAATCTTCAAAGTTTGTGTTGATAATAGTCATATTTAATTTTGACGCTTTGGAATCAACATATAGGCAACCTCCTTTTGAGCCAATAGTACTATCTAATTAAGTAGAGGATGTTTAGATTAAAGTGTTCTTTATTAATATCTAACCTTCTTTTAAAGTCTTTATGAAAATGCTTCCTCCAAATTTTGCAGTTGAATTAAAAAAGGTGCAATTCTCCACTGTAGCCTAAAAGGATATTATCTTAAGATGTCCCCCTTCATTTTGTTAGTCAGCAACTAGTACTCCTCTAGAGTATGGATCATTGTTATTAAACATTGATACATTTCTAAGAGTTTAAACACCTGATTCTAAGTGCAAGGCAGCTCCAGATCCTTGGGCCGAATTGTATCCCCATTTACTATTTGTGAGTAGCAGGTTACCCAAACTACTTTACATGATCAATGTTGGGTTGCTGGGAGTCAAACTACCTTGTATTAACAAAAAATGTTTATTTTAGTAAAATTGCATATCGGTTAATTATACGTTTTGCTTTTAATTAGATTAAATTATAATTGCTGATGACGGGATGCCAGGTTGTGTAGTTGATACTGTGCAATATTTTACTAGGATTTATTCAAGAAAGATATTTTCTTCTGAATTTTATGTGGTCGTGTTGTATATCAGATTATTCCAAGATGATATACCTATGAATGAAGTATCCTGTGCATGCAGATTCAGCAATTCAACATTTTTTATCTTAACAGATTTGTACAGATTATTAACAAATAGACAATAATTATTTTTTATCTATAGGTTTTGAACTTGATGGCAACGGATGTTATAGAAGTAACTATTCCAAACCATATCAACATAGAGAATCGACAAATTAGAATTCTCTTTGCTTATAAAATCTTACACATATACAAGCTAGCTCTTTTCTATTTTAATAGCAGCACTTGTTGCAGCATTCAAAATTTTGGGATCGAATCCGTCTGTTTGAATTTACAAGATTTCAATATTCCTCATTTTGATATTGACAGGGAGGTCGTAATCATTTTTTATGGCTGATATTAAAATCAAACACTGTGGAGTTAGACAGATTACCCTTTCAAAGGTTATCTCTTCTATTAACAGTTTCAATCTCTCATGTTTAGGCTTTGATATTTTTGACAATTCATGTTAAGTCTACAGCATCCTTCCTTTTGAAGTAAACTAAGTATTATAAACATAGGATTTAGCCATTTAAATAGTAGTTATATGGAATAAGAAAGTGTGATTAACGAATGAATTTACTAGTGTGAAGTTAATTACATAGATTTGTTGCATGTTATTGAAGTTAATGATTCCTCTAGAATGGTTGAATTTAGTGTTATTTACAAATAGGTTATTAATTCTTATCAATCCGTTCAAGGTGTCATTAAACTTTGGACTTATAAAGCCTGCCCCATTTAAAAAATATACATCATTAAAACTGACTGATTAGACAAGAATCTGAAAATTAATTTAGAATTATTGTGTTAGATTAATATATTCTAAATCAAATAGAGATTGATCTTCTATTCCCAGATCAGAAAACTTCACATCATCTAAATTCAAGTGAAAATATGGCAAAGGTATATTTGGTTCATAATTAAATCCAAACAGATTAAATGTAAAATTCGTATCCTTTAACTTCAAGTAATTTAAAGATTGAATCACAACTTGGTTTAATTGCAAATCATAAATATTTGTAAAGATAAAATAAAATGGAGTATACTTTTTATTTAAAAGTGACATCTAACTGTAGGGTGTTGTATACAATTTTGTATTCAAATAATGTGAGTATGCAGCTTAATTTAAAATTTATACTCTTTCTAACCTTACAATTAGACCATCATTCTTTATGAATTGCAAACTGAATGGTTTTTGGAGTTTTTTAATATAAGGATACAGATCACAATCTACAGCTGGCATCATATTGATCCCAGATATTGTGACTTTTGAAAAATATTCAAAGTAAACGTTATTTTACAAATACCAATTGATGTCATTATCATTATCTACTTTGATGTTTAATTCAATTTATTAAGCTGAAAATACCACCTTCTTAAGATCAGTTGAAAAGTATGTATCCTTTTAAAAAAAGCAGGAAGGATTAGATGAACTAAAACTGAGATTGATAATGATTTTATAAACAGCTCTAAGATTTAAATCTTCGTAAAATTTAGTTAAGTTACTAATGTATTCTTGATTATTACTAAGAAATGCTTTACTTTCAAGGATTATGGTTACATTCTTAGATAAAGGTTTCTAGGATTAATTATTTGTTGACTAAACATTTTTTTATTCTTAAAATAGAGTGTTAATTTGCCATACTTTATCATTATTTATTTGATATTCCTCTGAACAATCTGCTTTTACATCGATACTGATCTCTCTGTTCTTTGTTAATTCACTAAGGCATCTAGAAAATGTAGTATCCATTTATTCTGGACCAACAGTGCACTTAAAGGCTAAATTGGAGTATATTTATTATTGATTAGGAGGATCATAAAATCTATTCTGCTGTTAGATTTCCTTCTAAGTCCTTTCTCTGCATCCAATAGTATTATAAGGACAGTCAATGCAGTTGTTTCCATCACTAGAGGAACTTCTTGAATTTTTATTGATACATTAATCACAAAAGCCTTTTTGACCCCTGGCTAAGAATATTTCACATTTATCTCCTCCTTTTTCACACTTTCGCAGATCTTCATTCAAAAAGTGACCTCTCCCTTTCACATCATTATCATCAGGTATGCATTAATAACAAAACGGACCAAGTACAGCGTTACTCTGAGAATCCTAGAGGTAAGAAGCATTGAAGCATTCTGGATGATGAACAACATTTAAGGTTAAAGTGTAACATTTCAGGCAATATCCATCTAGAGAACAAGGCTTACATTTGTTAGTTATGGTATCAACATAATAGCCAACCTTACAAATTTAGCACCGATATTACTCACCTTATTAGACACAAGATTCACATTAAGGATCCTATAAAATTTAGTCACAACCAGTCACGCATTACCAAATTTATGATTTAGAATCGAGGGATAGAATATAACCCTATGAACATTTTCTACAATGTTTTAAATCGTAAGATCTTTCAAAAGTCAAACATCCTGGCCCTGGCTAATTTTGACTATCAAAAATCAAACATGTACCAGTTTCAGTTAAATAAAACCCATCTCTACACAGAACACACTTCTGAATAAATAAATCTATAATTTTAAATATAGATATTTATACCTTCTTATGGTTAAGCTTCAAAATTTATAGACAGAGTTGAAAACGGTACTTTGCTTTAGCTCTAAGTCTCGCTTTTGTGGCATAACACACAATCATTTACCTTGCAATCGGTACAACTAGTCCCTATTGCATTAAATACTTAATTGTAATTTAGACACTCTCTACATCTTAACACATATTGAGATTCTAACAATTCTTGGGTTTCTTTCTCGTTTTAAGGTTCAATTATTTGACTTCGATTCTTGGAAGGGTTAATGAGTTCCTGATTAGGTAACCAATATGAATAATATTCACAAAGTGTGCATTGGATACCACATTGCACACATGATCTTCTATTCAATGAAGGTATAAACTTTATTTGAGTTAAACTTTGGCATTGTTCACATCTCTAAGCTATTTAAAAAGCAATGAATAAGTTTTCAAAAAATTCTGTTTAATTTTCTAAAAAATCCTTTAATAATAAACCTTCTTTTTTATTATATTTATCCCAAGAGTCGACATTCAAATCTATACCATTCTTACCGAAATAGCATGTCTTGCATTAGTCAAAACATGGGATGCAAAATGTTGATGTCGTTGTTGAATTTGCTGATTCTCTCAATATTAACTTACTAAATCCTTGATTACAAATTAAACATGTGCTTTAGTCACACGATAAACAATTCTGAGGACAAGATACACATAATTATCTTATTTCATCAAATTCATAGCCTTCCTTACAACTTACATACATATAGTTAATGTCATTTTAGTATTCTTTTGATACTAAAAAACATTTCTATGATTTTTCTTTACAAAAGTGATCACACCCACTGCAAATTATTGTAGAATACTATTTCTTATTTACATTTATACTTTTCCTGTCTCAGATGCCACTACATAAAACAATTCTTCAGAAGCTCTATTCTTCTTATGATAAACCGAGTTAGTTGTTGAATAAGTTACATAGTCGTAACTGCAAACTCTATTAAGATTCCTATATAATCTTAAATTATTACCAAGTTCGACTATTATCAAGACAGTCACCGCAATATAAATTTTCCTCATTCTACATAAATGGCTAGAATGGACTAACATCTTAAAATACATAATTACCATTCCACACAAATTCGAGATCTTTAATTCATATTTTCATCATTATTCTAAGGTAATTAGAAAACAAAATGATTAGCTTTGCAATAAGTGCATTCAGCATCCATACACATAGTTTAAGCTGTTTAAGATGAGTCAGTTTCTGCATTCACCTTATACCATAATTGAAATGTCAAAACAACAATTAAGAGAATTTACATTAAAATTAAAAATATGCTACCCAAATTTATTAATCAAAACTGATATTATTCTACAAGATCATGAACAAATTAGTATATTTGGCCATACGCTATTTTGAATCTGTTATTCAAGATCATTGTATATATAAAAATCAATTCTTAAATCAACAAGTACTACTTAAAAAAATAGTCTATTTAGTATCAATAACATCCGAATCCATATCAAAATTCTACTTGAATAAATAAATAGTAATTAATCATTAATATTAATGCCAAATTCTAATGGACTTGAAGATTTTCTGATCAAAATTATACCCTTAAGCCTAATTGAGTCAGTTAAAAAGGATTAGTGACATAAAGTAATGCTCAAACATTCATTCATAAGATACAATAATAAAAAATGATATTTTTATGCATCTTTGAGTATATTGAACAATGATTCGAAATAAATTAAGAATATGATTAATGTATCTATAAATTTTAGATACTAACTTACTCTATTTTTATATTTGCTAATCAATTTTTAAATTTAAATTATTTTACATATAATATCTGTTTGTGATCTTGAAAAACATGACTATAATTAAATCAAAACTTAGCTAATCTCTTAAGTCATTAACTTTGATCATAACAAACGTGTTATAGTTTGAAGATTTATCTTCTCAAAATTAATAATCAATTTTAATTTCAATGAACAATTAAGATATATGATTCTACTATGGAAGTATGAACAATTTCTCATTTATGCAAATGAAAGCAAAAACTATTAATAAATTAAATTTAGATGATAAATAATCTCAATTTTCTATTTAAATATTAAATCATTGGCTTAATCTCATTTATTTTTCTAAAAATTCATCAATATTTTTGATCAAGGATTTAAAATGCAAAACGACTGTCTTTGCACCTTAAAGATCTAATTGATTGGCTTCTTTAGTTCTAAAAAAACATGGGGCAAACACTATTGATAAGTTATGTAGGCCCATCTAAATATAATTTAAATAATTACCTTATTTTCATTTTCAAATCCTGCAACAAATTTTATGAATTCTACTAATCTGAATACAGTTAATCTGTTCACTTTGGATAAATGAGCAAAAAATATGCTAAACATATCTATAAATTCATTTATTGGTAATTCAGGGTTGGTATCTCTTAGAATTGCATAGATTTCAAATGGAAATATAGGATTTTTTAAATTAACTAACGTGTTTTTTAACACAGTTGCTATTACATCAGATTCTGAATGTTAAATAGCTTCATAATTTTCTTATAATAATTGTTCTACTAATTTTGTTTCTAACTCATGGGAACCTGACAATCGAAATATTCCTTCCTAACGTAAGCAATCGATATTTTATTTATAATATTTTATTATCTCCTCAAGAAATATAGGAAGACCAGACTTTCCAATTGGATAGGACTCCAAATCTCTCCCATAAAATGATTATTATTCTTGATACTCGATTTAATTGCATAAAAACTTTTAGACTGACTAGTGCAATTCAATATCCAAGGTATCCAGAAAGGAAGTACTTGAATAATAAAATAGACATAATACTTGATTAATAAATGTACTTTATCTTTGAGTAGGCCTTTTAGTTAGAAGGGTATTGTTTTTTCCTTCTTTCCGTAATTTTAATTATTGCTAATAACAATCAACTTGTCAATTCTCTTCAATTGCGATTAATCCACCTTTCTCTTAAATAGTGATAAAAATTACTTTAGAGAATGCTTTATCAGATTCTTAACATTTTTCGCATTCATTAATCCTTCATCTTATGAACATATAATTAAGACAAAGCCTCTATTCTTAAATCCATATTATACTTAAAAGGTCTGAATTATTGTAAATAGGATTCAAACTTCTTCGCTATTTCTTCGTAATTTTTATTATGAACAATCAAATTATACAATAAAACATAAATGGGTTATTGGTTTTTATCGATGCCTTAAGAATATTTGAATTGAAAATACCTGCTTTTAGTAATCCTTGAATTTCGTATGATTTTCCCTAATTCATTTATAACAAAATATATAAATATAGTTATCTCTTTTCGTAGTTTAAAAATGACTTCCAGAATAATTAATGAAAATTATAATCTTTAATGAATTAATTAGAAAAACTCTATAACACTTATAATAACTCTACGATGATTTTGAATACCATTTTTTATAAATATATTTTTTTATTATTATGAATTTATCAAACAAAATCTTTACTATATTATTATATAATGTGAATAGGAAATTTTTCGTTTAAAATCAGTATTGCCTTTGAGTTATTTTTTGAAACTCTGTTTCTAAATTAATAATTTAATCTAACTATTCCTTTAGACCATTGTCTAATGTTGCAGATTGCTGATTTTTGATCTTTCTCAATAGATCTTGTAATATGGATATCTCAATTTTGCTAGTGGCTGAATTTTTAATAATATCCCTTTCATTCTATGATAATTCTGAAGTAGATGATAGCATTTTGTTTATTTAATTAAATAAATGAGTTCTTAACTTAAAAAATGCAGCATGAATCTCTTTTTGAAGGCTTAAAACTCCCTTACTTAAATCCTCCTTATTATTTTGAAGAATCAATTGATTTTTTCGTAATTTTTGCACCAACTCCGGAATATCATTATTCTAATTAATTACTGGATGAAACTCTAAAGGTCGTATGAAGACAAAGGCGAGCGCATATTCCAATTAATATTTTGCTACTAATTGGATAATATATGACAAAAAGGTATGTTATTAATTTCTCTCAATTTTCTTAACAAAATCATTGCAGACTTTGAATTGATCGTATAACACTTCCAGTAAACTTTTGATTTTTTCCAAAAATTAAATTTGATTTTCCTTTTCTTTCTTCTTCTAGAGTTATTGTTTGTTAACAGGTAAAAATAATTATTTAGATGGACAAATCTGAGTAGTTTCTTCCATTCCTGTTTTAGTTATTTTATGAGTGAATATATATTAGAAGGAACATCTTTGAGCCTCATCATAGACAATCATCTACTCAAGTAGTTCCTATATGACTACTGCTCTATTGAAATCAAGGGATGGAGCTATAAATCGTTTGCTTTTAAGCTGTTTTAGGCTTGCCAATAGATCTTTCCTAGTATGAGAAGGATACGGAAATTCCCCTTTATAGCAAATATTGTAAAACAGAACCCCGTAGGAAAAGATATCACATTTTGATGTGCAAACTTCGTTAAAGATCATCTGTGGTGCAGCATAATTCAATGACCCTGTTTTTGTAATTACAGACTTGTTTAAGATATCCTCGACTAACTTGCCCACTCCAAAGTCTCCTATCTTAAGAAAAGTATTTTCTTTACTTTATATATTTTATTAGGATTCTCATTCTTAATCAATATATTTTCGGGTTTTATATCTCTATGAATAATTTTATTATTATAAAGGTATTTCATGCCACTGATAATTTGTCTGATTATTTCAAATGCTTCCTATTCAGAATACCATTCATTAGATTTCCTTCTTTCAAATTCAGAATCTAAATCTTCGTCACATTATTCCATTACAATATATAAAGATGTTTAATCCTTAAAAGTATCAAATGTCTATACAATATTCATACATTTAGGGCCATTAAAAGAAATACTTTAATTATAACTTTTCAGAACATCATTAATCATTTCTTCGTCAGAGCGTTTTTCGTCAATGCTTTCTTTAAATGAAATTGGTATAATCTTTACGCAATATTTCTAATAATCATTATTATTATTTAATTTTTCACAGGCATAAACCTCCCCATATTGTCCTGATCCCAAACTTTGATTTTTATTAATTTTGTAGTAATCGTGAAATTTTCTAGGTGTTGTTTCCGACAACATTAATTTATTTCTAAAATAATTAATATTTTGAAATATTCAATTGTTCTGTGTTAACAATTTATACATTATATAAAAATACCAAAAAATTTCATTTATCATTAATTGGTTTTAAGAGCTACAGCTACGACATTCACTTGGTTTATCTTTGTATTCTTCAAAAATTTAATTCTATTACATTGGTGCGCTTTTTATTTTATAAGAAATTATAAATACTAATTAAAATTATTGTTTATTCATATTTTTAATCTTATTCTATACCTCTATTTTATGTTGCTTCATAAATATTTTAAGTTTTAATAATTTTGTTTATTATTTTTCAATAAATTAATCCTTTATGAAAAAGGTTGAAATGAGATAATGCAATGCTGATATTTTAACATAAGAAATCAATCCATTTACTCTTTCTATGTCTTTTGATGGTTCTGCGAACATAATATATTCCTTATTTTTAGATCAACCAATTGTGAATTTAATGATTATACTATTATTATATCAAAGAAAATCAACAATATTTGATCATTCCAATCTGGATATGCTTATAAGATGAGTAAGATAATTACAAAATTCAAAGTGAAATGTAGATTAATAAAACAGATTATATTCTATTCTGAAAAAAGGATTTATTTTTGTAATTTAGAGATTACAAATTATGTAAGCATAAATTAAAATCTAGTGATCATTAGATCTTGATGAAATGAATAGAATAGGAATCATGAATACCACTCACTTTAACCATTTATCAATCTTAATAGTTAAAATACAGTACAATTTGAAATTACATACATTTGATGCTAGTAAGATCTCACTTTGAAGTATTTGTGTAATTGGCTTTATAACAATTTTGAACATAAGTTAGATCTATTTTTGAAGTGCACTCGAGTCTTTCTTAACCTCAAAAATCTATAATAATTAATTATCTTACTTCCTAATTAATTAAAATATAATGAAACAAAGAGAGAGATCCCATGGATATCTATATAAACAAATTTGCAAACATTTAAATGTGCCTTTTTCATCAAGCTTGCTTAATGGTATTTAGGAGACAGAAATTGTTATAGTATTAGACCAAATCAGTTAATAGGGTAAAAACATCAAGATTCAATAGATATTGAGCCTCTTTCTTTATTGTTGCCTCAATGCAAATTTAAGAGGATCATATTGAAAAGTATTTAAAAGAACCTCAAATTGAACAAGTCAATGGCTACTGATAATTATAAAATGGAATTACTTGAAATTTTGAGAGTGATAACGAAGCTGTTCACCAAGAGCTTGGACGTGATCTCGTTGGTAATTCGAGACATTAGAATGAATAGTGAGCACATGCAGATAATAGCATAAGGAATAGCAGTTGTTTAATCTTTAAAGGAATTGCGTATAATATAATGCTTGATGACTTCCAATCATTTCAGTATTCTGTAGCCATCGTTAATTCAGAATTCCTCGCTACATATCCTCGATTTCTCACATAATTATCTAACACATCAAATTGGGGTTTTTTTGGGATAATTACTCCAAGAGCATGGCAAAAGAAGGGATAATGTCGAATATCTATATAGAATTAAAGGAGATTGTCCTGAAGAAGACATATCTAAAATAGGATTGGAGGAACTGGATTTATCATATAATAAGTTAAATGATTAATTTGTGAAAGATGTGGTGCCATTTTTGGAGAGAGATAGATGGGTTAAATAAATCAATCTTAAATACAATGCCATTCAGAAGGAAGGCTTTGAGATTTTGATCTAATTGCTTGACAAGAATTCAACCATCACAAGTTTGGATATAAGGAGAAATCTTGGATCTACATAACAATTTTAGAAGGAGGTCTTAAAAAAGTTGATAAGGAATAAAAATACAAAAAATGATATTCAATAATAGAGATTAGATGACGATAATGAGAATATTTCTGTCAATGTTTCTGCGATTCCATAAAACTTACAATCTGTTATTTCAGATCAAGAAAGTCCAGTGATGTCTTTTGGAGTATTTGAACCCAATAACCTTACGAAACAGATGTCCAATAACTCTGGGAGATAAGATTAATTGAAATTGAAATCTGGATTAAAAAACAGCGATTCAGGTTGTTCTGATTGTAATCGTTTACAAATTAAATCGAAAAAGTAGTCGCAAATAATTTAGTTACTGAAATAAGAAGTTCAATTTTTAAGATTTCAACTTCAAAGCAAATCGTAATTGCCTGAATAATAGTTGTAACAATAATCATAATAATAAGTTATAAATGAACTAAATTTCTCAGAAAATAATCATAATCCTCCTCCTTAAGAGATTGAATAAGACGACATGGTTAATAAAATAGAATATATGATGAATGACTTAACTAGAATGATGGATGGATTAGATGTTTAAGGGAGTGTGACAAATAATCTGAATGCACATTTATCTAGTACTTTGATTGTATAGGATTATACAAGGGCAATATTTGAAAGAGAAGACAGAGCAAATGATTTAATCAATATTTTAGACGAGAATAGTAATAATAACTTATCATAATCTTCGGATGAAGAACAATAATGAAATTTTTCTTTTTATTTTTATATCATAATTGCATATTTATTAACATCTAGGTAATTTATATCATTATGATTGTTCTGCGGATTCAGACAGTTGGAAATTTGGTTACTTTGGAATGTCTTACATTTCCAATTCAGCATCTCTGATTTATTGGGAATTAATCCACTCGTCAACATTCTGCTGTCTTTAGACTTGAGAATATTCACTATTGTAGCTGATTGCAAAAAATATGGCATAAAGCTTGGATCAATAAAGCAAATACCACAGCTGTAATAAACAATGCAAAGGCCCCTTCGATTCGACTGTGAGGCACTACATAAACAGTTTCAGATCCAATGGCTATCATAAATCCCAAATATGTCATGAAGATGCATCCTGGAGCTGAGATAAACATGCAATATTAAGCACACGATACCATTAAATTTAATTATATAGATTGAAATTAATAAAAATTAAAAGAAATTCTTTTTCTTGAAAATATATATAATCTGAACTTGTAATACAATTAGGGGCAAAAATGTAAATCAATTTTTTAGCTTCTATGCTAACTTCGCTGATCTTGGTGTATTAGTAGTTGTTGGTTATTTGGTAATTCGAGATGAAGAAGTGCTCGACACAACCATTTAACTACTAGGAACACTTACAGGATTATTATCAAAATCATATCCATTAAATAGATCTAACATATTCCAACTATCATACTTTATACTGAATTCCTTCTCAACATGATTTGTTACTCCTCATTAATGGAATCATCGGAATCTCGTCTGCTATCAGAGGGTAGGTAATTGTCTTCATTGCCCTAATAATCTGGTTTAATAATAAACATTAGGGATGAATGGAGCAATAATCTACTTGGTCAGAAGCTTCTCCCAACTAAAATCTCTGAACCATGGATGTTCCTTCACTTCATCTGGACCATTGTTGCCCAATCGATTCTGCGGTTTCCTTTGTAAAAGCTAAAAAAAGACATTGATAATACCTTATTTGTAAAATCAGCCGCCTCTAAACTCCATCCTGGTGGAATTTCTTGTCTCTTGATAACTGCCTATTTGGCTAGCATTTATTCTCTTATTTCCTATCTGCTCCTCCCTAAATATGGTCTTCTGCCTAACATGCATTCATAGATGATCACTCCCAAAGCAAAGTAATCTACTGCTACACCGTGATTGTGTCCTATAATTAGAAAACAAAGATTTACTACACATAACTTCTGGAGCCATATAGCCGGGAGTTCCACTCGTATCTTGGGAATTCTCGGGTTTCCATATTCTGGCTATACCCAAATCAGTTAATCTGAGATATCCTAGTCTCATTAAATCAATGGACCATACCATTACTATCAAACACCAAATTCTCCGGCTTTAGATCTCTATGCAATACTCCCTGTTGGTGCAGGTAATCCAATGCCACTATGATGCACCCACTGAAAAACTCTTGCTTTAGATTATGTCTGTATACTTGTTTATTCTTCATTGAATTTCCTGTGTCTTCCTATGTGATATCTCAGATCTCCCCCAGAGAGCAAATCCATTACCAAATACAAGTATTCTCTGTCTTGGAAGGAGTATTGCATGTTGATCAGAAAACTTGATTCAATTTCAATTTTTACTTATGTTTCAAACCACTCAATAACGTCTTTTCATTCATCACAGACTATACCGACTTCTTTTGAATGATTCTAAATTTTAATCACTTCTTACTTTGGTTTAGACATCACCTTCAGAGCATAGAATTACTTATTTTTCTTTTATCTAACTTTCCACACCTTTCCAAATCCACCTCTCCCGATTGCATCGATAAACTGAAAATTTTACACCGAAACCACTAAAATATCGATCATTATTCAATACCATTATTCTCCATAAGATCTTCCTTTTTTTCATTAATATTACAATTGCCCATACTTTTTATTTTTATTATTAATTATATGATTCTTTATACTTTAATTTCCAAAGGAAATCTAGTCTTGTCAGAATATACAGAATTGGAAGGAGATTTTACTGAAATGGCTCGTATTGTACTCAAAAGTGTGAAGCCCAATTAGTAAAAATAAATATTTAGTAAAGTATATGATGGTAAAACGTAGAATGAATATGTCTTTTGCATTACATGTATTTCCAATCTTCGATTTCTCTGTATGATCCATAATAGTTAAAACAAAGAAAAGGCTTTTGCCTTCCTTGAAGCCATTCACTAAGAATATTCAAATTGCTCCAAAAGTATTTCGATTCTAAAATCAAAGATTCCGATTTTAATAATGGCCAATTCTCAGCTCAAATCTGCCGCATGATGAAAGGCTTCAATCAATTGGACCAAAAAGACGCATTGACCAACCTTGAAGAAACTGTTGAAGACCTAAACGAATCAGCATTTCAGAATCTCCGTAAAATGATTGGTATTCATTCTTTCTAAATATTGATTAGAAAGAGAAGTTAGACTTGAGGTATTAGTTAAAAAGACTGAAGAATTGACTAAGAATGCGGATATCATCTTTAAATATAGTAGAAATGTTCATAGGGCAACAAGAGGTAGCGAATTTAGACTCGGAGGAAAAGTCTTAATTCTGTCTTTGGTAATATTTGCAATTTTGAGCTTATACATCTATTATCAAATTTGAAACTTATTTTTTAAATATATTCACTATCACTCTCATAATATATGTGTTCTGCTTTATATACAATATTAATAGAAATTTAATAATTAATTCATTTTTTAATTATTATTCTCTTGGATTCTTAATTTCTTGTAGAATATCTTTACATAGCAAATACTTTCTACCTTTTGAGAAGGTATCAAAATAGTACCATTACATCCAAAACTTCTAATTAGATGGACCATAGTAAGTAAAAAAAACACATAAATCAGATTGATTCGATTGTTACATATGGTATGATTCTTAAACCTCATTAAATTAATGCCGATTAAGAGAATCTTTCGATTTATATTTATTATGTATTAGTATAAAAAGATGTATTTCTATATTTAAAACTACAACTATAATTAATTTTCACGTATATTATAAATTCAGGATGTAAACATTGGAGCAATTTTTTGATTAAAATTAAATAAATTATATTTTAAGGTTTTGTGATCAGTTGAAATTTTGACCTATTATATTGATTAACCATAATATTCTTTCACATTTTTAAAAAAATGAGTAAAGTGCATTTGTATTTAATTTCAAATCATATTACAATATCTTTGCTATATGTTTATGTCTTTCCACAATTTAAATCCTTATTTAAAAGATAAGATTTAATTTTTGGGAAAATAAAAAAATGGTCTCGGAGGGGATCGAACCCTCGACCGTCAGCTTATTAGACTGACGCTCTAACCAACTGAGCTACGAGACCTGTCTTAATTATACTTTTAGATTTTTGAATTTAAGCTAGTAAGATTAAAGATCTAATCAGTGCAAACAATGAAATCCAATTAAATAGTCTAATCATTTTTAATATTATTACAGATAAAAACATTTAAATGATAGAACAATAAATCATGATTCATTAATTATTTAATTAATTATGAAATTCCTCTCTATCAAAAATATATTTGAATTTAAAGACAATCATATAGATGGAGTCAGAAACAACCTATTGAAAAATATAAGTAATCAGAATTTAGATTAAAGATTAACTTTAGGGTTTGGGATTACCGGATGTTTGTATTGTAACTAAATAGTAGCCAACTCATGTGATGAAATCGACTTTAGAGACCTAATCCTCGTTTCATTTTATTTAAGGGTTGTGCCCTCAATCGTAGGCTGATGTTTTTGCATACCTTCAAACGATTTTACAAAATTAAGAAAAATCAGAGCATTAAGGCTTGTTCTCTAAAACATAGACTATTTAAAAAGTAAAAAAGCTCTTCTAGATAGTTAACTTATATTTGTTACGACATTTTTTCCAAGACTTTCTTGGTGTGCGAGATTTAAGTGTTTCTGGAAGGGCAACACAAATCAAAAACATTCGGAGTACAAGAGAATCAGCAATACATCTTACCGACTAGGTAGCATTGGCAAGGAGTTTATATAAGTAGTATATTAAGAGCAATTGATGAAGAATTTAAGCTAGCAAGCGTTGGTAGATTCTTTAATAATATAAACTTAAAAAACAATAAAAAGCTGTCTGAAGTTATACAGTTGCTTTTAGAATTAATAACAACTAATGTAAACCTTTTTTAAGACCTTGACAAAATTAGTTCAATAAAAGACTTCCCTGAACTTAAGGATGTCTTGTATTATTTGTGTTGGCCTTTGGAAATCCTGGTTTCGTATTTAGAAAAATCCAATTAACTATAAATATTAATAATAGAATTAGAAAACATAGAAGATAGTATTGTATTTTATTTGATTAAAAGCATTTTGTTCTATAAAATGAAGTAACTATGATATTTAATTTAGAAATTACGAAAAATCCCTATCATGCTTGGTGCATATATCTTATATGTGTTCGCAATTTAATCTGGTTAAATACATATTTGGAAAGGTCCTCATTAAATTGGGTAGGCATAAATAAGCCTTCTTGATGCTAAAAGATACCTTAGTAAGCTCCTATGAGAATTAAATAGTTTGGATTACGTTGGTATATATATCATCATATAGTAGGCTTCAATATTTAGAAAGAAAAATAATTATCAGATATGTCTCAGCCTTTTAAATAAAGCTGCAGAATTCTAAGTAAAAAGAACAAGAAAAAGTATTTGGAGAGAAATTCACATGTAGAATTATCGAGTGTTGACTCAAGACTCCTCAATTGTTAATCTTACTGATTTAGATAAAGTTTATTCTGTAATCAACCCTATTCAAGTAAATAAAATTGAAAGTTTCTCATAATTGAGTAATCATCCCGTACTTGAATAACTTCTATTGAGACAGAGAGCTTTAGATAAAAAAGAATTAAAAGTATTAAATTATTATATCAATAGAGTTGGCATCTTTAAGCTCAAAAATTGATAAGCAATCAAGCCCAAAAAATTGAGAAATAAACAATTGATTTCATTTCATCAAATCAACTGCTTGAAAACAAATAAGCACTATCGTTATTCTAAAAAGAAATAATTAGGCTTTCAAATTAAGTGGGCCTAAAACAATTACTAAAATACTTATAACTATATTTCTATAGTCCACCTCATAGTTCCTATTCTATTTTTGATACTAAAATAGATAATAATTGCTTCCAAATTAAACTAAAAAAAAAGAATTAAAATAATTTGCAAAATGTAATATTATACTAATCTCATAATAGAGTGATCAAGTTAACTGCACTACAATTTCTTTAGGAAATATTGATTCAGATGAGGAAACAGAACCTGTGTTTCTAAAGTCAAACCTAAACAAAACTTTTGACTTTACGAATACTTGTTCTCAATCCACCTTGTAATCCCCGAATTCTAAAAAGAAACAATCAAATCTTAAGATTACAAAACAGTTCTTGCAAAAATAAGTTAGCAAAACATATTAGGTAATTCAAGAGAATGCTTTTGAAAGTGTTGAATCTGAAAGAGATTGTGTAAATCAAAACAAAGAGTTTGGTATTCGATATCTTTAAAAAAAGATAACAATGGAAACATTAAGTGAACAAAGTTTCACAAAGGATCTTAAAGTTAAAATATTTGGGTTGATTGATCATCTTGGTTAAAATATTCCTTAGGATAAGCAAAATTAGATCGGTGATTAAATAAAAAGGAGAAAGGATACTTTACATCCTGCGCTTTTAGAATTTATCGATTAAATTTCGGTGACTTAAAACATTCTCGATGATTTATTTTACAATAGCAACCAAAAAACAAAGACTTTCTAAACATCTATATAATCATCTTTCAATTCTTCCGAAAAGCAAACTCCAAAATCAAAAATACCACAGATATTTAAATCTTAATTAAAGGAATCTGTGATAAAAAAAAATTACCTGAAAAAAAAAATAGATATTAAGGATATTTATAATTTGTATGGATTATCGTTTTAAGATAATGATGAGAAATCAACCTATTTTTAATTTACTAAATAAGAATCAATATTTCTTTATAAGTGTAGCAAAATAGCTCTGAGACTCAAATAAAATGAATTAGCATAAAAACTTCTTGAAAAAATAAACGGACGAGTTATTTCTGTTTAAATTTCGTATTCATTATTACAAATTTACAAGGATAATCATTCTTAATTAATTTAATTGTAAGTATTTTATATATATTTTAAAGAATCTAAAAAATAATGGTTGATTTCATAGAGTGTGGGATCTCAAAAATAGAATCAATGCCTTTATGGATTGAAATTCATTTGATTCGATTAATCAAATTAAAAGGATCTAATTATGTTTTGGGATTATTAGGTTAACTAGAAAATGAAGATGCCTTTTAATTGATGAAAAAGATTGTTCTATAATCTGAAAACCTTCTTTGACACAAATTTGTTGATTATTATTATTTTATGTGTGTATTGTTATATTAAATTATTTTTAGTTTGGTTTATTAACTTATATGGTCTTTTTTTACATAATAATGTTGTTATAACAAATATTTACTTAGAATCAATAATTAATATTTAAAATAATACTATAAGAAACGTATTAATTTAAGATATACAATCAAACAATTGTTTATTGAACAGAATTTCTAGCCTAAAATCTAGACTTGTTGAAATTTAATTGAGCATATTCTTGAGTCTCACTTTTTTTTAACTTTGAGCTTTTTCGTATTACTTGATGTGTTTGAATTTGCGAATCCTTTTTCAATACTTTGAAATTGGGAATAGCACTAATGTGAGGAGACTCATGATCTACTTACAATTCATCTGGATACTTTTCAATTTCGTTGATTTCTTTTTAAAGAGGATTATTGTTTCTCTCTCCAGGTGTAGGACCTTATATTGACTTTTTCTTAGCTAATTACTATTCATCATTATGAGTAATGTCGCTTTAAAAATAAGAATGAGATAAAGCTGATTCTGCACTTATTCTTTTTTCTGGATCAATTTCAAGCAGATTTTACAAAAGATCGATTTCTTCTGGAGTTAGCTTATATAATTGAAGTATCTTTAAGTCAATGTTGCAGATTTTATTTAACCTTAAGATCTCGTTGGATGTTTTTCCTGGAAATAAATCACGGGTTGTAACCCTATTAAGAATAATAAAACCATTAATTTTACAATTTAAAGAAAATACATCCAACACTGAAAAGATCCACCTTTTCATTATAGCAGTCTTTGAATTTTTCGGGTGCTGCATAACCAGGAGTTCCACAAACTCTTAAATCTTATGAAGGATTAATAGGCACTGCTAAATCAAATTCGGTTAATTTTAGTCCTTCTAAGGAATCTTTATTTTTGAATACGATATTTGTAGGTTTAATATCTCTATGCATTATATTACTGGAATGGATATCTCTAACAGCAGTAATTAGTTGCTATAATATTGATAATTTATATTACTTTCATAATAATTAATATTTAAGTTTTATCCAAAGCGACATTCATAATTAATTCATACAAGTTTGCTCCTTCCAGATATTCTTAAATTAAATATACAGTATTCTCTCCGTTATAAACTTCATGTAGATTTTACACATAATCAGATCGAATATTTATTAAGCAAGAAATCTCATTATGAATTCGTGTCTAATTTTATATGCAATATGTACAATAGAATCTTCAAATTAGTTTTTGGCAAGACATTTTATTTCGTATGAACTGCCATTTATCCTGTCAATACATAAATATACCTAAATGTTGATTATGAATTACTTCATCAAAATTTCCTTCACCTAATTAATGCATAGGTTTGTAAAGCTAACTAACTGAGGAATACATAATTCTATTTCTTATAGTTTATCGCAATTTTAAAAGGTCTTCATGAGATGATTGGAATTATTTCTCCATGTTGTTCCATATAATGCTAAAGCTTGTTAGTTATTTCATTTGATTTAACTGCCATGAAATGGTGTAATGTAAATCTAATTCAATGATGTATTTCGGATCCTTTCCAATCTGTGATAATATTTGATGCATACCTAACTTAGAGTAATCTTAGTTGGAAGCAACTAAAGAACATATTTCTAATCAAAAAAAGTATGCTATCGAATACAAATGAAGCTTAACTAAGATTCCATTAATTAAATAATAGATTTTTATATTTCATTTAATTAGTTTGAACCTAGATGCTTTTTCTATTTTAGATAATCAAAGATGATTAATTCTAATTATTAAATTTTAATCTAGAGGCTTTTTTTTGATGATTCCAAAAAATTAGTGCATTGTAAATCTGGATATTGAGTGTAGTATTGTGTTTCAAGATATAAAAGATTTCTAGATTTTTTTCTTTTTTAACCTTTCGAATATAAATTTGCTATTTCTTTGATACAAAGTACAATAAATCAAAAATTATTAATTTACAAGGTTCTAATTACATTGGTATGTTGCTTAAAGAGTTCATTTATAATTGTGAATATCTAACTACTTTGTAGAATAATCTAAATAATTACAAGATAATTCTTTAAATATAGTTTTAATATTTTAATTAAAAAATGATGCATCTAAGTCATCAAGCTTATCTCTAATATTGGAAAATGGAGATGTGATGCTAAAAATCAAGATATGTATTGATTCAAATTTAGAATTCCGATTAAATTTATTATTAATTCTTATTCATAATATAGCTAAGTATTTAATTAGATATCTATCCAATTTATATCAATTAATTTTATAATACCTTTAAAATCTAAAAAAGTAAGCTAATAAATTAAATTGTTAGAGAAATAGTAATAATAAAAAAAATAAAAGTCTGTATTAAAATAATTAAATAAGTTTGGAGGATTGAATAAATTACTCATAATATGGATATTATTATGAAATTTATTGAGGCTTTTAAATTTTAAGTCAATAAAACATTATTAAGAACATGATATATCAATTATTTCTATTTTTTTGTTGTCTGTTATAAAAAGGTGTTAGTGTTGTTATGATTTTTGATAATCAAAGATACCCTATTTATAATTGAAATTTTAAGATCAAATGTAATTTAAAAATTGATATATTTAGATTATATCTTTATATTTTAAGACGCTAAACTATATCCTAATCATGTAATTAATTTTGAATTATCTCTTCTATTCATAAACAGCTTGCTGGACATATTGAGATTAATTCTATGTTTAAGGATGGCAATTAAGATGGAATAATTAACCATTTCTTCTTCTCTCTAGAAAAGGTCATAGAGTTTATTTGGGTTATTTTAAGAACTAGGGGTTGTTGATAATTAGGTTTATTATAAATTTTTAATTTTATTTGATAATTAAATGAGTGGAAATAAGAAGATGGATGCTTTGATAAGCATGAAAGCTGAAATCTAGGCATAGAAGGAAGGATAAGAAAAAATATAAAAACTATGTTTCGAAAATATCAACATTGGATAATTTACAAATGAAACATTAAAATTATTGTCAAAATATAATGATTTAAGTAAAAATGATGAATAAAGAAAGTATGTTTGGAATTTAATGATTGCAAATTGTCATCTTTGGATAATTTGATAGGATTCCCAAATCTAACAAAATTACGATTATGCAATAATTATTTGGATAAGAATAGTCTCCAACATATTATTTAGCATTTTCCAAAGGTCACATACTTAGACATAAGTGGAAACAAAAAAATTAGCGAAGATGTATTTTATTATTTGAATAAAAAAAGGATCTTAAAGTTTTGGTTGACTTAAAAGAATTATAGCATCTAGTGTTTAATGAAAAAGATACTAATAGAGAACTGTTGTTTGAGTAGATACCATAGTTGAGTTATATTGATCATAAGGATAAGGCTGGAAATGAGATTGAGGATGAGGAAAACGAAGATGAAGAAGATGAGGATGAAGAGGATGAAGATGAGGAAGATGAAGAGGACGATGATGATGAAGATGAAGATGATGAAGATGGAGAAAGTGCTGAAGAAGCAGAGGAATCTGAAGTTGAATAGGCAGTTTAGAAAAAGAAAAAAATGTGATGAGAAAATATTAAAATTAAATATAGACTCATTTTTTAGATGGTTCAGTCAATAAACTTTAATAAAATTTTAGGTTGGTAACACTTTTTGTATTTTTGAGTGTATCATTTGAACATATCACTGATGATAGTTATGATTATGATTATTGGGATAATAGTGATTGTTAACTATTCTGAGAATTTTTTGTTCTCTTTCTTACTAAAGAATCAATTGTGTCTTTGGTAACTTACGTAGATGAGTTTTTATCAAATTCATATACTTTGTATCTTTTCTATTGATAGAAAAAGGCACTTTCAAACATGGGTGTAAATTAAATAATCAATTTCTGTTCCCTGTTTAATTATTCAAATAATATTCTATCATTTGTTGTAGGCTATTTAAATGATAATTTTGTAATATCAGGAATGTAAGGAGGATCTATTTTTTTTTGAATGTACTTAGTAATGTCAATGTCTTAGAACCAAGGGTGTGCCAATATATCATCAATTCCATTCTTCGATCCCAATCTCTTACTTGGATCCTTAATCATCAATAATCTAATTAAGTCTTTGACTTCTGGACTCAACTGTTTGGGGAATGTCACCTATTCATTCAACAATCTGGTGTAGATGATGTTTCTATCTTCACAATAAAAGGGAGGGAGTCCTGTAACAAATTCATATAATAATGCTCCTAAACAATAATAATCAACTAAATAATTATGTCCATCATTATGGAACATCTCAGGTGCCATGTACTCAGGAGAACCACAGAATGAGTATGCATTTTATTCTGGTTGCATGTTGGGTCTTGCCAAACCAAAATCAGCCAACTAAATATGTCCTGTTATATCAATTAACACATTCTCTGGTTTTAAATCTCGATAGATCATTTGTTAATGGTGTAGAAACCCTAAGGCTAAACAGACTTCTGTGATGTAAAATCTGGCTTGTGATTCTGTCATCTTTTAAACTCTTTTCATGTAACTAAACATTTCTCCCCCAGGACAATAATCAATGCCAAAGATTATCCAATTTTTGGTTTCAAATACAAATTATATCTTTGATGTGAATAACGAACCTTTGTTTGTAGTTTCTATAAGTATATCTCTTTCATTCTAAACTAAGTCCTGCTTCTCATTTTAGATGACAAAACTTTTGCTGATAAACTTTAAGGCAACGAAACTACCATCTATTAATGATCGAGATAAAATAACTGTTGAGAATCCACCTCTGCCTATGACATGTAAAAACTAAAAGCAACTTAAATTCAATTGTTTCGGTGGAGATATACCAATTATGGGTTTCAATCTTATGGTTTTGCCAATCATGTGGTTCATTGGGAGAGAGGGAATTGTGAGATAATAATCAAGCCCAATATTTTCATCCAATGTTGCAAACCCAATTACTTGATAGCTGCCTGACTTACTTTTTAATACACTCAGCATTTTATCTGTAGTTACATTAGGATGAAATCTGTGATTTTGGGTAACTTCTGAGGAGTAGTGAACGTAAACAGAAATTTCCTATTTAGGCATTTTATCAATTGATGAAGACTTCCCCCCTGCTTAAATAGAACTGGTTAGAAGATCTTCGACACTGCTTCTGCGAGTCATTGAACCTTTTTCTAAGATGAGTTTATTTTTATTTGTCAGTTTTTAGTTTAGAATTAAGTTGATTCCCTTTGATATTTATTGAAATGGGAAATTTGTTTCAGTTGGAACTTTCGAAGTTTTTACTTATGGTTTAGGTTTATCTCTAGAATTTGATCGCTGCTAACTATGCACTCTCTCTGTTAAGCTGCCATGATTAACCTTACGAGCAGAATCTTATTTCACCAAATCCTTCAATATAATTTGCGACAGATTTCTTTGAATGAATTTTAAGGGAGATTGTGATGCATTTTTGCTAGTGTGATTCTTGGTACTCATCTAAAAGTTTTATATTACACGAGCTGGTGACATTATCTAACCACTTCGTTATCTCATTTATTGTTATCAAATAAAAAAAATTATTATTATTTACATTATCGATAGGTAAAAATAATCAGATCAAAATTGCTATTGATACTCACATTCGATTTGTAATTTCCAAACAAACTAGCATCCTAATATTATTTAGACGATTTATATTAATTAAATAAAAGAATGTCATTCTACATATTGCCTACTATTCCTAATTCAAAATCACCTATAACTAATTAATTGATTATGAGGATAAGAATGAATTTTGGCTATTAAATTAAACTTTTATCATATATAATTTTATTGATATTTCTAAAAATATCAACTCATTCTAATTTAATATTCTCCATTTTATGTGATGTATCTGACCCATGGCAATGCATTGTATCCACTCTTGTCTTAGATCTTTAAATATCTGACTTAGAATCCAGAGACAGTAAAGTAGGGTATTTCAAAAGTGATATTGATGGGCATCTTCTAAAATTTATCTCTATTTGGTGACACAATCCTATATTTAATTTGATATGCATATATACGTTGGGAGATGGAATACAGCATTCATCATGAAGTCTCTTTGACCTCCAAATTATTTGATACTCCAACACATAGCCTCCTTATCAGGCATATAATTGACAGAACCGTGAGCAGTTCTGAATTGAGGTTACTCGGCATCATCAGGTACTGGAACAAATATCTAAATATATAAATGACTGTGTTACTTCCACATTGTTGGCTGTGCTCTTGGGCTTGAAGTTAGATTTAGCTTTAACTAAGAATTCAATCTTGGTTGCTGATTTCCTCTCAATCAGGACATCCACTGAAAAGAGTGGCTTCACTCTTATATCTAATCTATAAGAAATCAATTCGAAATCGCCATCTGGAGGTATGAATTGAATGACTCTTTCATTTTCAAATTTAGACAGTCTCACACATTAATGGAACTTGATATCATCAAATTCAACTGCTCTTGCTCTGGCTTGACGTCCTTGTGCTTCAAAAAATGCTTTATCGTTCAAACCCAATTTCAACTCAGGCATTCCACTCAACATACATTTCACCTACACTTATCCTATGATCTCGCTCTTTATTACGTTTCCTTGTTGACCGATTAGCATGTTCAATTTCTCAATGACGTCCAAAAACACTTCATTCTTCTTATACTTGATTCCCTCCTTTCTCCATGATATCTTATTAGAAACCAATGCAACCACATTGAAATTGGTTGGTTCTGGTTACTTTTTCTCTTTCAATTAGAAGCTTTCAGTTTTTATGAATTCTTTCAAAATTTTAAATTCTGTTGTTTACGGATATCCATTATCAAGCATTTCATCTAGCAATTCATAGACAACTACAAAATTATCTCGAATAGACTCTTCCTCAACGTTTACAAAATATTCCTACAACACCTACACCAATCTGAATAAGAATGAAAAAATCATCAAACAATTAGCATTTTAAGAGCACACTGTCATAAATATTAAATTGTTATGCCTTATAAATATGTATGTATATCCATCCTTATCTATCATCACAGGCTTCTGAGTATATTCATCAAATTCCAATAATTTTTTATTAAATGTTTCGTGAATATTTGCAGGCAATTCATTTCGATATTGCCTTGAAATCAGAACTCTTCCCTTCTGATCCAAAATGTAAATCGATGAAATTCCAAACATTATTAATAATAAAACACGTCAAATTAAAATAATCTGTATATATGCACAATATCTAAGTTATTATTAAAAAAAAATTAATTGTTCCATTATCAACAAATAGAATTTGCATATGATTTCATTGTAAAGACATTGAATAAATACACTTCTCCCATAATTGACTTGCTATAAATATGAAGTAGACTTGATAGAAGAATTTTATTAATGAAAAAGAGTTCAATGCTCCTATTACATCCTAGAATAATAAAAGCCATAATGATTTTATTTTGAGATTGATCACTTATAATTACATTGTATTAGTATGAATGAATATCTCAGGATTATTATTAAAGATATATGATTGTTAGGAATTCATTACAAGAACTCAATAGCTTCATAATATTAATTTTGTAAATGATATAGAATCAAGAGATTAAATTATGAAAAAAGGATTCAAATATATAAAAAAATTATGTTAGTTGATAATCTTTAGTCTGAATTAATAATTAATTTAATTCAAAATCCTTATTTAACTATTTGACCAGCTTTGTATAAATTAGCTGAAGATTTTTTACTCAAAATTGACATCAGTTCATTTTAAAGGGACACCGATAGATTGTTTTTTTAAGGAGGGGAGGAATCTGTTCTAAATTTATTGACTGATTATTCTTCAGATTACTATAAGTATACTTATTATTGTTGAGTTGTTGAAAAGTTTATTTTTTCTGATTCCAATTACTAAACATATTCATCCAATTAGTAAACTCTAGTTTATAAGGAACTTAATTGTTATTTATAATAGTCAATTTAACCTACAACTGAATTTTTCTTGAGAATATCTTCCTTTGCAAAATTTAAGATTTAATAGTAACTTTATGAATTCACAGATCTGCCTTAATATCTCATATCGTATTTATTTATTTAATACTTTAATTCTTTTAGCATCTTATTAACTATATTAAAATCTGTTTACTTTCCTTCTTCTATTTCATGAAATATTGGGATGAACTTTTCAAAGGTCTAATCAATGACTTCATTAGCTTCAAATTCAAGGCTCACTACTTCATCTTTAATGTACAAGGCCTTTTTCAGTTTTTTAACAAAAATAATTGCATATGCTACTTTTCTGAATCTCAAGTAAACATTGTTACTCCTAGCCTAGAATTCATTCCTAAGCAACACAAAATAATGGATGTAATTTGAATATTAAATAAATTATGAAAACAAAAATTAACTTCTCTTATTTTTAAGTAAGTAAGATAATAAACTATAACTTAAAGCCACTTTATTTTAAGAAATAGCTTTTCTTACGAGTAGCTCTTCGAATTCAACTTATAGTTAGATGTATTAATTATTAAGCTCTTCAAATTCCTATGCCAAATCCTATTTCTATAATAAACACTATTAGCTTAACTTCTCTTTTTCTAAGATTTATTAATCATATTGATGACATGATTCAACAAGTTGATTGATATATTAGTTATCTTTTTATGCTTTTAAATTTTGTTGTTCAAGAGCATCTTGTAATTAATTGATTTTGTCTTCCTATTATTCAATTATAATTTAATGCTCTAATTGCAATTAGTCTTTTGCTTTGATGTGCTCAGAATTCAATTATTCAATTTTATATCTCAGCTACTCTCCTACCTTGTGCATCTCTTAGATATTTTTACAAACTTGATCATTTTCATCCTTCAATTAAGTATTCGTAGATATTAAACTCTATATGATCTCTTTGATATCTATAAAGAATTCCTCAATTTGTATTTAATTATAACTATATTTCTTCTTCTTTTTGGGGACTGACCTACGACTGGAAGCAGATGATGATTTTCTACCTTCATACAACCTTTCATAGACATTTGATTTCTTTTTAACAACCAAACACTCTGAAATAGTTTCATCAATTTATTATTAAATATAATTAAACAATTTTGAGAACTCTTTGTTTTATTATTCCAATTAATTAGAGTACTCCTTTTGTTGTTTATAGTGATCATTCTAAATTTCGCATTCTTTCCTTAATTTTTCATTGGCCTTATTCATTTCATCAAATTGTAATGCATAATTCTTCTCACATTCCATTGCAGTCTGAACTTAAATATTGAATTGCTCATTTAACTATTGATTCTTCTTTTCTAAATCCTCAAACTGAATTTTCATATATTTCAACTCAACTAACTCCTAATGTTGTTATTCCAATCTCTATCGATATTCTTCCAACTCTTATTTCAATAGCTCATTCTCTGTTTCCAATTATTTAAGCATATTCATTACACTATTTTCAAACTTATTCTTTTCAGATGTAACCTATTTTAATGATGATTCTGCTTCTTGCTTTTCTTTTTTTAAAATTGAATTTTTCTTAGTTAATTATTATAATTCATCCTCCAACCCCTTGACTGCATCTTTTATCAATGAGATCTATTCAGTAACCTCTTATTGAGCCATTTACTTTGTAGATATTTCCTAGCTTTAAAATTTGACTTTTTCTAAAAGCTCCTAATTCTTATCTTAGACTTCCTTCAATGCAACCAATAATTATTAGTTAAATTATTGCAGTTACTTGTTTTTTTTCTATTAATTGTCAAACATTTGATCATGTTCTTCTTACAATATAGCAAATTATCGATCCCCATACTCTTTTTATTTGATTGCCTAACTCAATTATTCCTCCAACTCTTGTAGTCTTTCCTAAAGTATATTGATTGTTTAGTCTTTAATCTAAACATCATTACTCAATAACTTAATCCTAGTGTAACTTTCCTAGATTGCTTAAACGCTATCGTTCATACTTAAATTTAAAATTATTTATAAATAACAATCTAATGTCATTTCATAAAAAATCCTGCACAATTCAAAATTGAGAATGAAACAAAGGACAGGAATCCTACTGAATATTGAGTAGACCTTTTTCAATTATTTAAATTTCTTTATCAACCTCTCATCAATTTGAAAACCAATGTCATTTAAATGGCAACTTTGCATATTAGAATCTAATAAAGAGCTCAAATTAGCTAATTTATTGCTAATTCATTCAAAATACAAGGCTCTCTGTTTCAAAGTGAAATGTAACTACTATAATTGTTTCAATCTCTTCCTCAGATTCAATATCTTACTATATTTAGAATGTTGCTTCCCGTCTCTTTGTCATTGCCCCTTCAAAAGATACTGCATAATCACGTTAAAACATTGTCTTTTATTATTTATCAATTTTCCACCAATCAAATTCCTCTGTCTTCATATGGAAGAAGCTTAATATTTAATTTAGAGGCAGACACACTGAAAATTAAATATGCTTTATTTTAAATTAAAAGACAGTAAAATAGCATTAATATATCATTTAAATTAAACTATAATAAAAGATTAATATTTGATAATATATTTAGTTTGAAAAAATCAAAATAAGTCATCAATATCTTATATTGAAAATTCTAACTCTTATTAGCAACCCACATTTTAAAATTATTATGATAATCTTTAGAACAGACTAATTCTTAATTGTTTAGCTTTTTAGGACTTTATTAATGGTTATTCAAAATCCTTATCGTCTAATAAGATAAAGACTTTGCTTTTGAGAATACAAGAAATGCATTAAGGTTCTATAATTTTAGATGATTAATCTACAATGCAATAATCGAAGGATTAGGATTACAAAATATCAGTACAATACTAACAAGATGAGAAATAAAATTGCTTATCTTCTAATTTCTTTTCAACTTCTGGTATATCCTTACAATTTTTAAACAAAAAAGAATATTGTTAATAATTTTCTGGAATTTTATCTTTTTCTCCTTGCAATCTCAAAACCCATTAGCTTTCATTAGGAAACGTTTCAATAAAATCTTGAATTTAGTAATCTATGACTTCTTAGTCAGCTGCACAATACAATACTTTTTTATTTGCGTATCCTAATAAAAACAATAAATGACTCAACATTTTTCTCTTGCCATAACTGCCTGATATTAAAGCAAAATCTTCAGCCAATAAACATAATTGAATAGCTTTTATTTGATATTCATTTAAATTTTTTGAAAATTTTTCCATAAGAATTGCATTAGCAACTTTTTAATTGTCATCCATTTCAGTAACCAGTCTGAATTTAGGTTCCATGCCAAAAATTAGAATCTCCTTCTTCCTTTGATAAATATCCTTATTGGTTGCCAATTCAAAAATGATAAATTTATAATGCTTAAAAGGATTCTTCTAGAATAATTTATGAATCAATTCATCATTGATTTATAAATGTTCTCCTAATAAGTCTATTTGTTCATATTCTAAAAAAATTTGTAAGCCTATGGCATAATCAAAATTTTAATCATCTGCTTCAACTTCTTCCACATCTGTTTAATTTTCAATTAAATTAATTATCTGAGTACCCTAAACTAGCCATGCATCCTGAAAGTTGTACTTACAATTTTATTAGGTTCTAATACAAAAAAGAGTTATCTTTGTTTTATCTTAAAAGCATTATCTCAAGATTTCATTAGCTTATTATTTTAGATAATAATTTTTTGATTACAATGTAATTTGAATCCCAGTTTAGCAACTCTTTGTTGCTTAAATATAATATGTCGCTTAAGGAATAAGTATAGTTTATTCTTCTTGTCTAATATTCTTCAACATCTCATTTAAATACTCTTTTGTTTTAGATTACAATTATTAATTAATGTTATCGTAAAATGGATTCTAAAAAGTTAACTCTGATTATCCAGTTAAAATATGCAATCCATAACAAACAGATTTATCATCACATTTCTCACACTTATGATTAACATCTCGTTCGCTTTTTAGTTCATCTTTTAAATCAGGAAGTTTAGAATAACAGTCTTTAGGTTTTTCAAACATATAGGTTTCTGATATATACAAATTCCTAAAAAAGAATAAGCTGTTCATTTCACGTTAATTACATGTAACAACGTCAAGTTCCAACTTGTTTAAATACAATAATAATCCAAACTAACTCTACTATTTATAAAAGTTATTCATTAATAGTAGATAAGTTTGAACCTAAAGCTCATATGACTATTTCTTTGCCCCAGTTTTCAATTCTATAGGAATATAGCAAGTTTTAAATTCCTAATTATTCTTACGAAATTTGACTTACACTACAACATCTAGAAATCCTTTTAATCCATAAACCGAAGATGATATTTATTATTCGTTGCTAACCCATTTCAAGATGTGAATTTCAAATACATCTGACGCATATTATTATTTTAAAATTATTGGCTACTTCTTCTATACATATTATTGTATCCATCTAAGTGTATTAACACACTTTGGAATGATGTTGATTAACATCTCTCTTATTGTTTTTTTCTCTAAATGGTAAAATTCTTATATATATCTAGAATATAACTGACTTATTGGTTGCAAAAATGATTAAGGTAATTTCTCCACTACTAACTATTATAAGTCTTTTTAATGTTCATCAAGTTATTCAATATTTTCAAATAATGAATCATAGCTTTTGACATCCATAATAATGTTTTAAAAAAAATCATGAAGAATCTTACCACTAATCATTTCTATAGTAGTTCCAAAGCATTGGTTTTGAAAAAATTCTCTCGTAAACTATTTCCTTCTGCAAAATTCGAGACCATTCAAAGTTGATGGCGCTACTAATGTTTCAGGTTCTAAAGTAAATGAATTATTATTTTGAATTTTTGATGTGAAGATTATTGCACGTGAATCAATAAACTCACCATTTACTCTAATCTACATTCCCTTCCTAATTTGCTTTAGATTGCTATAATGATCAAACAGAAATATCTATATAGTTTTTTCATTGTTGCCAAAGTTAAATTTTTCGCACGCCAAAATTAATAAAAAATGAGAAGTTGGTTATTTCTAAGCTCTTTTAATTATTGAAAGTATGTAGGAATCTATCTCAACTTCATTCCAGTTTAAAACATCCTTGATAATTAAATTGTAATTTGCATTCGACATGCAATCTTCATTATTAATTAAGTTTTCTCGATTAACAATCTACGGTTTTTCTTATAATTATAATTTTTTTGTTGGTCTATTCTCCTCTCTTAAAATCTCTTCTAGTTCTTTGTCAAAATTAGAAATTTTTTAAAGCATTATATGTAAAAATAAATAATTAACCGCCAAAATTCCATTAGCTTTAAACATAAATTAAAAACATAATTTCGGTAATAGAAATTGAAAATTCATAAAACTTAAATTCCAAATATTTATTGAGAGGTCAAAAATCTAATACTTTAGATGGACTATTGATTAATTATTACAAGTATTCTTTTATTTAGATATTTAAAAATCTTATATGAATTATATGTATTAGTATTATTGGGAACTCAAGATTTAGCATACTTAATTAGCAAAAGATATTCCATACGTGATAATATATGTTTTTCCTTGAAAGATTATCAAGATATAAAAATAGAGAGTATATTTATATCAATTTAGAGTTTATTAAATTAATTCGGAGTACAGAAACCTAAAGCTAGCTAATACTTGTTCTAATGTTGTTTGAATTACATAACATAAGGATTTAAAAAATGAGGATTTAAATAAAATTTATGATAAACTCTTTCGCGATTACTATTAATTTTCATTCTCTTTAAAATATTAAAAACTTTATTAATAATTATGAAAAGTGTCATGAAGTTGTGAAGATAGTGAATCCTCCTTTCAAAACCCTCATTAATTTATAAATATAGCAATTTAATTTCACTATAGATATTTGAATTCTGAAAACTTAATTGAAAAATTTTATGAAATTCCACCCATAAAATCTGCTGAAATAAAGTTGATTAATAATGATTAAATATATACCAATATATTTAAAATATAATTTTGTCAAAAGTATCAATTAAGTTAAATTTTATGAAATCATTTTAGAAGGTCATTAGATTCTGAATCACATTTCTTGTGGTATTTTTACATTTTTTTGGCATACTTGCAAACAGATATAATATTAATTTTATAACATCAACAACCCCTTTGATAAATTAAGTATTTAATTGCACAAATTTCATAAAAAGAAGATCCGGGATTTAACTCTAAGCACTTGTATCACTTTTTAAGTATTTTGAAAGGGGGAATCTCTTGGTCCATTGATTAATTTTAATAAAAAATATATTTTTCACTTTTTCTTTTATACTTCCAAATTTTCTAGTATTAAGGATTATACATCAGGTGAATTAGAATATAAGACTAAAGCAAATTTGCCTTGGGGAAAACCTGATGATTACTAATATAAGTATGATCGTAAAACCTCTGTTATCTGTAGTTTTTTAAATTCTCCTTTTCCTTTAAATTACAATTTGGTCTTTCCCACCAAAATAGGCTTTCCTTTGGAATTGACTGTGATTTCTTTAGGAAATTTATCAGCTGAAAATCTTCATTAAAGGAATAGGATACAATTTAATATAGACAGTGTATTCTTCATTTTTTGCCAAATTGCCAGAATAATCTCTTAAGGAAACAGAAAGTGTGAAATCAGATTTGCATTATAAGTTTTAAATTTCCTTCTCCAGATGAATAAAAATCGTTGCTTCTTCGTTGCTATACAACTTGTATAGGTTCTTGTTTCTTGATCTTGCTTTTTATTTAAAGTTCTCTAAACAATTCTAAACCGATTTGAGTCCCATGGCTAGATTGTGGATCTGAAGACTTTAGGATGATAGCATATCTTCAAGCATTTTGAAATTCAAATCTTTCTATTTATCGAGAAATTCTTACAATTCTTACATTAATAATCATAATGATTAAGACATTGCCTTTGTTGCTTCTACTTACAATATGTTTATCTGAAGATGCACCAGTAGCAAGATTTGCATATGGAAATATGAATTTGTTGCCAAGATAAAGAGCTCCTTTCTTTAGTGCTATTGCTGTCACTCCAGATTTGAAATTCCAGAAGATATCCCTCTCTGATTATTAGGAAAAGTATGTAGTCTTGCTATTTTACCCATTTGATTTTACTTACGTATGTCCCACCGAGTTGGTTGCCTTTTCAAATGCCATTGATCAATTCAGAGCATTGGGAGCAGAAGTTTTAGGTATTTCTACAGATTCTCATTTCACTCATTTGGCTTGGTTGAAAACACCCAGAAATCAAGGAGGAGTTGGTGATCTTTAGATCCCATTGTTGGCAGATATCTCAAAGAAGATATCAAAAGCATACGGTGTTTTGGTTGAAGATGAATTGGATGAATTATACGGTGCTTCATTGAGAGGGCTGTTTATTATAGACAAAAAAGGATTAGTGAGAACAATGCAAATAAATGATGCTCCAGTAGGAAGATCAGTTGACGAAACCTTAAGATTGATTTAAGCATTTTAATATACAGATACTCATGGTGAAGTATGTCCTGCAAATTGGAAACCTGGACAAAGAACTATTGTCCCAGATCAAGATAAGAAGGCTGAATATTTTGCAAAAAGTGAATTATGATCATCTATATCAGGTTAATTCAATCGATAAAGCTTTTTTAGTTATATTTTTTTTGTATTTAGATTATTAAATTATGGAATCATAAAAGCTATATTAGAGAAATTCACATTTCTCTCGAAAGTTCAAAAATCTTTACACTATATTTTTTATTGATAGTATTTTTAGGTTTTGTGCCCTTCACTATAGCTGCGTTACATCAGCTGTCAAAGTCTATCTTATACTTATTAAAATTTTTAAGTTTATTGAAGTCCAAAATGTTCTTTCCAAGCCATCATTTCCTATAAATACTAAAGAACTATTCTCCAATTTCCTGAACCTTCTTTTTAAGCTTTATTCATGTAATTATATTTCTAACTTTATTTTTCCAGACTACATTCTAAATTTTATCTCTACTACCTTTTCTTAGTATTATACCTAGATACTTCTTTTAAGATAAATGTAAACAACAATTTGGCCTTCAATTTATAGAATTAAGCTTCAATTTAATATGTTCTAATAAATAATCTGCAATTAATCAATTAATAATAATTAAAAACGAAAGAAGTGAATATCATTCTTATATCAATTGTCAGCATCCATATATTTAATCGTCTCTAATTATATATTTGACATACCTCATTCCATTAATAATAATCTAGAAAATTTACTGAACTTTTATGGAGTTTCTAATGGACTCATGCTTAAATTCGTAAAAAAAATTAATAAAATCAGATTAAAATATGTTCTCCAGATTTTGCTAAATTCTTTCTATTCCAAGTATTAACAATAACTTCAGGCTCTTCATTTGGAATTTCAGCCATCTTAAACTATTTCCCTGTTTCTCTATTTAACATCATTTGCTCCCTATCTTTTTGACTTTGCCCTGTTAAGAAGAGAAAATTCTTGCAATCAACAAATTTTTTCTTAAATTTATCCTACAATTTTTGATTGTATAATGTCATAAGTTTGTTTGTATATAATCTTGATTGTGGAGATTAAGTGGCCTCATTTTCGATTAGCTCTATAATAAATAAAAGCATATTTATTTACTTTTTTCCGAAATGACGGTTTCCAACTATTTAAATGGGTTATCAATAAGTTTTGTATTAAAATTGGCTTAAATATCAGATAACACAAATTATTATTATTGTGCAAGTCTCTCAGCATCGAAATCCGATAAAAAGCGATTCATTAACCTATTTTCAAACTGCTAGCAGCTTTTTGATTTATTTGTTTATGTGAGTAAAGTAAATTAGGGTCTATCATCTTTGTGATCATACCATCTTAATCTTAGATACCAATATCTACTGCTGTTCTTTTCTTCTTCACCTTTACTAAGTTCGATTGCTTAGATCTTTTAGTTTCTTTCCCTGAATTGGTCTGCCCTACTCATAATTGTTTATTCTGGTTCCCTTTAACAATTAGAAGCCACTTAAATATTAACATTCTCCCACTAGTTCTTCACATTTTCAAACTTTTTCATTGCTCTTTCTTCCCTCGAAATTGCATTTCTTAAATGAAAAGGTAGTTTCTCCTCAGCCTTCTCCCTCTCGATTTAAGCTTCTTAGATGTGTTTTTCAGCATCCTTAACTATTTTATTCAAATCTCTTTTGCTTAAATATTGTTAATCAACTTTATTCTTTTTTGGCGTTTTCCGAGCTTATTATTTATCTAAAATAATTGATTATGCTTATTGATTGGTTCTGGTTGGAGGCTGTTCATCAAATAATGAATCATCTGTTGTCATTTGATTTGGATTTTATTAATTTTTCTTTATTCTCTGAGATTGTCTTTGTTTTTCTTAATGAATTTTAAGAAACTAATTATATCCAACAACTGAATATTTGATCACCTTATCCGATTTATCCTTCTCAAATTATGGACCTCCTGTATAATCTATATACTTTTTCCTCTCTTCATTATTTGCCTCTACAATTCACGTATTATTTTACCCTCAAAAATATTCATTGTTGACTGCGTTAAAGCAAATGTATCAACACCTTATTTCAACACTCTTTTACAGTTATTCTGCTGCTGCATTTGTTCTTGATTTTAAATAAATTATTTAGTCTTATCTCCTAATCCATATTGAGTCTGATAAAAGTTGCCAGTTTCATTGGATCTAAAAGTACTTGTCTTTGTTGAGTTGTGTATTTGATCCAACATTAAGTCACTTCTGCTTGCTCCCTTCGATTGAAAGAGAATGGGTTATGAAACCAACAAGGTTTTTGTATGTTTTTCTGCTTTAGAAGGATTTATAGGTATTAACATTTATATATATAATTAATTCAAGTTTTTAATTTCAATATTTTCTCTAAGATCCAATTTTATTCATCGATGGAGGTTTCTTTCTTAAATTGACCCCAAAGTTCCATCCAATGAGTTTGTTGATTAATCCCCATAAACACTGGAATCTCTACTTTTTTGACTTCATTAAAACTCTTTTTTCTTTGATGCTACTATTGATAGCTACCACTTTTCCGTTCTTCCTTTGAAACATAGATCGTCTTTAACTACTATTAAATAACAATGTTTAGTTTCCCATATTAATGAATAGATGGCTCTGACATACTTTAAATTTACAGCTAAATTCAATTTTTAAAAAATTTATCAGATTTCGCGCTCCAGAATTTAAGAAATATAACATACAATTTAATTAATTTAAAATAAAGAATCTTTACTATCAAATATATAATTATTATTCAAAACCCCTCGTGAAAGTATAATAAATTTTATTAGTCTTATAATTATTTTCGAAACTGCTTGTGAAAGAATTAATAAAACTTTATCATTATTAAAAAATTAATTGAATGCCTTTCAAGCCCTATATATCAGATAAAGATTACATAAAAGGAAAACGCAAATTGTTCTTAGACAAACTGAGCGAAATTCTCACTGAAATTGCCCAAAACTATAACATTGAGTTATCAGCCAAATAATTTTTAATACGATACTTTCAATATATACTTGAATCTAATGAGAGACAACTCAGAGGTGATACAAGTGAGTTTGCTTATGAAATGGGTGATTATTTTAAAGATTTCAATCTCAAATATTTTTTTCCGAAATAAATTTGGTAATTCAGTGTTGCAAGTAAAACTCCATTTAATATTAAGAGACCTTCATCAATAGTCTATGTAATGCTTCAGAGTTGGATATCCTACATATCTTCGTACTATTAAATTTAGTATTGCAAGGTAAATTTACTAAATCTTCAGCATCGCTTATTGATGTTCTCACATATTAAGGAGGGAATACCAAATATCCTTTTGAATATGATTATATCATAAGTTTTAAATTCCGCAATTTCGTAAGAATAGTCATCTAAATTATTCCTATTTTGTATCCAATTTTAAATGAAGAAGGCAAACCTAAACATTTTGAATTCCATCATGAAATAATTTTGGTTGGATTGATACCTGAAAATTAGAAGGATCAGAAATACTATTATGAAATAGAGAAGTATTTCAAAAGTTAGTAAACCTCCCCTGTTTATTTTACCAATATCAAATTAATTAAAGAATCCAAAGGAGATGCATAAGAATTAAATGGGATAAAGATTGGGGAGAATCCTAAAAATTGGAAGGATATATTACTTCCAAGGAAATTTGATATAATTCTGTTAGATGGTTAGGATTATGTGTATAATGAATAATTTAAACGATGGATTTCAGTTTCGACTTAAGGTATCTTAAACAAAAAATTAACAAGAATGTAAGCTTAACAAGCTAACCATTACTTGATTTAAAAATATAGTAAGTAACCATCTGCATTCTAACTGTTTAAAATAATTTAAAATATCCCGAATTTCAAAGTTAACCTAACTAAGGAGCAACAAGAGATTATTTCATTTAATGGAGATGGATTAGTTATTGGTAGAAGTGGCACAGGTAAAACCACTTGTGCTTTACTAAGACTATTCACGACAGATATTCTATTTAAAATCAGAAGTAAATTGGATTAAATTAATTAATAAACAAGCGAAATATAACTTAATTAATAATAGTAGGATTGCGTATTAAAGACTGTCTTTGTTACGGCCAGTCCCTTATTAGCATGCTAAGTTAAAAAATTATATGATAAATTAATTTCAAACATTTAGGATGTCATTAATAAGAAAAAAAACAAGCAAAAGAATCAAGTAGACATTCAAGTGTAAGGTGATTAGGATGAAATAGATCAGAGCACATTTTAAATAATAGATGCAATAAAAAACGATCAAGAACAGTAAGAATAACAACAGTAAAATCAGGAAGATGATATTGATGACTAGGACATTGATGAATATGAAAAAGAAATGGGACAGTTTTAAAGATTTTCTGATATCAATCAATTTCCAATATTTTTGACATTGAGAAAGTTTATATTTTTGGTTGATGGTTCATTAGTGAATTCATTTTTTGCAGTTTTCGATAATAAATAGAATAGAGGGTCTCAATGGCATAATGAATAATTTGGATAGATGTCCTTATCTCAAACTAATGAAGCAATGCAAAGGAAGTTGGAGTAATATAATTAAAAATTGATGGATGAAATTGACAATTCCGATTTTATTCAAACAAAAATGCATGAAGTCACATAAAACGTTTTTGTTAGGGTTTTTTGGCCAAAGATAGTAAGCACCATTAAATCAGAAGTTCCAATACTTAAATATTTTGATCCAATTTTTGTTTGGTCATAGATTTGCACCAAAATTAAAGGGCATGAAACATCACATAAGTATCCTGATAGATACATAAATTTTGACAATTATATAAATTTGTCAGGATATAATTAGGATATATGTAGTTTTGTTTATGAAGCCTTCTAAATTTATGAATAATATAAATATTAATTAGGATATTATGATTTATTGGACTTGGTAAATCACATTAATCAAGAGTTAGCAAATGGGAATGATTTTATTGAAAATGTTCATTATCTATTGCTTGATGAGTTATAGGATGTGCCAAGAGCAGTATTAATATTGTTAGATCAATTAACAGACCTTGGATTATTTTGCTGTGGAGATAATGCTTAAAACATAGCAAAAGGGATAGGATATAGATTTTTTGAAGTTTAGAACTGTCTATTGTCTACTAGAGATGAAAAGAAGAAAACATATAGAAATCTTAAAATATTTGATTTGAGCATCAACTTTAGATCTCATAACCAAATCTTGTAATTGGCCAACTCTGTTATAAGAATCATAGAGATATTTTTTCCGCAATAAATAGATAAACTAAAAAAGGAAACATCAAATTTGAAAGGTCCTAAGCCTATTGTAATTAAGAGTGATGATGCAGAGTAATTGTTGCATAATCTATGTGATTTCTTCTCAAATGATAAAAAAACAGTTGAATTTGGTTGCAATCAAGTCATTATTGTAAAAGATCAAGAATCTAAGGCCAGATTGCCTATTGAATTGTAAAATGTCTTATGCTTAACCATCTATGAAGCTAAGGGATTAGAATTCGATGATGTGATATTATTTAACTTCTTCCATGATTCAACGGCATCTATTAAAGATTGGTAATCTCTCAATGATTTAGAACCGTACACAGAATATCTAAAGAAGATTGATTATGAAAGATTTATAACAAGTATCAATATCATTTCTAAATAGTTCATCCAAATAAAGTGATATCAACCACTGAAGGGAAGGATAATGAATTAGTAGAAGTCAGGTAATTGAAAATGAAAAACAGACTTGAACACTAAGAAATATCAATTGATTTATGTTAAGAACTTAAGCAACTTTATGTAGCAATCACAAGACCTAAAAATAGATTAATTATTTTTGATTAATCTTTAGAAAAGAGAAAAATTATTTAAAATATATGGATTCAACTAGATGCAATCGACATTATTAGTCAACAAGTCTAACCAAAAGATGTTATATTTTAATTAGAATTATAAAAAAATAATAAGGAGAACTGGAAACGACAGGGCTTAAAGATGTTTAGAATGAATAATTATGACTAAGCAGCAAAAAGTTTTAAATTTGCAGAAGAAACAGTATTAGAAAAGAAATCTATTGCATATAACATTGTAGCCAATAATGTTCATGTAGTCAATAACAACTTACACAAATTCCAAGAAGCAGCCATGCTTTTTGAAGAAATTGGATTGTATTAAAGAGCTGCTTAATGTTATTTCACAGCTAAATAGTTTGAGAAAGCATAAGAATTGTATGAAAAAACAGGCAGAATGAACGAGATGGCCGAATCAGCATACTTTGCTCACAATTACTCAAAAGCAGCTTAGACTTTTGAAACGTTGGGTGATATAAGAAGAGCTATTGATTGTTATAGTATAATAAGGGATTGGGACAATGTCATAATCCTATTAAATAGGTACAAAGATCAATTCAGTCAGCAAGAGAGGATGGCATTCTTAAATTAATTCTTTCCTAATTATTTATAGAATTTAGCTATAGAGATAGAGGAGACAGGTGTATCATAGAATGAATCCAATCAAGTTTTGGAAGTCTAATAGACTAATACAGAAGGGGATTCAGTTTTAAATCAGTCGGACAGCTTCACAATCTAGAATTCAGTACTTAATAGATCTGAAAATTAAGGGGATTCTCAATTAGTTAGTGATCAAATCATTAATTAGAATAAAAATGAATCTAGCTTAGAGATATTAAATCTGGAATAAGATGAGCAATCATAATCATAATCATTTTAGATTGAAAACGAAGATGAGAATGAATAAAATATGGATCATTTGTCTATTTTTGATCCTGATGACTAATGGTTGCTATAAGATTAGAAATCACTGATTAAATCAATGTCATCTAAGATCAGTCATCAATCAGAATTCTCAAATATAATACTTTTGAATCAACCGCCATAAATATCCTTGTTAAAGTCAAAAAGCAATATATTTATTTCAAATAAAGTATTATAGAAATTGATTCAAAAATCAGAATTATTCTCTTAGGAATTTAGGAATCACTTAGATTCATAAAAATACAAGCAAGTTCAACTATCTAATAGAAAGGATGATGACAAAGAGTTTGATCACATGATCAACTTCGTTTATGATTTGGAAAACATTGACATTGATTCAATTTATATGATTTTGGATATATTGGAGTAATTTAAGAGTTATAAATTATGCATTTACTTGTGCAACTACTTTAAATTAGCTTCTTATCTCGGAAGATATGTAGTTTCCTTAACCTCCATCTATTCTCCATTGACTAAGAACAAATCATCAGTTTATATTTAAATGATCACTCTGGGATCTTACAGAAGGAATCTGCTTGAATAATCAGCTTTATCTTAAATAGCATTTGATAATATAATCGAAACAATTAATCCTATCTTCTCAACATTTAAAAATGAAGAAGAATTAAGTCTTAGTAATAGTTTTGGATTGAACTGTTATTAAGAATTAATAGGATTAGGTTTTTGGAAGTCATTAATCTATTCTTTAAACTATCAGAACTCCATAGAACTGTGTATGTCTTTTAACAACTTTTCAGATGCTATTGAAATATTTAAGAAAATGAAGTAGCACAAAAATTCAGAATTATCAGAAGAGGACCAATTTAGATTTCGAAAAATCTAATATTATTAATATATTAAATCAATTAGAGGTTAGTAGGATAAGGTAGAAGAATTTACAAAAACTCTTGATGATGTATTTTAGATCACAAAGAATTATTACATGAAAAAACAGTAAGAAATAATAAATGAAGTTGATTTGGATTAATTAATAACTAATGCTAACATTAATAAGAAAAACCTGACTTTTAATGAAAAACTGAAATAAATAGAAGCGATTATAGTAGGTTTCGACATCCTTAAATCTATTAAAGATTTCTCATTTGAGAAATTTGTAGGGTTATTTTAGCTATTGGAATATTTCCATGATAAGTTGATTTCTTATCACAATTAAGAGAATATCAATGAAGCTTTATTGTTTTGCTATGGCATCTCAATTCCACAAGGGGATATTATGAGTCATTATTCTCATTCTTTATTCATACACATATCATCGAAACTAATTAAACAAGTAGTAAAAGAAACTCATAATAAGGATAATGCTTATAAATCACCAAATTTCTTAACTTTTGTCGATATTGGATATGAGTATATTTCTATTCCATTTGAACAAGCTATTGAAGAAATAAAAGTCTCGTTTTCTTAGAGGATTTAGCAGATGTTGAATCCTTAATCAAAAAGGCTTAAGGATATTTATTAAGTCAATGATGATGAGTTCTTTTCAATGAGTTCCCAAGAAGATTGGGAAGATACATTAGCAGAGCTATTAGTATTTGTAATGCTGGAACAATCTTTTAAAAAGCTTTAAAACAGTATTAACCAGAAAAAAGAAGAATCTAAAAAGTAGAATCCTATTTCTGTTAGTTATTCGAAATAAAAGGTATCATAATATATTTCGATAATTGATTCTGAGTCATCCTAGACTCTGCAACTGATATAGCGAATGATATTGAAGAATAATTTTAGAATCATTGAAACTCCTAATTATATCAAAAATATCGTTCGTAAGTTTGCCTTAGGTTTGATTTTGCATAAGCAAGATAGGAACCATTCCAATATTATAATGTCAATTAATTTATTAAATTTGACTGATTAATTATCTTTTGGAGTCTTGATCTTTTCAAGTTAGAAACAAGGATATGAAAAATTTCTGCCCTATCTCAAATATATTGAGCTTCTTGAATGCTAGCATTTTGGTATTATTGAAGATTCCTTAGGATGTTTTTTAGATTATAGTTAATATGTAATGGACAAATTTTATTTAGATGAACAATTATGTCATGTTATCAGGATAGGTTTAAATATTCTAGTATCGTTATTGTGTTACTGTTAATAGAAATTAACAATATTGAAAGCCTATAAAGAATATTTAAATTAGATTGTGAATGTTGATGAAAAGTGTTGTAAATTAGAGGTTGGAGTATTCCAAATAAACAATTAATAATTAATGTTGGAATATTTAGAGTATCTATTTGAATTTTACTAATACAGATGCTCAAAGTATTAATAGGATTAAATCAAATAATTTTTGTTTATATTCGCGATAAATCTTCTAAATACCCAATAGGTTAAGGTTATAAAGAGCCTTATTTCGTACTTATAATAAGACGAAAGACTTAAAGCCTTTAAGAGATTACAAGATACTTTGGCTAAGGAATTGTCAGGAAATAAGAAGGAGGTTTAACATAAGAAAAATATCTTAATCTCTCATTTAGGTTATTTAGAGGAGGATTTAGTAGAGGTAATTATTGTAAATTCCAAAACTGGGTAACAGTTGGATGAATAGTATGATAAATGTATTTAGATATGGAATAATTATCAAGATAATGCAAACTCTAAGATGGATCGCCTAAGAAAGGTGGTAAGCAAATGGAATTAGTTAAGAAAGAATCACAAAATTATAAATCTGACTGAGTAGATAAAGTAGAATCTACAGTTTTGGAGAAGTTTACAATATTATAAGATAGGATATGATCGACGTCAATGTTTGAGGACTTGTGAAAATTTAAGGGATTTAAACAGAAATATGAAAAAGCACATTTCTAATTTTAATGAAGATTTGCAATTGAGTGTGTCTTTATAGAGGTAATAAGTAATGATATACGTAGGCAATTATTAAAGGCCAGATAAACTTTTATTAACTCATTTGATATCCATTTATTAAATTCATTTTTGAATGATTTGGGAGAATATTTGAAAGGGTTGTTTAGGGGAGAGGACGTGCATACAAAGGTGAAATAACTGGAAATTGAGTTTAGAAATTGGAAGGAGAAAGATGAAGGGAATGGAGCGTATTAACAGATGATGGAGTTGAATAGGTAGTTGATAGTTTAGAAGTGGTAGAATTTAAAAGGTGGAGTGAAAGTATCTTAAAGGTATTTGCATTGATGATTACATCATAGGAGGGAGCAATTGACTACAATATAGGAAGAAGTTACAGAGGAATTTTAATAATGATTTGGAGAGAATTGATATATTGAGAATGGAAAATAAAAAAATATATATATATTTAATTAATGTTTCTTGGTCTATTGTGCATTACATATTCTGTTTTAGCTAATTAACCAATAGAGATTGGGGAGACAGTTAACAAGTAATCGATTAGAAATAGGTTATTTTAGTGCTATAATGCCGTGGCACGGAAATCCAAAATATCAATTATACTAGTTCGAATTGAAGGAGGTGAAATAGGATACGGATTTGGTGGTGGTGGTGAAATAATTGTCTGCCTTGGGGAATCCGGACATTTACATATCTACGAAGGTAACAGAGCCGAATGAGAATACGGCTGAGTATGTATGTGACTCGATTGGGATGGGTATGAAATTTAGTAATGGATAGATATATGTGTGATTGATAATGCAAAGAAGAGTCTGTATTATTTGGCAGTGCATTGCGAAGGCTATTGTAGATATTCTTTGAAGGTGGTTTATCAATCGGAACTATTGATGACGAATTGTAAATATCCTAATGTTCATTATTTTAGCTGACGACTTAGAATTCAAGTACGATAACAAGACTTGGACAGACGTAGTCAGAATTGAAACAAAGAACCTGAGTTGGGAAGAAACTCAGATAAAGCCAACTTTGGAGATTTAAGTAAGAGTGAAGAATGTGGAAATATTATAAGAATCCTTTAAATCATATTTAAATATAGGTGATTCCAAGCCCACGCCACTGAAATCTGACTTTGTTGGACAAGACACATTCTCAGGCATGCAGAAATTCAAGATTCATAATTTAGAGTCAAACAGCAAGTTCACATTGCTTGTGGAAGGTCAAGAAGGGGCAATCATTTAGATTCAAACCAGAACCTACGGAACCATTCGTTACTTGCAAGTGGGAGACAGAGTTGAAGACATAGTGGCTGAAGATGACTACTAGTTCTATTGCATCGATCTTACTTAAGAATCTTAGTCAATTTCACTTGGCTAAACTGTCTTAAATATCCAACTACTCCCCTTCAAAGGTTATACTGAAATGTATGTTAATTTGGATTTCCAACCCCCATTCTTGGATTAGTACTATTGGCAATTGAAGGACAGAATAACTGATGACCTAGTGATTACGTAGACAGATCTGAGAAAGGCCAATGCAAAAGGAAATTACGCATATGTGGCAGTCAGGGGAAAGGAATCAAATGCAACATTTGAATTGAAATCTCAAGTCCTAGATCCCAATCTCATGCTTCTGGAACTCAACAAGCCCACAACTGCTAAGTTATTAAGGAGTGGTCAAATCCAATACAAGTTCTACGTTAGACACAGTAAGAAGTAAACAGTTAGTGTGAGTTTGAAGAATCTGAAGGGTGATGCTGATATCATTGTAAAGCAATGTGAGAATCTGTGGATGTGTACCATACAATAAGATGAGATTCTAGATAAGGAGTAAAGAGTGGTCACCGAACCTGGAAAATTGTTTTTGTATTCCGATAAGTAATCTCTCACATGATATAATCATAGTCCTGGCAATGACATCATTGTGTTTGACAATGATCCACAGATCTGTTAGAAATATGAGAACACGTATTAATGTTATTATGATGTGATTATATATCCTGGACCTAAAAATGATCAAGAAGAACTGATTTATTCGATCCTCATAACCACAAAGGGAGAATCGATCATCTTAAGAGAAAACACTCCACTGAAGTAGTATGTAGGATTGGGGTTGAACAATTACTATAAATTCATAGTTGAAGAGGAAGATCACATTAGAAGGATGATGATTCAAATTACACCCATCTAAGGACAGCCAAAATTATTTGCATCCTAGACTAACAAGAATCCCACTTAATCAGATAAGTAGGCTGTCCAAAATGTCATCACTTATGGATAATTTGGCTAGTAGGGCGACCAAGAATCCATAAAAGGAACCTATTACATAGCTGTCCAAGGATATACAGCATGTCAATATATCATCACAGTGTATGTGTTTAGAAATAGGGGAGATTGGAGCCAAATTGGCAAATACCCTCATCAGTACATATTGCTCTTAGATGGGTATCCCTAAGAAATTACTTCTCAGAACAATACTGATGTCTGGTTGTTCAAGATTGACTTGAGTGCTTATTCTAATCCTGACGAGCAGATGCATTACGGAGTTGATGTTAAACTCAGAGTCATTCAAGGAAGCTTCTTGATGTATGGATTCGATCATCCTGAAGTGAACAAGACCTAAGCATTCTTGACTGGCAATGAATTCTTATCCCTTAACACCAGAAGCAAAATCTACCCTCAATATTTGTATATCAGAGTGGAACCAAATCCAGTCATTTCCACAAATCAATTATCATTCCAAATTTATTATAGAATCAACAATCAACCAATTGAATTGATTTTAGGCGATAACTACAGAGGTTACATCTCTAAAGATAATACATAGCAATTCATACTCAGTTACTTTACAAAAGATGAATTGGTGATAACAAAGAATGCTGAACACATGGATCAATCTGTCTTAAAGGCATAAGTTTACTATGGTAATGTTGTTCAAGAGATGAAAACCTCCAGTTTATTATTGAAAAGTGAAGACTTAAACTTTGAGAAATGCAAAACTAATGCCACCGAAATCATTAAGTGTTAAATTACAATTTTCATCTCTGCAACAGCCGATACATATTTCTCATTGTTGATTACCAAAGAAGCCTCTGTCGTTTTCTTGTATGACAGTGAACCAGTCACCAAACAACTCTAAAATAGAAACGATCACTTTCTGTTCTATTTGACTGATCAAGAGACTGAAATATCAGTATTTTCCATATCAGGAGAAGTCAAAATATTGATTCAATACTTTGATCATCAACCGTAATTGGAACAATATCCAACCAATAATTAGGACTCTGCTACTCAATCCTTAGATGATTCAAATGATATTGGCAGTTCAATCTTCATATCCAATGAGGATCTTGAGTTTCATGAATGCAAAGAGAAAGGATGCTACATAGCTGTGACCTGCATCAAGGATCCTAAATATGATGCTAAAGGATAATACGTCATCACTAGATCATCAAGTTACACCATCCTCTATCCATCCATCATATATTACGGGGAGGCTGAAAATTAGAAAATGAAGTATTTCAAAATCTTCAATGTGTCATTGTCACATGGACTCATGGTCGTAGTGTCTCCCCTAAGTTCAGGCAGTTTGATAGTTCTAGCCAGCAGGAACGAGATGCCTACATTGGACACTTATTAATACTCCTCCAATTCTATGTTAGGAGATTAACTCATCATACCAGCTAAAGAGGATGATTATAAGTCAGTCAATTACTAGTAAACTTATTAATTATTATATATAGTGTGGGTGTCTATGCATTTGATAATGTAAAGTTTTCAATCCAAATCAACATTGGAAACCTCCACTTTTATCAGATCAAAAAAGGAATACCGATGAACTTTGTCGCTGAATACAATTCATAGACCTATCTTAATTACTACCATGCTTAAGACTCTGAATTCACGATCTTGTTCAGCTCTAATCTTGTGACTCAATACAATAGAGCAAATGTTCATGTGTACACCTATAAAGACATGTCAATGTAGGCAGATGCCATTCAAAAAGTTCAATACGAGTAATTTATTTAAAAATACTTCTAGTCCTATGTGGAAAATGACTGATTACTACTTGACAATTAAAAAGGATATCAAGTACTGCTCATCTTGTTATTATTTGATCTGTGTTTAGAACTTCAATGTAAACAACGATATTTCCATAACTATATCATTGGATAACGAATCCACTTAACTATTGGACAACGTGGAAATTACCAATCAAATATAACCCAACCAACCCCATTATTATCATTACATAGTCGATGATGACTTTTATTTGAATGCCACTATCTTTGAAGGCAAAGTTTAAATTTTAGGAGGGTTCTATAAACATTTATCAGAAATCGAGAACCAATTGCTTACTCTAGATGTAAATGAGGGTCTGACTGATAAAAATGGCCAAGTCATTGGATACTAATACAGCGAAGGGAAATTCCCTAACAAAACCATAGAAATCAGAAAGGATAACTCTGAGAAACCAAAATATCTTTACAGATTCAAAATCGTTTCCAGCTCTGTGTCTATTTATAAGATTGAGTGCATCCAAAGAAGATAAGCAATCGAACTCAAAGTTGGAGAACCCCAAAGCCATGAACTCAATTCTACACATACTGTTCCATTCTATTTTGTAATTCCTGATAGATCCTTTGACAACTCAAATGAAGGCTTCTACACATTAGATATTGAAACCTATGGGCACTCACAAGCACGAATCCTTGAGAAGACTTAACATCCTAATATCAAATTAACTTAGGATCTCTATAGCAATCCAGATTTCCTTAGTGAAAATCACAACTTCTAGGATGTCCAATTCATTAGACACAACCAAACAGATCAAATAATCCATTTCGAATTTCCAAACACTCCTGGACTTTATTTCCTGCAAATCACTCCTAGAGAAGCTTCGAATCTCCCCTATACTGTTACCTTAGGAAATGATTTCTTAAATGTTTTGGCTCCAAAACTCTCAAGATTTGCCTCCAATAGGATTGGGTAATAAAGATTCTGGGAATTGAACTTGTACAAACCTTCCAAAGTTCTCATCCAGGCCCAATTGTGTGGGGGAATCATAAGTGTTTATGGAAGTGAGGATCTTGAAAACTTGTAAAGAGGATTGTATTCATAAAAAATGGACTATAAACACAACAAATAAATAATTGGAACCATACCAGTCTCAAAAGTTGGTCCGTATTACTTGAGCACCAAGGCTGTTAAGAGTATGATTCCTTCGAAAGATTAAGTGGATTACATCATAAAAGTCAACGTTCTTCAACCAAGCAGTGTAGTACCGCATGAGCACTTTGAACCTGGAGATGGAGGTGAATTCACAGCACATTACGATGGATCGAACATCACTATCTTCTTTAGTCCCATTCAAGTTTCTGAGCAATCTAGTTCTGAGTACAAGACCTAGAGTTTCTCATACAATTTTATTTACAAGTTGTATAATGAGTCGAGTGAAGAAATTCCATTTTATCACTGCGATTCTTCAATAAGCTTCCCTTCAGTATCGTTTAACAAAGAACCTCATTAACGTCTTAAGGAAGTGAGTCACCAATTTTATGTTGGCAAAGACTTTGAGAAGATATCTCTAAGCATTTTGGCTAAAGGTACTTATCTCACTTATTACATTCATTAGTCAGGATTAATACAAACAATTTTGAGGAATTAAAGCTGTATTATTATTATGATACCCTTACCATGAAAGTGGATAATATAATGTTGAGGGCCTATCCAAAAGGATATAGAAGAGGAATCATTTTCGGAATTATCACAGTTCTATTAATAGCAATTATCTGGTTATTTATAAGAAACAGAAAATTAAAATAATTGTATTATAAATTTTTATAAATTAGAATACAATTTGAATCTTCCTAATAAGGAACTCAACATTTAGTAAGGCAGGAGCAATCAATTGAGATGAATTATGCTAATTTACGTTGATAAGTGTGATATATTATATATGATGATGAATTGTTATATTTATTCATTCCAAATATCAAGAACTTTCTATTTAAAGCTCAGTATGAATTCAAATAACATACTTTTTATTTGTGAATACTCAAACTTTATCTCGCTTCTCTAATAAATAGGTGTCATAATAAGTATTGTTTTTAGGAGTAAAATTTAAATAAGATTCCACACACTATAATAAGCGAGGAGAAGATTGATTATTTTTATTATTTTCTCTTTATAAATTGAAATTAATGAGCCTTCGAGACTTCAACTGTATTACGATATCTGCATGTAAGTTTTGGGAAAATTAACTCAAAACCCCAAAAAAAGAAGAGGAATCTACAGTATGCAGTGTGTAAAACCCACCTTAACCATCTATACTGGAAGTTTCGGCATAGAAGTGTGAGGAATACTTATTTGGGGGAGAAGAGAAAATTTAGCCTGTTGCTGAATCTATAGACGGTGATGAATAATTGGTTGAGTAAGATAGATAGCCAAAGGATGACAGTTTCTCATAGATGTCCGACAAGGAGAGTCGAAAAGAGAGTAGGAAGTCTAAATCCACTTCCACCAAGAGGAAAGGTTAGTTTTAAGTTTAATTGAAGGAAAGAAGAGATTTTCAATCCAATAGAATCACCTCATTATGGAAAATATAAGGAAAGGCTCTAATTTTAATGAGATTGCACAGTAGATTCCAGGAAGCACTATAAGTTCAATCAAGAGGTAGTTCATAAAAAAGCTTCGAGTTGTAAATGAGGAATCTGAGGATGGAGAAATTGTAAATACCATGAATCGGATACAAAGGTTGCTAGAGTAAATGAATTTACTAAATATAGAGACCAGAGTATGGAGAGAGAAGAAAAAATAAGAGAACTCAAGATACTGATTTCAAATATCGAGAATCATTTGCACATAACTAAACAATTAATTCTAAAGAAATACTTAACCTTATTTCAATAAGAGTGATGATCTTTCATACATTTCCAAAATTTCTAAAACTAACAATAACTAACTCAATCCTAATACTAAGACATTCCAAAGTCTTAATTATTTTTAACAATCATCCATTCCATCTTCTTCCCTCTCATTCTCATTTACATCCTCCTCCTCCCCCTCTCTTAAAAGACCTCTCCTCTCTCTTAAATACCAACCAATGTTTCCAATTCCACAATGCGTTTATATGAAAATAGTGTAGACTATCTAAATTAATATTTAGAATAATACTGAATTTATAATTTATGTCTATTCAATCCTTCAAGGTATGTCATCAATTCTTAATCCTGACTCGTCTCCTCCTGAATCTCCTACGAAACCCATGAATATTGCTTACAATTCTCTTATAATATTTATATAGTCATTATTAATAACTTCATAAGTCTTTCCTGTGGATATTAAAAAGACTGTTATGACTGTTATGAATGCTTAATTGATTTTGTGAATAAATTACTCATTTGATCAAAATTGTAACTATAACTCATTCTTTTAATATACTTTCCTATTAATAAATTGTTTAATTTTTTATCATTTATATAAGGAGGCTCATAAGGTTAACCTATTTAAACCCTTGACACTATTTACTGGTTTCATCTCCATGAAGTAGCTTAGTAGTTTAGTAGTGTTCCTATCTAACATATAGAGATGTTCGTTTTTGAGAATGAAATACTTTTTAGTCGATAGGTCCTTTGTTATAACCAAGATTTAGACTGTAAATCCTGTTTATTTACTTGCTTAAGTTGAAATTTCATTTTCGAGTTATAAATAATCATATAAACTATTATTTCAATTCTTTTATATTCTATTTTTCTCAACAAATACAAAAATTTAGTCATAAGATAATATTTATTATAATATATGGATGCATAAAGAATATTTAGGTGTTAATTTTAGTGGATTGTGAGGTAATAATAATAAAGTAGTTAACATAGTTATTTTAATTAAATCAAGTATTCCTGAGTTTCCGAATTTTTTGTAATTTGTACACAATGTCCTCCAATCCGAGTTATTTGGGCGTCTCCTGCACTCTATCAGATTGTAATGAAAGATTTCTGATTCTCAGATGTTAGTTAGCTTGTGATTTGAATAGTTAGTCATAAGCCTTGTGATCAAACTTTGTTAATGGAGCCACAAGTAATGGATCAAGTCTTCGATAAAGTGCCGTACGTTTTCTTTCCAAAAATAAGCTTGGAGGTTAATAAATAGTTTGTTTCCACATCTCCATATTAATATTATTAATTCTTATATACATTAATTCAACTTAAAACAAATGAATCATTTTAATTGAATTTTAAAATTAAAAGATACTAGACTTGTTTCAGGATTATTTATCGTAAACTATTATCAATTACAATGATTAATGAATACTCTTGTTTTATATTGAATGTATATGCTTTGAGAAAACTTGATTAATAATTTCCTCATGAAGAGAGTATATATTATTAAGATTCTGAAAAGCTAATGATACAAATTGAAATCAATCAAATATTTTGATGAGCACTCTTATTTCTTGTGATGTTTCTTCTGTGTCTTCTATGTCTTAATCTGACTAGTTCCTCTTCTTCCTCTTCGCATATTTCTTGAACTTGCAAGAATTGTGGTGACTGGATCTCTAATTTTTATTCCTAATCTAATTCTCTGATTTCATCAAAATGAAATGAATAATTAAGCTATTATATAAATTCATTGTACATTTGGATCGCTCCTTTGATGACAAGAAGTGCTTCTAATCATACTGCTTTTACGAGACGCTGGTTTTCGAATAGAATTGCGTATCTTCAATATATTAGTAGGCGAAATGAAACCTGGGGTTTTGGTGCCGTCATCTTGAAAAGAGTCAGTAAGAGGATTGAAGCAGGGTGAACCTTCAAAATATTCTTACTTATCCCACATCTCTTTTAGAACTTAAGTAAATCGAGTAAATTCATCCTCCTTAGGTTACTAAATAGATATCGAACCATAAAATTCAATCAATTGTTTTTTTGATTAAAGAGTCGGATTGATGAGATTATGTTTTTCTTTGACATAATAGAATGCTTTTTCGTATTTCCAACCTTGACTAATGAGATATGCAATTACAATAGTGGGTGCTCCTTACAATCCGTTATTACAGACTACAAGAATGGATGATAATTTCAATCCATTCTAGATCAATTCACAAATATTTTAAAGTTATTGTGTAGATTTGTCATCTTACAAAAACACTTACTAAATGCTAAGATAGATGAATTACATAGTATCGTGCAAAATCAGTGTAATGTTTTGAAGGACTCTTATCGACACAAATAATCGTCCTAATATTTCTGGATCGTAATATATTCAGTTGATCAGCCTAATGGATGTTTGACATATATAAGGAATGGAATTTATCGCTGATTATGTGATAAACCTATGCTGAATTCATTTTGATAATAATAAATTATGAACATTAATAACTAGTTACTAAAGATCGTACAAGATGTATTAATTGTCCAATATCTCTAGATTCAATTAACAATTAAGAGCGATTTCGATCTCAAACCGAACCTTGATGAGTTGATCACAATATTGAGATAATAAGTGACTATTTTGATTGAGTTGGTACAATAATAAAAGAGTGTTGATTATGATTAATTGGAGAAAGCAGTCCAGAAGGCTGAAGCTGAAATTCGAAACCATGTGAGAGTAATTGTGCAATTCCTACCAATTTAGGTCGAATAGTAAATGAAGCTATATTCGGACAGTCTCTAAGAGAAGATTGATTAATTGGAAAGGGAAAAATAGGAATTGATTGACAAGGTATCCCATCATTCTACTAATCCCTAAGAACAAGACCCTTCTTTAAAGTCAGGAACGAAAGATCTCATCACAAAATGCGACCAGAGAATCAAGTCCTAGTTTATTCAAGAAGTCCTACATCTTAGGCAATTAGGTGTATAATAGACAATAGGGTACTTCACAAGACAACTGTACATCAGTCATGTAAAATTGTGATAGTCACTAGACCAGAGAAAAAAGAAGCTCTGGCACCTAACATTCATACATTATGATGAAAAACATGTATGAGATCAATATATCCAATTAGTCGAGATAAAATTAATATGAACGCCTCTTAGGAAAAGATTAATGATAAAAGTTCCACAATTCTCAAATCTCAAAATGGTTCCTCGCTCATTAAAATGTATAACATTTAGAAACTAATCATCAAAAATCAACAGGATAAAAATTTATAATAATTAAAAAAGTACTATCCTTATCCTACCCTTAGCTAAACTTTGAATCAAATTTTAGACGACTCTCAAGCAACAAAAAAGAAACCTTGAAATTACATAAATCATTATCTCATATATATTTTTAATTTAAGATTTAAATAACCTATTATATAGTAAACTCTCTTCTATCCATACAATTCTATTAAGAATTTTTAAATCATTATCAGATCCTTTTGAAATATACAATTACATCTTTAATATAATAATCTATAGGTTACTAATTATTATTTATTGACTTAAGGATTCTCCATTTTTATTTTAGAAGTATCTTAACAAATACTATAAAAACCTGAAGATAATTCAAGAAGAAAGAATATTGTATAAGATTTTGTCATTATTAATTGAATAAATGCTGATTTAAATTAATTTTCAAATCCAGAAATTAAAATTCTTTTTTAATGGCATAATTCACAGTCGACAACCTTGCTTAAGTCAATGAATTCCTTTCACACACCAATTATTTGAATGGAGATCTCCCAGGAGCTGATGATGTCAGAATCTTCAACGCCTTGAAAGGTGTCCCACCCAAGGATCAATTCCCAGAAGTTTATTTCTGGTATTTACTCCTCAGCTCATTCACACCAGCCGTTAGAGCTTAATGGGCACCAGCTGCTGCTCCAAAGGATGCACCAAAGAAGGAAGCACAAAAGAAGGATGCACAAAAGAAGGAAGAGCCAAAGAAGGAAGAACCAAAGAAGGCTGAGGATGATGTTGATCTCTTTGGAGATGATGATGTCGATCCTGAAGCTGAAAAGAAAGCTAAGGCTTTGGCTGAATAAAAGAAATAAGAAGCTTTGGCCAAGAAAAACAAGCCCAAGCCAGTTGCCAAGACTATTGTGATCTTCGAAGTTAAGATCTTTGAAGCCACAGAATAAGCTTTATTAGAATCCACAGCCAAGAAAATCAAGGAAACCATCAACCCAGATGGTTTGGTTTGGGGAAAGGAAGTCAAATATGAAGAAATTGCTTATGGAGCCAAGAAGATTGTCATGTCAATGATCATTGAAGATGATAAGGTACTTTATTAAATCATCCTCTTAGATCCTTACCGACGATGTGTTTGATCAAATCACAGCTTGGGAAGACGATGTTTCCAGTGTTGACATTGTATCAATGTAAAAGGTTTGATAAATATTAAACAAGTACATAAAAATATAAAATCACATCCTTCTAGTTTAATTATCTAAGCAGATCAAGAGCTTCTATTTCATATTTATATCCAAAGATATTCTTATTTAAGAATTTCTTTATTTACTACATTAAATCGAATTAATCTTATTTTTATTGATCTTAGTGAAATGATATCGTCTAAAACTAAACTACGTATCTTAAAGAAATTATACTATTTAGTCTTTATTTATTGTAATTATTAAATGCCAATTATTATTTTAGAGTAATTGTTAAAATTCTCTTATTTGACATCCTAAAATCTTAAAAAGATTTAACCAAAAATGGATTTTATTTAGTTTATAAAATAATCTATAACTAATCACAATCTCATATTAGTCATGTTAATATGAAGAAAATAATTTTGATTCATCTATTTTTTCACAAATTCCAGAAAATAGTAATCAATAAATATAATTTATTTATCCTAATAAAAATATTTTTAGATAAAGATGATTTAAGAAAGCTATAGCTTATTGAGAAGAAGCAAAAAAGTGGTAAGTTTCTGCATTCAGTACGATACATAAATTGCAATATCTCATGTTAAAAATATGATACCAATTCTAAGAAAAATTTCAAACTTAACCCTACTTGAAAAATGGTGATTGTTTATATTGATTATTAAAGGATTGAATAATATACTTAATTGATTAAAGATTTAATCTCAAAGTTTAAAGATGAATAAATACCGAATATTTATGAAAACTTCAGTTTAGTCATTCCAAGATATATATCCTTTTTCACATAATTTGACAATAACCTTAGAAAATTATGGAGATTTGGATAATAATGAAGATTAGTAGAAAGTTGATTTTGTCTATTCTTATTTATGATACCTTTTCGTGAATAAATGTAACATTAGGAGCAATATGAATGCTAGTAGTATTGGATACTTTGCAAATAAAGTCAATAATCGATTCTAAGAGATATTTACCTGATATTTGATAATCAAATCGGAAAAAAGAATAATCTAACTATATAAATCACCCGATAACGAAGGAGGAGAATAAACAATTGATTTCTACTAAATTACAGACCTGAATGGATTTCTTAAGCAGTATATTCAATTACATGTTTTATAGCAATAGGGTATCTAATTACATTAAAAAATGAGAATTCACTATTTCACCTTTGAAGATGTTTTAGATTAGGGGAAATACAATAGTGAATAAATAGATTTATGATTAGGTATTGAGTTATGGCACAAAGGCAATAGTTAATAAGATAATGCAATAACGAGTATAATAATGATATTATAATGAATCAATTGAGCATATTTTTAAGTTTAAGCTTAAATTTTTTTAAAAAAGGTTCTGTGGTTGTTTTATTTTTTTGAGAAACTGGATTGATTGAAGATATGAAATTAAAATAATCAGTTGATGTATGAGTGTAATTACATTATTAACTGTTTTATTTTTGGGCGAGTAGAATATTCTTTAGACATTTCTATCTATATTGACTTGTAGAGTTCTTACGAGAGGATTTATGTTATGCCGAAATGATGATCCTTTGAAGTACTTTAGGACAACTTGGTTAAGGAGTGGGCACTCCCAACTCTGCAAATGCACTTTTATGATGACAACTTTTAGGCCGTGAGATATTAGTAGGAGATTCTGTTATTGATTGTCTTGGCATTAATCTTGTTATAGGTTATTTAAATGTAATGATCCTTTTTTTCTATTAACTTGATTTTGCAGGAGTAATGGGTACATCCCAAGGCTCAGCAGTGAAGTCAGTTTCGATTTATTGATAGAATTTATTTGCAACTGGCATTTGTATGAATTCCCTCAAAGTTGGTTCTATATTCAATAATTCCAATTATGGATCTCGAGACATATATATGTCAATTAATTTATATATATAATATTTAAAACTTATTTCAATTTCATTTAATACCCTCATCATTTGTAAGTATTATGAGGCATGTGCATAATATTCCCTTATCAAATCCAAGGTGATCATACTACGTGTCTACTCTCACTTGAAATGCATTCCAATAAACATTTATAATTGTTATAATCAATTAATTTTTATGCATATGTGATTATTTTAATGATTTACTCTTCAGTGAATGCAACTCTCTTTCAATATTACATAATTTTATAATGTTCGTCTACTCTACTTACACATTGCTTTCTGTCTTGAACAAATATTTGTGTTCTTAGTTCTTACACCAATTTTAATATTTCTGTCAAAACTTTCTCTCTTTATGGGAAACTGGCTCGAATTCAATCAAAGAAGATATAAAATTTGGATATTTCTAATAGTAGTTTTGGGTGTTCATAGATTCAATTTTAAACACCTTGCCATTATAGCGTATTTAGATCCATATTAATCTTTTATTGATTGATTTCTAACTTTTATTCATTAGTGTCATATTTTAATATTTTATCAATCAGTCAGCTTCAAAACTTCTTATTTTTATTTTATGTATTATAATTATTACTCTCGTATTCATTATGTTTAACCTAAACAACCACAATAATCTTGCAATCCCTACATTCTCTCACCAAGAATGTCTGTAATTACTCGATTCATATCATTAGGTCATTCCAACTTCCATTAAACAAATGAGGGAATCCATTCAAATACCTTATAATTAAGATATCATGAAAGCTAGCACCATCTTAGAAGTTGGTTAACGAACTCGTAATACTCATTACAAATAGCGATTAGAAGGTATTTCTACATCACTATTATAGAGTTGTACCTCAAATATGAAGATGGTTGCATTTACAGGGGTCAAGGTATTCCACCATCATAAAGACATGGTATGGGAGTCTTATTCAATACTGAAAATTAAGAGGTTTATTCTGGAGAATGGTTCAACAACCTTTATGAGGGATTTGGAATTTTGATTAACCAATCTCCTCATTTGATTAAACATAAAATTGACCCCAAGGATTTAAATACTATTGAAGATAGTTGGCATGTTTACAAAGGCTATTTTAAATAAAATAAAATGCATGGGGAAGGTATTCTAACACTTACCAATGGCTAGAAATTTGAAGGTCATTTCATTAACGGCATGATTCATGGAAAAGGTCGTTTTTATGGAGATTAAATTATTGTTGGAAATTGGTTTGAAGGTGCTTTAATTTGACAGATATTATTTTCTATCTTACTACTCACAATTCCTTACAGAATCCTTCTAATCTATTTAGCATTAAAATTTCTATAATATCTCTTGATTAATTTTGCATTCTTATTAGTTATTCATTATTCACTTATTAATGAATAGAAAACATTTTATTGGTAACTAAAACTCACTTAAATCTCATTAAGATAATTAATTTATAGTAAATTTTCTTTATCATACAAATTTAATGAGAATGACCCAGGAAGACTTAACAACTTAATAATATAATATATACATAAACTCTTAAAAAAATAAAAAAACCTGTATATTCATTAAAATGAATTAATCCATATAATAATAATTACAAATTCAATTGAAAAAATTATTGAATTCTTCATAGCTTAACACTTTATCGTTGTTTTTATCCGCTTGCTTAAATAGTTATTTTATTTCATTAGTTGAAAGTTAGTTGTTAAACTCCTTACAAAATATTCTAAACTCTAAGAGATTCAACTTGTTGGATCTACTTTTGTTATATTTTTTAAATATGCATTCATTTGTTAGATTATTCTTTCCCATATATTACTTAATATCTTATTGTATTTTTTTTAAAGTTATTTTATCTACAATCTTTTGCTCAGGTCTTACTATACTCTTAAAATCCTCTAAACTTATAGAGTTAACATTATTAAGATCAAATTTTGCAAATATCTATCATTATATAAATATTATGTTTACAAATGCTATTTCATATTTTAACAATGTTGGTTTCACCCTCTAAATTAATTTAGAGAATTCTTCAAACCCTAATCTTCCTATTTTTTTTGTATCATAAAAATTGAATATATTATCTATTTTCAATTTATTTATTGATATCAAATCTTAAAATTCTTAAATAAATTTCTTATATATGTCTTTAAACAAATTTGTATCATTGCTACTGAAAAGTACTTTAAACTATTTTTCACTTAATTTTTGCTTGTTTTCAACATTCAATTAACTATAAATGCTAAACAACTCTTGATCAGTCAAAGAGGGATCTACTCTTTGAATAAATATATAAAATTAATTCTAACTCACAGTCCCTTCTAAGTTGACATCAAATAATTTAAACTACTCTTCAAAATTTAATTTTCTAATTTTTATCATAAATTGTAAATGCTCTAATATATAATTGTTAAATCCGTTTTCATCTTAAATGTTCTAATTCATATAATTTAATGATTACTTTGATATTGTATTTCAAAGCTCTAGAGTCAAAGTATGGATGCTCAAAAAGTTCTGCCCAATTTAATCTCTACCTTTCTTCAATTTTGAGACATTGTCTTATGAAATCTATCGTTTATGTTATATATGTACTTTTGTATTAATCAGAAACAGTTTTTTCGACAGGGAATCGAAGTGGATAGCATCTAATGTTCTTTAGGTAGGACTTATAATCTCCGTAAGGCCAAGGTTGTTTTCCATAGACTAGCTAATAAGCTATAATTCCAATGGACCATATATCACATTTGGACGTGTAAGGAACATTATCAAGCAATTGAGGAGCCATGTACAAAGGAGTTCCTACGGGTAATTAGAAATATTCGTAAGTAGTAGCTTTTAAAGCAAATCCAAAGTCAGCCATCATAAAAATTCCATTTTTTATTAAAATATTGGCTGGCTTAACATCACGGTGTATGTACCCTTTGGCGATGATTTCTCTAAATGCATTGACTATTTAGATCAATATTCTAAGTGCTGTTTCTTCATCCACGGAGTTGTGATTTATTTCGAGAAATTTCAACAAATCTCCACCATCACAATAGTCAAAGACAGCAATCTAACGTATTTTTTAAATATACATTTTGTTTGATGTCAGAGTAACAATCGATGAATTTTATGATATTCGGACTTTGGAATTCTTTAATTATGCTCATTTCATTTTGGAATTTGCTAATGGATTCTTAATCCTGCATGTCATCCCCATTCAGTACTAGAATTTAAAATTCAGTATACATTTTATCGCTACGCATTATTTAGTAACGCAATCAAGGCCTTTGAAGACTACACCATACGCTCCTCTGCCTATTTCATCGTCTTCTGAATAAACATATCTATTTAAGATTTTATGCATCATTCAAATATTATAATTTAAAATCGATGTGATTTGACAACTTAAATCAATTTGAAGTTTGTATTATAATAGTATAAATCAGATGACTTATAAAATTAATATTAATAGCAATATTTATATATACTATCTGAATTGATAATTATCAAGAATATTATGAATTTCATTTTTACCTCTATTGAGACTGGAGGGATAATATAAATATTCCATATTATTTTATTAAAATAAAAATGGATTAATTATTTAATTAATAATTTTATATATTAATGTCCAATACGAAATAAATACTTTCTTTTGTTCCTCTTTTGTGTTCCTTCTAGGGATAATTCAGCAGCAATAAATAATATCATAGCTTTAGGAATGATTTTGATGGCAGAACAATAATAATAATAAAGAACATTAAGAATTTTTTTTGGAAAATGATTAAAACAAGACTCCACCTTAAGAGACTAAAATTTCATTTTTTTCTGATAATATGAAAATTAAGGATCAATTTGAATTAGAAAAAATGCATTTGATGAGAAGAAAATATTTGAATTGAAATTTTAAAGCTGTTTTAAGGAAGTTGTTTTCCAACTAAATCAGAAACAAAGCCCAAATAATATCTCTTTATTCTAAACAAATTCATAAAAATTTACAAAAAATAGTTGGTCTATTGATTATTTAGTTTAGACTTGAACACGTGATTTACATCTAATTTAGTCTATTTGGGGATTTCGATATATGATATCATTCATTAATGAATAGGTAATCGAATAGATTTGGAAATAGACTGTGGACATTCAAGTCTACCACTAATCTTGATGAAATTATGTTTGTAGTTCTGAATATAGTGATGGAAAAAGAGTTCCCATTCAAATTTATCCATTAATTGAAATAGAAATAAACTGCGTATTGGTAGAATTACGTAGTGATTAATTATTAAAACACATTATTTTCTTAAAAAATGTGTCTTTTATTTTATTTATTTATTTATTTACAATATTTAACATTAAATGAAATCAAATTTAAGGGAATTATATCATGTAGAAGAAAATGAAAATGCTATTATAGCTTAAGGGTCATTTGGACTTTTATATGCATGTAGGAGAAAAACTGGAAATTAACAGGAACCTTTGTGTGTAAAGATTATCAAAAAAAGATTCGATGCTAATAAGCTATAGTAATAAGAGATTTAAATATTAAATGAAATAAAAGGGCTTAAATCTGAGAATATTATACACATAGACTATATTAGCGATACTGAATCACAAATTGAAGTAGTAATGGAAAGATGTGATATGGATTTAGAATAAGAATTCTAACTTTTAAAATCAAGAAAGAAGTGGTATACTGAGTAAGATTGTTTAGACATTTTAACATAAGTCATAAATGGAATCCGTATTTTATATAATAAGAATATTGTTCATAGAGATATCAAACCTTCAAATATTTTAGTGAAAATTGTTAATACAGGTCAGAATGAGAAAAAGAGAGTGTACAAAGTAAAATATTCTAACATCACAATAGATTGCAGATTTTGGATTTAGTAAAATATTAAACGATTTTTGTGGAGTTGATTTTTAAACTTAATTGGGAACTCCTCTTTATTCTTCTCCCTAAGTCCTTGACAATTATGCTTATTATTCAGGTAAATGTGACATATATTCCCTTGGGATTTTATTTTATTAATTATTTTTTGAAGGAAATATGCCTGCTGAATTCAAAACAAAAAAAGATCTCTTCGACTTCTATAAGACACTCCAAAATAATTAGTTTAAAATTAACCTTACTAAATAGATTAATGCAAAATCTATAGAAGATTTACTCTAGAAAATGATCGTTTATATGGAAAATGACAGAATCTCATTTGAACAAATTTGTAAACACGATATTCTAAAAATCTAAACATCATCTAGTTATTCCAAATCAATATTCAGTGAGATTGAGAAATTAGAAAGTATCAATAAAGTTTACAAAATGCAATTATAATTGTACCGAAAATACCTGTTTTATAAATCGGTTTCTCAAAAATTAGCTTAATCTAAGTAAATTGAGGTGTAAGCTGCTTAATTTTGCTTAACACAATTAGGAATTAAATAGCTACTTTTTTGCTTAGGTTTTATTTATATTATAATATCTGATATCCATCCTTATTTCAAAAAGGATGATATGTATCCCTTATTGGAAGAATTAAAGTTATGCAATATAAATATAAGCATACATTCTCAATACTAATCACTAATCAACTAAATAAAACAAGTATATTTTATTGAAAAGAAGCATGCGTAACTTTAAATGAACTCATTGGAATTTTTATTGTACCTTAATAAAGAGAAGAATGAAACTATGAATGCTTTTATCGAAATTTTTCAAATAAGTAAGAGCGCAAAGATTGAATAAAAGTAGTTAACTAACCTACTAAAATTATTTTTAGATAAAAAATTTTTAAAGTAAAAATTGTTTTAATTGAAGTGGATTTGAAGCTGATATCAAAATGTCGATACAATTAGAAGAGATATTTCCAATTGAAAATAGTTAAAAAATAAACCCAGATGACATTTTTAGAGTCTGAAATTAATTAAGTGTTTTTCTATTAAAATCTTGAAATCGTTAGTATATTTTTAGATTTCGAAACTTTTGTTTAGAATAAAAATACTGTAATTTATAATTCACATCAATCCAAAGCCTTCCGCATTATCTAAAGATATCATCAATTTATCCCTTAATGTTTCTTTCTTCTTGTAAAGTGGCAATAATAAAACATTAAAACAAGTGTGAGCTGATGGCAATTATTCAGTATCTAATAATATTAACGAGTCTAACCTTCACCATGCTTTTAAATTACAAATTTTATTGACTTTAGTCCTCCTACAGGAATCCTATCTGTCCCTGTACAGAAAAACAGAAATCTCTTTTACATCTCAATACTCAAAGAATGAATACAACTCCAGAAGTATCTATTAATATTCAATTAATCTAAACCTAATATACTCAGACTTATCATCATAACCATCATATTTTGTAACTAATTCCAAGTCTTTTAAGTCAAAGTGCGGCAAACCAATAATTAGTGCCTATAACTCTTCCCCTGAAAATAACTATTTATCGAAATACTCTATACTTTTATTCCATCACCATCAACCACAGATTTAAATCCTGAGTGCAATAAATCAAATTAACTTTTAACAAGTTTATTTAAGTACCAATCAGTATACAACTCTATATATTCTTCTCTATTCTCTTTTGTGACATTAACCTAGAACCCGTTGGGCTTAATATATAGATAAAATGTCTATACTTTCAAATCATCAAAATATGCTTCTCCCCAAACAACGTAACTTGCATTAAAATTTAAAGCGAGATTCGAAATTAAATTAGAGTCTGTTTGTTCTCTCAAATACTAAAATCCTGTATATATTTCCATATCCAATTCCTTTAAATCCTCCTCTGTCACTTTTTCATTCTATAATTTTTTGAATAAAACAGTTGGAAATCTCACATCAAGCAAAACTTAATTGTAGAGAGCCAATCCTAACAATTTTCCTATCAATGAGTAGTATATTGGCATTTCAAAAGACTTCGGATTGAACCAATAAACTGTTCCATTGTTTTTTGGGATAAACATTCCATAATCTGGCGAAATCAGTTTTTCCATCATCAACCTGAAAAACTCTCTTTTTGGACCTCCTTCATCTACGCCTTGTTCTCCTATAAATTACACTTTCAAAGGGTTCTTTAGTGGAATATGGGTTATCTATAATTATTTTATTGCTGATTCTATAATATTGTTTCTCTCAATTTATAAACTAAGATATGGAGCTTGTCCAGTAAAATGGTACTTTACTGAATGACTCATACTATCGTGTTATTTTACTTTACAGTCTAGACTCAGCAATTTCGATTTAAACTCAATTGGGATGGACCAAGCATATAAACAAAAAGTAAACGAATAATTTCTCCATTGTTTTGCTGCATAATAACGGAATTGTGAAAACTCCTCTTTGTCAGCATCTTGCTTGTACAATTTTGTTATTAGATCAATTACGAATTCTGAAGACTACAACCTAGTATTCATTTTGTTTGATTTTTGTAAGATTTGGAATAATTCAAATAAACCAACCATTTTATATGTATCTTCTATTTCTAGAAATGGCATTAAAGGTGTGTGTTACTGTCTTAGAATTTCAGAGTTAATTAATTTTTTTATTTTTTTTGTAGTATCTTCGAATTCTGCTTTTGAGAGATTTGTAAACCACCTTGATAATTATAGTTTTTAATTAACATTAAGTCTTCTAATAATTTTTAATATTATTTATTATTTCTCATCGACAATATGCTCCAAAAGTTAACGAAATTGTAATATCAAATAAAGGGCTCTCAATTAATATAAGTTAGTTAACGGTTCATAATTTTTTTCTTTTTATGAAAATAAATTATTTATTATTAGAGTAAACCCCTTTTTGTAATTGATGAATTTAGATTACGTTTCAATAATTAAATTAGTATCTACATCTGCATTCTATAAATCAATAGCGTAAACGCCAGACTTATTGTAAAAATTTTCCACAAACGAAGCTCCAAATATTTCCAGTTACTAAGATATTTTGATAGTAGCCTCTTGTAAATCCAGTTAAAACTCTGACATTTGTAAGGGAATCAATTTATTGTTGATGTTGTTTACTTGATAACATAATTAATTCCAATTGACTTCCTCATTTTCTACCAATTATTAACAAATTCCTTTGATGTCATCTTAACTAAAATCTTGTTCAAGAAAGCCATTGTTCAATTTACAATGTGGAAAGTCGCATACATATTTACCACAACCATTTAAAGCTCTGTTGAACAAGAGTTCAGTATCGAGTTCAATTTACTGTTATTCATCCACTTTATTAAACTGCCATTTATTTGACTCAAAATCTAAAATTAAACAATCATCTCTTTATGATTAAAGTTGAAAGACCATAAGGGTTTCTTGTAAAACATCCCCATCAATAAGCATGGTTTGTTCTAACTGTTATGTTATCAGATCGACATTGTAATTCTAATGTCTGGGTAGCCAGATTCTGATGTTGGTTATTGGATTCTATTTATATTCATCTTGGAATGTTGCTTTTAGTAAATCTAGCCAAGATTTAATTTCAGAATGATGGTCTACTTATGCTTTTACACTATAAAATTTGTTGTCTCTTAAGGACTGGTAAATTAATGTAAACTAAAATTAATAAAATTGTATACTCGAGCCAAATTAGGATAGACTACTTTTTTTTTTTCATTCTCATAATAGAATCCAATCCGTTTCTATGGTTAAATTGATGAGTATTTCTCCTTAAATAGATCGAAAACTTCCTTAAGAATCTAGTTGTTTATCAATTTAATTTTTACGTATTCATAATCCCATTCATTTTCCAAAAATCGAATGCTGGAATTATAAACATGATCTTCAGGTATGTATTTAAACACCTTTTCATTGCTTTACAAATCTGAATTGATTTTATCGGGCTAATATATTTAAATTTCAATACTTTCTTTCTTGCCTCTTTCTATTGATCTCCCATTTCTTCATAATAATCCACATAATATTTCCATTATTTAACAAACTTTTTAGATACCAAATAGTACTCTATTCCACCTTTCTCCCTTAATGTTTTATCATATCTCTATTGTAATCAAGTAAAATTTACTCTTCTTCCATCATCATATCTTTTGATTTCTTCATACTCTAAGGGATCTCCTACTGGTTGGTGCCAATTATGCAAGAAGTGATTAATCATCAAAATCAATATAATTTAGATTGGTATTAATTAAATTAATTCTCACATCTTAAAAAAGTATTGAAAATGCAAACCAATTTCCTAACTACTATTCCATATTTAGATTTATGAATCCTTAATGCAGACGTGAATCAATGCATTAAAAAAATGGAAAACATGAATTACTTCAAAATATTTAGATAAATTTTACACGAATTTCTTATTGTTATTTGGTTAAATTAGACAATCAGAGTTATATCTATTCTCATTCGTATTTAGAATTTAAAGAGACTTTGAAATATAAGTGATACACAAAATGAAAAATTATGGAGGAAAAAGAGAGTGTCCTTATTTGAGAATTTTTGGACTAATAGAAGAAATTTGAAGAGATGGTATGTGATGAAGAAACAATTTCAAGCATTATTTAATTAACAGTTGATTTTTGTGAGTCATTATATTTGAATAATAGAATTAAATTTAAAAATATTGAATACTGTTGAATGTTATATATTGGTGATATATTTTGGAGTAATTGGATTATTATAATACCACATCAAAATATCAGAAAGCTAGATCAATTATTTGGATCAATAAATGAAAATAATGTATAAAAAAAAGTAGAGTTGAACTACAACAATTTGATATTATTAATTTATCAACATTGATATATCATATATATGTTATGTAGAATTACAACAAATGATTTAAACCAATTATGTTAATAATATTTATTAGCAAACGTAGTCTTATATTCATTAAAGCTCCAATTTTATTTTAATATCAGCCAATTTTTCATTCTACCTCAAAGGGATAACTTTTATTTAATATTAATTTTAATTTTATTTATTGATGTTTTTGGATTCACACAAAGGTTATTTCATAATAACATGACTCGTTTCAGGCTTTAAATCAACAAAATGCTTATATGGATATATTTTCCATTTTTAATTAAAGTCATTAAAGTATTGATTTATTTTATCATCATATTCTACTTTTGAATTTTAAGATTATTGGCTCAATTTGAAAACAAAGTTTTAATGCTCCCATTCAGTAAAATCATTCTTCAAACTTGATTGTATGACATCAGGTTGAATGTTTTCGACAAACTTAAGTGAATTCAGCAAAGACGCTTACATTTTTAAATCCATTCTCTTAGGATTAGGCTTGCTGATTGGTTTCTTTACACTCTATTGTCCTTTAATGTTTATCTTATTTTAGGGTAGTTCTTTAGCTTTCGGTTTCTTTTTTATTGGTATCAAGGCTATTTCATCATCTTCTCTGAACTATTCCATTTTATGAAAACCAATATGTTTTAAAGTATAAAAATTACAACCTTTATTTAGAACAATTTACCGCCTTGATGAAAATTATATAATTCAAAGTAGCAAAACTGATATTATCCAATAAATTGTATCATTCATGCATTCAAAAATTATTAGATGATAATATATAATAGATCAGCAAGATCTAATTTGCATTTTACATAGAGCAATATAACTAATGGGACGAATTAGCGTTCTTTAAGAAATTAAACATCAAAGTTTCTACAACTGAGGAGCATCGTTTAAATTTGAAAAAATAGTTGTGTCTCTTTGAATGTGAATAATTAGTATAATTATCAAATTCATCGTTAAAAAAGTCTCAGTATATATAATAAATAAAATTATTAAAAAATGTAAGAAATTGAAGCGAAGAAGCAATTAAAAGCAAGTGAAGGAGCTCATTTTTTTTATACTTTGATATTCCTTACAGCTTCTGGTATAATAGAGACTCAATTTATTGAACAGAAATGTAATCAAAATCTGCAATTGTTTGTTCACTTAGTATTCTATGGATTAATCATCTGGGGTACTTACATTTTAATTACGTTGATACCAAGGTATGTGTTATACGTTGAATTTAATTAGATATAAAAATGCAGCAATCAACCTATTTTTCAATTTTCTTGATATCTGTTTTGGTATATACATAGGACTGTTATTGTTTTTTGGAGGACGCATGTACATGGCATCTAATGATTGTTTAGCTGAAGCTCCTGCATTATACTTCTTTTTGGAGACATTTTTGTTGGTACTCTTTTAATTTGAAATTATTAGGTTAACGGCATCATATTTGCAATATTGTTTTTAGCATTTGTGTCGTATGTCTTAAAGAGATTTTCTAAATCTTAATAAGTTTATGATGAAGGTAAAGATGAATTTTATGATGCATGATAATAATTTTTAATAAAATATGAATAATTCAGTCTAAAACATACGAAGACCTGTAACATCCTAAAACTACAGATCAATAGATAAGTTAGGCAACAATAGCCAACAAAAACTACCAAATTTAAGTGATGTTATGAACCTGAAACTGAAGCAACAGAGTGAAAGAGAGTTGCAGGAGCTGATTCAAAAATTGGTGAAGCAAGTTCAATAACTCAATTCAGCAGTCATCTAAAAAGACAAATAAATTTAACAATATGAATTCATGATTAAATCTCTTTAAATTGCAATAGAAAAAAGAGATTGCATTATTAGTGCATTGAGAGTCGAAAAGCAATAAATAGTTGAGGTTGTGAATCCATTGAAACCTATGGTAAGGACTGATGATTCCTCAAGAACTCCTAGTCTGGGTCCTAAGAAATCATTGAGGACCAGAACAAAAGACACTAATTTTGATGAAAACCTCTCTGCTATCCTTGACTCTGACTATGGTAAATATATTAGAATTAGTTTGAGCCTTGCTAAGTTAATATGTAAAATGTTACGAAGAATTAAATCATTTGACATAGATAAAGAGTTTAGTCTCTAATGAAGATTAATTCTTTGCAAACATTCAGAAAATGGAATTGAGCAATATAGTTCACATTTTTGATGCAATTTAATTAGTCCTGTAAGAACACAAACTGTTGTTCAAAAATGTTATCAAACAAAATAAACTATTCGAAGCATGCTTACAAATACATGAAGTAATTTATCTTTATGATCAATTTTCAGCAAATCCCTTTGAATGACCAGTTAGAGAGCTTGCAGGGATTATTGAAAGACTCCCTAAATTGTGATAAGGTTTAAATCTACGTGCTCGACAGTGAACACTAAGAATTATGGACAAAAACGAAAGACAGAGTGTTAAGAATATAGGCAAATGAGGATATCATTGGAGTTTGCTTTTAGGAAAGAGGGTTAATTAATGTCCACAATGCGTATAACGATCCTAGATTCAAAAAAGAAAATGACAAAGGATACAAGACAAATACTCTTCTATTGTGTCCAATTTTGGATAAGTAATAGAATTCAATTGGAGTTATTACGGCAGTCAATAAACTCACTGGGCATTTTAATAATGATGATCAATTATTCATTTCCAAGACCTCAGAAATGATATCAATTTTATTAAGAAATCATCAGCAGTCCAATGAGTCTATCAGTATTCAGAATGCTCTAAGAAATGTGATCTAAGTATTGTTATGATTGTTCAACTTAGGCTTAACTACAATTAGTGTACATGAATAATACAGAGCACATCCTATTTGAAGCAGAAAACCTATTGAAAAATTTGTTTCACACTTAAAAAGGCCTAGTTTATGTGGTTAATAATAATCGATTACTAAGAGTGAACGAAAAGAAATTATTGGAAGTATCATAACTAGGAATCGGAATTGTAGGAGAAGCTCATAAAGTCAAAGAGTTCTTGTGGGTTTAGAATGCTTACAATCACTAATCGTTTAATAATTTAGGTTATTGCTTAATTTTATTTTTCAGTTGACATTTAAACTACTATGCCTATCTACTGTATTGAAGTCGAAGGGAAAAATCAATCGGTTATTTTACAAGTGATAAACAACAAGGGGATCAGGTCTTAGAAAGTGAGTTCATTTGATTAAGAATTATTAGAAATGTTCGGAAAAATTATTTTAAGTAAAATTGATTTTATATAATTATGATCTTTATATACATCACAATTATTGATTCTATTCTTTAATAATAATATAATTTGTATTATATAATAATATAAAATATTATTCATCTATTTTATATTTAAGTTCTGGTTAATATCATTATCGAAAATTTAATAGGTTATATAGTGTAAAATTAATTGTATGATAAAACAATTATCTTTAATAATATTAGTCTAATAACATATTTAATTTAACCATAAGATTCAATATATAGATAGATTGATATAATAAGAATAATTTGTATCTAATAATATATTTTTTATATTTAAGAAAATCCATCTTTAGGTTTCTTAAGTAAATTATATTATCAAACCCAGTAATTTTATCGAAAATACTACTCACATTAGATCCTAAAACTCAAATAATTAGTTATTGTAAGAACAAAAATCAAAATGGTAATTTATTTTTCGATAAAATTAATTGTTAAATCATATTTTGTTTAATTGATATTTGAAGACATACATTGGGTAATGATTTAAAGCTATCTCGTTGTAAATTTTACTTGGAGAGTTGAGTTGGAAATGTTGAGATTTTCTAGAACAGCAAACTCATTTATAGCAGTTTATAAATCATTTATAAAGTAGAAATAAAAATTTTGAAATATAGATTTATGTTGATTTGGTCTTATGCATTCATTGCAAGAATCCTCTGAAATGATTGGACATGAAAAGCAGCATAAAATAGATAGAAGTGGAGTTTGGTTGAAAGTCAAGCTTTACGGTTTCAAACAGATAGTATTTTAAGAGGAAGTGTTTGATTTTTATATGAATTAAAAGATATTTAAAATTAGATGATTAATAAATTCAACATAAATTGGTATTGAAATTTGAAGTGAGGGGATGGAGAAATAGGATGGAAATGAAGTGAGGAGGAACAAGGAAAAAGGGGAAGATTAATAAATAATATATATAATAATATTTTATGGATAGTTCTAGAATAATAGGGAATTTTAATAGTTAAGGAGATTGAATTTGATTAAGAATTAAAAATTAATTTGAGGTAATAAAATGCTCAGCAAATTATTGAGATCAACATCTTAAGTGAACTAACACACTGTGAACGCATTCAGTAGCAAGGTCATGAAGGGAGAATATGTGATTGGTATCGATTTAGGTACTACAAACTCTTGTGTGTCAATTATGGAATGTATAGATATAGTATATATTCAGCTGGAACACCCAAAGTTATTGAGAACGCAGAAGGTATGAGAACAACACCATCAGTCGTTGCATTTACAGCTGATGGACAAAGAATAGTGGGAGCACCAGCTAAGAGATAAGCTGTAACAAATCCTGAAAACACAGTTTATGCAACAAAGAGATTGATTGGTAGAAGATATGACGACCCAAATGTTTAGAAAGACATCAAGCATTTAAGTTACTCAGTTGTGAGAGCTTAAAATGGAGATGCCTGGGTTAGTTTGAAAAGTAAACATACATTATTAATCATCTAGGTGGTTAAACCTATTCCCCATCCTAAATCGGAGCCTTTGTCTTAATGAAAATGAAGGAAACAGCTGATGCTTACATTGGAAAACCTTAATCAAAGGCAGTGGTAACAGTGCCTGCTTATTTCAATGACTCACAAAGATAAGCCACCAAGGATGCTGGTAAGATTGCTGGTTTGGATGTTCTGAGAATCATCAATGAACCAACAGCAGCTGCATTGGCATTTGGTTTGGAAAAGAAGGATAACAAGATCATCGCAGTTTATGATTTAGGAGGTGGTACATTCGATATTTCTATATTGGAAATCAATGCAGGAGTATTTGAAGTCAAAGCAACCAATGGTGATACAAGTTGTGGAGGTGAGGATGTTGATTCAATTCTCTCCAATTGGATCAGTCAAGAATTCAAGGCATAAGCTGGAGTTGATATTTCAAAGGATAAAATGGCTGTTTAAAGAGTCAGAGAAGCAGCTGAAAAGGCTAAAATTGAATTGTCATCAACAACTCAAACTGATATCAACTTACCATATTTGACTGCTGATGCTTCAGGTCCCAAACATTGCAATCTCAAATTGACAAGAGCCAAACTTGAATCTTTGACTGAAGATTTCCTCAAGAAAACAATCAAACCAACTGAAAATTGTATTAAGGATTCTGGTGTTGACAAGAGCAAGATCGATGAAGTCATTTTGGTCGGAGGTATGAGTAGAATGCCAAAGGTCTAAAAGTTGGTTTAAGATCTCTTCAACAAACCACCCAACAAGTCAGTCAATCCTGATGAAGCAGTCTCCATTGGTGCTGCCATTCAAGGAGGTGTTTTGAAAGGAGATGTCAAGGAATTATTATTATTGGATGTTACTCCTCTCTCTTTAGGTATTGAAACTTTGGGAGGAGTGTTCACCAAAATGATTCCAAGAAACACAACCATCCCAACCAAAAAGAGCTAAACCTATTCAACTGCCAGTGACAATCAAACTGTCGTTTCAATCAGAGTCTTCCAAGGAGAAAGAGAAATGGCTGCTGATAACAAATTATTGGGACAATTTGATTTATCAGGTATCCCACCTGCTCCAAGAGGAGTGCCATAAATTGATGTCACTTTCGACATTGATGCCAATGGTATCGTCCATGTATCTGCCAAAGACAAGGCAACAGGAAAGGATCATTCCATCACCATTCAATCATCAGGTGGATTGAGTGAATCTGAAATCTAAGATATGATCAATAAAGCTGAAAAGTACAAGGATGAAGATAAGAAGAGAAGAGTATTATATAATATCTATCCCATAGGAACTCGTTGATTTAAAGAATGAAGCTGATGGAGCTATCTTCAACACAGAGAAGTCCTTGAATGAACACAAGGCCAAATTACAACCAAATGAAGTTTAAGAAATTGAAAGTGCCATTCAAAACTTGAGAGTCCTCTTAACTGAAAATCTCACTGCCAATGATGTTCAAAGACTTAAGGATGCAGTTGAAAATGTCAAGAATTCAGCTATGAAAATCGGATAAGCAATGTATTCATATTCCATCTATGTCTAGGTATCGTAATACTGGAGGTGCTAGCGAGTAATAGCAATAGTAATCTTCTGAATAATAGGGAGAGTAATAACAATAATAAGAAGGTGGAGAAAATAACAACAATAAATAAAATTGATATATTATGTTATTAATATTGTACATTCCTTTAATATTGGCATCTTATCTTTATGAGAATTCAACACTCATCACATAAACATTGTTTTATGAAATGGAAGGCAACCCCATGTACAATTTAAGTGTGTTAACAACCTAAGAATCATACAATTAATTGGATGTCAAGATTGAAGATCTTGAAAAGAGACAATTTCATATTCCTTCAGAAATGGAGCCATTTAAAAGCATCTATAATGATATCGTTAATCCGATTGAATATTCGCATTATGATTATGAAACCCTAATTGATGAATCTCCTTTTAAATTTAATGTAATTAGAGTCGACACTCAAGAAACTATACTCTCTTTATTTGATATTATTGTTTCTGAGTTGTACAGTGAATTCACAGTAAAAATACCTACTAAATACCTTTTTGGCTTAGGAGAAAGGAACCAAAAAGGATTCAGGTTCAAAGAAGGAATTTACACTCTGATGGCAAAAGACGTCCCTCAATTGTTAGAAGATGGCAAATAGCCTGGGAAAGGAGTCTATTCATCTCACCCAGTCTATTTGATGAGAGAAAGATCAGGCAAATACCATGTGTTATTTTTTAAGAATAGTTCCCCCATGGATGTCATCTATAAAGAGGATAAGTTGACATTCAAGTACATTGGTGGAATTCTGTAATTGAAACTCTTCTTAGGCAACTACGATCCTGAGACTGCAGTGAAATTATATCACTCATATTTAGGAGGTTGGGCATTGCATCCCTTTTGGGCTATGGGTTATCATCATAGTAGATGGCCAATCAAAAGCAGTGAGAAGTTAAAAGAGTACGTTCTTAATCACAAGGAGAATGATATCCCCATAGATACGATATGGTCAGACATCGATTACATGAATGATAGGTAAATCTTTTCGGTGGACGAAACGAGATTCCATAAGAGTGACTTCGAAGAAATATAAAATCAACTGGGAGTTAATTACATCCCTATTATCGATGTAGCAGTCGGAGTCAAGTATGGTAAACAAGATAAAGGATTCAGAGAGGGAATCAATTTAGACATCTTTTTAAGATCTCCAAATACAGGTCAAAGATTCAGAGGTAATGTGTGGCCAGGATCGTCATATTTTCCAGATTTCTTTCATCCCAATTGTTCCACTTATTGGAGGACTATGATCAAACATCTCTATCAAAGTACTAATTTTAGTGGATTATGGATTGATATGAATGAACCAACCAACTTCTGCGATGGTGAATGCGATCTATAATCAGGAGGCGATAAATGGAATTCCACCATGGACTATACTGATGTTAATGATAATTACAAAAACAATCACATCAGATTCCCCTACATTCCTGGAGTATCACCCCTTGAAAAGATGACTCTCCCTCCAAATTTATACCATTATGGCAAATACCTCCACAAGGATGTTCATAATCTTTATGGATTGCAAGAATCCTATGAAACATATTAAGCACAAAAAGAAATTGGAAAGCCATTGCCATTCATTATCTCAAGATCCACTTTTCCTGGAAGTGGCCATTTTACATAGCATTGGGAAGGAGACAACGAAGCCTCATATACATTTCTGTATTTATCTGTTGGGTCCACAATGCAATTCAATATCTTCGGTATACCCATGGTAGGTGCTGATGTTTGTGGATTCCTAGATAACACTACTCCTAAATTGTGTGCTCGTTGGGTTTAATTGGGTAGTCTTTACCCATTTTTTAGAAATCACAATAATGATAGAGCCAAGGATCAAGAATTCTATTCCCTTGGCGAGGATGTGTTGTAAGCAGCCAGAAGAAATATTAAATTAAGATATTCTATAATCAAATGGTATTATTCGTTGTTCTTGAGATCCAATCACACAGGTACAATATTTCGACCAGTGTTCTTTGAATTTAATGATGATGTCAATTTGTTCAAAGATGAAGTGTTGGATACTTAATTTCTAATAGGAGATGATCTAATGGCCACTCCTATCTTAATAGAAAATCAAACCATAAGAAAGGCATACTTTCCCAAAGCTTATTGGTATCACTTCTTAAGTGGATCTAGATTGCAAAAACTAGAAGATCCAGGAATGGAACATTTTATTGTATGTAAATACACTGATTATGTACCATTATATATAAGGGGTGGCAGTATCATCTTACAACAAAATGTCACTAATGTAAAAACCATTAAAGATTTGAAGAATCATTTTCATGCTGTCATTGCTATTGGTGAAAAAGATTCCTTTGGTACGATGATCGATTTAGATGAATTCTCAGATTAAAAAGTAATTATTTTCATCATCAGAATAGATTTTAGAGAAATGTGATTAATCAAATTGCATACTTAATGTAAATTTCTCGATATAAGAAAATAACGCTGAATTTACTATTGTGAGAGCTGATAATGGCCAGCCAGCATCATATCCATTATTTATTAATAGATTAAAAATCTATGGTTTATCACCATCTGCAAACATTAAATGTTCAAGCAATGTAATTAATAGACTTATCTTAGAAAATTGTTGAATGTTCATACAGCAATGATAATACCTTCCCGTATATTTCCATCATAGAATTAAATGAGGGAATAGGACTTGAGTTTGGTGAAACTACTGAAATATTCAAATTATCATTATAATTTTCATGAATATAATATTCTATTAAGATTCATCTAATATCCATAAAACCATTAAATTAAATCCTATTATAAAGTGAAAATAATTGTCAATGAGAAAAACATATCATTTAATAAATGCAATCACTACTGTAATGTCATCTATGACTTCATCTTCTCTTTACCATGCTTCTCTTGCAGCTTAAATCAATCTTTGGCAAGCACCTTGAGTATCATCTTTTTTATAATATTCATAAACAGTTTCAATGACCCATTCATTAGAGAGGAATCTAATTTTTATTATCAATAGTACTCCCATATTCCATCAGATGCAACAATAATAAATTTATCGCAAGGCAAAAGAGAATGTTTTATTATTTCAGGTTCGCAAATCACTCCAACTTAACTAGCAACATAGTCTCCGAAACTCCTTGACATAGCCAATCCTGGGACATCCTCATCTGATTTCCAAACTCTAGCAGGTCCAACAGGATTGCCATCTTCATCACTATATGCCTGCACACGACCTCCTCTTTGAATGATTCTGGCTTACTCTAGAAAGCAATCAGGTTTATGATCTTTCGACAACTCAATTACTGACAATTTATTATCGAATCTTCCTATTATTGCTCGACTATCACCAATATTGGCGCAGTATAATACATTTTCAAAGGAAATCACTGTTACAGTGGTTGCACCTGAGTAAGTGACATCAATTCCACTGTCAAGTAATTCTTCATTAGTTTATAAAAAACAGTTTTTGAGGATTGTGCTAACTTATCTAAGAATTAATTAAATATTGTACTTGTCTCTATCATAACAAGATGAGATGGTCTAGATTCCTTATTCAATGAAAGTAGGTAAGACTTATTATAAGAATTGAGCGACTTAGTGGCCATTTGTGCCATGTCCATCCGAAACTTAAATATACCAATCATTCGCTTTGTTGTTAAATTTATTGATTAGTTTGTAGATATCTTAATTGGTTTTAGTTTAACCATTATATAGCATTCCAGGTGCACTCAATCCATTTGCTTTTGCTATGTAGAGATGCAAGTTTGAAATATCTGGATTACTAATTGAACGAGGTCCTTTAAATAATTTGGATTTAACTATGGATTGCTGTTGTTACTTAGTCATTTCCATTAATTATTGGTATTTTTTAGAAATGCCTTGTTGATTGAATAGATCTTTGTTTTACTGAATTACAGGTTATTTAGTTTCAGGCCTGTCCTACTTGATTTTTAATAAGATTGACAAGGCATTGGCAGATAAGTTTTGTGAATTTTCTTTGGTTTCAATTAATTTGCTGTTCTAACGTGCATGAGTTTTTTTGAGCAATACACTGCTAACATCTTTGAAATCTTTTCCACTGGCTGGTCTTGATTTTTTGGCTTCTATTTTTGAATTGCCACCTCCATTCCTATTGCTGGGTACTAGATATCTAAATAGTAAATTGATTGTAGTACTTGTTTGCATTTATGATAGGTGATTTCAATCTGGCTTATTATTCTTGCTCACTTTTCCTTTTGAGAAGTGAAGCATATAATTTATCTGGAGAAATTTAGGAGGCTTTAGCTTTCATGCAAAATAGTTGTTAATTATTAAAATTATAAATATTTATATATTTTACTTTAGCATATTTTTTCATAATCCGCTTCTCCTTTCCAACCATCTGCTATCAATTTAACTCATCACTATACCTCTTCAGGATATAATTCCCATTAGCTTATATTGTGTCTTAATAAGCACTTTCTTTGGTGCTCAATTTTTTCAATTATTTAGTTTCATCATCATTAATCTATTTTATATTATAAAATCAAATTATATTAATTTTATTAACTTCTTTTATTTCCTAAATATAAAATCAAAATTTCTAAACTGTACATTGATAACTTCAACAATTCCACTAAAATCTTAAGTTTCTCCTTTTTGAACGATATTACAATACCTTAATATTAAGGTGTATTCAACAAGTTTTTAAATTCTTCATTTTTCTTTTGTTAACTCCTATATTTATAATCGACTCTACAATTTCAGCAAAGAATTGATATGTAATTCATATATTTTTATAAATTATCCATTTTAATAATATGAATATTATAAAATATTAATATTTTTTTATTAAACCATACATCTTTTATTCGCTAAATATATTTTATTATAAAAACAAGTGATATTGGAAATTATAAAATAAAATGTAAAATTAAGATTAAGAATATTTACTCAACAATGTGAACCCAATCTTAGAATAACTGGCACTCTATTTAGTTAAAGAAAAGCCTGACAATGTGGTAAATTCTATTTATTATCATTTAATTAGACCCAAGCATCAATTGAATGGTTAAGCGTAACAGGAGGTATTGTTATTATGCATCAATTCACTAGCTCAAATTGAAAATGGATTACATCATAACCAACACTTTCATAATGACACTATTGAATCATCTGATGATACAGAATCTGATGAGGATGACTACGAACTATATGCCAATAATCCCATTCGACCAGATAGAGCAAGTGTTAGTGCTGAAGTCTATGGAATTTATAACAAAAAAACTAATTTCAAACCTAAAATAGTTGCAAAATCTCACTTACAAATTCAGAGAATCAAAGAGAAATTGGCATAATCATTTATGTTCTCGGAATTAGATGAACATGATCTGAGAATAGTCATTAATGCTATGGAAGTCATCCAATGTAAGAAGGGAGATGTAATAATCAGATAAGGAGATGACGGTGACAATCTATACATAGTTGATGAAGGAACACTAGATTGCTCACGAACTAAAGCAGGCCAAGATTCAGTTCATCTGAAAACATACAAGCCAGGGGAATCCTTTGGTGAATTGGCACTCTTATACAACTCACCCAGAGCAGCCACCATAGTTGCAGAGGAAAACTGCGTTCTATTCTCTCTAGATAGAGGAACATTCAATCACATAGTCAAAGATGCTGCCATCAGAAAGCGAGAAAGATATGAATACTTTTTAGCTCATGTTGAATTGCTTTAAGAGTTAGACCCTTATAGCCGATCTCAAATTGCTGATGCACTAAAGAGCAGAAACTTCAACATAGGGGACTACATTGTTAAAGAAGGAGATGAAGGAGATATATTTTACTTCCTTGAAAAAGGAGAAGCTGTAGCCACAAAAGTTTTGAATCAAAGTATTCTACTCCCAAATATCCTTTAGGTTAGCCTGCTTAAGTAGTTTACTTTTATAAGGAAGGTGACTATTTTGGAGAAATTGCCCTACTGAGATAAGCTCCAAGAGCTGCCTCTGTCATTGCCGAAGTAATCTGCATTTTCATTAAATTATAGACTCCGTGCACTGTTGTTTATTTGGATAGGGAGACATTCAAAAGATTATTAGGACCACTTGAAGATATACTCACTCGTAATTTTAAGAAGTACGAAAAATACATGAATTGAGATTATTAAATATCTATTATTTTACAATAGTAAATTTTAAAACTACATTGGTAATTTATTTAACTTTTCAATTTTTACAAAACCATTCTGATCAAATTAAATATTTTGAAAGCCTATTACTTTTAGTAATTTGTTCGATTTAATTTAATAATTTTATATATTTCATTTTAAGAATTAAGCATTATAATTTGAAATTCCCTTTGATTTACTAGTCCTTAACACTTTACTATGGAGTAACTTTATAAAACAATAATACAGGTATGCAAATTCTAAATAAAATAAATTATAAATTGGAAAAACTCAACATTAACCTAGTTATAGAATTATAAAAAAATTCAGTTTCAGCTTATTATCTAAGATTTATATCAAAGCTATTTAAGTTAAACGGCGTAATTGCATGCTAAGATGTAATTTGTTCTTGTTAAATTAATTATGGCTAAAAATAATTATCACTTTCTTTTGTAATGATGAATTCTCTTATTTTTAGAAGACATTATTTATCAACAAATTTATGCTAATTTTTCGAAAATTATTGATTTTCAACTTTATCATATTTTCTTTTATATATTTAAGTATTACATAATAGAATTGCTTCTCTTTAAATTTATGACATTTTAATATTTGTTCTATATTTTAGGAGAATCATAATTTAATAGTCATAAATCTCTTACAATATTGATACTCAATTACTAGTAATAATTTAGAATATTGATTTTTCCTTTTTCTATTCTTTTCCAGATATTAAGGGTTACCAACTTGAATAGTAGGGTTTCGATACATGCAGCAAATAGTTATATAAAATTTTGATGATAAGAAAAGTAGCATATAATTTAATGTCATATTTAATTATTAATTATTTGTTAACTTTATGAATTTATCTGCCAGATCCTATATGCCAACTTAAAAATCTATTTCTCCATTGATTGATCGAACTACCAAGAAGCGAACTCTTACAATTTACGAGCTAACCAAGTCTTCAAAGAAAACAAACAAGATAATTACAGAAAAATCCACTCAAAAAAAATTGACTTCCAATAGTTCTCAAGAAACTTCAGAAATATGTTTAACTGGGAATGATTCTGCATAGGACAACACCAGATTATAATAATTGAAAATTTAAGTTTTAACGTACACATATATCCCTCTAAAAGTTTAGAGAAAAAGTCTAACAGATTGAATAACTTAATCTCTAGAAAACTACTCTCTTGCTTAAAGAACTTCAATACTATCGTAATAAGCCCCTTAATAGTTCAAATACTTCGGTAATGGTTGCTTTGGCCTTAGCACGTATCTGATATTATAATTACTTTATAGATACTAATATTAATCATTCATAACTCTTAATTATTTTTACTTTAAATCTACTTGCTTTTATCGAAATATTATCAATGCACACTAAAATTTCAAAATCTATTATAATTGTGTCAAACATGAGTGATTAATTTTTCATAATAAATTCCCAAGATTTTTTGAAAGAATAGAGATTTTCGATTAATTTAATGGATAAAATTTTGATACAAGTATTTCTAACATGTTATAAGTCAATAATTTCTCAGTTATATTATTAATGGATATTTATTACTCATGGCTATCCTGGGGATAAAAGTGGTATCTTAGAATATTTATAGAAATAATAATTAAAAAGCGTAATTACTTTATTAATCTTATCTGTGCATTCAAAGCTATCTAACTATTAAAGTTTATTTCTTTTAGTAATTACGTGTAGGTATATTTCACCATTATATTTTATATCCTTATTTAAATATATTGATACCAATTACCATAATTCGAATTTATTATTGAATCTTTATTATTAAGAATACTTATTTTATAATGAAATATGTGGCTAAGTTTAATTTCCTAAAATTCATCTTGCAATTTTACATTTTATTATTAATTTTTATTTCAGTCAGGAATTGTTTTTCACTTTTTTTCTGAATCAGTGTTTCTCCATCACCAACTACCTTTATGATTTACAATTTCTTATTATTAAAATAATCTTATAATATTTCAAATTTTTTTTCACTCTTAGTTACAATGAAAATACAAGATAAGACAATCTACCAAAACAAATTTGATAGTTTAAGGTTAAACTCTCAAATTTTGTTTCATAAATACAATTTAATATAATATGAAGCAAGTATTTGACATCGATTAAGCAATTTTTAGATTGTATAAGAAATGTAAATATAATAATCTTTGGATGTATTTAAGACAGAAGAATATTAATAATATGAATCAAAAAGAGAATTCACTACGATCCGATTAAGCTTCAACTTTCTGTTAGATAATTTTGTATTAAACCATTTGATAGCTTTATTTCCATAGTTAAAGGATATTTTTAGGGTTTAACTCCATCTATTCTGCTTTTTCTTTATAATACAACTCTTTGTAATAATTATCTTCAAATTATTAGAAACAACTTCTTGTGGGTTCTTCATATTATGATGAATTTGGAATAAAGAGTATAATTCCAGGCTCTATTCTTTTTATTCTTTCCTTAAAGCTACTTAATATATCATTTTCTTCATTTTCTATTTTAATACTGAAGTTTTATTATTGTTTTTCTTGATTATCATTTTATTCATTATTTTCAGTATTTTTTTTGATCTTTTTCTTTATAGCAGGCTCTGTAGGGCAGAAGTCTTGCTTGCAAAATTTTTCAAGTTCAACTTAAAATTATTTCATCTCATCGGACATTTTGCATTTTAATTCTTTAATTTTTTCTAGTAGTGTTCTCAATTTATGATAATGGAGCTGATTTACAGGAATTATAGGGGCTTGAGTATTACAAATTTGCATTTAGATAAGAATTTGTTTTGATTCACTAACAAAGTCTTATCCTTTGGACCACTTCTTTTATTTTACTTATTTCTCCTTTTCCTCAGATTGAATTTATGGTGTTTCATTTGTTTCACTATCAATACTAGTTGGAAATGATATGGGTTGACTATTTTTTTATTCTTTGTAGAAACTTAGGAAATCGAATTCTTTTTGAACTCTATTTTGAAACTCTATCAAAATAAACTGTTAGAATTTATTATCAACACTCTTCACACTTTCTATTAAGTATGTTTTCAAATCTTCTCTCACGTTTTCAGGGAGACTTCCTAAATGTTTCCACACTCCTTAGTTGGGGTATGACTACAGAGTAGCTCTTCTATTAGCTGTTCCTGGTTTTATGGATACACAAGTTGACAAAAGATGATATGGCAAATTTTTATCATTAAAATACTTCCTCATTGTATTTAATGCCCACTTCATGAACAATTTCTTCTTTCCGTCTGTTTCTTGAAAATCTTTATTTGATTAATTTTACATTTTATTATTGAAATTTGATTCATAAATAACTTGCTTATACATGATCCTAATTCTATCATCAAATTCTATAAATAATATAAAAGAATCTTAATAGAAAGAATTTGTATAACTATCATATTTAATTGAGTCTGAAATTTTGTTAACTTTTCTACTAAATTTGGAGTGGTAAATTAAAGCGTGAATAGAACAAACTTTCGACCCGATTTGCTTAAAACCTCCCTTGAAACATATGGATATCCAATTTTTCATGTTTTTTTAACATACTTGTCTAAAAGAAGCAAACTTCAAGAGAGTAAAGTATTATGAATATATATTTTCACAGAAACCTCCTTTCAATATGGAAGTGTGAAAGTAGAATTCTTATTTTTTACTGTTTATTTTAAAATTTAGTTAATAATTAATATGGCTATTTCTATTATTGTAATATTTTCCAATAAGCATATTAAAAACCATTATTTGTAATTTTTGCTAAATGAATAGGATTAAAACCTATGTTTACTTCAAATAAAGTGTTTAGTTCGCACCTTTCCTTAATATGTAGAAATTATTCATAATCATCAGAATCAACTTTTGAGTTTATTCTCAATTATTAAATAAACTACTGATTTAACTAATATTCTCATCTTCTCTTTGACTGATTGAATTGCAATAATAAAATAACAAATAATAATTGCAAAAAGGAATAAAAAAATTGTATAATTCAATTAAAATATGTTAGCACAGGAATCAATTGTATAATGATGCAAATGAATTAGAGAAATATCATTTAATGCTCTATTTTAATAATAATCATCATAAATTCCATGATTTCTTTAAAATTGCTTCAAAAGTCTCATCTTATTCGATAGCTGATGACACATCCTATTATAAATTTTATCAAAGTTACCTAATAAAATTCACCAAACTCTTAGAATTAAATTACTTTGTCTGGTTATGCCTTATTCCAATGAGATACAAATTCCTAAAACACTTATCTCTCTGTCTTATATCCCTTGAGTACATCAGGATGTTCTTTAACATTGATAGTTCTGCCCATGGTATCCAAAGTGACTTTGCCTGCTCTTTATTCAATAGATGCATATGCTCTTTAAACAAAGTACAGTCGTTTATCGCTCATTTGTAACTAACTATGGATTAAAGTAATTTACTCTAAAAGCATCCAAAAATTCATTAAATTCAATCTTTCCATTGTTATTTTTGTCAAATGTTTAGAAGATCATTTTAGTTTCATCTTCGCTCAGATTGAGTCCAAAGTTTCTTAGTCCCCATTTAAAGTCGTCATACTCAACAACCCCATCTATTTTAATGTGTAAGTTATTACTATTATTTTGATCCATTTCAAAAAAGACTTTAGCTAATCCTCTCAATCCATAAGACCCTTTTCCTGTTATCTATTACTTAACTCTAATCATAAGATTCTTAACATTTCTATTGTCATCCATGACTGATTCATCAAATTATTGACTCTATTTAGTTGCAACAAAAAATTTCCATAAATTCTAAGGTCTATAAAATAATTAAATTTATTATCTACTCTTAATTTCTTAACGGAATATCAATAGTAGTCCTGCCCTCTTTTTCTGCTATCAAATTTTGTGTTTTGTTCAAACATTAATAAGAATGAACAAAAACTTCCCGTTCTCTGCCAAAATCGTTTTAATATACTATGTCATCACTTGCTAACCAATGTTATGTGAATGAATGCTTAACAAGTACAACATCATCAATTCTAATAGGTTGTCCTTCCATTTCAAATCTAATTTTTGGATCTGAATGTTCTAATTTCCACACGGTATTAAAAACATCACTCTCTATGGCACAAACTTCTTATTTTCTCGATATTTTAGCACATCTAGTAGGTGTCTAAGGAAGCGAATGGAGATAAAATGTTTTGTTGTTTGAGATTCTTGGATTTGCAAGAATTCTGAAATGTTATCCATAATGTAAAATATCATCACCAAAGTAATTGGGTTCTTTGTTATAAGGTACAACTACGAATACAGATCTTACTGTTGATTATGCTGTTGGGGCTGTAGTAACATTGTATGCTTCTTCATTTATTTTTAATCTTTCTTAGATGTCTATTGATAAAAAGCCTTATGTTTTTAGATTTTAAAGCATAATATGGAATCCGAAATGAATGTATTCATCCTTTGGATAAGTTAGTGATGCTAGTCTAAGACTGAAGTTAGTTTTTTAATCCTTGACAATGCTTGCCAGTTACCCATTTTATCTATTTTTCAAATAGTCTTTTTTCCTAATAAATTCATGAACAAATTCTCACTTGGTCTCATCTAACTCCCACTCTTCAAACCAATTACCGATGCGTGTCTAGAACTTGTATTTATGATCGACGTTGAAATTGTGCATTTAATGATTAAATAAATTATTATTGATTAAAGATAATCTAGATTGCTCTTGGTAAAAAGCAATTAGAAAGTATAATAAAATTATTGATCCTTCTATGTTCATAATAGAAATACATTCAATTTTTACAAAATCTCAGCTATAAAAATGAGGGTTTTTCTTGAGAAAATAAATCATAAAAATTGAGAAATATAATTTTTTTAGAGAATTCTGAAGGTTTTTATTTGTATACTTAAAGCCTACTATCTTGAGTATATATTCTAAGATTGTTCTTTGACGTTATAATTTATTGACTACTGAATGTATATTTTCTGAAGGTTGTTTCTAATTATCACAAGTTCAACATTTCAATGAAATTAGTAGGTTAGTTTTGCTTTTTATTCAATTGCTACCTATAAGTCTTTATATACCAGATAAACTTGGCTTAAGAATAGTATAACTAGGCATTTTTATATCCATCGAATTTATAATAAATTGAGTTAGCCTACCTTTTTGAAAAAAGAATTTAATATTAATATGAATAGAACTTGTAAAATTATAGTTAGGTTCATCAAAGAAAGATCTTAATTTTTTACATATATTTTATTAAATAAAATGATTTAGTAATTTGTAGACAGAAACGCATAAAATGGAGATCCATTTCAGATATTTAAATGGATGATATTTAAAACATACGAAAGAATATTTAATATGCAAAAAAATAATTTGAAAATTAATAATTTATAGGTGTTGATGAAAGCTTTGTCACTACTTTTAAGTGCACGCACGGCTTTTTCAACCCCTCATAACTGAAGCTACCAGTTTGAAGGGTCTAATTCACTACTACTAATGCTACAACCTCTAATGCAATTCGTTTGGATCATATTATTTGATAGCTTACTTCACAATTCCCTCATTTTGATTATTGGCATTATTAATTTAATTTTTGTTATTATTTTGATTGAGATTTGTATTCTATTAAATCTCTACATCGATTTCATTGTTCAAATTAGTTAGGGATGCTAAAATTAAAAAATAATAAACTTGAATGTTATGTTGAGGACATCGACATTATACTAATATCTGGATTGATAATAGGTTCTGGTATAGGCTGCTAAACTGAATTTTCAATATCCTCATGCTTATTCTCTTCATCTCCGAAATATTAACCTTCATAATAAGGATAATATTTAAATTAGTTTAATCGTGTTGTTCCACTAAAGGACCCTTCCTAACCTTAACTTTCCGCTTCTCTTTATCTTCTTTATTGATCTCTCATTAGCTTGCGAAGTTTTCGTTTTAGGATTCTAAGTTTTTTTGTTTTCCTAATAAAAGTAAATTTTTCTAGATTAAATACTTGAATACAACAGACTCTTAAACTGTCTAAATGATCATGCTCGTAGTGTTATAATGGGCTTCAAACATTTAAGCGAATATTTCTTTTTCTGCTTCTAATTCTAATTCTTCATCGCTGAAGGTTTAGATGTACTAAAATGAAGTTTATGAAGATAATGTAGAGTTGCTGATTGATGAGGTGGAGAATGACATTTGATTGATATGATGATTATTTTTTGTTTTAATTAATATCCCAATTGTTATATATAAATGCTCAAAAACACAACTTAATATTATAGTATAAGGATATTGATCTAATAACGCCTTTCTAATAAGCCCTAAAAGTCTCGATTGAATATATTTTATATTAATATTATTCTTTTTCTTTACATATTTTATTACAAAAGGAATTCTTAATATAAGTGTGTTATCCAAAAATTAAATTCTATTTTTCTAAGAAATAACTGGAATTAAGTTTCAAATAATCATTCTTTGAATAATGTAACCATCAATTTAGTAAGAGAATACTCAAAAGTCTATCAATTATGAACAAATACATGATATTAGATGCTTAGAGAACATTTTAGGATAATAAATTATGACATCAAAACTATAGTAAGAAAAATTTAAGATTAGATTTTTTCTCATTTTACAGATCGAAATCAGTCATTTCAATCAGCAAAAAAGTAGATCTGTTTTTCTAGAACAATTCAATATTCCCCCTTAATAAGACTCTATTAGGAATTGCTAGCATTGTTAACTTATAACAATCAACTTGAATAATTAAATTTTTAATATCATTTAATTTTATATAGTCCAATTAATACAATTAAATCAATTCAGATTTCTGGTTCATGGTAAAGGTGCAATATAAATTCCAGCTTTTTCTAAAGCTGAGGTAGCTTAAAATAATAGTCCATCAAGCATTCCTTAAGCTTCTCCAATTTCATTAAAAAAGTTTTATAATTACTTTCCACTAAAAGATCCATTCCTAATTTTGATCTTATATAATCTCTAGATCTTGAATAAATCTCATGATCAATTTCAGATTTAAAAATAGCATCAGCTATCTCCTAACTATTAATACATAAGAAATCTTGAGTTCTTATATTATTTACTAATTTAACCTAATTTTAAATACAGTAAAATAGTTCCATCAAACTGTTTTATTCTTTAGTTTTAGACAAAAGCTCATCCTATTTTGAACATAAATTGAAATTATTTTCTATTGTTTTGATTTATTATTAAACTCTTTAAACTTAAATCTGGTAATAAAAATTTGAATTTTATTCAAATTCTTGATTAAACTTCTTACAAACATATCTTGAATTCTAGATGTCTTCTAATGAACAATATGATAGTATAACTTTAAAAAATAAAGTTCCTAATTTTGAAATCTTTTCCAATTAATTTGATTTTGATCTTTGTTTTGTGAGTAAATTATATAAAAATTATTATTATTATTATAGATTTAGAACTATTTTATCTTTGTTATATGCATCACAAATTACTTTATAATCTCGTTGTGTAGTAAAATCAAATAGATTCTTTATATATTTTGCTAAAGCCAGGAACTCCTTTGAATTTACCTAATTATTTTAATACCTATTTTTAGACATATAATTCCTTATCAATCTTCTTTACTTTTCAAGTATGCCATACCAATTCAAAGGTTAATATTGAAGGCAGGTAATAACAGTTTACAAAATGTCATATTTTGTTATATATTGTTTTTATTTTTATCCTTAAGATTTAGATTCTGTATATAAATCAGCAAGTAAGGTTAATTAAGATAAAAGTTGAGAGGGAATTTGAGGAATACTTCCATTTTGCGACATCCATTTCCTCAATTATTTTAAAATATTATTTAAACTTGGAATTACAGGTTGCTAGAAGTCTTGAATATTTAGGGATTTAACATAATTCTATCTTTGTATTTTAATATAAAATAGAAATTCTATGTTAGCCTCTATTAAATGATTAGTGAAAATGCTCACAAGCCTTAATTACATGATATCTTGTGTAGATAAAAATACCATAATATTTCTGAAGACAATCTGAGAAACAAATCTCTCAAAAAGATTCTTTATCTTTTAGGTTTTTACATATTTTTCCAACTTAAATTTTTGTTTGTGATATTTTTAATTGACATTATCTTTTAAATTACTTTTAGGAAGTTTTAAGTTTTAGAATGAATAAAATAAATTTTAATATGCATTAAAAGCTGTTCTTGTTTATTTTAATGTTGTTTGCTGTTTTTATCTTAATTCGTATTGTGATTGCCTTAAAAAGATATTATCTGAACTCATTTATTTTTTTATTAAAAATTTTGCAAATATAATTATAAAAAAGAAGGTTCTAATTCTGTTGAAATCTATTGGATGGAAGAACCATAAAGTTTATTGATAAATGAAAATTCACCTAGATAAAGAGGGAAAAATTGAAATTTAACAATCATATCTAATGTTATTTTGAATTATTAATACATATTTTTGCTATTTAAATCGTTTTAATAAGTTTTTATAATTATTTATCCCTAAGCTCAGTCTAGGGTAGAATAAATTAAGTTTTAGTTACCAAATTGAAAAACGACGATAATAAATAGTCTTCAACTCAAAGGTGAAAGGAATGGCCAAATGTCTAAGTGACCTTATTATGAATTTGATAATAATATATATTGAATTATTAAGATTTTCTATAGAAATAGGCAGATTTAAATTGTTAAGTGAACAATTCCTATCTAAATATTCACTAAAAGATATGAATACTTTTTAAATGACTTGATATAGTAATATCAACTCACAAACAATTAATTATTTTTGCTACAAATCATAAATCATATGGGGTTATGCACATCAAAAAAACACAACTATCCGCTTCAGAGAAGCTAACCGTAGAGGAATATTGAAATCGACTTTGTCAAATTGCTAGAGTATAATCGTAAAAAAGAAGTCAAGGATAATAAGAATAATTAACAACAACAATCATTCTGTTAGATTTTCTTATAAGATAATAAAACTTCTAATCCTCAAACCTTAACGTAAAACCTAGCTCCAACTGCATAGTTAGACTACAAGAAAATATGATTCTATTCTTGGCTAATCCTTGAAGCTCTATGAGTATTGAATATATTTAATAAACTGAATTATTAATAACATTACTCCTGTTTACTCTACTATTTAAATACTTCCTAATACTCACTAAGTTTCATATTTACTGTATTTAATTTGAAAACATCCAAATTAATCAAATAATAATATATATAATCAATAGAAATAAAGAATTGTTCAAAGATCTTGATTTGCATCACAATTTGAATAAGTAAACTCAAGCTCTCAACACTTATTAATTATGGTTTCAAAAAAAATTTTATTTTTACTAGAATCTCTTTTTTTACCAATATTACATAAACATGTTCTAAGTTTTTCAATATTTGAGCATTTAATTTAGAGTTGACAAATTTATGAAGTTTTTTTGTTTAAATTTTTCAACATTGAGGTTAGAAATTTAAATATAGTAGTTCATATTATTGGTAATTATAAACAACTCTTGTTGTAAATCCGCTGTTTTATCAACCTTCATTTGAGGATCTAATATTTATAGTATTCGATATTATTTAATGTATTGTTTCTATGATCTTTCAATATTTTAATTTCATCAAAAATTTTGACAATACTAAACATAATGACGATATGATTAGTCTTTTCTATTACTAGAGTAAGTTTGAGTTGAATAAATAAAAGAAGGAATACAAACATTTCAATAAAATAGANATGTTATTTTGAATTATTAATACATATTTTTGCTATTTAAATCGTTTTAATAAGTTTTTATAATTATTTATCCCTAAGCTCAGTCTAGGGTAGAATAAATTAAGTTTTAGTTACCAAATTGAAAAACGACGATAATAAATAGTCTTCAACTCAAAGGTGAAAGGAATGGCCAAATGTCTAAGTGACCTTATTATGAATTTGATAATAATATATATTGAATTATTAAGATTTTCTATAGAAATAGGCAGATTTAAATTGTTAAGTGAACAATTCCTATCTAAATATTCACTAAAAGATATGAATACTTTTTAAATGACTTGATATAGTAATATCAACTCACAAACAATTAATTATTTTTGCTACAAATCATAAATCATATGGGGTTATGCACATCAAAAAAACACAACTATCCGCTTCAGAGAAGCTAACCGTAGAGGAATATTGAAATCGACTTTGTCAAATTGCTAGAGTATAATCGTAAAAAAGAAGTCAAGGATAATAAGAATAATTAACAACAACAATCATTCTGTTAGATTTTCTTATAAGATAATAAAACTTCTAATCCTCAAACCTTAACGTAAAACCTAGCTCCAACTGCATAGTTAGACTACAAGAAAATATGATTCTATTCTTGGCTAATCCTTGAAGCTCTATGAGTATTGAATATATTTAATAAACTGAATTATTAATAACATTACTCCTGTTTACTCTACTATTTAAATACTTCCTAATACTCACTAAGTTTCATATTTACTGTATTTAATTTGAAAACATCCAAATTAATCAAATAATAATATATATAATCAATAGAAATAAAGAATTGTTCAAAGATCTTGATTTGCATCACAATTTGAATAAGTAAACTCAAGCTCTCAACACTTATTAATTATGGTTTCAAAAAAAATTTTATTTTTACTAGAATCTCTTTTTTTACCAATATTACATAAACATGTTCTAAGTTTTTCAATATTTGAGCATTTAATTTAGAGTTGACAAATTTATGAAGTTTTTTTGTTTAAATTTTTCAACATTGAGGTTAGAAATTTAAATATAGTAGTTCATATTATTGGTAATTATAAACAACTCTTGTTGTAAATCCGCTGTTTTATCAACCTTCATTTGAGGATCTAATATTTATAGTATTCGATATTATTTAATGTATTGTTTCTATGATCTTTCAATATTTTAATTTCATCAAAAATTTTGACAATACTAAACATAATGACGATATGATTAGTCTTTTCTATTACTAGAGTAAGTTTGAGTTGAATAAATAAAAGAAGGAATACAAACATTTCAATAAAATAGATTCAATTAATCTTTTGTAATTACTATTCCATACATTAATTTTTATTTATATTTTACTATTCATTAATAGAAACAATTTTTTAACTTTAGCTAATCCAATGACATACTCAGCTCACTGATTTGTATTTATATGGTATCGCTTCTTAAAAATAGGATGGTTAACTTATTGAATATTTAATAAAAATAACTTATTTACGATCTCCATATTATCTGACTTCGAGTTCATTATCGTTTTTTATAAAATTAATATTTAAGTTATCGTTATTTTATTAAATTCTTTTTTTGTAAATTAGAACATGAAGAGTTAGAATGAGTACAACAATTATTGATTAATTTTCTTTACGTATTTATTCATGTTAATGTATATTTCACCACTCAAGGAAAGGATCATCGGCTGGTTTAAGAGCAGGACTCTAGGTATCAGATTCTGGATAGGATGAGAAATTTGACGTATCATTTGCAGCTCTATTTTGGAATTATAAAATAATTACTTAACAACAGGTTTATAGGGAACTGGTAATTTCTTTTGGGTAAGCAAATTCCAATCTAGATTTCCAAACCATCTATGATTCTTAATATCAGCAGCTCCTATGAAATATTTAGGACTATAGAGATACCATTTTTTAAGTTTCCATATCTTTTTGATAAATCTGCAACTAATAAATGTTTGACTAAGGATTTAGCATTTCTACAATAAGAAAAAAAGCATACTTATCAAAAGTTTTTGGAAATTTAACCTTGCCCTTAAGAATTTTTTAATAAATAGCCATAGGATCCTCATCAGAGAAAGGATCGATTCCTGCATTCATCTCATAGATTAAAATTCCCAAAGTCCACCAATCAACAGCTTTACCATGTCCCTTATTTAATAAGATTTCTGGAGCCAAGTATTCTGGAGTTCCGCATAATGTGTAAGTTCTTCCTTCAACTACTTTAGCAAATCCAAAATCTGTTAATTTTAAATATCCATCATCAGCGATCAATAAATTTTCTGGTTTCAAATCTCTATAGATAATATTTTTGGAATGAAGATATTCAAAAATTGAGGCAACTTATGAAGCATAAAAACTATAAAAATTTAATATAATATTTTTACGCAGCATGTGAAGTATCAAGTCTTCCAATACTTCTCAAATATGTAAATAACTCGCCACCTGATACAAATTCTAAGACTAAATATAAATATCTTGGATCTTGACAAAATCCTTCAAAATTGACCTATTAATGATTCAATCTATCAATTTACTATGAAAGGATGAGATAAGTTGCCCAATATTGTATTCTCGTTAATAACATGATCAACTTATTTTAATCTAATAATTTCAGCTTTCTTTAAACTTTTCAAAGCAACATATTTATTTGTTTATTTGTTTCTAGCCAATTTAACTCTTCCAAATGATCCTAAAGATAAGAATTGCAACTCAATACCTGTTCCAAGTGTTTGAAACACTTCATAATCTGTCAATTTCAGCTTCTTTGGTTTTGCCAACCCTGTACTCATATTTCTTAAGATTTATGAAATAAATAAATTATATAGATATAAATTAATAGCACACGCATAAGAACTCTATACAAAAAGGAATATTATAAGTACAACTTGACTCATGTTGTCATTTTATCAGAATGTAAGATGAATCAAGACAATATAAAAAATATTTGAAAATGCAGTTTTCTAAAACAGAATCAATAAATTTGTTGTATTGGCTTCTTGAAGTAATATAGCATATCTACAAAGATATTTGTATGTAAATGTTAAATATTTATACATCGTTAAATTTAACAAATATCAGCCATCTCTTTAATCTCCAAATGTTTCTTGGGGCTCGTCTTCCCCTCCTTAACGTCCTGATTGTTATTACTTCTTTTTGATTCCAGAAACAACGTCATCTATTCTCAATAACATGCAGGCTGATTCAATGGCAGTCTTAAAAACTTGCCTATATAAAATAGATCATTATAACATACTTTTTAACTGAAAGTGGTTCCCAAACATTAATTTCATTCATCTTGGCAATCTTTCCAGTATTTCCATCAACTCCAAAATAAAGACCTCCAGTTTCACTGTGTTTTGCTCTCAATTCAGTCAACACTCGAACAGTGTCAGCTCCACAATTAGCTGAGAGAGTTCTTGGAATGATTTCTAAGGCATAGGCAACTTGATTATGATGAATTGATTAAATATACCTGCTTTGTATGGTAATTATCCTAATCCTTCAACCTTATTAGCTTTTTCCAACAATCTAGCACTAACTTCCATTTCAACAGCTCCTCCTCCTGGCAAGAGTTTTGGATCCTGATAAATATTCTTAGCAACCGCCAAACAATCATGTAAATTTCTTTCCTATTTAATTAATTCATTTTATAAATACCATTTCATTGAGTACATCTTTTGAAGCTCCTCTCAAAATGATTGAACAAGCAGTAGGATTTTTACAATCAACAAAGAATGCAAAATAGTCATCTCCTATCTTTTTGACTTCAAATGTTCCGCATAATGTACCAACATCAGTTTCTTACAATTCTTCTGGTCTATTGACAATTGTTGCCCCAGATACTCTTGCTATTCTCGTGTTGTCTGTTTTTCTAACTCTTCTAATGACAGAAACATTGCCTTTTAATAAGAAATGTTAAGCCAAATCAGAGACACCCTTTTCAGTAATAACAATATCAGGTTTATGTTTCAAAATATCATTACACATTAAAGCAACTTCATTAATTTCTTATTAAAGTGCATCAGTCATATCTGATTCTTTTGTCATTTCCATATTAGTCATAGATTCTCCCTTTTTATATTCTAATGTACAATCCAATAAGATGATTCTTGGATTTTTGATTTCCCTTCTCATTCTTGGATGAGTCACATCTTTATTAATCATGACTCCTTCGAGAACACAACTTTCTTCAAGAGTGCCACCAGGAATCTTCTCAACTTTAGCATACCTCTTAATTTCCAAATTCAATTTATTCACATTTCCGCCTCTCAAAACAATCCTTGTAGCTTGTAATGAAAGATCACTAATTAAGGTTCCCCATCTGAATGCAAATTTAGTACCAATACAAGATTGCAAGGCCTTCATAACTTCTTCCTTTTTTTCAGTGTCAATCTATTATGCGATTTCATCTAATATTGAAACTGAATCTTCCAGAGCCTTAAAATAACCATTAACAATTTCAGTTGGATGGATATTCTTTTCAATGAATGGTCTTGCTGCAACCATCATTTCACCTGCCAAAATTATACCTGATGTTGTGCCATCTCCAACCTCTTCATCTTGAGCCTATAAATTATTATTATCAGCAATACTCTTGCTAATTCGATCATGCTCTTAGCTGCTGGATGTTGAATATCTATTTCCCTTAGAATAGCATTTCCATCATTTGTCATTACTATTCCTCCCATTGGATCTAGTAACATTTTTAACATCGAACGAGGACCAAGAGTTGTAAGGACTATATCTGACACAGCCTTAGCTGCCTATATATTTCCCAATTAGGCCTTTCTTCCTTACTCTCTTTTTGTATTAGCATTCACAACAATCACTGGAGCTCCTTACATATATTTTTTAAATAAAAAAACTTTTAATTGATTTTATTATTTCTTTTATATTTATTAATACATATAATCATTTTTATATACAAAATTATCCTTATTCAATTTTATCTCATCTTTGAAACTATATGTAGAAACTACTAAAAATATTGATAATAAAAGGAAATCCTGCAAAATGAACTTTTAATTATTGATGATATTGAATTAATATCCTCCCAAGATGGTTTTCAATATTAAGCTTGCTCAATTTGTTTTTTATGACTAGAAAAATAATCAATTTATTAATTGATTATGGACTTTAGGCTTTCTAATTACCATCGTAATTCTGCATTATATAATTTTTATTGAATTTATAATTTTTTAAATTTAATAAATTCAGGATATTATACTAAATTTACTATATTAATAAAGGACTTTATTCTATTTTGAACTCTATAAATATTGATAAAAATTATGCTTCAAATCATTAAATACCTCCTAATAACTTAAACGACGTACTTAACATATGCAGAACTGATTTACCCTTTGATGAATTAAGAAAATACCGCATAATGGGAAGACAACATTTGGATGAATTGTGAAACCAAAACCTAAATTTTACCTACAAAGTGTTCTGAAGGAGAATTGGATTGGGGAGAATGCTATAAAATTCCAAGTGAGGGTCTTTGCACAATTAATGACATTAAAACAACATCTCAAGGAGAATTGTACTTTGTTGTTGATTTCCTGAGAGACAAGGAAGATGATATATTACGATCTTATGATATTGAAATAAATAGGAATAGATATCAATGGATTGAATTAACAGTTAACAGTTTAAGGTTGGACTCAAACTCAATTAGCATAAAGATATTAACTCCAGGTTTAGTGATAGCAGGTTTAACAATAAGGAATACACCTACACCATTTTCTAGTAATTCTATTTGTGAAGACAATTTTTTTTATTTCAATTACAACTGCATACCTCAGATCTGCTCAGATTCAATCTCTACAATCACTTCTAGCGCTCACAATTATTCATTAAGTTTAATTGAACAAAATACGAATAATTTAAAAATAACATCCTAATTTAACATACATTTAAATAACTGCTTGGTTCCTAAGGTTTATTTAACTAAATCTATTGAAGATGACACAATAACAAAGATTTTAACAGATGATTAAGTTAAAGTAGATGAAACTGATAAAAGTGTTCTATTATATTATTTGACTCCAAGCCAATACTAGTCCTGCGAAAACTTTGAAACCTAAGAGGCCATTGTTTATTAATGCTATATAGGAGTAGCCATTTCAGTCAATAAAGCAACTTAATACTTACTGATGTTGATTTCTCAGATAATGGTTGAAAAATCTACAGGGGCATATACAAATTCTATTTAGATTTTTGAGATACCAACTTCAAATTCAGAATCCTCTACAATTGGACCCATTATTATATTCAGCGATGCTTCAAATTCCCTCATTGATACAAGCAATATGCTCATCTAAACTACTTAGACTATTGTAGATCCAAATTATCAACATTATTAAATAAATTTCTTAAATGCAACAATGACTTAAGATTCAAATACTATTGATTTGAAATTAGAAGAACAACAATAAATCGGATTAAAAAAAGAGTTTACTCTATCATATGATAGCAACGAGTTTGATAAATAATAAAATTATTCAATCTCTATAAGTTCCTCTTTGACGTTGAATTCTACCAGAAGATTGTTAGGACAGAGAAATATTATTCCACAACTACAAATATACAATAGTTTTGATGGAAATAAAGTAGAATATTAAGAGGTCAATATTTATTTAAATCAACAGACTACTCTTAAAGGAGGATATATGGCTTTGATTATTATTGCTGTTACAGTGTGTTCATTGCTTTTCATAATGGTCACAATCGTACTAGTAGAAAAAGTTGAAAACAAATACTTCAAAATAAAGTAAAATGAAGATAAAAGAACTCCAACAGATATACAATCCAATTGATTTTATACAAAATTAAAATATATAGTTATTTCTAATACAATTCTTAATTTTACACTTAATAATAACACAAAAAGCATGCTCTTTGTGTCGATTTATATCAATTATTTACTTTCTATTAAAAAGTGACAAAATTTTTGATGTTTGGCAACTACTTAATTAGCCAAATGGATATATAATTCTATCCATTCTCTTGTTATCGTACAACGTTTATATATATTATATAATGAATTTTGATTTGAGTAATAAGTGTAATTTTGAAAAAAATAGTAAATTTTGAGTCATTGATTATTTTGTTTTTGCAATATTTTATTGAAACATTCTGACATAACAATTACTTTGAATTTATTTATAAACTAAATGTTAATAATGAATGAGTCATCCTATTGGCTTATAAGTAATGTACAATATTTAATGAGGATATATTATTTTTGGCTATAAATTATATTATAGATATAATAATTATTTTATTAAGGATGATAATTAATTTGAGTGAAAAATAATATGAGATGAGATTCTTTTGGCTTTTGAAAAATGATATTTAAGTTTGAATTTCAATCTTTATTCAGTATTTGATTCAGAACAATTAATGTATGGATTAACAAAATGAGATCATTATGAGAGGAAATTAAATTTAAAATATGCATTAAGAATTTATTAAAGAGAAGTGATAATAAAAACTTATAAATAGTTCTAATATATTTTTAATTTATTTCAATGTTTTTGGCTATAAATGGTTCTGCTTTTCCAATAAGGAATGAATTCAGATTACCAAAACTGCGAGGTTAAAAAGGTAGATATCGAATTGTTATATAAAATGTAGGTCTTCGATAATCGAAGTCTCGGTTGCAAGAGTAACCAGAATCTCCAGATAAATCAAGTAAATGTTTGACCAAGCCCTGTAGTCTACTAAAATATCAAGTTCCTGGTTCTATGATTTTGATTGCCAGATCTATGAAGTTTTCAAAAGACTAATTCACTCACAGGCAGCGTGAAAAGCAGGAGGTTATTCCTGAGATTTTAGACGGATACAAATATTCGTTAGGGTAAGGAAATAATCATGAGTTGGTACAGAGAATCATGGATGCAAGAACTGAATGGCATCTATGTAAAGAAAGTAATTCAATGAGTATAAATTTCAGATGGCAACAAACTAATAGAGGATATAAATATGATAGACTGATAGCAAATAGTTAATACAAACAATGTGTAAATCACTTTGAGTAACATTTTGAAATTTCTAATAAATAATACCTATTTAGAAACCTATGTCAACTATGTGAAGTAAAATCTATATAGTTAATGTGTAGAATAGTAAATAAAATGTGTTTGATTTTGTTCCTGTTACTTTTGTCCTAGATTTCAACGATGAATCTATAGATTCACAATTTACTTAATTTATAAAATTTTTTGATAAATTTGCTCCCAAAGATAAAAAAATAGAGTAGTTGCCAAAAAAGTTATAAGAGTACAAAAAAAAATTGAAAGTACTTTCAATCAAATATTATATTTTAGATTCAAAGCACTCCCCTTTTGGATAAAAAATTGCATTCCATTCCTCAAAAAGTGCCTAAATGTTAGGAGGGAGATCAATATCTTTGGCTCCTTAAACCTACTTTCTTAAATAGAGGAAGAGGAATTCATGTAGTGAATGATATCGAAGCGATAATTCAATTAATAAGTGAGTTGTAATTGGGATCTGCAGAAGACTTGGAAGAGCAAAAGAAAAAAAATGCCATTAAGGCCAACTCATTTGTAATTTAGAAATATATCGAACACCCATTCCTTATAAACAATAGAAAATTTGACATTAGAGTTTGGGTCTTAGTCACTATGGATTTGAATTGCTATTTCTTTAAGGAAGGTTATATTAGGACTTCATGTGAAAACTTTACTACTGATAATGTTGATAATTAGTTCATTCATCTAACTAATAATGCTATTCAGAAGTACAGTGAAAAATATGGAGAGTTTGAAGATGGCAATCAATTGTCATTTGATGATTTTCAAAATTATTTAAATGATTAAGGATTCAAGGTTGACTTTTATGGAACTCATGTTCCCAAAATGAAATAACTTGTATGGACGTCATTATAATCAGTCAAACGAAAATTGAATTTGTCCTAAAGAAGATATTGTATGGAAATATTTGGATATGATTTTATCATAGACAGTGATTTCAAAACTTGGTTAATAGAAGTGAATACTAATCCGTGCATTGAGGAATCCAGCAGTATTTTATAGATGCTCCTTCCAAGAATGCTAGGTAAAATCTTCAATCATCGATTTTATTATTAGATGATGCCTTTAAATTGACTATAGATACAATCTTCCCACCTAAATATTAAGATGATGAACCCACTGATTCCAAATATCCTGTTAAGAAATACCCCAACAATGAGAATCTATGGTATTATAATCTTGTTATTTTTAGGGAGCCTCTTGGCTGCTTAGAATCTCCAAAACAGTAATCTAAAGCTAATGTAATGCAACAATAACAATTATTATATTAATAGATGTATTACTAAAATTAATAGTAATAATTTTAACAGCAGATGCAACAGTAATATCAGTAATCTAGCAGTTAACATCATAATTAATTACCATATTATCTACAACCTCTTACGCCTTAATCATCATCCTAATTTTAATCAATTTGAATATATATTAATAATATGTTATATAAAGTTATTAAGATACTAACCTTTCTCCTTTTGAATCAAGATTTAGTCTCTCTAATAAATTTCATTATTAAATATTATAATTGATTAATCAAAGTTGACTATCAATATACATTAATAAAAAATTTATTTTTCAATGTATTATGTGATTTTTATTTTTTAATAAAGTTTATTTTCATAATATGTTACTTTAAATTCAAATGAATTAAACGTTTGATTTAATCGTTAGGCAATATTTAAAATCTCTTAATTTTATTTAATTTTAATGTTGAAGAATCTTATTAATTCTAAAAATGAAATTGTTTAACTCTCATTATCATTATATCTTAATATTAGGGGATAATAATAATTCTTGTAAATTCTAAGATCTTGGGATCAAAATAAAAGTTAGAATTAAATGACAAAATGCAATAAATAACAATTATGCTCTATACATTAAAATTTTATCATCTGATTATAATAATCAATCATCACCTGTGTTTTTGAAAGTAATAAAGTTTATTACATTGTCTTTGATGGCACCTGGAAGCAAGTTGCGTTTGACTTCATTGTTATTACCAGCTGAAAGAAGGATTACTACTATCTATTAATTCTTGAATATTATTAGTGTACTTTGACTATCATATTAATCAGGGCTGTTATCATGATGGTGGTATGCAAAAGGGAATCTACCTTCGTGTCTAAAATTTTGAATCTACTCCATGAATTGTGCCAGTACACAGCATAGACAAAATCAATTATGAAAGAGAATAACAATAGATAAATTATCCGAGTATGGAACTATATTAAATTGGAATAATTTGCACTTTCTAAAACTCCCACAAAAATGCAGCAAAAATAAATAGAGGTAGATTGTAATCAGCTCTTCCAAATGAGCTAATGAGCGACGTCAGAATTCCAAATATGAGCACCTTCTATACTAATTGCCACCTAAATGTCTCATTAAATAATCTACTAGGTTGGTTCAGACATCTACGATAATTGAATTTATATTAATATATAAATAACTATGAAACTTTATTATTACATATCCAGAAAAATAAGCAATTAAAATTCAATAGAGTGGCATATTATCTAATTTGATTACATAAGAGAATAAAAAGAATTAATAAGTTCATATTTAAGTGTTTTTTCTATTTTAGAGATTCTAAATAATATATTATTAAATTTAATGATTGTGAAGTAAAAAAGAGAAGTCTTTCATGTCCAATTAAGAAGAAATTAGAGAGAACAGATATTTTCAAAAAAAAGAATATTAGACTTGCCACAATAGTAATAATAATAGGGGACTTCAGAATAGGCCATTATACTTTTAAAAGGAGGAATGTCGAATCAAATGAGTTTGTCAGAGATGTTTTAAGAATTACATTAATTGCTACCCAAATATGGAGATCTTCATTTGAAGACCTTGCCGTATATAATTTAAGGAGTTAAAAAATATTTGTAGGATGCAGATGCATCTCTACTTTATATGAATGACGAAGATCGCGAAATGTCAGAATATACAGTACTATAAATACTGTAGTATTTGGGATCATTAACCTATCACATTAAAGTAGAATTTGATTTAGAAAATTTGATTGATATGTTAGTGGCAATACTCAACTCAACAGATGAGTTCAAATTGATTGTAAGGGTATGCTAAGTTTTTTAAAATCTTCTTTTTGACTTCGAAGATGCTTCACCTTATTTACTTAAGTGTGAGATTGTAACTAAGTTAGCAAATAAGTTTCTAGACTGCAATGTAAGTTATGACTTGAACAATCTTGCTCCTATGTTTAGAGTGTTATAATAATTGGATGGAGTTAACTATTACGATTTCAATTAAATACATCCATTGTTACATAGATTGTAGAATGACTCAAAGGTTGATACTTAGATGTATTGTGAAATCATTGAAGGATTCTTTGCTTTCTTAATAAAATGCACAAATTAATTGAGTCTTCAGGATGATTCACAGAAACAATTACAATTTTTACTATTTAATAAGTTATTTGAATTTTAATATGTAAATTGGTCTGTGAGTTTATTATTCAAGTACAAAAATCAAAAAAAATTAGTATAAGTCATCTTCTCATTACTTCTTAATTTGAGTTAAGGAGATTGCGGAAAGAAATTAATTTCTTAAGGAGTTTTAACAGCAATAAATGAACATTTGTCTGATAAGAGCGTCTATTAAGATCGACTCTATTCAATTTTAACTAATCTAATAGTTGATGATTTTGATAGTGTTATGAAAAGTGGAATTTTAAAAAAAGTTCATTCTCAATTTGAATAAGGATTTTATTCTGCTGATTACATAAATGAATTAATGTATTGCGTCTCAAATGCTTTTTACACAGCAAGTGAGAGTTAAATACTAGAATTAATAAAGCTTAGATTGGCAGACTGTTTAGTCTTATATATCAGTCAATAGCCAATGGAACTTTTAGACTTAGAATTGTGTAGTGCAATCTTTTCAGCAATACATTCAGTTTTTGTTAAGTAACCCTAGAAGTCTGTGTACAGTTTAAAGAAGAAATTACGAAATGATTCTATATTCCTTGCAAGGAGCAGTTAAATATATGACATAAGTTAGAAGGAAGACAAAGAATATGAAGAAATGGTAAAATATTTGAGCAAAAATGATTGATGTTTTATTTATATTGGGTTACTTTAAGATGTTACATATATATTAAATAGAATTTTATATAATTTCTAGAAGTGTTCTAATCATAAATTGAAAATAAAAAACAATTTGAAGATTTAAATCAAAATTTATAAGTGCTCTTCAACCTTTTTTAGTTTTCTTTTTAGCCACAATTACCTCTGTGGATTACTTAGAAAAAAAATGTTATTATGAATTGGCTTGTCCTTTATCTACCTAACTACCTGATTTAGTAGATTTTCTTTTGACTTAATCAGTTCTAGGAGTATTAATATTTTATGCATTTGATCTACTAGATTTGTTATTGTTATTGTTATTGATATTATTATTCGTATTAGTCAAGTTAGCATTTGAACTATTTGGAATACTAACCTATATATTCGATTAATTATTTGACGGTAGTTCTTTTGTCTAAATTCCACCAGTATTGTAGAATAATTTACTCTTCATTCCATCATGTACTTATTTCATGTCTTCTCCTAGAGCATCAGCTAATTATTTAGATAATTCACTTATGTTTGCTTACTTGTCCTATATAGGTTTTTGCTCTTATTATTGTTTAGGGATTGTTTTTCTCATTTCCAAATTTTCTATTTTCTCTTTGCTTTATTCTTTACCATTTTAATCCAATTTTTCACTTAGATCATCAAGGATTGGATCCTAAAAATGTTTCAGAGTAATTTCATTATCATTATTTTCCATCATTTCCAACCATTTATTTTCTGATGATGCATCATCTGTCTATTTGCAATTCTGCTTTTTCTCATTTGGTTGTTTTTGATTGCATTGTTCTGAACCCAATAATTAGATTCTGATTTTTTTGATATCTGTGTCTATTTAATCAAACCTTTTGTCCAAATCAGTCTTAAAAACAAATAAATCATCTATCTGTGTTCAATTTAATCATTACTTCTTAATCAGCAACCACATAAACAGGTTTCCTTTTGTTCTTATTTTCCTTTAACTCATTAATTTATTGTATTAGAATAGCATTTATATCTTGGATTTCATCTATTTTCACTTACTGCCATATAAACTATTTCTTACATATTCTTCGATTTATTTCTCTATCTCTTTGGAAGCACCACATCCCATTTTAATTTATAAAAATAAATTCAATTGAAATTAATAAATCAATTGTAAATATAGTACCAATTAAAACAACAAAGCCTTTATATTTAAAATCAATTTTTTTGTAAATTAAAACTAAATAAATCACTTTCAATATTTACTCTAGTATATATTTTATAAATTTAAACAAACTCAAAAGTTTGAATTATTCTCTTATTGATCAATTAATTATAAGTCAGTATTTATTTAAGATTACTTAATTTACAATCCTTAACATGTAGTGAACTTGATTTTTATCTAAACCCTCTCAAAGGAATTTGCATTAGTACTTTAAATACAATAGATAAAGAAAATTCTTAGATGAATGAATTTAAGATGTAAATTTATACATAATCTACAAATTATAACAGGGTTGTTTTTATTATAAAATTGCAGGTCTGTGATTGATAGAGACTTTATTCATTCAAAAATATTTATGAATATTGAATGAAGAACCAAAAATTGCACTTTCTGCAATATACAAATGCTATTCTTAAAATCTTTTGTTAAGATAATATTTATAATTTTAACAAAAATTTAATAAATTTATAAATGAAAACAATTCAAAATCCAACTCAATATTTCTTTGAGTAATCAAACAATCCTTCAAGCGAATATTTACCAAAAATAAATGAGTTCCTTAGTAAGTTGTTAAATCAAAAGCAATGTGTTTTATGCAAGAATGATTATAATATGAAGGATAGATTGCCACGAATATTGATTCATTGTGGTCACACAATTTGCACTGCTTGTCTCACAAATTTCTACAGGTAGTGATTGTTTATATGGTAAATGATAGAAATAGAAGAGTTAGATGTCCACTCTGTTTAAAGTTAATAAAGCATCTCGATTCTGTTGATAGATTACCTGTATCACATTGTATCTGATATATCTGTAGATTAATCATTCGATATTCACAAGAATGTCTAATGACATAAACAACAAGAGTAAATTGCATGGTGGCACAGAAGTGATAGATCCGTAACAATACTTATTCAATTAATTTTAATAATCAGCGTTATAATCATAAAAGGCAAGACAACAAGAGTAAAACACTCATCCTTAAGTTGATTCCGACTCAGGATTAGAGTTTTGTGAGTTCCACACTGACAGAGTGAAACACTTTTTTTGTATGAAACACAAAGTTACATGTTGCAGAATTTGTTCTGAGATGATTCATCAAAGGAAAGTAATTGAATAATTTAAGTAGGATTGCATAGTGGTGGATTTGTATGAGATCGAGGACGTGCCTCAGTTTTTGAAGGAGGCTTATCAACTCAATGAAGACAATAATAATAATCAGTAGATGGATTAAAGGAGATAAGATATGGGTTTTATTTAGGATAGCGAGTAAAGTAAGAGTGTTGAATAGTGTAGATGCTGGGGAGAATTAATTTAATGATGATGATTTGGAAGATGAATTTGAGGACAACAGTGTTTAAAGTATCTGAGATATTCATATAATCGATATACATTTATATAAAATAAGTGGGTTTTACAAGGTGGGTGTGAATTATTCTTAATAATTACTAATTCAAGTTATTGTTGCATTTATAAAATTTAATAATATTGAATGGCTCACAAGTTATCTTAGAATTGGGTCTTCTGGTATGCTCCAAGAGGCAGGAAGGCTATAGCAGGATCAGATCATTATGATGTAAATCTAAAAGAGATCGGGGAATTTAATACAGTGGAGGAATTCTACAGTTATTATTGTTATTTACAGAGACCAAGTGAGGTAAATAATAGTTGAGATGTGATAGGTGGACATCGATAATAAGATCATGATGTTCAGAAAGGAGCATAAGCCAATGTGGGAGGAGTGTTTGGACGGTGGAACTTGGATTATCCACTTTAAGAAGAGGGAAGGCGAATTGCTGAATAAGAAATGGGAGGCTCTTCTCTTAGGTTGTTGGATTTGGGTTATCAGTAGCATGCATAGGAGAGGAGTTCGATGATGACAATGTCATTGGAGTGGTGCTTTCGATTAGGGAGAGGAGAAATTTGTTAGAGATCTGGTTGAAGGACAGGAGGGAGAGTGAGAAGATCAGGATAGGCGAGAAGTTGAGAGTGGCACTCGAGATGGATCCTAACAACCTCACCTTCTTTTTCAAGGAACACAGTAAGAGTTTAAATGTATCCATCACATCTATGAGTTTAGGATAAATCGACCATGAAGGGAGCTGAATCCTACACCTTTGTCAAAACTCCCCTTGAAACTCCGTAGACAGAACCTAAAGGACATCATCCAGACCTAGATTAATTCAAGCTTTGATTAATTATATACAAAATAAATGGACTTACATATTTTAATGATAAATCAATTTGATAATCCGTTGGAATGAGTATTCAAGGGTGCAAATTGTGCGGAATATTAAATATGATATAAATGCACCTATTGTATTAAGAATAAAATCAAAATTTAGAATATCTAATTGTATATATCATGCAGATTCAATCTGAGTACACATTTAACTTTGATTGGGAGACTGTAGTTAAAGGCTTCTGGAGAAAGTATCCATGCAAGGAATTCGATTTCATCAAGTTCAATCAAGTTGTTGATATGATGCTTAATGACAATAATACTATGTCAATTAAGAGAATCGTATGATCTCATTCAATCTAAACTTAGGTCTACGCTCGCAAATTCATGGTTTGGTGTTTGACTCTGGAAGAGATCACTTTTGATATTGAGAATAGAAGCATGCAGATGCAAACTAAATTACTGAAAGCCTGCAAGTATTATCCCAACCTTTCAGGAGACGAATCAATCATTTATAAAGCAATAGACGATCAAAAAACTCACTACTCTGTATATAAGCATCATTTAAATAGAAACTATTGTCCAATTTCCATCAAACCTTTGTGACTAAATTGTTATCTCAATTCAACAGTTCATTTAAAAAGGGCATTGAGGTAGTCGAAGCTAGATGTAGAGAACTTTAAAACAAATAATGACAATAAATAAATTTTTAACTAATAATCAATTATTTATTATAATTTTTTATCATGTAAAAGAAAAAACCCTAATTCCCTTAAATTAAAGACTTCGAGATAATAGATAAATTTCAATCCAAGAAACAAACCAAAACCATTCCATATTCCCATAGCCAATTCATCCAGGAGGAGGAGGAACAGTCCTCGTCTTAGATCAATCTGTTTGGCCACTCTAAACCGTCCTTCTTAATGACTTTCCCTCAACAACCAAGAGACTGTCAAGGCAGTGAAGAAATAAAGGCTCCCACTATCATAACTAATATGATTTCCAATAAAAGTCAAGAATAACTAGCGATTAAAAAGGAGTGTAGACGTCCTTTTAAATATCTAGATGAAAGCTCAGAGTTTTCATCCAAGATGAATTCAGTAAAAATACAATGGAAATACTTATCTAGATACGATCAATTTTTGAGGATTAAAAAGCTTAGTAAATCAATTAGGAGAGGGTCAAATTACTGGTTAATCAAATGAAAGTAAAATTTTTGAATTTAATTCATTATTCAAAATATAATGATCCCATTCTAACTCAAGAATATTAGGAACGTAAAAATTAATTTCTAATAAATTATAGTTTCACCCCTCAAGTACCATTATTTCACTATGTATATATTTTTATCCACCACCTTATCAAATGTACTTTCATGTATTTTTATCCCGCTTGTCCAATTCTTCGATGTCTCCTAACTTACTACTATTATTTCTCAAATAGTATATGGATTGACAATTCTGATTATCTTCTAAGATTTGCTTTGTAAAAGAGGCCCATACAAAATGTAGAGAGGAGTCATCAAAGTGGATTTCAAAGATAGCAATAAGAAATTCCTTGACATTTTAAGAGTGTTCTTTTTAACTTTTGCCACTCTCATTGAAGTAGATGAGAAGATAAAATTAGTGTCAGTCTTGTTGATGATGCTATTCTAATTCATAAGATAGGCAGAAAATTTTGAAAATATCTATAGATCCACTCATCATTTCATTTTTATTCTTCAACTGTGGATTTCAATCATAATATCCTTCACTTGCATCTATTAAGGTATTTATGCAGAATAATAAGAGTTTCTCATTAAGAAGAAGATCCGAATCTCTATTTTTGTCTTACTCTTGCTGTCTCTCTATTGACTCATAGTTCAAATGTTTGTAAAACGATATATTAGCATTTTAGAGATTGAAGTCACAAATAAAAATGCTCTTCTGATATCCTTTTACATGATCATATGTTATCTCTGTATAGCCTATACCACTATGATATTATATGTTTGGATGAAGCCAGAAATAGAAATTGAGGAGGAGAAATAAAAGTTGCTCAAAGGATTTGTGGAAAGATTTAGGGAGAAATGCGAAAACGATGGACTTTTAAAGAGATGCTACTCCTATTTGGAATTCAGAATAGATGTAAATAATATCGTAAATATTCTAGGAAGACTTAAACAAAACTAAGGATCAACTAACGAAGAAACTCAGTCCTGAATTAGAGGATGAGATAGACATATCTTTGAGATCAACCATGATAGATAAAATTGAATTGCTGACTAGATTCTCTCCTTAATTTAAATAACAATTGATATATGAAATAGAATAAGTGAAATTTAATCCAGAGGACAACATAATAATTGTAAGAAATACAACTATTCAAGGAACATCAAATAGACGATCTAGGATTGTTTTACATATTAAAAGGATAAGTGAAGGTTCAATTTTTAGGTTCTTCTTTTGGTAATAATAAAAGAGCAGTTACAACTTTAAATGAAGGTTCCACATTTGGATAGTATTCATTTATCACAGGAATTCCTTCAAATATTAGTATTTTCAGTTCTGGAGTAACAACGTTGATGAAGATAAAGAGATCTGATTTCATTTAAATAATATCAAATTATCCATAGGACAATGAAACATTTTGCACACTAAAAGACAATGCCTTTTATAATTAAAAGCTATTTGAATGTTATTATTGTAAAATCAGAGGAAATTACATCATAGAGTGTAGGCATTTATAATATTTTCCTTAAAGAGTAAACGCTATAGAAAAATATCTTTATACCGCAAAGTAATAGAGAAGGTATTTTGCTAGAAGATTAAGAAAATATTTTGCTTGGCAAGACATGAATTTAAATCAGGATAGAGCTAGATAATATGCCAATAAGTAAAGCTAAGAATTTGTCTCCGATGAATTACCAGATCCTTCCCAGTTGCCTTATTCTGAAAGTAAAGAATCTTTTTAAATTAGATTAAACATACCAATCGGTTAGTTTTGTTAGTAATTCGTTGGCATAAAGAAATTAAAGTCCAGATCAATATCAATCAGTGAGCAACGTTGAAAGTTTTGATCAATTTAATATCGAATAAGAATGCTCAGATGAATAAACCATCCATATCTAAGAGCCATAATCTAGAAGTATTAGAAAGAATTCCAATATAACCACTTTAAAAACAGCAGGTTTCCCTATTAATGGTGAGCCAAATAACTTAGCAAGTGTAGGAAATAATATATCAGTGATAGAAAAGGATGATAGAGATATCTTAAATCAATTGCAGGAAGCTTAGATGAACAAAGATAGAACTATACTCTTCCCTGCAGTACGTAACAATGGTTAAAGCAAATAAAAATTTCAATATGTCAAAGAATCATCATAAGGAATCTTACTAAGAGAAGATCATTCTCATCAGTAATAATAATAGTAATAGTAACTATCTCATACAACATTGAAATAATCCATTAGACAACCCTCATGTAGATCGTAGACATATTCTAATTCCTTGTCGAAGGATGTCTCTAATAATCCTTCTTCAAATTCCAAATAAAATAAATCATAAAAATTATCTATTTTATCTAGTTAAAACAGATTCTATGAATAGTATGGACTTAAGAAATAAAACAGTTCTAAATCTCTAAGTGATTAAAACAAGTAAAACAACAATAGAAGTTTAAAATCAACCACTAGACAAAGTACTCCCAATTAAATGTCCTAGTTCCATGCTATATCCACTCCAGAAGTAATATAAATTCTTATAATAGAACCAAGGATACTACATTAACGATTTGTTATTCAATAAATTTGAAACAATGAAGGAGTATAAAATTTACTATCCTCATAATAATTGCACGCAAGTTATTGATCGCTACATCAAATTTTTAGATTCTAACAGATAAAATTAATTTAAAAGGAAAAAGCTAAATCATAGTACTCCTTATTCAATTAAATGCTTTGTTGCGTCTAAAATTAAAAGAGTTAAAAAGCTATTATAAAACTGACTAATTATTTAAATAAAAATAATTATTAATTCAATTCGAGGAGGTTAGTTCTGACAAATGTTTTAGACTCTGATGATTTTTTTTATATAGTTCTCTAAGATATTAGCAATATCCAGTGCAGCTACTACTTTCATTGCAAAAGGTTTGAGTTTGAGTCTAAAATGATTATGTAAATGGTTTATGATAACATTCATTTCTTATTTAAGTTCTGGAGAACTTGAATCGTTCATCTCTATTAGTAAAACTAGTAAATTGATTTTCCCCATAATACTTGTAGACTACTTTATCTTTGGTTGGAATATTTTTAATGAAGAATGTTTTAAGATATTTTGCTTTGAGATCTTCTACCTACCTCTTCTTTTTGGCATCTACGGCAGTTCTAAAATTGAATTAAGTCTGAAAGCTGTCCAAAAGTTCTCTAACAGCAGCATCCTAAGCGGGAGATTGCTGAGGCAAATTATTATTGATTATATGATCCTTTACTGCTTATTTCGATTTAGCCAAAATATTTATTTGAATGTACTTGTTTTTTCTGGTTGAATTCATTAAAGTGAGTGGATCCTTGGGTATCTTTTCGAAGAAGGTGGGTGGTTACCTTTTTAATTTGTCAAATTTTTATTTTTTCTCATCCGATTTATTTTCTTATAATTGCAATCCCTCGGCAGTCGACAGATCCGTCCTAATGGGATTGTCATTGCTCTATGTTTGCAGCCTTTGATTCAGCAATCTAATATTGAATTCTAATATACTTCAACTTCATCCTCTCCTGTAATACATCATTATTTTGTTATTGTATCATCAATTCTCTTTGAGAGCTCTGTCTTTGCAAGCCTAATGAGATATTTCCAAATTCCACTTTTTTCATTATTGCTGGACATCTTTGAGTCAACATGATGATAATAATTAAAACTTGAAAGATTATAAATATTAATTAAGTGATATCTCTAATAGCAAAAATATGAAAAAAATAAGTTAATCAATTACGTTTCAATTGATTTTATAAGGTCAATATAGATTAATTTTATCATTACTTAATCTTCATTTTTAATTCATGCAACTACTATTTCAGATCGTAGTTCTCTTTCAAGGCATCCTTAAAAGTCTAATTTGATATAATTTCTCAATAATTACCTGAGGTGGCATTAAAGTATAGTTGTCACCGAACAATTCTCTTCGTTTATTTTAGATTTGCTAATATAACTATGTCTTCTCATTCAAAGGGGTAATGTATTGTTATAAATCTTCTAAATGAGGGTTGGATTGCTTTTTGATATTGTATTGACTTAGTTCATTGTTTGTTTTCCTCTCCACCTCAATTTTCTTTTCAATGTCTTGGGATTCCTCATCTAGGAGCAATTCCATATTTTTGGTTAATTCTTAAATTTATTCTAAGTTCTCTCTTTTCACTTGGACTTATTCTCTCAATTGGAAGGATTGAAGCTTCATCAATTCAAGTCTTGCATAATATTAGAAATACATACTATTGTTTGACTAAGGCGATATCTTGAAATGATTGTATTCCTTAATGCTTGATCTCACAGAGATCATCTAATTCTTTAGTCCTGATGTCATCGTAACCCCATTTGTCGAAAAAGCTCATTTTGCTTATTTTTTAAATTTGGAATATTAATTTAACAAATATATTAAGTTGCTCTCTTAATTTTGAAAGATCAATAACACACCTAGGAATCAGCAAGACGAAAGATTCGTCACTTTCTCTTCGGGAGATTAATTATAGGGAAGGCAATAACCTGGATATTGCAATTTTAATAGTAATTACAATTATCAATTTGAATAAAATTATTATAATAATGGAAAAACATAGTGTAGCTTAATTATTTTTAAAGGAACTTCAAATATTTCTGGCTCTGCTGTTAGGTGAGAATTGCTTTAGCTTAGGTCTACAACAATCAGAGGGGATTGACTCCATAATTCCAATAATTTTGAATTTTATTTCTGGATTAGCATTTTTCATAGTATAATACAAAGATTACAATAACGTCAAACTCTTTTGGAAATTGAAATTATTAATAATACTGATATAAGTATCTTTGAACGTGGAAACGAGTCAATATTGCTTGATCGTTGTTCATTTGTTGGAGGATCAATTGTTGAAGGGTTTTTTTTTGGCAACAGCTCTATTAATAAACATAATACAAGATCAGGAAATAAATTACATAACAACGATTCCGAATGCCATTTTGCTATTTTTCAATATTCTGTACTGGTTGGGGTTCTTTTTGAGGAATTGCATGTACTCAAAGACAGGAAATGCCTACATTGATCAAGGGCTTCAACAAAAGTCTCTTNCTCTAATAGCAAAAATATGAAAAAAATAAGTTAATCAATTACGTTTCAATTGATTTTATAAGGTCAATATAGATTAATTTTATCATTACTTAATCTTCATTTTTAATTCATGCAACTACTATTTCAGATCGTAGTTCTCTTTCAAGGCATCCTTAAAAGTCTAATTTGATATAATTTCTCAATAATTACCTGAGGTGGCATTAAAGTATAGTTGTCACCGAACAATTCTCTTCGTTTATTTTAGATTTGCTAATATAACTATGTCTTCTCATTCAAAGGGGTAATGTATTGTTATAAATCTTCTAAATGAGGGTTGGATTGCTTTTTGATATTGTATTGACTTAGTTCATTGTTTGTTTTCCTCTCCACCTCAATTTTCTTTTCAATGTCTTGGGATTCCTCATCTAGGAGCAATTCCATATTTTTGGTTAATTCTTAAATTTATTCTAAGTTCTCTCTTTTCACTTGGACTTATTCTCTCAATTGGAAGGATTGAAGCTTCATCAATTCAAGTCTTGCATAATATTAGAAATACATACTATTGTTTGACTAAGGCGATATCTTGAAATGATTGTATTCCTTAATGCTTGATCTCACAGAGATCATCTAATTCTTTAGTCCTGATGTCATCGTAACCCCATTTGTCGAAAAAGCTCATTTTGCTTATTTTTTAAATTTGGAATATTAATTTAACAAATATATTAAGTTGCTCTCTTAATTTTGAAAGATCAATAACACACCTAGGAATCAGCAAGACGAAAGATTCGTCACTTTCTCTTCGGGAGATTAATTATAGGGAAGGCAATAACCTGGATATTGCAATTTTAATAGTAATTACAATTATCAATTTGAATAAAATTATTATAATAATGGAAAAACATAGTGTAGCTTAATTATTTTTAAAGGAACTTCAAATATTTCTGGCTCTGCTGTTAGGTGAGAATTGCTTTAGCTTAGGTCTACAACAATCAGAGGGGATTGACTCCATAATTCCAATAATTTTGAATTTTATTTCTGGATTAGCATTTTTCATAGTATAATACAAAGATTACAATAACGTCAAACTCTTTTGGAAATTGAAATTATTAATAATACTGATATAAGTATCTTTGAACGTGGAAACGAGTCAATATTGCTTGATCGTTGTTCATTTGTTGGAGGATCAATTGTTGAAGGGTTTTTTTTTGGCAACAGCTCTATTAATAAACATAATACAAGATCAGGAAATAAATTACATAACAACGATTCCGAATGCCATTTTGCTATTTTTCAATATTCTGTACTGGTTGGGGTTCTTTTTGAGGAATTGCATGTACTCAAAGACAGGAAATGCCTACATTGATCAAGGGCTTCAACAAAAGTCTCTTTAATGTATTGAAATTGTTGATATGTAGTGAAGGAGTCCATCAACAATAGAGATGTGGGGAGCAGAGTTAATTAGCAACAATCATTGATGCAAGAATTGAACCCATTGAAAATGGAATACAATGAAGATGAGCAGATTTTAAAACATGTGGCATGGATATAAAATCAATCAGTGTTGGTCTACAACAATAAGCTTAACATTGTTTATTAGAATATATTTTTAGGGAAATTGTTAAGGTAATCAACATTAGACGAATAACAAACCTAATAATAATCAAAGCCCGATTATGAAGAGCATTTTCTAAGTAGTTAGATACTGATGGGCAGCAAGGAATTGACTGACATCAATAACAACAACGAACAATCAGTAAATAGCGAGTATGTTTATTATAATTTCTTAAGTGGTTCCTTCCTCTTGAATAGGATGAATGACTCTCACAAGTGCCGCTTGAATTCAAAACTCACAATTCGTGACTTGATCTTGATGATGCATATATAGTTCGATAAGTAGTTTACTTGGAATTAAAGAGATGGTGCACGTGTATGGTTACTCTGTTTGCATTGAAGAGCGAAGTGCTCGACTTTGAGAATGTCCAAGTCAAAACTTTTGTGAATAAGATAAATGAGTCCTTCTATGTCTTTTTTCTCTTTGAATAGAAGCCAATTCAGCGTAAAACTATAGAGGGCAGCCTTCCAATAATCAACGTATTCACTACCTTTGTGCACGAATCGGTAAGTTATATAAATTGTATTTTAACCCTTATCTTATTAACCCAAAGCGATCACGAGAACACTCTCAAAATATCACTCAAACAGAATTATTACACTCCCATCAAACTCATTAGTCAGAGGTTCTTCCTCTTCGTTAATAATATGAGGGATTACATATTCTACATCTAGAATTAGTTGTTCCTGAGGATCTCAGCCTTCAGAGTGAGTGATCTAGTCGAAGAGATAGCGAACATCTTCGAGGACAATTTAAAGGTCCGAGATGTCAATTTAATAACATCAATAGACTTGAGTGATAATAATTAGGTGATATTCACCGATATGGATAGAGTAATTACAACATTTAATTAGTTAAAATAAATCTTAGCTTGTTTGTTGAGTTACTGTTTAAAGTACACTTCAGGATCATCCTTGAAATTGGACATCAAAAGTTATACTGTTAGTGGAATTATGATATCCTTTAAGGACAGCATGATAGCCAAAGATGAAGGACTCAGAAAGACTATATCCAATTTAATAAAGACTTTGAATTCATCCCTTAAAACATCTTCCTTTTATTAGGTCGATCTGAATAATCTATTGGAACTCTAAATTTGTGTTATCTTATGTTGGCAATTGAGTGGCACTTTTAAAAGAGGAATAGAGTTCCTGTATGATAGTTAAGGATATGGGACATTCACTTTTGTCGTAGAATCATAAACCAGTCAATAGAGAATGCAGAGTCGTCAAGATACAGGCCCAATAAAGATCATTGGACAAAGAAAGTACTATGAGACTTCCCTATCTTTGTTGTTGGCCTAAGACAGCAGTGGCTATAGAGAAGAATCAAAGTATAGATTTTCATAATTAGATATTACACGTTAAGTCAATTATCGAAATAATTCTCTATGAAACCTGGCGATGCTTTCGATGTCCAGAGTGCTTACTTCTCCTAGATCTCAAGAATCAAGTAGGACTCCTCCAATTCCAAGTAGGTCTAAAATTCGGGTTCAGTCCCAAAGCAATCGAAAGAACAGAGCAACAGTCACTCTGGCACTTGGAAGCAAGCCTTTCCAGATTCAGTCCAGCATACCTATAAAAAGAATAGGAACGAAAGAAGCGAATCTTAGTAGGATTCTGTTAAGACTCATTCTGCATATGATCTGGGCTTGGAGTAGAGCACTCCATCTATACATCCTCCCGAACTCACTCCTAAATTGCTTCCGTCTGTCATTAAGTATAGATTGAGACTTACGTGTTGTTCCAAAGTCTTGATTGTTGATAACGATCATTATAGTGTGCTATCCTTATAGAAGGTGTTAGAAAAATATAATATAAAATGTGACAAAGCATTCAATGGAGTAGAGGCTCAATAGATGATTTCAAATAAATAAATTAAACCTTGTCGTTGTGGAAATAGGTCCTACTTGTTGTTTTTCATTGAATTTTATCTGCCTGTAACTATTTTATATGAATTTTAGCTTTTTTCAGGAATTGAACTAGTGAAATTTCTGAAGGATGAGATGAAAAGTGGGTTGATTGATAAAGGGTTCGCAATAATAATTTCAACCTTTGTGGATTTGAACTCGAAATTGGATTGTTTTAAGAACGGTGCAGATTACTTTATAGCAAAACCTTTTGATTTGATAGACATCGGAGCTGCAGTTTAATATTTAGATTTTTGATAGTTAATAAATTTCATATATCTTTAGATAAACAATTTGATCGTTTTCTGATCTCTATAGTTTTATCAAGTAAAAGTTCTAACTGTATATTTGTGCAATTTTTCTTCTTTTTCGTATTCTTCATGAAGTCAATTTCAGACGCCTTAAATATCTGTTCATTCGGGGATAATGAAACGAAATTTGTATTGAACCATATTTATAACATTTTGGATTCTGATACAATCGATTTCTAGAAGATCTGCAATAGAACATCTCCTTAAAGGTATACACCTTCAAAAGTGAAAACCACTTCCTTCTCTGATATCATCTGTGCTTTCTCTATCAACTGTTTGCCATTATTCTACAATCTTATCAATGTTCCATGGATCAAACCAACCAATCTTACTGAAAGCAACTCTACTTAAAGAAATGGCCTCTTGATTAAGTCATTTTTTAAAGCAAAACTAAAATAATGAACATATCTAATCTAACTCGGAATGGTAACTCCCTTCTAATTCAAAGTACGAACTAGTCCATAATATGCTAATGCATCTTGGCTTGAAACGTACTTACCACTGTATAGCAAATAACAACAAATCATCATACCAGTTCTCCCCTTGCCAGCCTTACAATGCACTGCAATTACATTATTGGGATTAGACATCAACCAACTGTGCACCATAGCACAAAATTCAACTATCAAATTAAAAGGGGGTGCTTGATGATCGCCAAAAGGAAATTCAGCCACTTTAAAAAATGATTCATGCTTATACTTTCTTTCTGAACATCTAAGTAGCAATCTAAATTTACAAATTGATGACCATATAGTTGTTGGGGTGACGTGTATTTAAGAATTTTTACACCTCTGACATAGGATTCCTATAAATAGCTTCAAAATTCTCTGCAGGAAAACCCATTGCAATTAAATTGTCTTCAATATCTGGATTAGTTATTATTTATTTACAAGTTAAATCCAAATTAAAACCATCCACCTTGAATCTTTTCTTCGATTTTGATACGATTTCCTTTATATAATCCCTCGAAAATGCTCGCTTAACATTCTTCATTATCTTCTCCGTAATTTCATCCGCATGATGTTGCAACACAGCAGTGTCATTAATCCTTTGATCTATGTGTCTATCGAATGATATTTCTATTGGAATTTATGTAATTGCCACCTCCACTTCACATTAATCAAGACATTCTTATTTCATTCCTTGAACCTTCTAACTAGTTAACGGGCTTTCCAAAGATTCCTCATCATCACTAGAGATCCGATTAAGTGACGTTGTGTCCTCTATATCATGCATTGAGATCATCATTAAAATTTATTTCTTACTATTATATTAAAATACTTTTATAGCTATCCACTTCGAAGTCTCATTTCTAAAAACCAACATACTCCAAGTATTTAATACTTTTGAGTTCATCTTCCTTACGAAAGAAAAGTGAGGGTGGTTCTTTTGTTTAAGGATGAATTTATGTGTAAAAAAAAGTATCATTAATTATAACAATTCCTCAAAGCAAGATATCAGTCTTACATTAATCAAATATAAATAGTTATCGAGTGATAATCAGTTTTATTGAGATTATTGATAAAAAACACACGATGAAAAACTAAATTATTGGAAGATACTCAAATATAATTTGCATCATTTATTAATTAAACTTGAAGTAGTTCATGTATGAATTTAATAGCTTTATTTTACAATCTCTGATTTATTAATTGATATCTAATTTTATTAATTTATATGATACTCTTTTTACAAAGAATTCTTGATATTTTTGTTGTGATACATTTAAGAAGTAAATAAAATCGATAAATGAATGAGTTAGAATCAATTAAACAGAAGCCATTAAATATTCTATTTTAATTGAACATAGATGTTACATGTAATAAGAATTAATTAACATCACTTTATAAATGTTCTAACAATTTCAGTCCATAAGGCTCATGAATTAATCATAGTCAACTTGTGATAAAGTACTTAAAGTAGTTATTGTATCATACTTATAGTGAATTATTATTACTTTTCTCGATCAAAATTATAAAATTTATGATATCTAATTAAAAGTTTGATTTTATTCTAACTTTTGTAAATAAATTATATTTTGTTAGTAATTTTAAAATCTATTAATTAAGTAAAATGATAAGATATTTAAGTTTTGATTTTCAATACGTAAAGTTTTAGTACTTTTAAGAAATGTTCATTACTAATTAATAATTATTGATTAAAAATTTTAATAAATAATTTAACTATCTGTTAATGGAGGTACAGCAATGCTTATCTTTCAGCTCTTTTCTCTTTTTACCGAATTTAGATATGAGCATATAAGCCATATTGACACCGTAAACAAAACAAATCAAGTAATAATAGGAGGATTGTAAGTAAATGGAGAAGGAAAATAAAACATTAAATGTGAAGTTCAAACTTTCAGATTTATTACCGAATGATCAAAATATTACTTTATAAGAAATTTAAAATGATATCTAACAGATAAAAAATAGATACATGAAATAGATTGTAAATTGACTATTCAGAAAACTTATGATGTTATTTATAATTCTTATTATAAAATCTAATTAAAAATAATAATTCAGTTTTAGCCATTTTGATTATTGGTATTATTAAAAAGGATTCTAATATTTTCAATTATCTATTTTTGACATCCTATTTATTGAAGTGCATTTAAATATTCATCATGCGAATGGATGATCTATGAAGATTTATTATCTAAAATACAAAAACAATATACAATTTTCTTTAAACATACAAATTTTTTGAGTAGGCTACTTCTTCAAATTCATTGCTTAATCAATCCATAATTAAGAGTTTTAAATTACTTAATGGTTCATTAAACCCTCTATTAAATTAAAGCCTATAAATACCAAAAACACTTAGCTTAATTTCCTTATTTTCAGTCGGCAAGTATACTCTCTTAACTATCTTTTTTGCAAATTGACAAGCCTCTAAAACAACAGTCGCATAATCTTGATATTTGTTACAATGATCAAGTAAAGTAATTAATAATTTTTACACTGAGAGATATACCTCATGAGACACTTAGTAGTTCGAAATACTTTTCTAATACTTATCAGATGTCACCTTGGAAAGCACTTATTCCAAACATTATGTATAACTATATGGCAGAGCTACTTCCAACAACTCACTCAATTTCTTTATCACTTCATCCGTAATACTATTGTTTAGAAGAACATTATGAAATATCTTCTAATAACTTTGGCCTTCTTCTGATAAGTATTCAAAATTTTCTGAATCTTTAGATTTTATCTGATCAAAAATTGGTTTTTTCACTTTATTCAATAATTGGCTTTCTGGTTTAAAATGAAGCTATTAAAAAATATCCCTTTTAAGAACTTCGAAATCAATTTTGTCTATGGCTATATTTTTCTGTGATTGTTATTCCAAAACGCTATTATTTGGTTGGTGCTACTCAAGTTTTTAACTAATGCCTGTTAAATCGTATTGCAAATTCCTGATTACTGAAATCTCAAATATGATAAACTTCATATGAGAATCCTATAATAGGTTCTTTCTCTCTAATTCTAAACCTGAGAATTTTTGTTAAAAATTGATAACATCCTTACAACAGGCATCGATGAATTAATTATAAATAGTCAGAAAATTTTGAAAGCTTAATTCACTAACTGCAATGCTCAATTTTTTCTTCTATAATCTATTTAATTAATGTTATTTTTCTTCCTCAATTGCATTCCTAAACTCTGTAGTAAATTAATTCAGAGTTTATAAATTTTACTAATACTCCTTCTTATTTGCTAAGTTAAATTGCTGAATTTCCTTTGAGAAATTATCTTGCTTAAACAAAAATTATTGTTATTCGCTTATTAAGGTATTGTTTAACTACATGGCAAAGCATTTAGTTTATTCTGATTTAATAAGTAAATAACTTCTGAGAATTGTGAATAATTCAGTAGTTCCCTCCTTTTCATTGATTAATTTGGATATCTATAGACCTACAATATTCAAGATTTGCTACCAATATTTTCAAGACTTTTCGAATAGGATTCCTCCAATTTGAAGATTTATTACAATAAACCAATAAAACCTTAAGTGGATTTAATTTTTTCATTAAGCATTTTCTAACAGGATTCGAGATGCTCAGCTATCTCTGTATACCAACTCATAAATAATAATTTTCAGAATATAAATAACTGAATATATTAATTCCTTTATAATCGAGTAATTATAAATAAATAAACAATCAATTTCATTAAAAAGCCAGTAGACATTAAAATAAATAGAGTTATTTTTAACTATGTAAGAATATAGCACTTGCTTTTGAAATCTAAAGGAAGGTTAAATGTATTTAAAATAGCCTTCAATTATTCTGTTAAGAGTGTAAAACTCTGCAATCCTTGTTCAACTTCATCTAAAACATTGATGGATTGAAAGTTAGAAGGCTATTATGGCATTAAATTCAAATAAATAAATAATTCTTTTCATTTATTTTATAATATTGTATCAATTAATTTAAAAAATAAATAAGTAGTTATTGTTATTATTTTAAAGAATAGAAATACTTATTTGGGTATTATATCATTTAATATATTCAATTACAATCTTTAGTTATTATATTTGAATTTCATGAGTTTGTTATCTTGAGTCAAGAATTTATATTATATTGTTATTAACTCAATTCATCATTCAACCAATGCTAAGTTCTTCTTTTTTAAATGAGTTCAATATCATTTTAGCATGTGCTTTACATAATATGGATATTTTTCGTGTTTATTTTGGAAAAGTACGCAATAATTCAAAGTGGTATTATTAGTTAATAGAATATTTTTTTTCAATTTGGATTTTTATACTGTATAGAAAATTATCTTTTAGTATATTTTTAATCGTTCAAACAATGGAACTTGCTATTGTATTAGGTTTATTAGGTTTTGAGCCTGCTGGAAAATCCAGATTGAATCAACTCCTACCCAGAGTAACTTGTGAGGGATGCACTGCTTTTAGAGATGCAGTTATCAAAGGAAATTAGTTAATGTTGTAACTTTTTGCTTTGTTTTGTGAGAAAGGAATGCATGAGAAGTTTAAATTTGTTCATGTCATTCTGACTGATGGAGAGGATAACAAATCCTAAACAAGCTTATCAGAATTTCTTGAATATTAAAAACTTATTCAATAAAAACTTCCACCAAACATCCTTTAAACATTTTATATCGGTGTGAATGTGGAGAACAACAACACTGTCAAACAAGAAATGTCAGCAATTTTAAAATGTAGTGGAAAGTCTGCTTCGTATTATCCGATAAGTAGTAATTAAATTAATGACATCTTTTAAAAAATTTAAATGCAGATTGGCATCAGAGTTTAAGAATAAGGAGTTATAATCGAAAATAACTAAGCTAGATTTGCTTTAAGGTAATAAACTTATTAGCCAGTGGTGTCTATGTAAGTTAACAATTACATTGTACTTTTCACTCTTGATGTCTCTGGATCTATGAGTGATCATTGGTATAAGGTTTGCTCTGCAGTTAGAAGCTTCCTTGATACTCTTGGATCGAATGATTTAGTACTAGGAATTACCTTCAATGACACTGTATAAGTTTTAACTGCGACGTAATAGTAATAAGCAGCTAAAAAGACTTAATAGACTTCCACTCCTCAAAGAACTTAATAAAGAACCTAAAGTTCTCAGCCTTAACGTTAAATAAAAGGAGTGGAAAGAACAGAAAATGAGAGTAGCTGTTGCTAAATATTTTGAACTTGATAATGATGCTATTTTTATAATTTATAATTGCAAATAATTTCTTGGTTCTAAAAGTCTGATCATAACGGTATTTGTTTTAAAAAATTTTATTGCAGAAGTAATATTTTATTCAAGATATTGTTTTAGGGTATAACATTATTTTTAAATTAATAACAGGGATTATACTCTATGATTTACAATCCCCAAGCATATGAATTCGAAGCACTAGATTTACCTCTGTATAAATTATTGTTATATTTATGTAAAATTTAATAATTGATGGGTTTCTTTGGCATTTTTAATTTATTAAAATCATTTTAATAGGTTTATGTCGTTAAAACTAGATAGTTAACTCATTTCAATCACAATGACCTTACTTAATAATAAATTATACAAAAAAGTGTGAGTTTTCATAAATTTGTATTTGACAACTAATTTTGGAAATTGAGAAGAATGAGTTAATTAAATTATCAGACTAATTTTATATATCAAAATATGTGAGTTTTTAATAAAAATATGATACTTCAATTCAAATGCGAAAGATTACATTATATTCTAAACACTCACTACATAGTGTCAGTATACAATGACAAGTTGACTATTGGGAACAAGGTAACCTATCTATCCTTATATGAATTAGAGTCATCCCAAGTATGAGTATAAATTTACACTTGAAAATGTTTTGCACTGGTATGTGGACAACTTAAAGTTGCAGGCATTTGGGATTGAGTACAAGGGGGCAATCAAGTTTTTTAAAGCGAATAATAAAGATTTGGAATAGTTAAGAGGGTTGTGTAGATGTCTTCTATGTTTCGATAATATAGTGGAGCTTTACAAATAAATCGATATAAATGAGCCATCGAGATTATAGGATCAAATATCCCTTTAATTGTGCAGCATGAAGGTGATAAGCTAGTAGCAGTTGTTGATAGAGGTTCCTATAGTTCGATAGTTGAATCATCACGGAATAATTTCATACCGTGAATGCTTTGAATATAAAAGCCAATATTATATTGTAACAGAATTTGTTGGAGGAATAACATTACAGAAATTCATAATTTAAAACCCTAAGTTGAGTCATCTCTAATGCAGAGCCATAATACTTGTAAGTGTTCTTGTTTTATGAAAGCAACTGCTCAAGGCTGTAAAATATTTGCATGAACATTACGTCATACATGCGACAATCGATATTAGCCATATTGTCTACAAATCAGATTTTATCAAAATTATTGATTTTTCAGAAGCCAAACAAACTAGTAAAATAGATGATAAGGATATCAAGAATTGTGGTCGTATTTTGTTCTATCTGTATGAATTATCCTCATCTTAATTTAGGTACACTGGCAAAGAGTACAACGACAAGGATCTGGAACTAAATTACAAGACTCTTTAGAGTGCTTAGACTCCCAAATTGGCTTAGGAACTCATTTTTATTATGATTTCTGATAACAATGTAACGGTGCCTCTGATTTTGGAGCATCCGTATTTCTCATTTTCTTTGGATGCTGAGGAGAGGAAGAGAAGATTCCAAAAGTTTTAGCGAGTGTAGAGGTCGACTTCAGAAATGGATGAGAGTGATGCTATTTCTCAGAGCATACCAGAATTGTAAACAAATAAAAGTAAATCATTAAGATAATTGATGTGAAAAGTATTTTATTATTATTATTATCAAATATTAAATTATTTATTAATGTAAGCCGAATAACAGTACCCCTAAATAGATGTTAAGGAATTCAAGGCATTTGCTGTTTGGAGGTGGAAAGCTGAACAAGTAAGCAAAATCAATATATTTTTATAGTTAAATCAAAATTGTTGTTCATGCAAAAAATTGATGACTGAACCATGCATCGATTGCGAAGTGAATGACTAGAATGATGATCAACAAAAATGCATTGCTGTTTAGAGTGGAAATTGCGGTCATGCATTACATCAACATTGCATACGAAAATGGATTCAAACCAAAAGTCAGGGTGGCACATCAGGCACCTGTCCAATGTGTGACTTAATTTGGGAAATCACAAATGAAGTTGAATTATAGAATTGACATTCTTAGAATCAATATAATTTTACAATTTTTATTTTAAATATCTTGTATTTTTTAATACTACTAAGAGATATATCATTTACAAATACTTAGATGAGCACAAACTTTAGTGACTTATTCCAACATTCTTTTACACCAAAACTAAATCGGATTAATAGAGTGGGATATTTACTCACACATATAAACATGCTCAGATCATTTATTAACAATATTAATTAAAATAAAATTCAAATTTTTCATGAACAGAAATAAGTAACAACCTCAAAGACAAACTGCCCCTTAAAGAAAAGCTCGTTCTGAACTTAATGAAGAATAGAAGCAAGAGATCAAGGAGGCCTTTGATTTATTTGATACCGATGGCACAGGATATATTGATGTCAAAGGTACCATGTAAATTCATATTTTTTAGAACTCAAGGTGGCAATGCGAGCTTTGGGCTTTGAAACCAAAAAGGAAGAAGTCAAACAGATGATTAAGGAGGTTGATCGTGAAGGCAAAGGAGTAATTGAATTTCCTGATTTTCTCGAATTAATGACCGTCAAAATGGTAAGATGGTTAATAACTATTGACAGGGTGAAAGAGATCCAAGAGAAGAGATGCTGAAAGCATTCCGTTTATTTGATGATGACAACACTGGAAAAATAACATTAAGAAATTTAAAAAGAGTTGCAAGAGAATTAGGAGAAACAATGTCCGACGATGAATTATAAGAGATGATTGATGAAGCTGATCGAGATGGCGACGGAGAAATAAGTGAGGAAGACTTTATTAGAATAATGAAGAAGACCAACTTATTTTGAAAATTAGTTAATATAATTATATAATAATCATGGCATTTGTATATTAGGCTTAACGAGATCTCAACCAATTATTGACATCTGTCCCACCTAATGTACTAATCATTAACCTACTTATAATAGGTGGGTCCAGGTTCCTATGGGAAACAAAAGAAAAAGCTAATCAAACAATCTGTAGCTCCTTTCAATACACAATCTACCAGACTAGATCCATCGAAAAACTCTTCATTTCCAGGTCCTGGGAGTTATAGTGTGAATTTGGCTAATGCAGGGTACAAAACTAATTAAATAGCAGGTAGAAAGTGCTACTTCAATCCAATCAATCAGAACTTAAGATTCTCGAAATCCACAAATAACAGTCAGTTTTTGCATCCAAATGTAAGCGCTTTTAAGAAGTTAATACAAGCGATACTCCAGGGTAGTGTCTTGTATTTGATATCTTAGTCCTGGCTCATACAAACCAGAAGCATTTTAACGACAACATTACCAAAAGGGATCATCTGAGTATTTTATTGAGTCACTGTTGAAATTGAATAGAAATAAGTCAATACCATCAATCCCATCCAATGAATAAGCATATGGTTACGTTGAAAGTGGAAGTATGCGTACAATAATCTATTTAATATAAATTAGCACTGTAATTAAATAAGAGTCCCCAAGAAATCATTTCAGGATTAAAGAATGATTCAGTGGGACCTGGTCACTATGATCTTAAGAACTCTTTCGATTTAAATAAAGAGAAGGGTCACAATTGGCATTCCTCTAAACAACCAAAACTTGCTCCTGTAGTTTCTAAAGATTAAAGAACGATAGTTGGACCAGGAGCGTATGCTATCGAAAATGAGAGTCAACCCTTATATAAATTGTTGCCGTCAGGATCGTTTCAATCCAATTCGTCCAGATTCAATAATTTGGACAAGGGACAAAGAAGCAAAGAAATCCTTAGACTTTAATTTGAGAAAAAGAAATCAAAATTGCTACAAGATTCATAATTTGAAGATTTGAAAGATGAATAATTTGATATCTCTCAAGTATGTCTATTTAACATATTAGAATGATGGTCCTGGTCCAGGATATTACTTTAAAGATCATAGTACTATTTCGACCAAATCCACTTCTAAATTGGAAACGCAATGTTTTGGATCAAAATTAAAAAGATTTCAAAGTGATTCAAATTAAATTACTGTTGGTCCTGGAGACTATAAAATTGAAACTTAATTGTCAAATAGCAGTCTTGCATTAAAGCAACCACCCTTCTTATCCTCTAATACTCGATTTGAATAACAACATTTCAATAGGAGGATTGGCCCACAATCTTATCACATTAATAAAAGTGTAAGACAATTAGATATTTCATCTAGTTGGAATATGACCTGATAAAAAAGCTCGAAAGATCTCCTGTCGGTAAATTTGGATAGAATTAACCTAGATTTGTGAATGATCAAAGTAAAGAAGAACTGCCTGGTCCAGGATTCTATGACTATTTATTGTAATCCACTTAACAAGGAGCTCAAACTATGTTTAAGTCTTAAACCAAGAGGATTGATCCAACCCTATTAAATAAATCAGAAATACCAGCTCCTAGTTAATACAACCCCAGAAATCACACAATCGAATATAACATAAAGAAAGAAGTAGACGATCTTGACTTCGAAATCAATAGACCTCCGTTTTAATCTTCAGCACCTCGATTTAAAAGTAATGCTGATGTCAAAATTGATGAATTGGATGAAGATATTTACTTGAAAAAATAGAATCAAAAAAAAGAAGAACACAAGATTCCATATAAATAGAAATAGGCACCACCTCCGTTTAATGTGCAAGTACTTGTAATGACAACTGTTTTTATAGGAAAAACGATTTTAATATGGTAAACTAACTGTTCAATCTCCTGGTCCTGGGGAATATAATGAGTCTACTCCATGGGACAAACCATCATTCAATGTTTAATATTCTTAATTTTGAGTAGATGACAATAAATATATATAAACGATATCATTTCTTAAAAAATCTATATCCTGATCTTGTGTGTTGATGAGCCTTTCTGGATTAGGGAATGCTTTCTGTAATTTTAAATTATTTGGAAAGAGAAACACTCGCTTATTGTGATCGATGAGTTTGAATACTACATAGAGGGAATGATGATACTTGAGTTTTGATTGAAGTTCTGCTGCATGTGGTGAATTCATAGTGTAGATGTGAGCAGGACTGAGCATTTTAGATAGAGGATCCTTGATTACTCTATGGGTGGATGGACCATTTTGAGTGAGCAACTGTTCATCTTTAAACATTTTAGGAGATAGATGAAATGTTTGTTTGTTTTTTGAAGTTCTTGATATAATCTACTTGATAGTCTATTGACTCACTCCAAATGGAATTCTGTTAAATGTTTTTGGTGAATGCAATTGAATGTGGGATTATACTTTAGGTTTTTGCTTTTCTGCTAAGAAGTGAATAAATTTCTGTAATTATTCTTCTTCCCTATTAGAAGGTAGAAATATTAATTCTCCGGTGTTAATCTAAAGCCCTTCTAATTTGTTATTAATTGCCTCTATTGTTGTAGATTTATCAACGAGATCTTGGAGTAGTTTGCTATAGACTTGTTCTTGAACTTTAGGAGAAGTAGGTTTGAGTTCTTCTGGTTAATCGCCAGCAATTGCTTTTTTGGGTTTGTTAGGATTTTTGCGATTTTCCTCTTCAATAATTCGTTTTATGCGATAATATTCGACTCGTCTTTTCTTGTCATGATAACTAACTTATGTATAATCCTGAGATACTTGCTCATAATATTGCTTATTTTATGCATAAAGAATCTTGGAATCTCATTGTGATATTTGTAGTACTCAGTAAATAACTGAAGTTTATCCCTCAATTCATCTAACAATTTTTGTTTAATTTATACTGGCAAAATAGAACCGTCTCAGATATTCCTGATTCTCATTATACGCTAGAGCCTAGTAAAACTCTATCACCTCTTTTGTTCTGGCTGAATTTACAAAATCATTCAGAGTCCTAGAGTAATAATAGGATTGACAATTGGAGTATTTCTTCTGGAGCAGTATCTGAACATTGTACTAATTTGCCATCAGATATTTAAGTTATGATATTCAATTTAATATAATTTAATCATTGCATATAGGATAGATCAAATAAAAATAGTAATTCAATGGAAACCTAATTTATACCACATCTGTCTTAAATCGTCCTTTGTTTTCGTCTTTATTTCCTAAGCAATCTCAGTCCATTTCATGATAGAATTGAATGAGTTCGGAATCTAAACTAGCGATTTGAGAATATCGAATGTCTCTCTATCAAAATCATTCATCTTTCTGAAATTTAAACAAAACTTAGTTTCAGTGAACTGACTCCCAAATCTAGTCTGAAGTACTGAATCATAATCCGAAATCAGAAGAATTTGCTTTGTGATGTTCTGAGCCTGCTTCATTAATATTAAGAATTCTCCTATTTTGTTCTGATATTGTCAGGTGTCCGATTAAAATGCTTACTGATTTCCCTCCACTTTCTTCCGTATTATTAGACATACTTAATCAAATCTGCCTCTTCATTCTAACTCCAATAGCCATGTCGGTTGTTGCTATCATATTTCCTGCGAATCAACTTATAAATTGAATCAACACTTCTATTGGGTATTTATTTTGCAATAGTGAGCCATATCTTAGAGAGTCCAAACGACTTTAACTCAATGTACTCCTATAGATCCTAATTACTGAGATTGTTTTACAATAGATATTCATTGACAACCTTCATAATGCAGTCTACCTCTTGTTTTGAAAACCTCCCTTCCTTCATTTCTGAGTGATTAACACGGCAATCTAGCCTTTTGTGCCAAGATCTACTTTTACATCGTCGAATTCTATTTTAATCAATTTGTTGTTCTATATTTTACTAGTCTTATTATGCTTATGGAATGGCATCAACATTTGAAAGATTATTTTGACTCAATTAATGTTCCCTTGAACTGATATGATCCTCGTATTAATTTTAAAGGGATTGTTGCTAATTTCTAAGCTTAATAGTTTGTTTTTGAATTTTTTTCATATTATAGTTAAAATAAATTGTTTGACTGAATAATTATTTCAATTACGCACTAAACATGCATCCTACAACACAATTACTAGAAAATGCAAGAGAACGCGTAACATTTCCAGTTGGAGAATTAACAAAGCTCCTTTATGTTAATGATGAGATATATGAGACATTTATGAAGGCTCAAAAGATAATAGCAAATGAGCCTACCATTCGCAATCATCCAGATTATCACAATTGGAGTCGCAAGCAATAAATCATAAAGTCCTATGAGAAATTGAGGATTATGCATTAGCATTTCAATTTGGCTAATGCTGTCCACTGGGCTCCCCTTCTGAGCATCTTCTAAGGAACAACACCAACAGCAGTATCCTTTGCAATGACAGTGCCTGCCTTGAGATTTCTGGGAACAGACGAGCAATTCAACTTATGGGGACCCAAATTCCTGACCATGGAGATCGTTGCCGCCTATGCCTAGACAGAGATTGGTCATGGAAGTGACGTGCAGAATTTGGAAACTACCGCCACTTATGATCCTTAGAGCAATGACTTTGTTCTTCACACTCCGGCGGTATCAGCAGTTAAATGTAAGCGGCTATGGAAATCTATCTAGTTTGGCCTGGAGAATTAGGCTTTTTATCCAATTATGCGCTGGTCTATGCCAAGCTCATTTTCAATGGCAAGAACAAGGGAGTCCACCCTTTCATGGTGTAAATCAGAGACAATTCCACTCATAAACCCTTAAGAGGAGTGACAGTCGGGGACATCGGGCCAAAATTAGGTTATACAACAAAGGACAATGGATATTTGGCATTTGACAATTACAGAATCCCTTTGAATAGCATGTTGGCTAGATATGTAAGGATAGAGAATGGTCAATTCTCAAGACACGGAAATGAGAAGGTAAAAATAAGAATGAATTTATACTTAGATATCCTATGCATCAATGATGGTGTCTAGATAATTGATTATTTTCATTTATCCAAGAATGGCTGCTCAAGCTCTGACAGTTGCAATCAGGTACTCTATTACCAGACAGCAATTCACAAACGACAAGAGAGAGGAGAATTCAGTGATTGAATATTAGACTTAATAGGACAAGTTGTTACCAAGATTAGCCACTTGCTACGGAATGATTTTCGCAGGAATTAGAATAATGCAATTGGTTGATGACAATTTCCACAGAGTCTAAAAGAAGGACTTCAGTACTCTCCAGTAGTCACATGCCATCCTAAGGTATTCTTCAAAATATAATAACATTAAGTGCAGTGAAGGCCTTCTCCTCATAATGGGTCGTAGATACAACAGAATGGTGCAGATTATCTTGTGGTGGCCATGGTTATGCTCATTATTCTGGCATTCCCGCAGTCTATTTTGATACTGCTCCTAATGTTACACTAGAGGGAGAGAACTAAGTGATGTATCTGCAAGTGTCTAGGTACTTGCTCAAGGTGTTATAATATGCAGAAAAGACTCCAGAGAAAGTACCATTTTACTTCACCTTTGTATTACACATCAAAGAGACTTTAGCAAATAAAGATTTGAGTATTTATTACCACAACGTATTCTAGACACTTCATTAGGACATTGGCTTAAGTTAACTCTGACAATCCAATTGATCCAAGTTGGTAAAAGAATCAAGGACTTAATGAATACAGGCAAGACATTCCAACAAATCTGGAATGAACATGTTGGTATCCATTTGTTGTCTCTTGCTTAAAGATATGCTGAATATTTCATCTATCTTGTCTTTCAGGAGTATATTGCAAATGCTAATCCTTCTGTTAAAGAGATATTGCAATAACTTTGTGACTTATACTGTGTATAAACCATACTGGACAATCCAAATACACTCATTGAGTCCGGCTAAATTACACAAGAATAATTGAAATCCTTTAATGAATTGAAAATTGAATTGTTTGCTAAAATTAAACCATAGGCAATTGGGTTGGTTGAAGCATTCAATTTTAATGACAATGCTCTAAGAACTTGTATTGGGTGTCATGATGGAAAACCATATGAATATATCTATGATTGGGCAACAAAGGAGAATTCAGTCAATAAGGTACCATAAGCAGTAATTGATTTAATGGGCACAAAAATCAAAGCAAAATTATGATATTAATAATATATTAAATTAATAAAATGGTGAGATATAATAAACAATTTTAAATATCTTCATTATTTCAAAGTATTGAAGAGTGATTTGATTGAATAAAATAACACATAAATAGAAACAAATCATTTTAAGGTAATGTAGTCTTGAATTCTTTTATATACTTCCAAAAATTTTGTAGAATCGTAGAAATCTGAATTAAAGTAAACTCCGTTGGTTTTAGCTTCTTTTTCCAATACTTATATTGGAACTCTGATGTCGCCATTATAATTTTTGATATTTTAGTAATAGTCTTTCTATGATGAATAAAAACAAAAGACATACCTACTATCTATACAATTTATTTAACATGTTTAACAAAAGATCGAAGGAATCTTCATTAAATGTCAAATAATCGCTAAACTTGCGTCGTAATTATCTGGCAACAGAGTATTTCTGGGATTGGAGGAAACTCTCCAACATTACTTTGATAGCAACTGAGATATCGAAGTCCATGACATTATTTCTTAAATGCATCCTAGCATGAGCTATTGGATATTGAATAATAATTTACCTTCAGCCATTCTGATGATACTTTCTAAGTGTCTGATGGCAATGTTAATACCACCACATACTTCGGATTCCTTTCTCAAAAGATAATAGAACTTGGATATTTTTTCATGATCGACATTCTACAACTTAGGTCTAATGTGTGTACGAGCATACAAAATGTATTTTTTAAGTAATTCTAAGGGGATAACTTCCTCTTGAGTCTGCTTGTTCTCCTTAACAAAATATCCTTTGATTTATTGACTCCATTCAGAATCGGGATCATTGTTCAACTCGTACGCAGCCATAGGATGATGTCTGATGTGACTATTGATCACAAAGGATGCTAATCTATCATCTGCCTCTTTGATTACTTCATCTTTGACCACACAAAGAATGTCAAATCTACTCAAGATTGGATCAGTTAGATCAACATTATCATGAAAAGATTACTAAGAATCATACTTTCCACCCACTGGATTTGCTGCTGCAATAACACTACATCTGGCTTGGAGAGTAGTGACGATACCAGCTTTAGAGATGGAGATACTTTATTGTTCCATGGCTTCATGAATGGATGTTCTATCGTGTTCATTCATTTTATCAAACTCATCAATCAGACAGATCCCTTTGTCAGCCAAGACCAATGCTCCTCCTGAAATGCTCCATTCATTCGTCGAATAATCTCTTTAGACTGAAGCAGTCAGACCAACGGCAGAGGCACCTTTGCCTGTTGTGTATATTGATCTATAGAATGTCTTTTGTACATTCTTCAAGAATTAGGATTTGGCAGTACCAGGATCTCCCAATACCAAAACGTTGATGTCTCCTCTGATTCTGTGTTTTCCTTGTATGTCTTTGGCTTCTCCTCCAAACATAGCCAAAGCAATAGCCATTTTGACATGTTGATGGCCATAAATAGATGGAGCCACTGAGTTGTATATTAATTTATCAATCTTAGGATTTTGTGACAACTTCAGGATCTCATCCTTAATTTTCTTATCAATATTCAAAGACTCACTCTCATCCTTTCTCCTTATGTAGTTGCTTTCAATGATTGTGGAATAGAGTGGGAATCCATGCTTTACATTAAGAGCATAATCGTATCTTTAGGTGTAAACTCCAGTGACTTCGATTTCATCACCAGGTCTTGCAATATCGATTTGATCTCCCAAGACTATGACTTCTTTTTGTCTGGGCACTCTCCCTGCTGGCACTTGTCCTGGAGACTCTTGGAGAGTCAATCTTTAAAAGTTTCTATACACCAATTGATTGTATAACTTTTCAAAAGGTCCACTGCTTTGACATTGAATGCATACTCCCAATTGGATGCTATCATTGTTTTCCAAATAGAATGGTCCCTTCTTCATACCACATTTAACACAAACATATGTGATTTCCTTCAATTAAGAGTAGACTGCACTTCTCCGAGTAACAACTCCAATCACACGGATAAATTTATCCAAATGTTTATATCTGAGATCTCTGATAATATCCACCACAGGGAGATTGGTAATTCGCACAAAGATCTCTTGATGAATGTTATGGTAATGATTGAATCGCTTGTTGACTTCAATTCTTGCAGCTTCATTCAAATGGGGCAAAATAATCTTAGGTTCTTCTGCGACCCACAAGGCAATCGTAGCATTTGCACTCACCAAATCAGGATACAACACCTCAAGTGATTGCTTATTGGCCTTACACATTTCCTTAATCAATTGGATGTAAATGGGTTCTTAGTCAGATCCCCTCTTGCACTCATTCAAAATCTTTCTAAAAGCTCGCTTAATCCAAGCCTCTAACATATATACATTCAATACTTGTTCTGTCATCCTTAATCCACTCGTTCAATTTACCTCTGCATTCTTCAATGTTCAAATATCGCTCCTCCTCGACAACATCTGTGTCTTCCTCCTCAAAAGGATCCTCTATGTAAACTCGTTCACCAAACTAATCCAAAGCCTCGTCTTCAGAATCACTCAAATTCTAAATAGCTCTAGGAATTCGCCTGTCATCCATATTTATTCTCCTCCTCCTCTGAATCTCTTCCTCTGCTCTTCTACGTTACTCGTAATCCATCTCTCCTTGGACCTCCTCATCATCAATTCCATCTGACTCATATCTGTCCAATTCAGGTATCGGCTTGTAGTCGTTCATCATGTTATCATTAATCAATTCCTCCCCTGAATCTTCCTCGGCTGGAGTTCCCTCTGAAGATTGTACTCCCACCTGTTCCTCTAAAGCCTCCTCATCTGAACCTCTTTTTTTTTCCTCCTCCTACTAAGCTCTTCTTGGTCTTCTACTCATCCCTTTTTAATTACTTTATTAATATCGATTAATATTCAATCCATCCCAAATATAAATATTCCCGCACTACTTATTTTTGGCGCAATTCTGTCCCAATTTCTTTTACTATTAAAATTACAGAAATCTATCTCATTTTTATAATTTTACATCACTCTCAACACTCCCTCACTTCACTCCGCACATTAAATCCCCCCCTTTATTTCCCTTACTCATCCCCTCCAACCTCCTTCCAAACATCGCCTTATATGTCCTGCATCTACCCTCCCTCATTCACTGTGCAATATCGATGTTCTCGTTCAAAATGCAATTGGATTGGTGCTGTTAACGGAGGATTATTAATTTCTAGAAAGTCATTCGATCTAATTTTTATCGTTAATCCATAATTTAAAATATGAGTGATAATATATTAGTATATTTGAAAGTCAAACCAGATTAGGAAGAGGAAGGAGGACTCAACATTCAAGATAATACCGTCAAGGTTATCTCGCAATCATCCTTTGAGGAGAAGACTTATCAATTCAATGCCATCTTTCAAGAGAACCACGAATTGCATTAACATTGCATTCCGATCATCGACCAAGCGATTAGAAATCAATAGAATGCTTGCATCATCACTTACGGATAAACTCAGAGTGGGAAGTCTCATGCCTTAGGGTTTTCACTCTACAACGAAGGATTACTGCATTCCTTCCTCCAATATCTGTTTGAACAAATGCAAATACAATAAGTGTCCATCTCAATGCTCTAATTATACATGCAATCAGCTATTGATTTATTGAGTCAAGACAAATCTCTCAAAGAGTTGAGAATAAGAAATAAGCAGAATGAAACTTATGTTGAAAATCTGACTGAGGTACTTGCTCAAAATTATCAAGAATCCTTACTTATCTGCTAAGAAGGAATCTAAAAAACTCAATTCTCTAAATTACATACCATCCTAACACTCAAAGTCATGAAATCTAAAATTCAATTCGTTGAAATTTTGGGCAACAACTCCATCAACGCTAAATCTCCCCAATCTAGCAACTGCATCACTGCTCTGTTCAAAGTTTTCAGTGCCCTACTCAAACAACAAGGAACTTAATCATAAGTATTTATTCCTTTTCGAGATTCTAGTTTGACTATGCTTCTCAAAAATTCATTAACACCCCCCTCTAAAATAATTGTCATTGGCACTATCCTCCCCAAAAACTCTATTGAAACTAGCTAAACTATCAAAGCACTCTCCTCATGCACTAAAGTATTCCAACCCCAAGACAATCCCAATAACACCACATATCATAACAATGCCACCAAGGCCAGAAGCGTAACACCAACAATCACTAAACAAAAACCCTAAGACATTGTTATCAATAATGGATAATAGCAATAACAATAACAACACAACAACTTAACAAATCAAATATAATACAAAGAGTTAAGTGAATATTTATTAAAACTATTGACCAAGATCAATTCCCATGCTTGCAAACTTATCAATTAGGAATGCTTACAACATATCGATATCAATTAGAATCTAGATAAGATCATCTCATAGGTGTAATAAGTCTCACATTAGTTATTGTAAGTCATCAATGGTAAAATTAACTCGTAAGTCAATCAGACCAAAACCGATGGCTGGCAAAAGGCCCTCAAATTTTTATACCATACTTATGAGGAAGAAATTTAACGCGAAGATAAATTGCTTAAGGAAAAACTGCTTTACATCATCAACGAAGAAGAACAGTATGATCTGGACAGTCTGAGAAAAATATTATTTCCTCCGAAGTAGGAGTATACTAATACCTTGTTTAAAACACTTACGACTTTGAGAAAATATACAAACACCATTCAAATCCCGCTTAGTCGAGAAAATTACAGGAATCAGTTGACCAACGACATCATGTAGAAGGAGTTGGGAGTGATGAGCAATCAGAATTACGAGTCAAGTGGGAAACAAGAGTTGACTAGTGTACAATTAATTATTATAATATAGTTCCAAAGTTACACCGAGAATTTGATGAGCAAATTTAAATGGCAAAGTGCCCAGAAGTAGGACTATTACGGATACCAACCCTGAGTGAGGCAATTTTGAAATTTAAATATTTTTTACTTAATCATTTCTAATCAAAGTGGATATACACACATTTTATATACAATTTCACATTATTTTGAAGTAGGAAAATTTGATCAACAGAATCTTTTTGTTGTCAATATATTATTATTAATAAATAAAATTTTGATTTGCTATGTTAATATTATTTCTTGTATTTAACTTAATTGAATTATTTTTTAAAGATTAATTATTAAATAAATGAAATCAAAACCATTTTCGATTACTAGTTCAATTTTTACTTCACCCAATTCTTAGTTTTGGAATGACTAAGATTTTTAAATAACTAAAGAAAATTTCAAAGACGATTATTTTCTCTTTTTCTCGAATAAAAAACTAACTTACTTGAATAAGCCTCTATAAAAAGCCGGTTCAATAATTAGGAAACAAAAAAAAAATGTAACCCCCACTTTAATTTAGCATAGGGTCTGTACTTATGGTGTGATGTCAGTAATGCTTTAATTGAGCTAATCGAAATCCAACATGTAGGACATGGTTTAAGAATCACTAAAAATTAACAAAGCATTCAATTCTTTGGATATGTGGATGCCTGGTTTAAGGATTTAAAGAAATTTTGTATTCAAAGAAAAATTAATGAATCATATATAATCAATAATAAAATTGGATGTGGAAGTTATGCTGATGTATTTAAATTTAAATAAGCAATTAGGTTTACAAAGTTACGCGTAAGGCTGATAACAAAGATTTCGCAGCTAAGATCTACGATAAGTCGTCAGACAAATTCGACCCTGAGTGCATCATTAAAGAAATTGACATTCTAAGAAAAATGGATCACCCTAATGTAATTTCACTTCTAGAGACCTTTGAAACTCAAAAATATATCTTTCTTATAACAGAGCTCTCTATATATGGAAGCCTGGATGATGTGATCACTAAGACACCATTTACAGAAGAAGAGATTTTAAGAGGCATGTATAAAATAATTGATGCATTATCAAACATTCATTCCAAGGGCATTATACACAGAGATATCAAACCAGAAAACATCTTATTTCGAAGACCAAATCTGGATGATATTTTGATTTCAGATTTTGGTTTAGCAGATTACTATAACTCAGAAGGATTATACTAATATCAAAGATGCGGTACTCCTGGCAACATGGCACCAGAAATATTGAATGATCAACCCTATGATTATAAAATTGATTCCTACAGTGCTGGCTTAATATTTTATTAAATGCTGAGTTTCGGAAGATCCCCCTTTATCGTTGAAGATTATCAGGAAACTTTAATTAAAAACTAAGAAGGTCTCATCGACTATTCAGAAATCAATGCGTCGCCATAAGCAAAAGCCTTACTTTAATAGATGCTAGAAGTGGATCCAATGAAAAGATGCACAATAAATGATGCCAAAATTAATCCACTTTTTAAGAAATTCAACAGAATGACAATCATTATTAAAAGGAAAAGAATTCTCCAAGATCAAACGGTGTCAAGCTATAGTCCAAGAAGCACATCAATTTATCAGACTCCATCTAATTCTCCACAAATTCTGAAAAATCCTAAAAATAAAAGCATAGGCCTCAACACTCTGCATTGTCTACCAAATAGAGTAAGAAGCATGGATAGCTAACTCTTTTCTTCTCCTAGATCATGCAACTCTGGAGGAAATAGTGCTAAAGCTCAATGTAAGCAAAGAAATAGGAATTTTAAGATAAATGTCAAAAATAGCATTTACCAAAGCATGAGCTCAACAAAAGCCATTTGAATCATTGATCAACTTATTATGATTAATGATATCTAAATGTATTCATAAATATAATATTATTATTATCTTATTTTTGAATTAGATTTATAAAATATCCATATTAAATTTTATCAGAATAAATCAAAACCTTATTGTTTTTAAATCAATCTGAATTAGAAATTTAATACTAAAATATTTATAATATTATTAAATAGAATTAGTTGAACATTATTTCACTACTATTTATAGAATATCTTTCATAAATTATTAATATCAAAGTTTTTTCAAAATTGCATTCAATTTTGATACAACATCTAGATCTCCCTTTTCTATTAATTTATTTAGAACTATTTCTAACATATATTGAATGGCACAGATTGATAAAGCCTTATCAAACAAATATTCATCTCCATTAATAGATGACACTATGATTAAGTTTCCCAAAATAAAATAGAAATAACCAACTAGTATGAATATTGAGTCAATATTCTCTATCAATGTCTTCTTTAGTATTCTTTAAGCTAATAAATATGCAAACAAAAAAATGATTAGCTATATTAAATTATAGGTTGGAACAATCAATAACCCTAAAACCCAAGATGATTTATTAAAGTCATCGATACCATAATAAGCATTCATGATTGAAACAATCATCAGGTTGTTAGAGATATACAAAATGTATTATCCGATCTTAATTAACTCTATGTCTAAAATTTAATTAATATTAAAAACTTTGTTTATTCTATTTGAATTATTTGTAGCTATACAAATACAGCTCAAGTAAACCAACTTACACTTGTTTTCCTTGACTAGTCTTGGGACTATTGGGGTCAGACTTATCTACTGGATTATCCTCCTAAGCATTATGCTTGATGGTTTCTAATTCTTTCGGTATTTCTTTTTGTTATTCAAGTTTTTGTAAATATCTTTACCAAGAGTACCCTACACTAATTAGAATTGTGTATCCGAGTAGTAAAGAAAAACTATCGACAATCTCTTAGTTCATAAATAATTTAATTAATGATTCCCTAGGATTAAATGATTTGTTTAAGTAAATACATTATAAATAATATGAATGACAAAATTTTCATTAAACTTTTTAAATTTATTTCTTTAAAGCAATCTGTTGCAACAGTTCCTATAGTAATATTTTGAATTTTTACCTATTTCCTACTCTGAAACTCTTCTAAATACATATTGCGTTTTGCTTGTTATTCCTCAATCTTATATTTTAATTCTACATTTTAATTTTCTATGTTTTCTACAAATTCTGGAGAGTAATCTTCATTTTACATCAAATCCTCATCCCAAAATGCATCCTGTGGTTATGATTACAACAAAAACACTTATTATTAACCTTGTATTATCTATTAATTCTATTTAGTCTCAGATTTCTTTACTGATAATCCTGTTGGGGTATGAAAATAAGTTTATACTTATTAATACTTTTGTTGTAACTCTGAATTTTCAACTGATAATTATTTGTATTGCTAGACCAATAGTTATTGATCTTCTTCAAGTTCTTTGCTTTGTTGAACAATTCTAATTCTCATCTAAAAGTTAAATTAATGTAAGGTTCTTTTCCACTTTGTGAAGAACTTACTCATCATTTAATCCTCATTCATAACAATCTTACATAAGTATTTATAGATGATTAGATTCCTTCTCTTCCTCTGATATTTCATATGAGCTTGATATAATGCTTAATTTAATTTGCTTGAAATAACAGACTAAATATTAAATGGAAATTACTAAATTTTTTATTATGTCAGCATTTGCACTTTAACTATTCTAATTATTCCTATTCAAACAAACTATTTTATAAAAGCCATATGATAGATTTTTTAACATCAGCCTTCTCAATACAATTTTAAAATTCAGCAATACAACCACTTTTTCATTATTTCGTTATTTATTTTTTTTTAATTCTACAAATGCATTTGAAACTATCTTAAATTTCTATTTGTTTAATAATGCAACAATTTGAAATGTCAGTTATATGACTTCATTTTACTTTTTAATATCATATTGAGACTATTCATTGTAATTATTTTCAAATTTTTTCTTCCAATAACAAAAACAATGCATTTTTTTATTTTCTAAGGCCATAACAAATTTGGATATAGCTTCTTATTTCTTCATCTCTCTTTGTAATTGCATTTCTCTATTTCTCTAGAACTTTTGTAGTATTTTAAGAAATCTTGATTGATAATTGAATCTATAAGCAAACACTTTTAAAAATGGAATTATTTTCCTTGAATTTCTATTTATAAGCCTTATCATTAAGTGTCTGTAATGAGTATTTACTCGCTTTTGCAAAATGTAAATCATCCTGCACAAAGTCTCTTTTTTCAATATTTCCAATTATACAAGGTTGTAATTTTGCAATTAATGTAATGCTTCTCTGAATTGGTTAGTATTTGAAATATTGATTTAAAATGCACCCTTTTCATCATCCTTTTCGGAGAGCATTTTGACATTATTTCGATTAGCCATTTTGAAGTTTTTGATTTTTAAATAGGCATAGTTTCTTAAATTGTACAATTTTTGCACTATTCTTCTATCTATTATCTTAATCAGAGATTTTAATCTCTCTTCTTTTTATAGTTACTTTTTTTGAAGTAAGGAAACTAATTGTTCCATTATAAATAATTGTTTTATTAAATTATAATATAGTAAAATATAAATTACAATAACAAATAGATTCATTTTAAATTGGCCTTTAGGTTATTTTAGTAAAGGTTATTATAATGATAAACTATTGGAATTGTGAGTTTGTTGTAATCTCTTTCATATAAGTACCCTTAACAAATTTAAATTTGTTACATAGAAAAATAATTTAATTTGATTGAAATATAATTTTTTATTAAAGAATCATTTGATTGATATAAGTTCCTTTCAATTCTTTTTTAATAAAACGAAAACTAATTCTATATGGCTGAGAATACTAGCTGAAGTAATTAATTCAAAAGCTGAAGCAAACTTATTTAACATTTAAAGACTCTGTTTGAGTTTTTGAAGAATAAGTAGTCCTCAATCTTGTGTTCCTTTTCATTAAAATAATATTAGAGTCATGAAAATAATATTAAAGTAATTTTAACATGGAAGGGAATAGTTTACAAAATAATTATTTTATTTGAAATAGTATACTAAAAACGACAATCAAAATATTATTTACAAAACATAAGAATTTTACCATTCCTATAGGTAATTTTATTATATGTTATATAACTCTTCTGAGATTGTTTTATTCTTGATTTAATTTAAATTATTATTGAGATGAGGATATTGTAAAATATGTTTTTTAATCATACTAAAAGTCTGTTTTTTAATATTAATATTAATATTACTTTATAGAAATGAAATCCTTTCAATGTACAGATCATAAAAAAGATATTATTTATTATTGTAATGACTAACATTGCGAAATGAGATGCTTGTGTGCTGATTGTGAACATGAGCACGAAAAAACTGCAGTACAAAATTTGCTAGAAGGTTACAATATAAAAGAACTGGTTTAAACCTTTCAAAGTTTTAAATACATTATAAATGATTTAATGAATAAGATGGAACATGAATTGAGCTAACACCTTTAATAAATTAAATAACCTTAAGCAACTGCTTAAAATTTAGAATAATTCGACAAATAGCTGAGTGAGATCTCAAATATCTAAAATACACTACAATTCAAAATTAAAAATAGATTGCAGCACATTATTAATGCATTAAGAGGGTAGGACTTAGATTCAAGTCCCAATACCATAATTGACACTCGTAAAAAAGAGCATTCTAAATCAATTATTCTCAGTTAGGCCTAATTATAATAAGATATGATTAAGAAAAGCAGGTAGTCAAAAATATTCAAAATGAACATACCTCAATCTAATTAATAAGAAACATAACAGATTCTTTAATAACCAAACTTAAATGTGGACAGAGTTGAAGTGGCAAGATTGTAATAATTGAGCACATAAGATTGGGCGTGGAAAATGAACTCCTCCACTGTGTTTTGTTGTATATTCTCAGCCTTACGAGATTTGAAAATAATAGGATTTTTGCAGCCCTGCTTATTCAAAAGTAGTACCAATAATTACCAAAAAAAATCAGCAGTCATCAATTTTGGCATTTATAATAAAAAGAATTTGACCAAATAACCATTACATATAGAGAAATACACCTTGAGACATAGTAAGATGAAGATAGTTAATGACTGTTATGAGTTGATGTTAAGTAAACCAATTAGCATAAAGGAATTTACAGAATATTCTATTGCAATATGGCCAAGCAAAGTCTTGTATTGTCACTATTTTAGCATTGCAGCTCCTATTAATCCATTCTTAGCATTTCAAACTTAAGATTTCAATGACAATCCTAAAATAAAAAGATCAGAGGATTTTCCATAGGTGATATCAACATTTCGTGCAGGTTTAGTGCCTTATTTGATAATTGATCCAAGAGAGTAATGAATGACTTTAATTTATGAAATTAAGTCTGTTTAAAATATGAAATATGGCGATATATAATTATTAAATTCAATCATTAACACCTTTACCTATAATTTTTAAAGTGTCTTAGATGGTCTTGATGACACTACTTAGATTGTCTATAATTTAGTTTTGCTGATTAAATCTTTAGTTCATTTCTTCTTTCAAATTGTAAGCCACATGATTGAATTCATCAATTGTTTTGACATGGAAATCTTGATTATTCTTTCTTTGTCTTTGTATTTCTTAATCAGTGTGGTCTCTCAACTCTTTGCTTTGAAGAATTCTTTCTGATTTTTCATTGCTCAGTTTCTCGTTTAATTGATAGGCTTCATCATCTAATTTTCTCAAGATCTCCTTTTCCCTTTCAACTCTAGTGTTTTTTTCTGTTTCATAATGCTCAAATAACGCTAAGATTGGTAAATAAATATACTGGTTAATTGTTTTCTGATTTCTCTAAGGTTTTCATCAGATTATCTCATTCTTTCCTGTTTTTCTTCTTCCAATTTTTAGGTTAGATCTTTGAGATAAGCATTGGCATCAACAATCCTTTAATCTGTTTAATGTGCAAATGTTTCATGTTGGGTTTACAATTTCTGATTTGTTTAATTCAACACTTGAGTAAATTTTGAATCATAGGCAATTAAAGTATTATTAATTCTTTCACCCTCCTGAGTGATGAATTCCCTAGTATTTTGAATTTTCCTAAGAATAGAGATGAGAATAACCTATGTACATCAAGAAATTTAGCTTCCAGTTATTTTTTTGCCTCTTCTCTATTTCTTTTCATATCTTCGAAATCATTTGCCAAGTCTCCCATTTGCTTCTCAAGCAGAGTGAGTTTTTCATTGTCTTTGGGCAATTGCTTATAAGGTTTTTAAGTCAAAGGACCTGTTGCTTATAAATTTGCTTATGTTTATTACATAAATTAATTTAATAATATTTTGACAAGAATAACAAGTAACATATTTATCAATGCTAAAAATTTTATCTTCTTTTGATTACTACAGCTTTCGGATTGACAATACCCCTAGCAGTGCTGGGTTCATCCAACTGAGTTTTCACTCTTTAAGTTAAGCAATCAATTCTATTCTCATGAACTCTATCATATTTTCTCTCTGATTTCGGATCTTGATGATTCAATTTGATCTTTAATTTAGGCACTTCCATCAATCTCAGAGGTTGCATTTTATAGATAGTTTATGGTTTCAAGATATTGCCATTTGTACTATTGACAATACTAGTTTTGGTGACAAAATTATGATTCACGATACTCTGTGTATTCTAAACCTAAGTGGAAGGATTGAGACTGTGATTGAAAAAATGGAAATTGGGAGCAACAGTCCGATGATTAGGATTGGTAGATGCTCCTGCATTAGCTTAGTTAATTTAGGCTTGAATGTTGACATTCGAATGAGTATGAGTACTGGATCCTGTACTAAAATTATTAACGATGACATTGCTAGCTTTTCTGGGAGTCCCTATTTGTAGATTGAGTTGTTTTTTCACATTTCCGAATTAGACTGTCCTTGAAGTGGTTGTAATTTCTCTATTTGTAGATTCTTTTTATTTTTGTAATTCCTTTTGTTATATAAAAGTAGAAAATTGCATGGCTTTGGTTAAATCTTATTCGACTAGGGATTGAGTGAATTACTTCTGCAGATCTTTCTCAAGTGCTCTGTCTGCCTCTACATTCTTGAGTAATTATAAAATTGTAGTAGATCTTTGGGTATCATTTAATTCCTTCAAAAAGCATGTCAACTCTTATTTCGCCATGGGATTACTTTTCTTCTTAGTTTTCTTCGGACTACCGCCACCTTCCTTATGAGCCTCCATTTCTATCTAGTTCATGGCCCATTGATACTCGACCTAAGATCTACTACTAATGTATTTCAGAATAATGGCTTTTAATTCCAGAAAGTATAACATGGGATGATCAATGCTAAACTTATAAGTAATTGGAGATGGTTACTTTGTAATATTGTATTAGTTATTTGAGTTAAAGCTGGCATTTAGACAGATTATAGAATTATCTAAGGTATTCTTCTTGAGTATCCAAAATTTTGTAATCCTCCACTCTCGTGTAGATACTATGCTTTTCCTTCCTTATAATTTAGTTGATAGGGCGAGAAAAATAATAATTTTGGCTCTGTCCGTGCTTATAATAGAGACTCATATTCATGGTTTCAATCAGATCGCCCTTTTTCGAAATCTCATCAATCGAGGCATACAAGCATTGATTTCTATGCATACAGAATCTGCATTTGTGATTATACATTAATTATAATTCATTATTATTTCACTTGATTGATCAAATTATACATATATAATATAAATAAATAAATTATGCAATTATCTCCTATTGATTTGGACTATTTACACTAAGAGAGCATCGGGGGAGTCATTGCAGATGGATTGACGGTGCTTTACAATACACAGCCTGAAAAACCAATCGAATTTTTAGCCAAATGGTTATTATAATATTGTAAAACTTCCACTCAAAAAACTCACTTCTATGACGATGTATGATAATCTCCACTTAATAGTTAACAGCTCTAGAAGAAAGATTAAAACATTCAGAATTTTATCCAATAACAAAAGTAAGAGAAGGAAAGATTGGAAGAACTGCTTTAATTCAAATAATAAACGATGTAATAAGAACTAAATTACATCGAGTATCTAAAAAACCACCCTTATCATTAGGAATTGATTATTCAGGAGTTTCCAGATTTTTTAATGAAGAAATTTGTAAGAATCCCCTCATATTATTTCAATTTAGAATTTATCTGGTGTGTACATCTGTTATTTCACCCATCAAAAATAATAAGAAGTTGATGTTGACTTGGTAGATGATGAAAATGCGTTTATCAATCAAAAGGCCCCTAAACTATTGAAATATGTAGGAACCTCTTCCAATCAAAAATTCCTTCTCAATTAAAACTTAACTGAATAAGCCATTTTAACATATGAAGTACTCAAACCCCCTCCTGTTGAAGAAGGCAAAGTTCCAGAAGTGTACAAGGGTTGCTATGTACCTGATGTTGTCAAAGAACCAAAAGTTTATTTTCATAGGTTCCCCAAATTGGGATGCTATTTTGCCATGCCAATGAATTTTGAAACTTCCCTCTTTGAAGTACTGCATTTTGAATTATATTAGGATGCCTTTGATGCAGGTTTTATTAATAGGATTAAGTACAATTCTGAGGTAGAAACTCAAAAGCAAGAAATAAAAGCTAAGGAAGAAGAACATGCAGAATCTTTGTAAAATGCAGAAAACGAAGAGCAAAAACAATAATTGGAAGATGAACACTAAAATTATTTGTCTTCATTGCCACAACTCGTAGAGCCACCCTTTTTGGGCATCTAACAATAATACATTGTGTGTGGTGATACTTTAGGTTAGGACAGAAAATTGTCAGAAGAAGAGCGCAATCAATTGTATGAGGAGATTCAATAATTTGGACAAAGTTACCAAGAGAAAGAGATTGCCTTATTATCAGAAGATATCAATTAATAAATTGAATACCAAAACACTATTCCTGAAAAATTGGAAGAGAATTATCTGGATTAAGAAAATCAATTTGTAGAGTAATAAGCTGCCAGTTTGGAGGAGTTAAAGTAAACAAATGAAAGGGATTACAATTATGAAATAGAGTGCATCAAATTCGATTTTCTAAAGTAACAATTTACAGCCAAAGATTTTGCCTCTACTTTTCTCAACCTCACCAAGAGAAGAGTCATCAAATTCCCAAATATTATTAAGGCTCTATTTTATGTGCTAGGCTACAAAAAAGAAGAAATCACACAAGAAAACAAATTGAATTGGAAGATTGTAGCTTCCTATATCGATTATAGATTTTTAGCTAAATTAGCACTGATCAATCACAGAGGACCCAAAGAAGCCCCACTTTAACATGCCACTATATATCGATTAGAAAAGTTAGTCGATATCTATGATGAGGAAAAAGTTATGAATTACAATTGGGCTTTAGGATATTTACAAAGATTTCTCACCTTATACTGCAAGTTGAGAAGAGAGGATGTGGCAATCAGAAAGGAAATCTTACAGGAAAAGAGATAGTAATTGTAAAATGCCAAAGACTAATTAGCCCAGTTATTAGTATGAAATTAATCAAATATATTTAGGAATAAAAGGAAACTGATCTATAAGCAGCTAAAACAAACTTTCAAGGAGAGGAAGGTGAAGAATTTGATGAATAGAAATGGATCGAATAATGGGAATCTGAACATAATCTACCTGAAATTGGGCCTGAACCATAAGATGAAATTGATGATGACTTAGAATGATATTCATAAATTAGAAATAAACATTATATATATATATATCTAAGTTTTTGCAAATACTCATAATTTATATTTGGAAGATTACTTTTTCATTAGGATAATAATTTGAAGTAAAGTTTTAGTCTCTTAAAGTTTAATTATTTAAAAATCTAGGTATGGTTGAAAATGAGAAACAATAATTAATACAATAATTATTTATGATAAAAAAATTCTCATATTTTACTTATGAATCTCTTCCTGTTTACACAATGGTCACTTCATTTGTGTTGGATAGCAATGTAATGTAATTTTTTTTGGTCAATGTAAATTATGAAATTGAAATTAAAGCCTACATTTGCAATATCAGATGAAAATACTATGATGTCTTTTAGCAAGTATTCAAAAACTAAATTCGCCTTATAATTGAGATTGTCTGCAGAAATAGAGTAAATTGATGATACTTTACAAATTAAAAGATGGGCAACCTTCGGTATGAATTATGAAGAATTATCAAAATTACTATATCCAGATTTGCTACCAGAACAAGAATTTGTTATATGTAGATTGATTGATTATGCATTTATATAGAAAATCAATAAAAATAATTATTCGGAAAGTTGTATGACAGACATTTCGAAATAGTTTTTAAAGAAAATCTTGATCAAGAGAACCAATTGACTTATATCATAAATACAGATTAGCATGGACAATTGAGAAAACAAATAGAAGTATGAGAGTAATTTCATTTTAGAAATCATTAACATGGGTAGCAGGTTGGCACCATCCAAAGTAATTTATAAAACAATAAGAAGGATAAAGGAAAACAATTTGATTTAATTTACAATATGTAAAAACTAGAATGTGATATTTGATTTTGCTTAAATGTGATGATTTCATTAGACCAATTGATGCTTTGGAGTGAAAGCAACACCACTTGGATCTAGACTGCAGAGTACAATTTTGTCTTCTCCTGGAGCCAATTCTATTACATAGTTATCTCCAATTTCAGGTTTTAAGAACTTAACACCTTACTTATTTGATAAAGTGTTCTTTAATTTGAAAGTCTTTTGTGAAGTGTTCTTATAATAAAAATAGCCCAATCTATTAAATTAATACAAACAATGTGATACCCTTTAGAAACAACTGTTTCCATGGCACAAAATAGTCCAGTGGTTAATTGTTATAAATTCTTGTTTTCTCTGGCTACTTATAACATAACTGCTTTTCTTAAGTCAGCATCTCTAGGCACTTACTTTGGTCTCAAGAATTCAGACCCATAGACACTGAATTAATATTCATGTTCATTCCAAGTTGGAACAGCCCATTTAATTTTAATTTAAACTGAATACTTACCCTTAGTCAATTGGCCTCCTAAATGAACTTCAATGTCCTTTTATTATTTTTAATCAATGAATTAATATTCTCCTTTACCAGCATTTTTAGCCAATAAGATTCTAACATAAGAATATTCATATTTAATATCTTTGTTCAATTTGTATCTTCTCAATGCCTCTTGATGAACTGTGAAATAGTATTCGCCATCATTTGGAATCTCAATATCATATTGAATAGTTTTAGTCTTTTTGGCCATTTATTTAATAGAGTTGTATAAATATTCCTTTCTAAAATAGCCAACAAAAATTGCTTAGAAGTATCTTTAGAAATCCTTGATTTCCATAAAGAAGATGCCATCATCCTCCTTCTTTCCAAATTTGACTTATTCTTTCAAACTCTCTGTCCATAACGAACTTCCATCGCTCCAATCTCCATTCCATTCCTTATTTCCCCAAGGATTCCTAATTTTTAATAGAGTGACTTCTCCTTTGGTGGGATGAGTCACATTATAGACCTTCAATAATGAATATGCATGTCCAGCCTCCAAACCATAATTGGTATAATTTGGATTTGATCCAAAAGTACCACTAGTCATAACACACTTCATATCTGAACATTTTTGTAATTGTTATTTGAAATCAGCAGCATTAGTAAATACAACCCAAGTGGGTCCACCAGTGATACTCTTAATAACTTCTCTTGGATCGCCACCCTCTATATCTGTGTAATCTATATTCATCTTAGCCCATGCTTTTTCTAACAATGCAACCCACATTTCCGCACCTGCATTTTTAGAAAATGCTGGATTTCCCTAGCCATTAACAGGAATAAAGTCATCCAATACAACGACTTTCCATTCACCATCTAAACACAATCTTACTGCATATAATTTCTCCTTATTTGCTCTTTGACTTATGAATAGGTCCTTTATCACTTCAGGCCTATTAATAATAACAATATGAATACCATCTGCATGCTATTGTACTAATTGATGATAAAAAGTAACAATCTCCTAGAATTCCTTATTTAATATCTCTATGAGAGATCCACTTTCCCAATCCAACTCTACTGTCTTATGAATCATCTACATTAAACATCTTTAGGTTATTCTAAAATATGTCACTCATTCTTTTCCATGACAATTAGCAAAATTTCATTCCTAAACTTCTTACCGATGCTGGAAAGTCTTTATCAACAAATTCCTATTTTGTTTTTTTTAATTCCTCTCTAATCTATACTAACTCTTTGGCTCCTGTGGTATGTAAGTCAATATTAATGAAATCAGCAAAATCAACTTGATCATCTTTTACTTCCTATTGTTCAACATCTTCAACTGGTACAGGGACAGGAACAACTTCATCTTCTTTTTTTTTCTCTTCCAATTAAGATCTTATAGTATATTTAACTTATTCTTATTGTGGATTTTTGTATTGATTATCCACAATCTATTCCCATTATTGAAACAATTATCTTAAATGATCACAAGAAAATTTCAAATTTCCAATCTTATTTCTAATTGATTGATATTCTGAGGGAGTAATTGAATTGTGAAAAAATTCAATGAGCTCTTTGGTTTCTCTTTCTTCTAAGGCCAAATCTCTGTTTTTATCAAAAAATTTGAATACTCTTTCTATGTCAAGTCTTTTAGCACGATAATTTTGGATTATCACAGTGATTGTTTACAAATCTTATTTAGATAATACAAGTTCGACCTTCTCTTGATTCTCTGTAATTTTTTCTAGAATTTCAACTGTCAATCCTACCAAACTGCTGTGATCAATCAGAGCCTTTTAATAAAATCTGTCGCAATCTGTAATCGTAATTGTCGGGTCCATTTATATAATTAACTTTCTAAAATGCACTTGTGCAAGAGTTGGGCGACCAAAATCTTGAACCACCTATTTGAAGGGCTTTTGAACGGCCACTTTGTACAAGGCTTTCAANTACCACTAGTCATAACACACTTCATATCTGAACATTTTTGTAATTGTTATTTGAAATCAGCAGCATTAGTAAATACAACCCAAGTGGGTCCACCAGTGATACTCTTAATAACTTCTCTTGGATCGCCACCCTCTATATCTGTGTAATCTATATTCATCTTAGCCCATGCTTTTTCTAACAATGCAACCCACATTTCCGCACCTGCATTTTTAGAAAATGCTGGATTTCCCTAGCCATTAACAGGAATAAAGTCATCCAATACAACGACTTTCCATTCACCATCTAAACACAATCTTACTGCATATAATTTCTCCTTATTTGCTCTTTGACTTATGAATAGGTCCTTTATCACTTCAGGCCTATTAATAATAACAATATGAATACCATCTGCATGCTATTGTACTAATTGATGATAAAAAGTAACAATCTCCTAGAATTCCTTATTTAATATCTCTATGAGAGATCCACTTTCCCAATCCAACTCTACTGTCTTATGAATCATCTACATTAAACATCTTTAGGTTATTCTAAAATATGTCACTCATTCTTTTCCATGACAATTAGCAAAATTTCATTCCTAAACTTCTTACCGATGCTGGAAAGTCTTTATCAACAAATTCCTATTTTGTTTTTTTTAATTCCTCTCTAATCTATACTAACTCTTTGGCTCCTGTGGTATGTAAGTCAATATTAATGAAATCAGCAAAATCAACTTGATCATCTTTTACTTCCTATTGTTCAACATCTTCAACTGGTACAGGGACAGGAACAACTTCATCTTCTTTTTTTTTCTCTTCCAATTAAGATCTTATAGTATATTTAACTTATTCTTATTGTGGATTTTTGTATTGATTATCCACAATCTATTCCCATTATTGAAACAATTATCTTAAATGATCACAAGAAAATTTCAAATTTCCAATCTTATTTCTAATTGATTGATATTCTGAGGGAGTAATTGAATTGTGAAAAAATTCAATGAGCTCTTTGGTTTCTCTTTCTTCTAAGGCCAAATCTCTGTTTTTATCAAAAAATTTGAATACTCTTTCTATGTCAAGTCTTTTAGCACGATAATTTTGGATTATCACAGTGATTGTTTACAAATCTTATTTAGATAATACAAGTTCGACCTTCTCTTGATTCTCTGTAATTTTTTCTAGAATTTCAACTGTCAATCCTACCAAACTGCTGTGATCAATCAGAGCCTTTTAATAAAATCTGTCGCAATCTGTAATCGTAATTGTCGGGTCCATTTATATAATTAACTTTCTAAAATGCACTTGTGCAAGAGTTGGGCGACCAAAATCTTGAACCACCTATTTGAAGGGCTTTTGAACGGCCACTTTGTACAAGGCTTTCAAAACCTGATCATCAGATCCCATGAATTATTAAAAATAAATATCTTCTCTAATAAATAACAACACTTGCTTTAATATTGAATTAAATTATATTCATTAATATGTGTTTATCTTTTGACTCTATTTAGTCTTTCTAATTAAGCAAGATACTTTGGATATTCTGGTTTTTTCATTGGAAATATGGGTCATTACTTTTTAAAACGAAGGACAGAAGGAACTGCCCAACTCGCCTGACTAAGGAGCACTTGAGTGGGGATTTTTTCTGATACGAAGTTAACTAAGCTTGCTAATAATTGAGTTTTTAATATTTAATTATTTTAGCGCATTTTAAATAAGAAAAATAGTTAATGAGCTTTCTTATATTAAATTAATAATAAAATGAAAAAATTTAATGGAGGAAAGAAATAGTCTTTTGTGCCTCCAGTTGTGACTATAGAATTTAGAATTCAAAAAAGAAATCAAAGTATGAATATCATTTATGTCTATTGTCTAGTTGCTGATCTAATTTAAGTTAATTCTCTGCTTAAAGAAATCAATGAGTAGATCATTTTGGCCAGAGTTAAAGAAATTGAGAATACAATTTATTTAGAGCATGCAGCCAATGTTCATCTGTACAGCAGTAAAATTGAAAAGGTTGTTTCACTATTTAAAGGCATAAATTAAAATAATTATATAAATATTGCTTAAAAATTAAAAAAGCAAGAACTTGCTACTAAATCCATCCTCAAATTATTGGAAAAGAAGAAATAACTAAAAGATTACGATTAAGATATTTTAAATAAAACTCTTTAGAAATCAGAATATGATCCTCTCAATACCAAATAAATCAGTTCAAAAAAAACAGTTTTGGTCGCCAACAAAATCACAATTGTGAAATCTAAAAATTCAACATCGGATCAAAAGGGAAACTTTGCAGCATAGCCAAATATGGTTTTTGCAGGGTCAATTCAGCCTATAGAACCAATTCAAGAAAAAAAGGTGAAGATTGAAAAAAGCGAAAAAGAAGATGACGATGATGAAATAGACATAAGGATAGATGACGGAATGTAAGGAGCTGCATCAATAGCTGTCCATTGCTCAAAACAATTAATTTTATTTGATAACAAAATTAAAATACCCGTTGTTCTATTAGTTCAATTCCTTCCTCAATATAGAGTGCTATGTGAAAAGGTTGATTTTACCAAACTTCATAATGCCAAAGAAACAATTCAATTTTTATCTTCGAATCTTGAAAGAAAGATCCTATTTGGATAGGTCATACTGAAACCCAGTGAGTACACCAAAAACTTGAGGGATTTGAGTGAAAAATTGATTAAGTAGGATAAAATAGTTGCTTAAAAGTTTGACAAAGACAATGCATCTTTCTTAATCTTGCATAAGAATCAATTGGAATAAATTCTGAAAGCTAGAAAATAAAGTCTAGCATTTGATGCATCTGACATGGTGATACGAGAGTGGACAAAGTAATAATCTTATTTGGAATGGTGGGCATTGAATAAACAAGATCATAATCTTCACTTTTTGATATCATATAAAAGTTTAACAAATTCTAATGATCAAATTTATGACAAAGTCATACTTTAAAAACCGTCTTGTTATCCTAAAATTTAATAAACAATTGATTCATTAAAGTAGAAGAAAGACATAGATGATTTATTATAAGGGTTCCTTTAATAAGATCTTTTTTAGAGTTCATAATTGGGTGATATGCTTTAAGAACCTAGTTAAATTCAACAAGTTGATTAACAAATATAAGAGGAAGTAGAGAAAGTGTAACAGGATTTAGAAAAAGAATAGCAAAGCAATAAACAAGTCGACAAATTTGAAACCAATGGAATTAGCGAATAGGAAAATAATCAAATCCATTTCAATATTAAAATATCAGATCTAACTCTGTAATTATCGAAAGAAGACTATTTCTGATATTTTGATCAAATATAAGTGAAGAATAATTAAATATTATCTAATTATAAATAATTTAATAAATTTTATTGAATGACTAAATCCCACTTACTAATACTAAATGTATTTTAAGTCACAACTATTAGTCATAAAGTGAATACTATTATTAGCTAGGCAGTCTTGGTCTCAATCTTCTGCTAGCCTTTTTTTATAATAGCAACAAAAATATATATTAATAAATGCCAAGAAAATCATTTTATATATTGGATGCCTTTTTTATCTGAAAGTGTTTTCATCTTTTGATAGGTTTATCAAATAGAATTGGTGTAGAAATATTTTGGGTCTAGATTATTATTTTTACATCAATATATTTATATTAAAAATTGAATTTGATAATGGAAGGTAAACATAGTTTCTATCTAGACATCTTTAAATCGCCCTCTAATAAATTCTTCATAATTAAATACAAGACCAGAGGACAAGCTGATTAAAGTCTAAATAGCAAAGTGATTTTCCTCCAAAAGAGATTTGATTAGTAATTAAGGAATGCAGCCTAAGTATGCGAGTAAGTGGGAGTCTTTTTGAGTTGTCTGGATCAACAATCATTTATTGCTTTTGGTACAATTTAGAATGAACCAACTGATTTTGAATATCTCACAGTATTTCTAAAAAGTTAACTCATTAGGAGGAATAGTAGCAGAATTTGAGTAAATTGCAGGAGTTTTTCTAATCATTTGTGAAGGTAGAGTGGATATTTAAAGGTGTGCTTAATTTTGAGAAAACTAAAAATATTAAAAATGATTTGAATGAAATGAAACCAGTCAATCATTGCAAGGATGTCTAAGAATTGACGTGTCAGACTGCAGAATAAGTAAAATATAATGTATTAATCAAAGTTATTATCATTACTTTAAAAATAAGAACCTTATAAGCCTTAATTTTAATGGGGTGTTGTTGTAATACCATAAAAAATTAATGATATAATCAACTAAAATCTTAGACCTCATGATAATGATAAATAAAAAAGTAGTAAGAGTAGAAGTCGACACAAGGAAAAGGAAAAAGATAAAGAAAAAGATAGAAGAAAATCAAGCAAGGATAGAGCAAAAGAGAAGTATGATCGTAATAAAGACAGAAGAAGCAAAGAAAGAAGTTAAAGAAGAAGTAAAGAGAAAAAAAAAAAAGCAATGAAAAAAAAGATAACAGAGAAGATATAAAAAGCCAAAATATATCAGAGTTTGTTGTTTATGATAGTATTCTAATACATAATAGATAATAGATAAGGATTAAAGAGATAAAGAAAGACAGACAAGAGAAAAAGAATACTAGAAAGAAAAAGATTAAAGAGAACAAAGAGAAAGAGAGAGAGCAAAAGAATAAATAGAATAGAGAGAAAGAGACAGAGAAAAAGAGTAACGATAACAAAAGGAACAAGAAAAAAGAGAAAAAGAAGAAAAAGAAATGATAGAAAAATAGAAATAAAAAGAGAAAGAAAGAGAAAAAGAAAAAGAAAAGGAGAGGGAAAGAGAAAAAGAAAGGGAAAGGGAAAAAGAGAAGGAGAAGGAGAAAGAGAAAGAAAGGGAAAAAGAGAGAGAAAGAGAAAAAGAGAAAGAGAAAGAAAAAGAGAGAGAAAGAGAAAGAGAAAAAGAAAAAGAGAAGGAAAGTAACAAAGATAGAGAAAGAGAAAAAGATAGAGACCGATAAAGGGATAAAGACAAAGATTATAATAGAGATAGAGAAAAATTTGATAAAAGCAAATATGATAAGAAAGATGACCATAGATAAAAAGAAAGGAATGAATCTAAACATGATTATGATAAAAAATAAAAGGATAAAGAGAGAGAAAGGGATAAAAATAGAGAGAAGTCGAAGGAGAAGTCTTTTGAGAGATCGGATAGAAAAGACAGAGAGAGAAGGAAAGAGAAAGAGAAAGACAGATCGAGAGGTGGAGACAAAGAGAGAGATAGAGATTACAATAATAAGAAACACAAGGATTATAGAAGGGAAACAACCAAAAAGAGAAGTGAGGAGAGATCTAAGCCTCGATCTAGGAGTGAGGACAGACGCTAAGGTCATAATTCAAATAAAAATAAGAAGTTCGTTGATTTAGCTTCATAAAGCGAACAACCAAGAGAATTCTAGTACCAAAACATTAATAAATAGTTCATCTGTGTCATTATCATCCCATAAATAAGAGTAAGAGCAACAAGATCTTGAATTGGAATAAAATTCTGTGAGACCTGAATAGAAGGACCAAGTAGATCTTGGAGTTATTTTGAATGTTTTGGATTCCCCTAAACCAAATGCACAATAATTTCAACCTTTAATTTAACCAGTTATAATTACACCAGCTGAATAAATAGTATTAACAAAACAAAGTGAATCCCAACAATCAAACATTCTAAATAGTGATTCCAAAAAAAGGATATTATTAGTCAATTAAGAGAAAAGTTTAAGTGTGCCAGATAATGTTGAATAGTAAAAATAATTAAATCCAGGCTCAATGAAGATCATAAAAGATGCNAAAAAAAAAAAAAGCAATGAAAAAAAAGATAACAGAGAAGATATAAAAAGCCAAAATATATCAGAGTTTGTTGTTTATGATAGTATTCTAATACATAATAGATAATAGATAAGGATTAAAGAGATAAAGAAAGACAGACAAGAGAAAAAGAATACTAGAAAGAAAAAGATTAAAGAGAACAAAGAGAAAGAGAGAGAGCAAAAGAATAAATAGAATAGAGAGAAAGAGACAGAGAAAAAGAGTAACGATAACAAAAGGAACAAGAAAAAAGAGAAAAAGAAGAAAAAGAAATGATAGAAAAATAGAAATAAAAAGAGAAAGAAAGAGAAAAAGAAAAAGAAAAGGAGAGGGAAAGAGAAAAAGAAAGGGAAAGGGAAAAAGAGAAGGAGAAGGAGAAAGAGAAAGAAAGGGAAAAAGAGAGAGAAAGAGAAAAAGAGAAAGAGAAAGAAAAAGAGAGAGAAAGAGAAAGAGAAAAAGAAAAAGAGAAGGAAAGTAACAAAGATAGAGAAAGAGAAAAAGATAGAGACCGATAAAGGGATAAAGACAAAGATTATAATAGAGATAGAGAAAAATTTGATAAAAGCAAATATGATAAGAAAGATGACCATAGATAAAAAGAAAGGAATGAATCTAAACATGATTATGATAAAAAATAAAAGGATAAAGAGAGAGAAAGGGATAAAAATAGAGAGAAGTCGAAGGAGAAGTCTTTTGAGAGATCGGATAGAAAAGACAGAGAGAGAAGGAAAGAGAAAGAGAAAGACAGATCGAGAGGTGGAGACAAAGAGAGAGATAGAGATTACAATAATAAGAAACACAAGGATTATAGAAGGGAAACAACCAAAAAGAGAAGTGAGGAGAGATCTAAGCCTCGATCTAGGAGTGAGGACAGACGCTAAGGTCATAATTCAAATAAAAATAAGAAGTTCGTTGATTTAGCTTCATAAAGCGAACAACCAAGAGAATTCTAGTACCAAAACATTAATAAATAGTTCATCTGTGTCATTATCATCCCATAAATAAGAGTAAGAGCAACAAGATCTTGAATTGGAATAAAATTCTGTGAGACCTGAATAGAAGGACCAAGTAGATCTTGGAGTTATTTTGAATGTTTTGGATTCCCCTAAACCAAATGCACAATAATTTCAACCTTTAATTTAACCAGTTATAATTACACCAGCTGAATAAATAGTATTAACAAAACAAAGTGAATCCCAACAATCAAACATTCTAAATAGTGATTCCAAAAAAAGGATATTATTAGTCAATTAAGAGAAAAGTTTAAGTGTGCCAGATAATGTTGAATAGTAAAAATAATTAAATCCAGGCTCAATGAAGATCATAAAAGATGCGCCCTCCAAAAGTATATAATAAATAGCGAATCAACAATGTTAAGCAAAAAAGTCAGTGGTAATTTAAGACTCGAAATAAGTATTCATTATTAAATATTCAAAAGGGTAATGGAAGTTAAATTAGAGATAGGATAATACTTAAAAAGAAATGAAATTTAATTTAACATTCAAGCAATAACTTATTTTTTACATACATATTAGTTTTTAAATCATAATATATCAGATTGGTTATCCTGAGTGTTTAAAGTTTTATTAATTTATATAAACTCTAACTACAACTCAATAATTAATCAGAATGAGGGAAAGCAAACATACAGAATTCTAGTTTGATGATGATTCCAAGGCTAGATCGTTGCCTCAACCGATAGATCATATTAACAAAAGTTATTCTTTGGAAAATGACATGGTTTTAGGATGGGTTCCTGCATAGTATTAGGAGGAAATAATAAATGTGTAGTTCTATAATGAATTAACCGATCAACTCATTGAGTTTTACAATTAGAATGACCCAAATAAGATAGTTTATCTAGGTTATAGGCCAAATGAAGCAATGCAATTTCATAAATAATTCTCTGCATAATCTAATTATAAAATCAGAAATGCTAAAAATTACAAACTCAAATCCTATCAAAACTAATAGTTATTTGTAGGAATGAATCCAAATATCGAAAATTAAATAAAATTCAATTCATAATTTGAAAGTGGGAACTTAGATTTGGTAATTTAAAAGTCAGAATTAGAGTACGATCTATACATGAGAGTTGATACAAATACTAAAGGTCATACGCTTTGGTATTACTTTGAAGTTACAGGTTTGAGAAATTTTGATTCAATTAAATTTAACATTTGCAATTTTCGTAAAAAAAGGTGCTTGTATGAACGTGGGATGAAGCCTTACATCTAAAGGGATTCTTAAGAATGGTAGTAAGAGGGAGAAAATGTGAAATATGGGGCATATAAATGTTAATTTAAAGAAATTCAAAAGTAATATTATTGTCTGACTTTTACTCTAATGAATAAAAAACGGGATGATAAAATAAGGATAGCCTATTGTGTACCATACACATTAAGCAAATTAAATAATTTTATAAAATCCTTAAATTCGTAGTATTTGGAATAATCCTTTTTTTGTTACTCTTTAAGTGGAGTCTACATTCCAAAGTTAACTTTCTCTAAGGGAAACATCTTAAAGAAGAAAGTAATAGTAATATAAGCTCGAATTCATCCTGGAGAATCAAATTCATCATGGGTAATGTAGGGTTTATTAGAGTATTTGAGTTCAAGTCAAGCAGATAAATTATTAGATTAGTAAGCAATAAAATAAATATAAGATTAATTTTTGTAATCGTTCCTATGATGAATGTTGATGGAGTAATATTTGGTAATTATAGGACTGGTTGTGCAGGGAGAGATTTGAATAGGCAATTTAGAGATAGTTGTAAGAAATTGTATCCGACGGTTTATGCAATGAAACAATTGATTTATGACTTATATTAATTATATGGAGATCAAATAGTTGGTTTTATAGATATTCATGGACATTCAGGTATTATATTTCCATTTTATTAGAGCCAAAAAGAATGCATTTTTATATGGACCCGAATTTTAATTGTGGAATTGTAATTATTATAAATCTAGATTATTTGCTAAAATCTTATCACTCAAAACTCAAGTTTTTCGTTATTATTCTTGTCTATTTAGAATAAACAAATGTAAAATAAATACTGCAAGAGCTGTCTTTTGCGAAAAATACGAATTTATTAATTGTTTTACTTTAGAAGTGTCAAACAGTAGTTATTACTATGAGTAAACTACAGAGAATTTCTCTGAATAGAAATGGATTTAGTTAGGCTAAATAATTGGTGAGTCATTTAATGATTTTATCATTCATTTTTAAGAAATAGATACTTTGTTTTGCGATGTAAAGGATAAGAAAGTAAACAAATAAACAAAAAAAAAATATAATACTCAAATAAATGAAGAAAAATAGTAGAATCTTTATAATATTTGTTAAAATTCAAAATACTCTGAGTTATTTGAAGAAATGAAGAATGATTAACCAAATTTATCTTTCTCTGAGGGTGAATCTGATAGTGAACGGGAATCAGATGATTTAGATGATGAAATCTTGAATTATGTAGTATTGACTTCAAATAAATAAAAAAAGATCAAAAAGTCTAAAAAATCTTTAAAAACCAATGAATATAAAAAGCAATCAATCAGAAGTGAAAATAGCTCAGCAGTAAACAATCATACAGTGTTTTTGAATAAAAAATAATTTCTGGAAGACTAACCAAATAATGTTTTCTAACAAACTTAAAATTAAAACATTTATAGGAGAACAAGTTATAAATAATACAAATAAGATGATAAAATTAAAGATAATTAAACTTTTACCTTGACCAGCAAAAATTCCCTGGAATCTAGTAATATAAAAACATTTAGAGCATCTTATGCTAGTGGACAACAACCTAAATTTGAATAAATAGGAGTCCAGAACAGAAATAAATCTCCGATAAAATTAAAAACATTAATACATGAAGCAAAAATGGGGGAGTCAACAGAATTGAATTGCGAAATTCATGAGGACAATATGGCAGATCAAATTTTTCAACCTTACATTAAACGACCATTGTTGAATTAAACAAATAATACAAACATTAAGTTTGGAAATATTTGCTCTCCCACAAAAGATTTCGTGTTTTTAAACGAATTGAATACTAGAATAATGTAAAATACTCATTTTCCTACAGATTAAGGTTGCACTTATAACGTAACTGCAATCTATCATGGAATAAATAAACATTAAAAAAAACCTAATAATTATAGGTTTAATAAAATGTAAAAATTCTAAAAAACATAAAATCCATCAATTAATTTAAGAAATACTCTCTAAGTGTAGAAATTAGGAACAACAACAGAGGATTCTTTTGGAATAGTAATAAAGCCTAAGCTGTTTTCATCACCTTAGATCGATGAAACATAAGTTTAAACGGAATAATCTAAAAGTGCCATGAATTAATATTAGAATACTTCAATAAGTTAAAAACCATAAAAGCAATTGGTTCCATCTTCATTTTATTCAATTAAAAAGCATTGGACCAACACTAGAGGTATTCACTAATACCTTAATCTTAATAATTGAAAAAATGAAGTATAATTTTGTTTATAATAAAAATTTTGATATATATTAATTGGGTCACACTTTAGAAAAAAACCTTTTTTCTTAATTTATTCTTTCTAAAGAGAGTTTCTGTCCTGAAGCCTTATAAAAATTTTGTTTTTAATTAAGCATTTACCGAGATCTAGGGTTATTTTTAACTGACTAAATCAATGGAATAATATCCTAGGATTTAGCGGATCTAGATTAATTGATTTTAATACCTTCCTTAACTATGATATGATGCAACACATGGAGTGTTAGGCTATAAATTTGTATGTGAAATCCATTCTTTATAGACAGATTTTGTTTGAGCTTCTTAAGGAGATTCGTAAAAAAAAGAAGAGCCAAAAATTACTGGTAAATTCATAGATTTACCTTAAGCAATTTTTTTTCTAAAATCTTATTCTCCTCTTTAAGACTCCTTTTCGTCTAAATTCATTTTTAAAGGATCAGGTTTAAATGGAGGTTTTACTTTTTTAAGTGCTAATTATTTAAAATCGATTTAAGAGAAAAAAGGATGTTTCAAAATTTCTTAAACACCTCCATTTGCACCTAATCTCTAAATTGGATCTTTTTCAAGAAGTGCAATCAGTAAACTTTTGACTTCTCTAGATAAAGTCAACTAAGAAAATTGTAAAATTATACATCATTTGGAAATGACAATTTAGAGTACAGAATGTCTTAGTAAATTTGATTGGTATTTGTTGAATAGTAGGGAGGTAATCCTGTAAGTAATTCATACAGCAATGCTCCCAAACAATAAAAGTCTACTGTTTATGAATGTCCCAATTTTAGCAACATCTCTGGAGCCATGTATTCTGGAGATCCACAAAAACTGTATGCTTTTTCTTCTCTTCCAATTTCAGGTTTACTTAAACCAAAATCGGCTATTCTAACATGACCTTCAATGTCCATTAAAATGTTTTCAGGTTTGATATCTCTATATAATATGTTTAGAGAATGAATCTCTTATAAACCCTCAGAATAAGAATTAATTTACGTACCAAGCAAATTTCTGAAATATAAAAGCAAGCTTATTCTTCACTCATTCTTTTAATCTATTTAAGTTGAAAAAAGAGTTCACCTCCTTGACAAAATTCCAAAACGAAAACTACAAACTATCTCGATTCAAAAGCATATGATAAATGTAATAAAAATGGGCTGTTGAGTAGTGTCATTATATTTCTTTCATTTAAAACAATTTACTATTTCTTTTTTGCAATAATAAACTCTTTATCAATTAATTTCAAAGCGTAGAATTTTCCAGTATCCTTCTTTCTAACGAGATACACTAAAGAAAAACCTCCTACTCCGATATTTTTTAAAAATATAAAGTCTTTAAGACCCACTTTTGGTTCAGGTGAAGCCTATAACAAGAATGCTTCTAGTTTCAACCCTGAATTCATAAACACATTAAAGGATAAGTCTGGTTATGCGATGTAATAATCTATAGAGATCGAATGTTATTAAGATACAAAACTAACTATTTAATTGACTGATGGTTTATCTTTAAGATTAGCATAGCATTCTTGTGGATTAGCGAATTCTAAATCATGTAATCTTTGTAAGATTTGAAACCAGATTTATCTCATATTAAGACTAAGGATATATAACTATAGACTTACTGAGAATCGAAATAGAAGTAAAAGTCTTAATTTCCAAATCTGACTACAACATTATGATGTTTGACTTATTGCATTTATTCATCCGGACCTAAACTTTTGGCTTTGCTTAATACTGAAGCAGGATTGCCCATATCTGTTTTGATTGTCCTTTTTACTGATTCCATGGCTTCAATCGTGACAGATTGGGCAGATCGCTTTTATTATCCACCTTAATTGTTAACGAAATTGGCATTAATGAAGAACTTATTTTATTATGCAATAGAGTTCTGCGTAGATCTTTGTGTCTATTTGCTCAATTGTTATTTCATTCTAATGTCATTCTTTTTCTGTTTGTATAGGTAGAATTTTTCCAATGCATTATCTGGTATTTAATCAATTGATTGCTATTTACTTTGCGAGGTTTTTCGATGACTGGGGGTTGTGTGCAATTGATTCATTTGGCTTTTTCGAGAAAAGGAATCTTAGGATCCTATTCTTAATACACCTTGATGTTGCATGTTAAAATTTTGTAGTTTAATTTAATAAAATTAGGAAAAGCAATATAAAAAAATTGATTGTTCTTCAATACTTGTTAAGAGAATTTTCAAATATTTTATATAATTCGAGTAATTATTTTTAATCCAAGTACCGTTTTCAGAATTGAGTGATCTCTGTTTTAAACTTTTAATATTTAAATTTAATAACGTATCTAAATTTTAAAATTTGATAATGCCAATTCTTTAATCGAACAGGAAAATACTAATGAAATAATCATAAACACTCCAAAATTAATAACTTAATTATGAACAAAATACTTAATTTACTTTTGGAGTCTTTCTCAGCATTATAAAACATTAAAAGAGACTTTAAATATTTGTTTGTTGGGTAGTTTGATATGATGTTTTTCTGATACTAGTTAATAGGGCATATCTTATTTAATTATAATATAATAACAATTCAGCAATCGGATATCTGCTGTTTATTTGGTTAAGAGGACAAGCTTTCCATTGATCTGTTCGTGGAACTTTAAGCTAAGAATTCATCAGCCATCTTATTCCAGAAGCAAGCCGATTTTATTACTACTCTATCTACTATTGATGTTTTTTTTTTCGGAATAATGAGGATTGAAGTTTGATCTCTAACAGTTGTGTGAAGTCGTTGTTACCAGAAGTTTAGAGAATTCTCTATAATATTATCCATAGATGCAATTAATTTCTGTATTTATATTATTATTTTTAATACCCTAATGTGTAAAACTTAATGAGTACTAAAATTTCTAGAAGGTCCAGAACATTTATAAGAAAGTTAAAATACTAAGAGTTTGGTTTGAAATCTGAATTATTTCAATTGTTTTTAGTACTTAATTTGCTTTTATTATTTCCAATATTTAAATAATAATAAATATTTATTTTATTATTTATTATGCTAATGATGAGACATTTGATTATGTGACATTCATGATCTTTGATCTAATCTTCTCTCTGAAATTGAAATTTGCAAATTTCTTAATATAATAATTATATATATAATATAATTAACAATGGAATAATAACCCCTTAGCAATAATAGAGTAAAAACTCATCTTAGTTTACAATTAGTCAAATATGAATGAGGATTAATTAACATAAAAAAGAGAGTTGACATCATATGAATCTTGCCTCGATTGTTGTGGAAATGTTTCTGGATGTTTGAGAGTATAACCAAACAATTGATTTAAGGCTTGGCTCCCTTGCATATTTTGTTGTTGCGAAAATCCCTTCTACGCAGTCCAATAGAGTTCCTTAGGATTGGTTGAGAAGTTCGGTAAATACCACCGAAGTTTACCACCAGGTTTAAATTAAATTAACCCTTGCACTGTAATTTTTGTAATTGATTGCACAAGGATACCGTCATACAAGTGGATATGAGAACAAGAGTATTGGATTTAGATAGGTAAATCATCCTAACAAAGGATAACATATAAGTTAACATAGATACATGCATGTATTTTAGAATTATCGGTAGGTAACTAATATTCAAACATTTTAAATAGATGCCGTACGCGCAACCTATAGGGTATCAAGACTGACACAATCTGTTAAGGATATGACATACGCAGCTTTGAGGTAAGTTTGCGGAGAACACCAATTGTAAGATTTATTGGAACATAGAGAAATGGTCTAAGATTCAATTGAGGCTTATTTAGATAAATAAACAGATCAATGGGGAATATATATTGAAGAAGTTTTCATCAAAGATATGGTCTTAACTCCACAGATGCAATCTGATTTGGCAGCCGCAGCCAAAAATAAGAGAATCGCATAGGCAAAAGTCATTTCTGCATAAGCTGATGTTGAAAGTGCTAAATTGATGAAAGAGGCTGCCCAAGCCCTTGATAGCAAGGCTGCAATGTAGATTAGATTCTTGGAGACACTTCAACTATTAGCTAAGGGACCATCCTAAAAATTGATGTTCCTTCCTCTAAGTCCAGAATCATAAGGAGCTCATAATGGATGAGTTGTTATGATAATAAGATAGATATAATTCAAACTTTAAAATCTTGAGGAGAAATCCATTTTTCTTTTTCTGTGATCCTAAATTGATGTTGTGGTACTGATTAATTTCTACTGATGTATTATGTAATCAAATTAGATTATGCAGGAGTGCCACAACGAAATTGTTTAGGTCCGATGATTTTTTTGCTTCTCTCTCTCTCCTCTTCCAATTCAAGTTACTTCTGTGTTTTGTATACATTATCAAATTATGTCTCGATTTGCATTGGATTTTAGTAGATTTTTCTAAAAGCTAACTTTTTATTCCAAGACTCTTTTTAACTGTGATTTGACAACTTAATTCCCCTATTTTGAGACAAGAAGCCAGGCACCCATATTTGTTTGTTATTTGATTCAACTAAGGAATCGTCGATTGATGGGTGAAGTAACTTCATAATCTCCCCAGAAGTTTTATGGAATTAGGGTTTTTATTCAATTGGATCATCAAATTAAGTTAATGTTTAACCTTTTAAAGGGGAATTTAAGCCATTTTGAGAATTAGCAAATGAAACAAATTTTCGAGATTAATTGTTCGAAGTTCTAGCAGTTTATCTATAAGAATTATCATTCTAAATAGAATAATAGTTATACTGATAACATTTTATCTAACTCTTTGGTTGGCAATTTTTACATTTACTATTTGAATCTTCCCTTACCAATAGCATTATTTACAACGACATCTAATTTATTCGATTTCTTGGCAGCATAACCAGCATGATGAAATTCTGTAATCACATTAAATTTTATTGTTTTTTAATGAGCTTAATATTTATTTTTACTCATATGTTCCAGAAATATGTCCATAGCATTATCATTTTGCTTAATTGATGCAATTTCAATTGGTATTGAGTGAGCCTATCCTGAACATAATTTAGTCAATTGATATCCCATGAAATTCTTCAGGACCACAGTTGTATCCTTGTATTTTCTTTTTATAGCAAATTGTGTCCCTATAATGTTGTCTGATATCTGTATGATCAAAGGGCCTTTAAATAGAAACTTTCTATATACCTTTAGTGCAATCAGCCAATGTTTAAAATGTCTTCTTTGGATTCACAAAGTTGAATGGATGCACATCCCAAGAATTCTTATAAGGGACAACAAATTCAAATGGTACATCATTAAATAAGAAATGATGCATTTGATTTTTTCTTAAAGAACAAACAATTTCGTTTTCCTTGGACACATAAAGAGCATCCAGTTCTTTCATTCCTTTAACCTTGTATTGAGGTGCTTTCATTATGTATTTACCAATTGTTTTAAATTCCTCAGCAGCTTTTCTAAAATGAATTCCAGCATTTCCTTTGCTTATCCACTCCCCTGTATCATAATTGAATCCATATAAATCTCCTGTTACATTGTCAAGAAAGAAATCTGTCTGTTTTATATCAGTCAAGTCCTTTTTGATTTTCGAGAGATCGCCCAATTGTCCTCCATTTAATCCATTAATAACGCTTATTTACTAGTAAATATCATTATTAATACACACTCAACATTTGATGCTATCAAGAAAACCAGACCTTACATGGCAAATGAAGAGGCAAAGAGGATCTTGTTACTTCTGAGACACATCCTTAGCAAAATTAAATACTAATTCATATTGAATTGAATACTTTATATGCATTAGGAGACCAAGGTCTAAGATTTGCATCTCCTTCAAAAAATATAATATCTATTGAATCGAACATTTTCCCACATTCAACTCTCACAAAAGAGCTATCAATTTCATACAACAAATCGTCAATAGAATCTCTGTCTCGTATAATGAAATCAATTTCAGTATCTATCATCTCCTTCTTACTGAGTAAAGCTTCTTTGATTATCAATTTGTATTGCTCAAAGTTTTTCATTCCTTTGTAACTCTTTCCATAACCATTTATGATAAGAATTTTCATTTAATTAATTATATAATTTTTACAGTTTTAAGAAATTATCATTAGGAATGAACATGAAATTCTTATTGTATCCATATTAGTTCATGGGAAATATTCAATTAATTAATTTCAATTATTTTTTTTGATTCTTTGATAGTTTATTCAAAGATAACTGCATTGCCATAGTAAATTCAAAATAACACCTTGATTATGGATTTAATTTATTGAATTTTTATAAGATATCTATTATTAAAAATCTCATAAAAATTTATGGTTACATAACAAAACTCATAATTCATTGATCATTTTTCTCACATCATCATGAGTTAATTTTCTTGAGCTTGTCAATAATTTGGCTAGATCCATTACATTTTTATAGTGAGTGAATGAAAAATCGATACTTTTGTTTTTAACAAACTTATTAGCCCAAGTATCAAATAATGATAATACATCTTCTGCACGATTAGCCATCACAAATGTCTTTGCATAATGATTTCTGTTTTTAGGTTCTCCTGGAAAAGCAATTACAAGGTGCAATAAAATAATTCCAATGGCATAGAATTCATCTGCCATGCCATAATGAGAATCCTTAATATAATTCGCAGTTTAATATCCACAAGTGCCTGTTGTTATGGTATTTTAAGAAGTAATAGAATTGAGCTCTTCTTAGGGAAGTCTTTCATCAGTCATTGTGGATAGCTTTTCTTCTCTAACATCTTTTCCCTAATCAAAATCTGCTAAAACAACCTAACCAGTTTATTTGTAACATATTTTACTTATAAATCTCCTTTGATGTTGATAGTGACAAAAATGTTTTCAGGTTTTAAATCCCTATGTATAATTCCTCTTTAATGAATGTATTCTAGACCATCTAATATTTGATTTAAAATGGATTTAATTTTATGTATTTTTTCAGCATTTTACATAACATTTAAATAATAATAAGAAAATGTTAACAAGTCAGTTGGTTAATATTTATAACCAGGAAAGGAACAATATTCAAGTTACATATATAGATAATAGCCATCGTTTGTTTGTTCAATCCACCATGCAAAAAGTCTTGAATTACTAAGAAACAAATACCTTAGGATATTTGGATGAGTTAACTTAGAAAGTATTTTAGCTTCTCTGATTTTTCGAATGTCTGGGGTTATTGGAGTATTTGATGCAGTTGTAGAAAATACAGAAAAAAAATCAAGTTGAGTGGCTTGAAGTTTGCTCTAGAATTTAAGTTAGATCAATTCTTACTCGTTTTAAAGCATAGATTTAATCATCTTCTGGTCTGTACACAAAGAAGATCGATACTCCACTCCTTAGTTCGTCTTGATTTGTTTAGGACAGTATTATATAGTCATTAAAAAATTTGTTATTTCTAATAAATGCACTTCTAGGATCATATAGTTTTTATGCTGGTATGATTTGCTAAAGAGAATCTATTGCAAAGAATGTTAAGGTGATTTTAAGAGGAATCTTTTTGAATTATAAATTAATTTTCTTTCTGTTTATTAATTCTATTATTGATTTTAGAATAAAAGCATAGGCTGTTGATTTTATTTGTCCAGTTGATGTGATGAATCCGATATTGATATCTTAATAAAATATTTTAATCAATTTATCACAAGCCTCTTTAAATTGTTGTTTATTTTCTAGTTTCTATAATTGCAATAAGATATTTCTAATTGCCTTCTTTATTGCTTTCTCGACATTCATAAGATGTTTAAGAAATGGATCATCATTTGTAAAATCCATTCTTATCTAAGATATTATTAACATTTATGAATATTCCTTGCAGTCATTGTTTTAGATAAACTCTTATCTTTTTTGCAAACTATCATCCTATGCTAATATGCTATAATCATACAAGCATCTTTTAAATTTATGTTTAATCCGGTTATGAAACTATCTAATCAAAATGTCTTTCCTCTTCTGGCACTTCCTCAATAACTTTAAACCCATAGAATTAATCTATTATTGAGTCAATTTTCGCCTTTTCATTATTACTATTCATTATAATATTAGTTATATTAAATTGAATAATAATAATATATAATATCAAATAAATTTCAATAAAAAACAATTGATAACAATTCAGATTTAAAAAGAAAGTTTAGATATAATGATATTTAAATTATCTCGCAAAACTAGTATGACCTTTTTAATCCTTTAAAGTACTATTAGGCAAACTTAATTTTAAATGGTAGTTTTTCAAATGGAATTTACAATCATTAAGCTTAAATCTGTTCTATAAAAAAGCAAAAATGAATATTATTTTGTTTTTGACAATGAATAATTTTATAAGAATTTTTCTATTAATTTTATTATTTAATATGAGAAAATTAGAAAATTATACCGGGGAGTAAGCTAGAGCTTATAAGAAATTCGCTTAAAAAGCACAAGGAAGCAGAGCTGACTTTGAGGCAGATTGTAAAATTTTCATTTTATTTTAAGTAAATTTTAATGAGGCTCCGAGTAAATTTGTGAAATCGAATGAGTCAAAGTAAACTCTGAAGTCAATTAAAGATTAAATAGATTATTTTGGATATGAAATTGAACCTTTTAATATGAAGAATGAGCGAGATGTGGGTAAGTTTGATGATGGTGGATATTTTGTATTTGATAAAGCAAAAGACAAATCAGTAAAGTATAAATCATTTTTTATTAGTGATGCTTGGTTAGATTAATTAGATTAAAGTAACATGTTCTAAGAGCTTCAAGAAAAGGCTTAAGCCGAAAACTCCAAAAAAATATAGAAATAATTAAAGGAAGCTAACAAAAATTATGAAAGAAGAATGTAGAAGCTAAGGGGAGATGGCTTTTTTAGTTCAACTAAGTTTGGCTCTAAAGCTGAAGCTGAAGAATTCTATTAGATCAAAAAACAAGAAAATCATGAAGAGTAACAAGAGGTAGAAGTAGAAGCTAATTAATAAGTAGAAGAAAAATCAAAAGAATAATAACAAAATTAATCAGATGAATAAGAGGTTAAATTGGAACTGCTACAAATTGAGTAGCTAAAAGAAATTCTTTATGAACTTCTTGAAGAAAATGAAAACGCAAATTAGGCAATGAAAAGGGTGAGATCAAAATTAGCAAGTAATCAAAAGAAGGTGTTTAAAAAAAATGTTAGGAAAGATAATACTGAACATAATGATAAATAAGACCAGAAGCCTTAAGAAAATAATAACGAAGCTAAAGATGAAGCAAAATAGACATTAGATATCTTGGTTGACATCTGTACAATAATAGTAAAGAAATCAAATGACCCTTCTATTTATACTATAAAAAAAGAAGAATTAGTACCTAAAAAGGTCTCTCGTTTGGAAGAAGATGATATATTTTGAAGATTAATTTTAGTATTATTTTGTTATATAATATTAAAAATGAGTTAGAATATTGATTAATTTTTGAAATTTTTCGTATTTGAAGGAACACAAAATGTCACTAAAATTCTAAATTTAAAATAACTTTAGTTTGCAAATCCCAGACTCATAAAACGATAATAACCCAATCCTTTTGAACTAGCTGAATTAAATAAGAAATCAAAATTAATATCAGAGAATGTATGATTATTTAATAATTAGGCTTTCGATGTAGTTTCAGAATTTTATATCTTATTAAAGCAATGCAAATTTGAAAATGTGAGTACAAAAATAATATTCAATTATATGTTGAGTTTACAGTTAAAAAGAAATTATATCGATTGTCTTAATTTGAATACCACCGATAAGAATTATATTATAAGCGTTGATATTATTTCAGAATACAAAGAATAAATTATTAGATAAATGTATAGTTTTGTTAATTGGGTTGTTCTTTATTAAAAAGGATAGATTACTTGTGGAGAATTTAAAACAGATTACTAAGATTATGCCCATATACAAATCTTTGAAAATTAAAAGAAGTTAATCTTAGTTATAGGATATAACAAATTAGAGTCTGAACTATTTTTATCCCTAAACCTAGTAAGATACTAAAATTATTTGAGGAATCATTTATCATTATTAAATATACCTGAATGTAGATAGGATACATTTTGTTCAATTCTATACCATTTTGTGTCTATTATTAGAAAGATGTTAAGATTCTCTGATACAAAAAGATATGATTCTGAATTAAGATAACTTATATCTGCAAATGCTTCAATTTTGATAGAATATCCAGAGAAATAAAAACATATTCCTTATTTAGGAACCTTCAATCATTGTGACTTTGTGCTATTCGACTTTAAGGTAACTAATTAATTAGAATTCGATAAAAGACTTAAAAATTTTTAGTATCAAAAAGAATTAATAATGTCCATCATTAGCAATCTAAAGACTCTTTATGTAAAATCTAAAGATGATATGTCATACTCTTTTGTGCTTTCTGGATAATATTTGCTTGCCACATTTTAGTATAATATCGATGGGGCAATTTTGTTGAAAGAAGGGGAAATGAGAAACAAGTTAATTTTAGAATGCTATGAATTTGTGGAATAGGATTTCGATTATGGAATAAAGAAAATCATAATAACAAACCAAGAGAAAAATCAAAAAAAGGAAGAAACTCTGAAATCATAAAGAAATTAAAAGATTGCTGATCTTATAACAACCTCTGTAAATACAGCATTCTCATGGTATGATTATGCCAAATCGGCTAATTTAACAAACAAACAACAACAGCTAGCCAACAAATCGCTTACTCCAAGAAGACAATGAATAATTGTTTTTATTATAATTTTCTATAAATCTATCCTTATATCAATCAAATAGGAATCTTTTTTTGCCAATTTTAGCCTAGCATGCTGGACAGAAATGAACTGCATCTTTGCAATCTTAGACAAAACAAGGAATCAAGCAACATCTGATAATTAAATTTAAAAATTACCCTAACCATAGACCAACAGCTGCCAAAAGTCCTCCAATTGCGTAAGCTCCATTTCCGACTTCATAATTAACCTGTGTTTATACTTGTCTCTAACAGTAAGCACAAGTAATCATGTGAGGGTATTTAGAATAAACTGGTTGGACTTTAAATAAATTTTGATAAATACTTTATTAGACAGCAGTGGGATTGTAAATAACTTATTGTTATTATTACATTTAGGGATATTGTTATTATTAGTAAGGGATCTATCTCATAAATTATTGAGCTGGAACTATTGGTTGAATAGGTTAACCAATTTATAAGTTCTATTCTGGAAGTTATGGATAAACAACCTATGAAACAGGTCCTTCACAAGGGGTTTGATTAATTTCTTATGGAAGTCTTACATGTTGATTATTCTACATTAGTATAGTTTAATTATTATTTTTAATCAAATGACAAGTTAAACAAATTATATAGACTAAGAATTATTAACATATCATCAGTATTAATTCTGAGAGTATTAAAATTAAATTAGATAAACCCTACTTCTAAGTATTTAATGTTAACCTCCACTCTAAATAAGAAAATTGAACCTTAAAGATCATTCTAAATAGCTTATCAACTGATCTTTTTATAAAAAGGTTGAAATATTTATATCAAATGACTCATATCAGTGTTGTTTTTTTTAATTTTAAAATTGGATTATTATTGTTAATATTTTTTATGTCCAGACTACGACAACCTACTGTCCATAATGACTTGTCTTTAAATAAGGAGCCTATAGAAACAGTATATTCCATAGCAAATAGATATCGTACTGATTGGGGGTTGAAAGAAATGCCTGACTTGAAAATATATCCAGATGTGTGCAAAGTCAAAAGATTGATCAGCTTTAAGACTGAGCATAACTTTAGCCAAACCAGTCAACCCTCCAAAAAGAGAAACTTTTATTGAAGAATTATAAGAATATCACTCCAAACTGCCTGGCCCAAAATATGAATATTAGTCATTTTGGTCAGAGCCTAAAGTGCAAAAGAAAACAAAAGAATAAAGCAAATATATTGAGCAAAATCAAAGAAAAAACATAATTTCTGATATAATTACAGTTGAAAAACGACATCCAAGACCTGGACCTGCAGATTATAATAAAGAGTTCAAATCTAAAAGCATAGAGAATGAACCAATAATTTCTTAGAGTTTAAAGTATTTATAATGCATTTAACTTATAAGATTGCAACAGAGGACTAACTATTTCGAAGATCTCATAAGTTAATAAATAAATTTTCCAGGACCTGGTGCTTATAATATTCCATAAAGAGTTGTTAGTGACATGTTATCAAAAAAACAAAATCTAATCTCCAGTAGTTCATTACTCTAAACCTAGTAGTTACTCACCGGACGATTACTACCACTTCGCTTTTGATAAAAAATTCAAAGCACAATCAATTAGAAAACGTTTTAAAAACTTAAAAAAAACAATAGTAGCAAGCCTGGTCCCGTTCTTGGTTAATCAGATTGGAATTAAGGTTGGATGTCAAAAGTTAGCAAAGCTCCATAGTTTTCCATTTATTATGATAACTGATTATCAATAACTATATAATGTAATTTGTTTATGTTAACTTTATTAATAATAAAACCTAGAAGATTTGTATACTTGTATTATTATTATATACAAGTTAATAGTATGTTAGTTATTCTTTTAATATTGCTGATTAATTATTTTATGCATAATTATTAAAATGTTTTTATTCATTCAAACACTGCTCCTATGGCTACCAGCAATCCGCTTGAGCTTTAACTTATAATTGCTGTATTTTAGTCAGCTTTGAAAGAGGCTTTCTCGTAATCGCTTTATTAGAATCCTATAAGCTGATTTTCCAAACTTTATTCATTTGATAAATTGAATTTTACATCTTAGTTACTTTTTATTTCTAAACTATAGCATTCTCCCTCCTTTAATAATATATTATCTTAAATTTCTATTTGATATGAACTGTTTATAATATTCATATTATTATGATCAACATTTGTTTTCCAATTATGTAATTTATCTTACAAATTCCTATTAAAATGAATACATTTAATACATGCTTTTGAATATTGAGAACTCTAATTCAATTTGTTTATCGTGGAAAGATTTCTCTAATAATGAAATATTTAATTTAGTTATTTTAATGTTTTATTTAGGGTATAGTACACTTACATTTACTTTTGAAGGGCCCAATTCGAGTTCATTTTCACTTAATTTTTCGAATCTTTTTAAATTAATTTATAGAGGGACAAGGATGGATTTAAATGAATTTAGTTTATTATTCCATTCGCTTCTAAATTCTTCAATTTTTTATTTGCATTTGTTTTGTAGATCATTTAGTTCATTTTCACCTTCGTCCCCTATCTGTTGTAATTTAGTATCTGTATTATTGAGATTGTCAAAGATTTATCGTACTTTTTCCTTTAAAATGAATTCCAAAACTTTTAATTAGTTTATGATATCATTTTTCAATTCATTGAACTTACCTATTATCTCATTGCATTAAGGCGCCCCTCTTTATTTGATACAATTATTACGAATGAATCCTTCTACATCCTCAATTGATGCCAATTCCCCTTTATGATTTTTATGAAATTCCTCTATACAGGTTAAACAAACCTTTCTTTTATTACAATCTTTGTTAAAGCAAATCAAAATGATAGGCTTATTATCGTGATTGGCTTCCTCACATTACAATTTCTATACTCTGGTTTAGAAACTTGTCATTTATTATGTAATATATATTTTAATGGGATTTAAATATTTCATGTTTAAAGATTATTTGATGAAATATGTGTGCACTTTGATGAATTCTTTAAGGTAAATATACTAACATCTCATTTGAAAATTAATAGAAATATTTAATAGTCAAATATTTTAAGGTCATTAACTAATTTTTGTTTGTTATTATGCAGAAAAGTGATTCTTTTTTTATTAAATCAAAGTTCCTGAATAATTTAATGAATGAATTATCTTTGTCGAGGTTATCAAAAATTAATTTGAGAAGACAAATATTCATATTTAATGTTTATAAATAATTAGATTTCATTAACAAATAAGTGTTACATAAAGAATTTATTAATTTCTTTTTTGTATTTAAAAGAATGATTGAATTCTCTTAACTTTAAATAGCAGAGCTACAAATTTATTTTTGCTTTTTTTGAAATTAATATAAATTAAAATTGAAAATGAATGGTAATCTTCATTAATAAATATATATATATATATTAATTCTAATGAATTAATTTGAGAAAGAGACAAAACAATTTATTGATGAATTAAAAAATGGTGTTAGCAACATCTTAGTATTTTCGTATTTATACTTTCAGGTAGCTATCCGAGTAAGACCGTTGAGTTAAAAAGAGAAGAGTCAATCAGAATTTGAGACTATTAGAATTTTGGAAATAAAATGATTGTTCTTTTGGATCCTGATTCAGAAAGAGAGGATGATGTATTGAGATTGATTACAAATAGTTATTAAAAAAAAATAGGCTAAAAGAAACAAGTTTTGCATTTGATTTTGTGTTTGACAAATGGGCTCCGTAGTAAATAATTTATGAAAACACTACCGAATTTCTATTAGAAGGAGTATTGGAGGGTTACAATACTACTGTGTTTTGTTATGGAGCAACAGGTTCAGGAAAAACCTTCACGTAATTTTGATTTATAATTATTAGAATGATAGGCACTCAACAAGAGGTCGGAATAATGCCAAGAGCCTTATAGCAACTTTTTAATTTTTCAATATAAGATAGATTTAAAGATACTTAGTTTAAAGCTTGTTACGTGGAGATTTACAATGAAAACATTCGAGATCTGCTGACATCCGAAGATAAAAATCTAGAAACAAGAGAAGACAAAAATAGTGGAATCTAAATTGCAGGAGTGACAGAAGTAGAAGTAAGAACAGTTTCAGAAGTTCTGGCACTTTTAAAAGTGGGCAACAAAAATAGATCAAAAGAGGCAACTGATGCAAATAAAGAATCCTCTAGATCTCATGCAATTTTGTAACTTTAAATTGAAAGCAAAGAAAGAGCAACAGGAATACAAGAACAAATTATTTAAAGCAAATTTAGTTTAGTAGATTTGGCTGGCAGTGAAAGGGCTGCCAATACAAATAACAAAGGACAAAGAATGATTGAAGGAGCTAACATAAACAAATCTTTATTAGTGTTAGGAAATTGCATTTAATCTCTATCTGAGGCTAATGAAAAAGGGGTAAAAAATCCTTTTATACCCTTTCGTAATTCCAAGCTAACTCGTCTTCTTAAAGATTCTTTGGGAGGAAATTGCCGAACAGTTATGATCTCAAATGTCACTCCAGCTGTAAATTGTTTTGAAGAAACTTATAATACTTTAGTTTATGCTAATAGAGCTAAGAATATTAAAACTATTGCAAATCGAAATGTGTTGATGGCATAAAATCATATAAGCAATTATGCTCAATTGATTTAAAATTTAAGATAAGAAAATGAGGAATTAAAATTGTTAATTTAATAACAATAATATAATTTAAATAATCCATAATTAAGTATGAATAAAAATTTTAGAACTGCCATCAATAATTTAAAAGAACCCTCCAAGTGGTCAATAAAGTTTAAAATAATAGGTCTCTGAATTGGAATCTATTATTCATTAAAATGTTGAAGATATCATACAAACAAAAAATTTAATTTTATGAAATGGAAGAGCAATAAAATCATTTCTAATAGAATATTGGATTTCTATAATTTTAAAAAGGGAGAACATAAGACAAGTTTGAATAGATGAGATTATAAGAAAGAATGGATAATGCAAAAAATTAAAAAGCTATTGTAAAAAGAAGTCAAGATGATCTTGAATAACATTTAGTGGAGTATGAGGTCCAAAAGGTTGATATTTAAAAATAGGTTTAATAAATTCAAGATTCTAATTACAAGAACTGTTTATATGGAATAATGAAATAGGGTGAATTTAAAATTGTACAATATAATAAAATCATTTTAGGAAACAATTGAAATTAAAATTTAAGAAAAAAAAAGGAAATACCAAGAATAAATTTAAGACGAACAGGTCAAATAATTAAGAACATAGATTAATAAATAACAAGCCAAAATTATCTAGGGTACTAAATAGAAATTAAATGTCCTTAAAAAAGGTATTAGAATATCTCTAATATTTATTAAGTACCAAGCTTACCTGGAGTTGATTCTCCTTATTATTAGTTATAAAATGGATAAAATTATGGTATCTAGAGGTAAAATATTCATTCTATTAGATATTAAAAAAATAAATCTCATTTAAAATTGCCACCAGTTGTTCAACTAGCATAAGTATACAAGTCGCCAAAAGCATAAAATACAAGTTTAACAAGTAATCTAATTTTTCAAATAAGATAAAATTGATGATCCAATGAAATATAGAATATCATAAAAATATTCTTCAAGACTGAATCGCCCTCCTTCCTATCATCCACCAAGTTCACAAAGAAAATCTGCTAAAGGGCGATATATTAATCGTTCATTAGATTTAGGCTCAGGTCGAGATTGCATAAATAAGAGTTCTGGAGAAATACAAAATGAGATTAGTTTGCAAAAACTTCATCGTCTTCGTAAAGAATACTAACAATAAAGATTTGAAAAGGCTATGAATAATAAAAGCAATTAAAAATCATAACCTTCATTTGGTAGTAAAATTTTGCTTCCAGGAATGATTCACAAATCACCCTATTTAAAAAATTTTTAAAACAATAACGAACCAATTGAATTAAAAAAATAGAGACTAAAATGTTTAATCTGAATCAAAAAGTACAAGGAGATGATAAATTTTAACTTTAAAATTGAATATTATATAACTAAAAGTAAATAGTCAAATTTACAACTTGTTTGATTATTGAGCCAAAATACTATAAATCCCTCTGAATAATATCATTTTGTATCTAAAATGAGGGGCGAACATATGTTACATACAATATTAACATACAGCTATTAAGAATCTAAAAATTTTTATCAAATGACATTGATTTTATTAATTTGTTACATCTGTGCAGTGTCTATATATTTGAGATCAATTATAATATTTAATTGTATTCAGAGATATCATTTATCATTCTTTTTTAGTTTTGAAATAAAATTAATGGAAAAACTTATTGCTGGATATGCTATGAAGGAGATGATGAAATAGAAAAAATAGATCATCCCTGAAGATTAGAAGTTTTTATATTACGGTTGTTGGACAACAGGTATTGCTGTAATTGCATTCATGGGTCATACAACCTATTTAAAGAAAAAATATGAGTCAAATTATCTCTACCAATTTTAAGGGAAGCAATATTTAAGGTCATTAATATAGCTATATCTGCCCATTATATGCAATTAATTGTTAGTTTCATTTTGCTCTAATCATTAAGGAGCATTTTTATTTTCTCTCTCCTCTATTGTTCATTTGTATCAATACATAATGGGAATACCACAAATTTCATACTTAAGTGCTGCTTTTACAATATTAGGATGTATTTTGAAATTTAAAATTGAGTGAAAATTATAAATATATATAAGTTTATCATATTCTATGATTTATTCTCAAATATAAGTCATCAAAAACAAATTTTCATTAAAGTAATTCTAAGAATAAAGAAATTAAGCCACACCGCCCTCAGTTCTTTAAAAAATAGAATAAATCACAAAAAATCCTAAAAATGATGTTAGGAGTCAAATTTTCCATATAAAGGGATTTGAAAATAGTTAAGGATTAATTGGCAAACTAGGAAAATGATCAAATTAATTTAAAATAATAAGACTAATATAATCTTTACTAAATATTCATTTGAATATTAACAATTAACTATAATTCTATGACAAAAGGATTATAACAAAGGATAACATAATATTTTTTATTTCAACAATTTTATTTAAACAAAGGAATCTAAAGCTAATATTCCTTTTGTTATTTACTTTTTTTAATTTTAAATGGCATTTTAAAAACCCTTGAATTTTTGTTGTGTAAAGGAACTTCTACTTACAAATTCTTTAAAATATAGACCGAATACTCGAATTTGATTTCAGAGGTTGCCCAAATCTGAGAGCATATAGAATAAACATTTAACATACTATTTAATAATTTTTAGATTGAACATTTTGAGAATAATTTCCTTCTTCAATTACGGATAAGCTTAATATAAAAATTATTATTATTGAAATATATAATTTCAGATGATAAAGGATAATTTTATAACATTGGAATAGATACGATAATTTAATTAAAAGTATATTAATTATAGACAAATGATTGAGAAACAGTTTTTTTTGTTCAGATGATCTACCAAACTAATTTATAACGGGTGCAATGAACGTAAAGCATAATGTTCGATACTTTTGAACGAATTTTGATTACAATAAACTATAAAATCTCCTCTGAAAAATAATTATTGATTATTAAGGATGGAACAATATTAAAATAGTAATTAAACAATAGAATTGCTATTGATAATTTATTTAACAATCCTTTTGTAGTAACAAACTTTCAGCATAATAATAGTTTCTCTTTTATTAATCCTTGTAGTTTTGGAGGTAGATACNATTAATATAGCTATATCTGCCCATTATATGCAATTAATTGTTAGTTTCATTTTGCTCTAATCATTAAGGAGCATTTTTATTTTCTCTCTCCTCTATTGTTCATTTGTATCAATACATAATGGGAATACCACAAATTTCATACTTAAGTGCTGCTTTTACAATATTAGGATGTATTTTGAAATTTAAAATTGAGTGAAAATTATAAATATATATAAGTTTATCATATTCTATGATTTATTCTCAAATATAAGTCATCAAAAACAAATTTTCATTAAAGTAATTCTAAGAATAAAGAAATTAAGCCACACCGCCCTCAGTTCTTTAAAAAATAGAATAAATCACAAAAAATCCTAAAAATGATGTTAGGAGTCAAATTTTCCATATAAAGGGATTTGAAAATAGTTAAGGATTAATTGGCAAACTAGGAAAATGATCAAATTAATTTAAAATAATAAGACTAATATAATCTTTACTAAATATTCATTTGAATATTAACAATTAACTATAATTCTATGACAAAAGGATTATAACAAAGGATAACATAATATTTTTTATTTCAACAATTTTATTTAAACAAAGGAATCTAAAGCTAATATTCCTTTTGTTATTTACTTTTTTTAATTTTAAATGGCATTTTAAAAACCCTTGAATTTTTGTTGTGTAAAGGAACTTCTACTTACAAATTCTTTAAAATATAGACCGAATACTCGAATTTGATTTCAGAGGTTGCCCAAATCTGAGAGCATATAGAATAAACATTTAACATACTATTTAATAATTTTTAGATTGAACATTTTGAGAATAATTTCCTTCTTCAATTACGGATAAGCTTAATATAAAAATTATTATTATTGAAATATATAATTTCAGATGATAAAGGATAATTTTATAACATTGGAATAGATACGATAATTTAATTAAAAGTATATTAATTATAGACAAATGATTGAGAAACAGTTTTTTTTGTTCAGATGATCTACCAAACTAATTTATAACGGGTGCAATGAACGTAAAGCATAATGTTCGATACTTTTGAACGAATTTTGATTACAATAAACTATAAAATCTCCTCTGAAAAATAATTATTGATTATTAAGGATGGAACAATATTAAAATAGTAATTAAACAATAGAATTGCTATTGATAATTTATTTAACAATCCTTTTGTAGTAACAAACTTTCAGCATAATAATAGTTTCTCTTTTATTAATCCTTGTAGTTTTGGAGGTAGATACAGCAAAAGAAGAATTATTTTTTTTAACTTACATTCAATTTAAGTAATGGATTGAGTTGTCAAATCTAGAAATATTAATAATATTTTATTTCAATTTATTAATTTAATTCCATTTATCAATACTCTAAAGAAGGGAAAAAATAAGGAAATCGGAAAGAATTAATAAAGAATTTTAGAAAACAGTACAAATTTCCTTACTGTTAATTTGATGCACGAAGATCTTTGAATTTGAAAATTACTTAAATGACATCAGAGCTGGTGTTTGGAGATATAATTTCTAAAATTTAGATATATAAAATAATATTCCCAATAAGCAGAGTTAATATGATGAAAATGGAATACAGGATGGTAAGTGGATTGAATTATGCGAGAATTGGGTTATATGATTCTTTGGAAACGAACTATAGAGGATTACTGGATGCCTTATATAATGGCTCTGATACAATTTTCTTTTTAAATTAATAACAAATTTGTATAAATAAGAGTGAATTCATTTAATGGAATGATAAATAGATACTTCAAAGTCATACAGAACAAAGATGAGGTTAAACAAATGGTAGGCATATTTAATGAGTTGCTTAATCACTTTGGTAGGGCTAGGCTAGATTTGACGATTTTATAATCTGCCCCTTTTGCGCTCTTGTGGAGAGAGACACTGAAATATTCAAACACTCCTGTTTAGCAAGTGCGGACCTTGTCATTAGAAGAGGCCGTCCGCAATGACATATTATTCAACTTCAAAATTATTATTATTATTATTTAGTAAAACCTTAAAGGTTCCATTAATGTAATGTAATTGTAGTCTTAGTATTTTATAGAGGTTTGGAGTACTACGAATAATAATGTTTGAAGTGCGGGTTGTGGATTGAAATTTATGAATTTTGGAAACAGTTTTACATATCATATGATATTTAGGAATCCTCTGAGGTCATTTATAGTGGGGAATATTAGAATTGTAAAAAATTGGGTAATGGATATCGTGTGGGATTAGAAAATATTATGTATTCATTATTGAATTTATAAATATTTAAACCGAGGTGGATTTTTCAACTAAAACGGCTAAAAACATGGAAAATTGGAAGAATCACGAAATGATTGGTCAAAGTAAGGTTATTATTTGAAAATTAAGCCATAAGCAAGTCACTTATTGTTTTGAGTATTAAATTGGGCTTTGTGATGTTTTTTATTATTTCTCATTTATTACAGGAATAAAAGAAAGTAATTAATTTTGTAAATAATGAGGTGGAGGAACTTTTGATATAAATGGAATGAGGAATGGCTTCTGGGTTGAAATGGACGACAATTCTAGAAAGTTTTATATTTGCAATGATTATTTGATATCACTAAGCTACTGATATATGATAATATTAAAATGGAATAAAAGTTGGTTAATAGATAGTAAATGATGATTAAAAGGGATAAATAAGGTACAGTTTATTTAATTAATAATACAAAAAACTTTGGAGATTTGATAAAAATGGAAAAAGAATGGATAATGGATAGTGTAGGATTAAGATTATTTTAAGGCAAAGATCATAATAAACTTCCCAGAATAGAGAGGAACATTTATTATTAAGGTCAACATAGAAAAAAAAAAAATAAGTTAGAATTAGTAAAACATTTATGAATTATTTTCCATCAAGCCGCAAGTTAAAACTTTTTAAGAGAAAAATAATACATTGTGTAATATCAATAAACTTAGTTAATTGTAAAATTTATTGTTTAATAGGGTTAAATTCATAGTTATTGAGAAGAACAATTTTGTTACTTTTTAACATTCTCAAACATGTTTATGAAATCCAATTTTAGGTAATTTTGTAATTTCATAATCAATGAATATAATTGAACTAGTTGAATGACATTATCGTTGTGTAGATATTAATTAATTTCTAAAAAAAAGTCAGCTTGAGGTAAGATACATATTAATAACTGTTAATGATTTATATAAATTAAGCAAAAGTATTGTCGAAAGTAGCTTGCTTGGTTTA